TTTATATATATATAAAATCAAAAAAATCAAAAAAATAGTATAGATTTTCGTGCTTTGAAGATCCTCTCAACTTTTTTACAAAGTATCTTTTACTTGCTTCAGCTTATATAAAAAGTTATCAAACTCAATAATTATGCTTTTATTATAACCTTTTCTTCGTTTAAGTAACCGTTGAGATTTTCTTTTCTTATAGAAACAATTTTTACAAAGATTTCTTTCTTTAAAGTTATAATCAAATTATGCAAAAACGAAATCTACTTAAATAATATATCATTTTATTAAAATAATGAATGTTATTAAAATCCGTTAAGGTATTACTTTTGCTATTATAATAACCGTTTTATCATCATTGATTTCTTCCGCGATGTAAATATTTTAACTATGATTTATACTTTTAACTCATTAAATTTAATTATTTATAGGTACTTTTTAAATATTTATTTCGCCTTAATCAAGAACAAATTGAAACCACGGCTGATTCTTATATATACAAGATTTCTGTTTTTTAATTCTTCTTTTTATAATAACGATAATATATATATATATATATAAGCTGACGTATTATAAGATCATAACTAATTACGACATCTAAATATTAGAGTTATTTGACATCGTATCTACGTTATTTATCCGTAAATAGTTAGCTTTATACTGTTATCGGTTTAAATTAATAATTAAACCGGCTTTATAAGTTTACTTATAAGTATTCAATATCGTAATATCAATAAGCGAGTAATTTTCCGTTGATAATAAACTTTTGCCAAACTGTTTATAATGTGGCTTCCGTTACGGTTAGCAACTATAAAAACCCTAATCGCGTTATACTATACTTTTAAACGTATAACATTTGATTATAAGTAAAAATGCTTAACGTTACGATATATTAAATATCCGGTTATATAGTTATCGTTAACAAGAATAAGAACGAAAACGAACGGTATAGCCGTTATCATAGAAACAAAAGCGTGTAAGATCTTTGTATAGCCGGCCCTTTACGCTCGGACTAAGGCCGCAACTTTATAAACAGCGCTTATACAAACTATTATTACAATAAATAATAAATAAAGTGATTACAACGCGATATATACGCTGGATATTTATACGGGTTATTAAAGAAGATTAAAAAAACTACAAATAAAAAATAAAGATAAAAATTTTTAATAATAATAATAATAATAATAATAATAATAATAATAATAATAATAATAATAATAATAATAATAATAATAATAATAATAATAATAATAATAATAATAATAATAATAATAATAAGATAATGTAAGAGATTAAACAGCGTAATTAATATTCAAAAATGCGCGAATAAGTAATAATCACTTCGTACATATTTTCTACCTTCATAATATTCTTTTCATAATATATTCTATTTTCGACAATTTTTCTTCTTATTAAAGCCTTTATTTTATTTTAAACTAATTATATAAAACTAAACCTTTTATTCTTTTATCAAGCGTTTTTTATATAAACGTATTTCTCAATTTATTTCAACCGTTGATTTAATAAACTTTCGTTATTTTTTAAACTTTTATATAATTGTCGTAATGCCATAATGTCGATTATTAAAGGTCTTTCAATCGCCGTTTTAACATTAAAAGCTATTTATATAACGACTCTTAATCGGTATGAACAATTAAAAAAAAACTCGGGAAATTTTATTATTATGATTAATTATCGAGATATAATATTTAATACGATCCTTATGTTAAAAGTTTTGACTATATTGTATAGCTTGTACGTAATATATTTAAAAAATTACGTGATATATTTATAACTTGCTAGTAAATGTAATCGTTCAAAGTGTTTCTATATTTTCCCCTCTTTTATAATTTGTATTACGATTAAAAACTTAAACGATACTTTACACTAACATACGAATACAATATACGCACTTTCACGTTACCCCATAGGATATGTATTATTAAAATATATCTAACATATTTTCATCAATTACAATCAATTATTTAGCTTACCCATCTTATAATAAAATAACATTTTTATTGCGTGATTAAATCTTATTATATTTAAACTTTATATTAGTATTTAAACTTAACGTTATTTTTAGTTTTACGTATTATTTGATTTCGTTTAAGGGATTTAAGTTTCATAAAAAAAAACTTTCTTATGATAAAACCAAACGCATTATATATTCATAAAAATAAAATAATGAAACTCTTTATTAATTTTAAATAATAGTAAGTATAAGTCGTACGTGGATATTTTTATACTTTGTTACTAAAGATGATAATTATAATAAGTTTTAAAATAATATATACTATATGTCACGGCGAGCGTACTGAGGAGCTGGGATATGGCCGGCAGCAAGCAGCTATTATTCTATTGACGAGAATATCAAGACTAGAGAGGAAAGGAAGAGAGAGAGAGAGGTAGGTACAGCGGGATGTTGCCCCTTTAAGGGGATCCTCTGGTCAGATCCTTCCCTTATTGGGAAGTATCGGCTTGTGATGTGGGAAGGTCCGTGCAGGCCGTCACAATTTAATACAGTAAATAAATAGTAACCATAAGCCGTATACGATAATTTAACGTTTTGGTTTTAAAAAACTTGAAAACTATTTTGTTATATAGCGTTTTCTTAAGCTCCGCTAAGTAAACTATGTCTTTTAAGCGGTCAAAGTCCTTATACTCTTTTATTAGCTATGAGCTAATTAAGCACTTAACCTAGTCTCGTGCGGTTGTAATACCTGCGAGTCTACTTAATTTATAACCATTTTAAATATTTTTATTTATCCGGTATATCTTATAACAACGTTAATTAAATTTCTAGTTTACTAGATAGTTAGTTGAATAAGAAGTCAATATAGCAGCTTATTTCATAGCTTCTTTAAAGCTAGATTGATAGAGATACCTTTTAATAAGTATATATATAATTTAAGCATAGGTATCGTTGTCGCCTTGTGCTATTAATTAAATTAATTAAGCATTTAACTTTTAATCAAGCACTTAACCTTCGTAACTTAATATTGTGCGACCGTAATACCTATTAACTCCCTTTATTTATAGCTATTTGAAAACATATTTATTCATTTTGTTTTATTTATCGTATTAATTAATAACAATATCATTTTCCTTTAATAATAGTACTATTATCTCGTTAATTAGTATTATAATTATAGGATAAAGTACTTACGTTAATACTTAATATAGAGCTATCTTAAAGTATATATATTTAAGAGTCTTATATAAAGTACTTAATTATAATTATCAGATACTTAATTAGAACTATTAAGTACTTTATTATAAATATTAAGTACTTTTTAATTTATTAAATACTTATAAAAATGTTACGTACTCAATAAAAACATTGAGTGTTTAACTAAATGAGGATTGAATGCTTAACTGTTATATATTTAGCGCCATAATAATACTTACAAATAAAGCTAATAGATACTTATATTATAGTATCTTTATGTATTTAATACAATAGCGATTAATTTAACGAAGTGGTTGTCCTTATATTGTTAAATAAATATATCTACTTTTAAATAGGTGTAAATTAGTTATATGTACTAGTACCACGGTCGTAACAGTTATATACTTAATTAATTAGCAGCTAAATTAACACTTAATAAAGAGGATATAAAGACTTCGAATATAATCTACTTAATGACCCTTTTTTATAATACAGTTATAATATTTACGCTATTTATTAGTAAATAAATAGTAAACTAAAACTTAATAAGTAAGACTAAATATCCTAAATTAAGTCTATATTGAATATAATACGAAGATTTATTATGTATTTTTCAAACCTTTTCTTTATCATTAAATAAAGTATAAAATCGTTATTAACGATATATTAAAGTCGTATAAGCAGCGTTATTTAATAATAATTTAAAAAAAGGAAAAGTAAATGAAAATGCCTTAATTTAGCTACATATTAGGTGTAATAATAACTATTATTATCGATATTTCTTTTCTTTTTAATTGCTTATTAATATTAATAAAGCCATCTATAGCGTTATGAAATACTAGCTAATTATAGTTTGATTTATTACTTATACATAAAATAGGTAAAACGCATTAAAAAGTTAAAAAGTCACTAGTAATTATAAAGGTATCTACTACTTAATTAATAATCTTTTTAATACGCATTAATACTTATGAAATAAGTATAAAAAAAACTTAAATAAATTTGTTAAAACTTGTGTTAAAACGGATTAATAGATCTATATAAAGACGTAGCGAATACCTTTTATAATACGTAGATAATATATACTCGTAGTTAATTCGATAAGTTTTCCGTTAATTACCACCTTAAACACCTTTTTCCTTCTCTTTATTTTTTTAAAATTATTATTATAATTGTCTCCACCTGCTAGATCTGCTATGATATACGTCAGATCCGTCGCATTTTTAGCATCAATCGGGCTTAAAAGGATAAAGCCCCGAGCACCGACATGTCCTAACTACTTAGCCACATTTAAAGGCCACCGGGGTCACACGGCTACACTCAAGCCCCTGTCTTCCGCGCCCCCTGGCATCGATCGGGCTCCCGCTCCACACCAGTTTCCTTTCATGGTTACTATTTTTACAAAGGGCACGCTTGAAGGTTCCCTCCATGGAACGATCCAATGACCGATTTACCAGGTCTTGGAGCTCCGGGCACTCTGCTGGGAGCCCCTTGCGCCGTCGGAAGACTTGCTCGCGTTCCCGAGCGCCAACGTGCCTTAGCCGCGTGGCTACATTCAGGGGCCTTCGTCACACACGGCTATAGCTGGCCCAATTTGCGCACAGGTGGTTGCCACGTAGATCGGGAATATGCAAAGCCTTCGGTACAGCTGGTGTCACGCTATCAGTGACGTATCAAGTATCTCAAGGATGTTGTTGCTCTTGCTTATAAAAGACGGCACACATCCAGTATGCTATATGATGAGTTCAGCAGATCATCACAGCTTTGATCCCAACTGAAACCAATTAGACAAGACCACCACAGCTTCGATCCCAACCAAGACCAACTAGACAAGATGCACCTGTCCAAGAACCGATATCGCCATTCTCCTCGTGAGCGGTTTGCTGGCAAGCTCCGCCTTTGGGGACCTGACCAAGATACATCGGTACGTCTGATAGTTACCCAATATTTGCCGTTGAAACCATACTGATATGTGAGGAATCAAGCCGTACCGAGCCAGACGTTCTGGGGGCTGGTGCGGCCAACCTCACCCCTTCCAAGTCGTCCGTATCATTGGAGCCGCTCGAAGGCCGACAGGTCAAGGTACGCCGAGAGCGAACATTCAAGGGCATCCTCCGGCGAGGAGGCGAAACCAAGGAAGTTGATATGGGCAAGTTTGCTTCAGGACGAGATGAAGATGAGCTCGTAACCGAGAACCTTGCCGATTGCATGGGTATAGCCGTCGTAGGCGACTACGATTCCGATAACAAGAAAAGTCGTGGCAGATTTCTGGTCCACGTCTACCGCCAGCATGCGAAGACCTATGATCCCTTTGAAGCAGCCGGTACGTTGTCACGGCGGAACCCTCATCTACAAGCTTATCTTGAGAACGCCACACTCGGCACCCAGGATATGTCAGTTCAATGGAAAAGCTGACCTTACTGTCAGAAGGCCAACCATAAGGGGGGGGTAGAATGTATGTTGTTCTGCAGAGGGCTACAATACTAATCAGGCCTGGGGGCCATGTATATGTACATGAATGGTTCCTTTGTTCCCAGGATGTGCTTCCTGACAGTTCCCGAATGTACAGTCGAAAAGGCACTCGGTCGCGGCCTCAAAATCACCGAAGTCCTAGTCGAGATGGCAGACCCCGAGAGTATCTTGCTATCGTCGTAGTTCAAAAACAGGCCGGACGAGAGACCAGCATATATTGCCTAACAGAAACAGTTCAACGACCGCCTTCTTGCAAAGCTTCAGAATCTAGTCAAGATCAAGGTCAAGACCTATAAGCACAGCATCGACTATGCCTGGGCCTTAAAGATCGACGAGGACAAGAATATCCACAACTATACACAAAGGATATATGTTAGTTTACGTCGGGGTCAGTTAGTAACTACAGGAACATTAGTCGGTACCTTAGCATGTATGATATTAGCCTTGTTTATGTAGGAGACAGGTGCGGCTATCTGGGAGTGCTGGTGCTTGGTACTGGAGTTCTATCGAGTGTAAAGGGTGGTAAAGGTTGAAAATTGAGTTACGTACGAGCTGTCGATAAGCATAGTCGCGACTTTTAATATATTGTTAATATGCTGTTAGATAGACTGTTTATGATTAGTCTGGGTTGTATATAAGCTGTACGACATTACCGGCAGAGAGAGTGAATTAGTATTAGAGATTATGTGACACGGCGAAAAGGGCTGTAGCCAATGTGTGGTAACGTGTGTGTGAGGGGGCCTCGTTCCCTTGAGGGCTAGAAAGCCAGTTTTCAACTATATATGATGGTCTCTTGTTGGGATGGATGCCCCGTCACGCTGCCAAACCCTTGGTTTGGTTGACCGGTATGTGGTGCACAGAACCTCCAAGTGTCTCCGTACACCCCTCGTTCAACAAGGGAAAGGGACATTTATTATAAATATAACAAGCACTTCGTGATAAGCATCCACCATGGCTTGCCTAACGAATCGGCTTATTCCATGGCGCTTGTTCTACTAATAAATATAGCTTTGATTTCTAGGAATAGATAGAAACGTGCCGGAGGGAGACACATGGGTGGTGATTGTAGCAAGCGTACGTGGTTGCGTAAAGAGAAAAGAGAAGTAAACCAGGAATGCGTCCGCAAACCCAGACAAAAGAAGCCCACAGACCGACATCCAGTCCCCATGTGTAGGAACGACGGCGCGCTTGCCACTAGACGTCTACTCCTTCTTACTTTGTTAGGAAGAGCCGAGTGACTGCTAACTATCCGCCCTATTAGTGTCCCCCCTCGACCTCAACGACACTGCCTAACATGGCCCCAGCGAAACATTGCCATCGAAAATTGTGGACCTTCGCAGGTAAATGTTCAATACTTAAGGAGTGCTTCTTCTTCCCCAGACTCGTACGATTGTTCGTGGAGATAGCCCCAACCCCAAGTCCAGATTCGGCATCGACCATATCACCAAGCTCAGCATCTAGCTGTCCCTATCCACCTACCCTGTTGTCACCAGGCCTGTCACCAAGTCACGAAATCGTATTCCGATCAACCCCGACAATGCCGGAGATTACACCCCCGGCCGTGCTCGTGGTCCTGGCTGCCTGTGGCCTCTTTGTCTTCGTCATGTCAGTACTTACAGCTACGCCGACCGACCAAACCTATCAATCAGCAGAGCTTGAAACAACGGACCAGTGCCTCTCAATTCCGACAAACTTTACCTGTGTTGTAGATGAGTTCACATGCGAGCCGGGAACGGAGCGACTTGTCGCTACCAAAGCAACAGTCACCTGGGATCCGAAAGCCAACGATTGGGCCTGTACGATTGACTGTGCGACGCAATCTTGAGCAACTTTATACACCCACAGTCGCGTAGCTATGGAGGTCTACAGTCTGGTGGCAACTCTTCGTCGCGCTATCACTTCTTCCTTACCAGCCCTCACTGGTACAGCTCAGCCTACAAAGCATGACCTCGGCACCACGATTTGACTCGACAAGCCCGCGTCCACCAACAATACCGACGGAAGGGAACGGATATGTGACAGCCGGTAACGCGTGGAACCTGTCTAGATGGTTGTTGCTGCTACGAACTTGCAAGAGGCGGGCCTGGGAACCGAACGAATGCCTTTCCTATGTCACATATAGCTGTGCATGTTGCCCTATACAGCAAGTCTATGGCGTTGGCGACGCTCCAGGTTAGATTCACAAAATATACAAAATATACAAAATATACAAAATATACAACCTTGCCCGCTGAGTATGTGTTGCTACCATGGTGGGTTACCATGCTCCATACCTGTTTACACGTGAAATAAGCTACTAGGCAGCTAGGTCGTCGTCCCCTGACCCATGGATAAAACAAGCACGCATTGCATGACGGCTGATTGTCGACACTGGGTAATTAAAATAGTACAAATATGATATGTTATTATCCCATTCAACCGCACCAGGTTATGTTAAACGCGAGAAATAATTAAAGGGAAGAATAACCGCAAAAGTGGGCCAAAGCCGTCCGATGGACCGTGCCCCTCTGCCCCCCAGCACTGTGTGAGACTCTGTTAGTGGGAGTCAAAAAGTAAAAATTTAGAGGCTCAAGGGCTTCTGGTGGACCTTCACATGACGACGCGCCATTGTCAGTGGTGACTAGAAACTCGAGAGCCTCTTTCGGTACAAGTACAACATTACACACTCTAGTACACTGCACTCACCCAGATCAACGTGAACATGTCTGCCGCCGTCGAGCAGGCCGAGGCGCCTCACCAGACCTTCGATGTGAGTCGCATCGTGGCCCGCGCAGTCACCACAGACTAACTAACCACCTGCAGACCATCCTGGTGCTCGACAATGGCTCACAGTACTCCCATCTCATCACGCGACGTCTGCGCGAGCTCAACGTCTACTCGGAGATGCTGCCGTGCACCACCAAGCTCAGCGACCTGGCCTTCAAGCCCAAGGGAATCATCCTGTCGGGTGGTCCCTACAGTGTCTACGAAGAGTCGGCTCCGCGTCAGTCCACCCCAGTCCACCCCAGTCCGCGGGTCACGGCAAGACGTAGTAGTAGGAGACTGACCCTACTACCTGGCAGACACCGATCCCGCCTTCTTCGACCTTGGCGTACCGGTGCTGGGAGTGTGCTACGGACTGCAGGAGATCGCCTGGCGACTCGGCAAGGAGAACGTTGTCGCCGGTACTGAAGTGGGTATTCCTTCTCTACCATGCCCCTCCCGCGTCGAGGTCGGGGGGCTTGGTCACGTGTGAGAGACTGCTAACCCAAGGGGCAGCGTGAGTACGGGCTCGCCGACATTGTAGCTCAGCGCCACAACAGTCATACCGACCGCCTGTTTGAGGGCTTGGAAGACGCCATGCAGGGTATGTACCGCCGTAGAATCTATTCTGGACACTATGATAATCTTGAGCCTTGGCCCGACTGCTAACCCCGGGACTCGCCAGTCTACATGTCTCATGGTGATAAGCTGAGCCAACTCCCTGACGGCTTCTGCACCATCGCCACAACACAGAACTCGCCATTTGCTGGTATTGCCCATACCGAGAAGCCCATCTATGGCATCCAGTTTCACCCCGAGGTGACCCATACGCCGCGTGGGACAGCCCTGCTGCGGAACTTTGCTGTCGGCATCTGTGGAGGTAGGTACTTGCGGCTGCACCCCCATAGCAGCCTACTTGATGTGTCCGAGACCATTTCTTACTAACCCCTCTCCAGCTAAGCCAGACTGGTCCATGTCCAGCTTCTGCGACCAAGAGATTGCTCGGATACGGAAGCTTGTTGGTGACAGAGCCCAGGTCATCGGGGCCGTGTCTGTACGTCTCCTCGCTCGCCCCGGCCCATGCTGCCCTGGTCCATACTGGATGACCCGCTAATCATACGTGACAGGGCGGCGTCGATTCGACTGTTGGCGCCGCATTGCTCAAGGAGGCCATCGGATCGCGATTTCATGCTGTGGTATGTTGCAGAGCATTCAGGTTCGCTGTCCGCGTCGGGCATCCCCGTGAAAACAATCATACCCCCAACCTGCTGGCGGCGGAATCTGACGGACATACACTGACTACGTCACGGGGCAGCTCGTCGACAATGGTGTCATGCGCCTGAACGAATGCCAACAGGTCAAGGAGACGCTTGCCGAGCACCTGGGCATCTCTCTCACCGTGGTAGATGCGTCGCAACGATTTCTCGATGGCCTGAAAGGTGTCGTCGATTCGGAGAAGAAGCGCAAGTTCATAGGCAACACCTTCATCGACATATTCGAGGAAGAGGCTCTCAAGATAGAGAAGCGAGCCGAGAACACGCCCAACGCAGGGAAAGTCGAATGGGTGCGTCGATTACCCTCCGTAGCTGCGCATGGGACCCCGACCTCTGGGTAGACGTCACTTACTGATTCATGGTGTTCAAGTTCCTCCAAGGCACACTCTATCCCGACGTCATCGAGAGCATCTCCTTCAAGGGGCCCTCGGCAACCATCAAGGTAAGTAACTCTCACCACTCTAGAGCGCCTTCACTCGGAAAAGCGATCCGCGAGCCAATCGAGGCGTCTCCCTCTCCCTCCCGAGGGCGTTTAAAATGCATGTTGCACGCTCGGCTAACTCGACGACGAGACTCATCACAACGTGGGAGGGCTGCCCCAGCGGATGATGGACGGCCAAGGCCTGAAGCTCATCGAGCCCTTGCGAGAACTGTTCAAGGATGAGGTCAGAGACCTCGGCCGACAGCTTGGAATTCACGAGGATCTCGTCATGCGGTATGTCGTGGTCCCTCTCTGTTCTGCCAGCCCCTTGGCTGACCCTCTTTGTAGCCATCCTTTCCCGGGCCCAGGTATTGCGATCCGGATCCTCGGGGACGTCACGCCCGAGCGTGTCAAGATTGCGCGGCAGGCCGATCATGTGAGTTATTCCGACCGGTTGGTCGTGGCGGGGGCTGGGGAGAGGCTGACCTGGACAAGATTTTCATCAGCATGATCAGGGAGGCCGGACTGTACAACGAGATCAGCCAAGCGTACGCCGGACTCGATACAAACAAGGCGGTTGGTGTCATGGTGAGTGCAGCGCTGCCCAGTCCCTTGGAAACCCCTTGGGAGCCCTTGGGAAGGTCTGTTACTAATGGGCGGAACAGGGGGACAAACGCCAGGAGGGGTACATTGTGATCCTGCGTGCGGTCAAGACCACCGACTTCATGACGGCAGAGGCGTACCCGTTCAGCATGGACTTCCTCATGGACGTGTCTCGCCGGATAGTGAACGAGGTTGACGGGATCGCCCTGGTGACCTACAACACGACGAGCAAACCACCCTCGACAATCGAACTACAGTAGAGTAGGTGGGTGTGGTGTGTCTGGGGACGTATACCCCTGATGGCGAAGTCAGGGGCAAGCAAATCCATAGGAGACCCATCAGTAGAAGGATGCTCTAGTATCTGGGGACGGCGACTTGGAGTACCGGGTCAGCGGGTGTTCGCTACTAGGATCAGCTTGCAACGTTGCAACTATCTCCGAATTGACAATTGACAATTGACAGGTAAAACGGCCGAGGTTGTTATTTCGGGCAGCTCAGAAATCACTCGGCGTCATGAGCAGTGAGCACGGCGCCTCGGTCGCCTCGCGCGCCTTGGTCGCTTTTATGAATAGACACATGTGAGACACGCGGAATGATTATGATGTGCAACCCTCCCCACCCCCCCCCCCCCCCGACCGTCTGAACGCGTACTGCGCGTACGCAATGAAGGAATTCGATCCGGTCTATTCGGTCCTAAACTGAATCCTTCGATGGTCGGCCATGCCTCATCCCGGTAACCCCCCGCGAACACTTCTATTATTATCTAAGAATACTACTCCAGGGCGGCCGCTAGGGTTAGCTTCGTTTCGGGCTTGGCTCCTAGCATCTTTGATCTCTCTTTCTTCCCATAGCTCGTGGTGTTGACCCCCAGCCAGCGTCACACCAGCAGCAGCGTTGATGCTGGCAATGCTGGCATCCCCCGCCGCTACGGTGCTCCCTCTTCCTTGGGAAGGTCACCCAGGCTGAATGTGTATAAGGTAGGTATAAGTACTGGTGCTGGCTCTGGGGAGGTGGCGACAGATAGCCCTGCTTCTCTGACCTTTTCGACGCCCGTCATCACCTGCCAGTCATCAACCCGCAACCCCACGCCGACATGAAAGCCAGCAGCCTCGCCCTGCTCCTCGTGGGCCCTGCCTGCGGATTGGCTGTACCTGCACCGGTCCACGATCAGGGCCACCTCTCGCGACGTCAGGCCTCGCCGAGCCTGGACCAGCTGATCAAGGCAAAGGGCAAGCTCTACTTCGGTACGGCGACCGACACGGACAAGCTCTCGGGCACGAACGAGGCCATCATCCAAGCCGACTTTGGCCAGGTCACGCCCGAGAGCAGCATGAAGTGGGACGCCACGGAGCCGTCGCAGGGGAGCTTCAGCTTCGACGCTGCTGACAGCCTCGTCGATTGGGCCGAGGCAAACGGCAAGAGCATCCGCGGCCACACGCTCGTCTGGTACAACGCCCTGCCGTCCTGGGTCTCGGCCATCACCGACGCCGCCACCCTCACCTCGGTCCTGCAGAACCACATCTCGACCGTCGTCGGCCGCTACGCCGGGCGAATCCGGGCCTGGGTAAGCAACATGCCGTAACCTTCTGCTGTTCTGCACAATCGAACCTGCCGACGGCGCCGTGGCTAACGATGACATTTTGTACAGGATGTGGTGAACGAAGTCTTCGACGGCAATGGCAACTGGCGCTCGTCGGTCTTTTACAACGTCCTGGGCGAGGACTTCGTGCGCATCGCCTTCGAGGCCGCGCGCGCCGCCGACCCCATTGCCAAGCTCTACATCAACGACTACAACCTCGACGACGCCTCGTGGCCCAACCTGGCGACGGGCATGGTGCCGCATGTGACCAAGTGGCTGTCGGAGGGTATCCCCATCGACGGAATCGGTAAGCAGCCCATTGCCTCTTGTTGAGTTAGGTCCTGATGCTGACTGGACCATAGGCTCCCAGTCGCACCTGTCTGCCGGCGGTGCGAGTGGCGTGCAGGGCGCCCTCGAGAGCCTCGCCGGTACTGGCGTTGCCGAGGTAGCCATCACCGAACTCGACATCATCGGCGCCGCCTCTGGCGACTACTGGACCGTCGCCAACGCGTGTCTCCAGGTCTCCAAATGCGTCGGTATCACCGTGTGGGGGGTCAGCGACGCCGACTCCTGGCAGGCTTCCCACACGCCGCTGTTGTTCGATTCCAGTTACGAGGCAAAGGGTGCCTACTATTCCGTTGCCAGTGCCCTGTCGTAGTACCCGGCTTCAAGCGCGACATGTTTGTGTGTCCATATGACGCCCCTGTCCTTACCGTTTTCGGTCCATTCTTGTCCATAGTCATCTTTCATTCTTCAACTGCACATACATACCTTACATACATGTACCATTATCTCTTCTTGCCGACGCATCCCGTAGCTCTCAATGCAGTACATTCGCTAGGCGCCAAAGCGCGATGCCCGATGCGCAGATCAGACCACATGCACTTCTTTGTGATCCATATAGTGCACGCCCGTCGTAAGGACGCTTTCGATGAACACTCTCATACCAATATGCCACATGGACGACCGCTTCTGGTCAAAACAGCATGCAGCGCGCTGCATGTGATCTACAACCCAGCGCTTAGACTTTGGCATGTGCTAGAGAGACACGATTGACCACCAACCGTGTGGTAGCATCTCGAGTCTGCCCATGGTTACGTTCCATATAGGTAGCCTCCACGAGTTCAGCTGCAATTCGCCGTCGTTCCACTCAACTGCCCTTGTAACCTTGTTATCGACCGCTTACCCTTACATTGACTTGCTGAAGCGGAAGGCCAACTCGCAGAAAAGGACCGAATGTGGGGGAACTGCAGCGCGGCCGGCTAGAACGGCAACATAGACAAAGTCTGGCCACCGTTTCCTAACGAATCAAGCTGGCCGCTTGGCCCAATGGTAAGGCGTCTGACTACGACTTTCTACAAGTACTTTAATCAGGAGATTCTGGGTTCGAGCCCCAGGGTGGTCATTTCTTTTGCTTTTTGTTGATGTTGCGTTGTTTATTGAAATCTCGGCCCTGTTATTTATTTATGTTTTGTTTTTAAAACTCGGCCTCCCCCTTTCGCCTTCTCTCTCTCTCCTTCTCCGTGTAAAGGCGCAGAGAGTGCAGAGGTGTTATTTTATCACCTTCTTGTATTTGGACTGCTATTGAACAGGCATCCTTGCAGGTGTAGCCGCGGACCGTTCTTGTTGAGCAAGTCAAATAAATGGTGGGCCACGTAGTGAAATAAAGGCAGGCAATGCTTCGTGTCGTCAAGTGCCCGGTGGCACGATTAATAGGCTGATGCTCTCCTGCTGGTATTATTGCATACGGTGCTGTCCAACCATGCGTATATGTCTTGAGGCCGGCATGGTGATACCGACGGTCTTATTCTGGATACAGCTCCCGTTCTCGAGCGGAGGGAATACCTCGTCTGTGTGCTCCTTTTTGCACGAACCCGCGCTGGTTTCAGTCCTCTCGTCTTGCGTCGTTCGTCGAGCCAGGCAGAGTTCTTCCGTGCATTCTTCAATGCTCTTGACATTTCGAACACCATGCCGGTGTTGAAGCCTCCGCTACGCAGAAGATAGTGGTCAGTAAAACTATCATCTACATATCTCTCTGTGTTTACGCCGGGAGTGGAATGGATGTGGGGTTTCATGATACGTACTCTGTACGGATCTCGTAACCTGCTCGCCGCTCCGGTCCCTCGGTCATCTCGTACAGCGACGTCCCGTGGTAGTCGGGCGGGTGCCATGCCGAGACCGTGTTAGTCGCTGGCTCCATCACTGTGCATGTGTCAGTGTCTGTGAGAGAAAGGACAGTTGATCAAGTATGGAGCGCGTACTGATGCCGTACGAGGCAATATAGAAATTCCCGCCCTTGGTCGGGTCGTCTGGCGCATTGCACGTGCAAGCGACGATCCAGTTGTCGCCATTGGTCTCGGTGTGCGTGTGCCTGGCGTAGTTGATCGCAGACAGTCCCGACGGTGGTGGTAGTTCGAGCCCCTGGAACGTGACGTCTTGACCTTTCAGCTGGAATGTGAACGCGTCGTCGTCACGGCCCATGTCCATGCGCTGTTACAAAGCCAGGGGTCAGCAGGTGTGGTCACACAACTCGAAAGCCCGTCTGGGATCGGGAGGCTTTTGAATACGTACAGGTAAGTCATAGGCCTCGATCATGTCGTTGTAGGTGGCGGTGATCTCCAGAGGTAGGCGAGATTTCATCATATTCCACGTAAGGCCGGCCATGCCTTGCGCCCTGATGTTGAGCTGCTCCTCGCTCTGCTGTTTGGCCACTGTGTTGAGACGTACACACGGGGCGGCCAGTTGGATCTGAGGGTCGTGACGACTGCCACAAGTGTATCCGAAATGCACCAGCACTACGGCAGCTGGAGTCAGCAATGCCCTCTCGTAATAAGTTGGCGGTGACCCAGGAGTTTACAGCTGTCTGGGCGTCTGCCTCTGCTCCCAGCCTCGAACCATGACAAAAAGAGGCGAGAAACAAGTCGAGATAGTACATACTGCCGGGATCCTCGCGCCGATCATTTCGACGAGCCTTCACTACAGCATACCGAGTGAAGTTAGTTACTGCTTTCTATACAGTGTCGTAATCAAACGGGAATACAAATCATCCAAGAACTCTTACAAATGTCCTTGCACAGCTCAACCATAGTCCCACGGACGCCTTCGTCGGGCATGAAGCTGCGGAGCACCACCATGACCAGTTCTTTCGTGTCGGCATCTCGGAAAATGACGCTCTCGCTTTGTGGAATGATATACTGAAGACGGGACTCGTCAAGGTCGAGGACTATTCGCAGCAGCAGTCAGCCATCTGGGTCACCTCGGGGCGGCAAAGACGACGGCGATCAATTACATACTCTTGGGGCGGATACCGTGACGGTACCTGCGGTCCTTCATCGGCTTCTCATGCCAGTAATCGCTCCACTGCTCTCTGGCTTTCGGGGTGCCCGCCACGTAGTGGTCGTCTACAGGATATGGCTGGTCCTATTAGAAAGGGTCAATCAGTAATCACTTCCCCTGGGCCGTTTCAACGCATGTCTCGGGAGCTTTGGCCTTGGAGAGACATTCCGGAAGGGTGGTTTGACTCTTGTACTGTCTAAGACCTCCGCCTGTCCAGGAGACACAGCCCAGGCAGTGACACCCCCAATAACACGACGACTTGAAGTACAAGACTCCTAGATACTAACCAGTCTCTTGATGTCCACAACCTTGACATCCTTCAGGTATGCATTCCTTTGGGCTGGCGACCAATCGAGCCCTAGCTTCTTGCGAGCTACAATATCAGGGCGGGTGCTCGTTTGGGCCTTCATGTTGGCCAGAGATTACCGATGAATATCACAAGTGAATGGACGAAGTTTGGTTGATCACGACGCATCTCTGCGAGTCGCCCGACGCGAGCCCGAATACTACATATTTGAACACCACACGACGAAACAAAGGCGTCGCCCGAATCCTGGCGAACAAAGATCACAATGTCGTTCTTGGGTTGAGTGAGACAGCCATGGTAGTTAGCGTACATAGCTATTCGAGTCCTTTGACACAAAGAAACGCGGTGCCGGAAATGAAGCCATGTACAATTACCTCCGAGTCCGACCACAACCATCCGCAAGCACCAAGTTGGTCCGGTCCGCCGGCATTCCAACGTCAAGTCTAGGCGCCTTCCCGTGCTCGACGGCCGGCGGAAGGCCATCGGGGACGGAAACAGTTGTCTTCAGAGCACAGGACGAAGCCTGCCAGCGTGAAGACATAGCGAAGACAGACAACTGATCCCAATCCCACCGGGCTCCACGCAAAGCAACCACCACTTGACAAGGCGAGCCGCCCATTCCGTAGCTGGCACCCACCGTGCCCCAAAGACAAACTTCAAATGCTGACACTGGTGGTATCTCGGAACTAACGCGAGCCCAACTCCTTCGGCTCGTCTTTATGTCGTCGAGTTCACACAGTGACCCCTGACGCAGTGAGGCCGAAAAGACAATACCCTCACACCATGCCTGTAGCTACATGGAAGTGAATCGAGCTATACTCCCATGCTAGCAGAATGTGACTGCATCGCGGCGTGATGTGTATGTCCTTGGAAACAAGAAAATTGTTGGCAACACGCGCTGCTCAAGACGGCTCTCAGTCTGAGCCCGTGAAAGCAGGAACACACGTAACCCGTCGAGAACCAACCCAACAAATGGGGACGTCCCGATCACATTGGCGCTGTTGTATACCATGGCATATACCGTCTGCCGACCCTCGCTCTTACTATGCACTTTCCTCCGTACGCCGGTCTCTCCCTGTCGACCGTGGTACACTGAACCCTCATAAGTCTCCGTACGCCACCCGTCTTAGCAAACAACGGTAAAATTGTCGAATTAGAATAAGCAGACTGGAATAAGCAAGCAATCGGTACGACAAATAAGCATATAGCTGCTTATTCCAGGGTGCTTATTCCAGCTCGATGAATCTACCGTTGTGTGCTAAGACGGGTGGTGTGTGGAGACTTATGAGGGTTCAGTGTATCTGGCGGAAGGGGCTGGAACTCACTGGCCATGTTCTCAGCGCCCCAAACTTCTGGCCAACTCACCGGTGAGAACGCAGTCGTGATGGAGTATAGTTTGCCCAGAAACCTGACGGGCACTGCTACCCGGCCTTGGGTGGGGACACGTGCGTGTTGGGGCTCATTCAGCCAGCCATATCAAAAGTACTTGGCTGGCATTGATCGTTATTCGTATAGCTCATATATGATAGGCCACCACACCCCCGGCATCGGGCCTCAAAGATCCCATGGCACGCTTGTACGCTCAGAGGCATTCCATACATGGAGGCCAGCTTGACCAAAGCTTCCTCAAACCGCACTGAGAACATAAAGATGAGGGCGTAGTATGCGATAAAACGAAGAAATGCAGTTCAAGGCGGAAAGCAAGCAAGCCTGGTCTGTGGCGACAGGACACTCGGTGGGTATCTCTTAACGTGTGTATCGGTTCCTCCGTGATTGCTGTCCACTCCCTCGACGACGTCGGGGGACAAAGAAAGGAATGCGACTTCTGGTGAGATATAAGTCCAGATAGAGATTCCAGCTCCGACAACCGTCAATGCGTAATAGTCTTACCACTGAAGGAGGTACGACATAAGAAATATCGCTCCACGGCTCCCAAAGCCCTCCACCCCCTTGGTTTGAAACGCCCGTCCGAATCAAGATGTTGTCCTCCTCTTTCTAGCACCAACACATGCGCGGTGCGTGCAAGCCTATCTCATCATGCGGACAACATAGGATCACTCTAATATCCCGAGGTGTCAATATTATTGAATGACGGTGGGTCCATAGCCATGAACTCGAGCAAGTCCACACCGCCAACATTAACTCCCTGGTCCGTCATCGTTACATTCGAGTTCTCGCCCATGTTCTGGAACAGCCCGGGTCCCGGAGGGAGGTACCACATTTGATCGTCAGAGGTCCAGTCATTATTCTCAAACATGGTGTCAGTGAGACCCGACGTGTCCATGACGCCGCCACTCGCCGCCGGTGTCGTGATACCAAAAAGCGACGTCGGCCCGGCCGGGTAGGGAAAATTGCCGTTTGACAAATCAAAGGGCGTGGCTGAGATGTTGCCAGAAGGCGTCGAAGAACGTTCTGTACCGTCTTGGTCAGTATCTCCTGAGAATGGGAACGAGGAAACCACGACGGCCGACAACGTACCAGGTACCGCCAGCCCGTCTCTGAACTTGGCCGCGTGACTCGTGTAGCCGTTCTCCGCACCGTTTGCTTGAACGTGTCCATTCGAAACCGCGACCTTACTCGCGTCGCCATTGGCACGAGGGCTCTTGCCGTCGCCGGCAGTTGCGGTGGGCGCGTACTTGAAACGATCCCGAAGTCGGGTCGTGAGAGATTCGAGCAGGTCACCGAATCTCGTGCCAAGGTGGATGTCGTCGACGACGCAGTTCCGCAGAGCGTGCACGGTGCGATCCAGCAGGCTGATGCTGATTTCGACGTCAGACTTGGGCGCTCCCAGGGCGAAGGTCTTGAGCAAAAACATGGCACCGCTGATGATCCGGAAGTACGTCCGCACGGGGGCGTGCTTCAGATAGCCACCTTTCAGCAGACCGTTCACTACGGTCCCCAGCAGGTTCCGGCAGCCCTGCACAACTTCCTTGACGTATTCCTGGTCTTCTACCATGAACCCACCCAGATGGCCGAGGGGGAGGTTGCCTAGGTAATTCTGTGTCTGGGGCGACAACTCGGCATTTCCACCCGTGATACCACCCCCGTACGCGTGGGCATCTGTGCATCGCTCGACGACGGCCTGCAATGCGAGGGAGTTGACATATATACGCACATACTCGTACTCGATGGTCAGGATATGCCGGATGTACTCGGGCAGACGGAACTGCTCGAACTCCCTCCACCATTCCTTCAGGATGGGCTGGAAGTCCTTGAGCAATCTCGTATAGTTGCCGCTCTGGATGATCTCGGTGGTGTGCTTCCGCGACCGGAACAGCCTCTCGTTGCCGAGGTGCATGGCATTGCTGACACCCACCCAACACTGGATTATCTGATCGTCCAACTCAACATCTGGCACATAGTTGAAACCCGTGGACAGGACAGATTGGCTGGTCCCCGGTGTGTTGCCCTCGTTGGAGACAGGGCGTCTCCGGGAGAAGACGGGATCCGTCTTTCGAATGCTCTCGGGCACCATGTTGGTCCAGCCGAGACGACCTGCCAGCTGGGTCAGGTAGATCAACAACAGGCGTTTGATACGCATGGCACGCAGGCGGTATGCCTCGTCCTCGTATTCCGGTCGCGTAATGGCATTGGCGGCGAGCAGCTCATCAATGTCGTCAAAGACGCCAAGTTCGTAGGCGAGCCCCATTGCGTTGCTGAGCAGCATCCAGCACATGCGGTCACTCCTCCAGGCAGGCTCGAGCCAGCTCTCGATCCTCCGGCCGCCAACATTGCCGCCGGGGCGGTTGGCGCCGTCATCCTCCATGACATCGAGGTCGTGCAAGTCACGGGACGGGAGCATCAGCTCGTCGATGGCCTCGTCGGGCGGGAAATGAAGCGCGCGCGGGTGCCACTCGGTGAGGATCATCAGCGACTCAATGGTGCCTAGCGTACGCAGGCTGCCCTTGCGCAGGCCTCGCCACGGCGCGGTGCTGGACGTCTGGGCATCATCGGCGCCAGACCCACAGAAGCCTCCCCCGAAGGCCTCCTGGCCCCAAAGACACCTTTCGATCATCCTGCGCAGGTACCTCCAGAGCTCCTCGTGGATTGCATGTGACCTGCAGTGACCGCCCGTGGTGCGGATGCTGTAGTATCTCGAGGCGATGGTGAGCAAGGTGACGGCAAGTATGGGCTCCTCGATCAGCAGGGTGATGTGCGAAGAGGGACTGCGGAACGTCGGTGGTGAGATGGGCGTCATGGGTGACAGGTACTCGTAGTAGTAGACAATGTACTTGACGGCCTCCTCCCTGGTGAACCAACCGGCGCGGACGAACCTGAACCTCGACCAGGCCTGGAGGGCACCCTGGTAGCCGTCCTCGTTCTCGACATTCAGTCGTCTCTCTATCGCGGCCTTTTCATCACCGTCGGCCGAAGGCAGCAAGCGCGGGTCGATAGGATCGGCAGCCTTGGAGGTGGCGCGGGCCGAGGGCCGGGGGTCGTATGCCGAGGTCTGGTCACCGGGGGTCTTGCGTGCTGGAAGAGCGACGGCAGGCGGCTGGATGACGGAAGCGGTGGTCTGGTGACGGGGGTGCAGGTCGTGCGGACTGTCGGTGGCAGCCTTGTACAGCAGGTCGAGGGCGTCGTGGGGTCCGTAGACCTCCTTTCTCATGAGGTTCTGGGCCTCTGGATTTTCCATCTGGGCGTTGGAGTCCTCGCCCAGGTCGGTGTAGCTGGTGCTCCGACTACTCTTTCTCGCATCGTTCGGAGGCCGCTGGTTCCGGGCTCCTTGGCCGCCGCCCGGAGTCAGCGGAACGCTGCTGTAGGTTCCGGAGGGGAGGGCGACGGGCTTGTCGACTTGGAGGGGAGGGGAGTCGTCGAGGTAATGGCGCTTGCGGCCATTGCGGATGATGTACTCGTCCTCGGGGTCCTGGTCGTCGTCGTCGTTCTTGCGCTTGCGGCGGGTGGCACTGAAGAAGCACTCCTTGCTCTCGCGGCGGCAGCGCACGCACGGGGGATCGTGGGGGTTGTCGACGCTGCCCAGGTCGCAGCGGACCTTCCTCCTGCGGCAGGGGATGCAGGCCTGGTAGACTCGCTTGTGCTGGGCCGACTGGGCCGCATCGTTGGCAGGTGTGTCGGCGGCGACGGAGGCCGGACGGTGAGGCCCAGCAGCAACAGCAGCAGCAGCAGCGGCAGCGGCAGTAGTGGGCGTGGCGTACTGCGACATGCTGGCACTCGCCCTTGCACTCGGCACGGCGCCCTTGCGTCGCAGCACTGCAGCAGCGCCGGATCAATGATGGACGTTCAATGTTGCTGCTCGGCTTGAGGCGGGTTCCGGGGGCTTATGTTTTGGGAGGGCCGGGCTCTCTGGAGTTTTGTATGAGCGAAGTGGGACGACGTCAGACGGGCAGGTCTGACAGGACTCCAGGAGGGGGGAGGGGGGAGGGCAGCCCAGATGGGGATCCGATCATGGATGAGGGGATGGTTCTAACTTCCAATGTTCTGGGCGGGTGGATCTGCGGGGTTTGATCCTGCATCTCTGGAGGTCACTACCTATTGATAGCATCTACCCGACTTGGTAGGTACCTAATAAGGACTCAAGTGGGATAAGCCATCACCTGCGCACTGATGGATTGTCGGAACAGAAGGCCGCGAGGAGGCACTTGCGACATCGGCATTGGCCATGCATCTCCAAGCACTTGAGGTCCCATGACTGGCCACGCATGTGGCTGGGCTGAAGGCGCCGATGCCCCGGGTCACACTTGTCAGCATCCGTTCATTTCGTATACATGTAGGTAGCACTTCTCTTCATGTGTCACCGCGAACACAGCCGGCAACTAGCCGACAGATCACGGGGAAATCCTCATCGAGACATGGCTTCTCGCCTCCGCCGTGGTATTGTTACCCGGGTACAGTACACCATGTACGTGGATCCCTTTGTCATTGATCTACCTAGATAGGGCAGCTGCATGGTTTCTGTGCCATGGACCAAGCCTGCAAAATCGAACCATACGCCGCAACGTCATGCAAAGCCAATGCCACAAAATCTGATCAGGAGCCTCCGTACAAACGCCAATTGCAATGCTTGCCCTGTGAAATTTCCCTTTACGCCCCGTCCAGGTCATGTGAGGTCGTCTACACATCGCATCGTTGACCAAGGCAAAGAAGAGTAGGAAACTCCGTTCAAACCTCCCACTCCGGAAGGGAGACCATAAGCAGGCCGAACAGCAGTCAGCCCAGCAGGATCCCCTGTCGGAGCAGCATCTACTCTCAGAGAGCGTTGCACGATCCCAAGAAGTCCCATAGCATCTTGGTCAGCGGCTCGCCCAGAGTGTACAGGTCGATCGTGAACTCGCCCTGCTCCATGTCATTGTGAGTGTAGGTATCCTCTCTCTTGTTGTCGTGGATCATCTGGATCAGGTGCAGGAGCTCGTCTTCGCCAAGCTTGGTCATAGCCTCGCCCATCTTCTCGTAGTCCCAGTTCAGCTTGCGCTTCTTGCCGTCCGTGGCCTTGCGCGGCTTGGCCTTCGCCTCGTCATCGTTGCCAACGGGGCCCGTCTCGCGCAGCAGGTTGGTGAGAGCCTGCGAGGGGTTCTTGAACACCACCGTCTGGATCACGTCGTACGTCGGCTGCTGGAAGTTGAGATCGTGGAACAAGGTGTTCTTGGCCTTCTCCGTCGTGTAAAGGTCGATCGACATCTCGAACTCACCCCAGCCCTCGTTGGTGCAGGTGAAGGGAGGCTCGGTGAAGGCTGCCGTGACGAGCGGGTCAGCATTCCATAGTTACCCCAAGGCAGCAGTTGGCGCGACTTACTCTGGTGGGGGTTCTCGAACGAGGGGTGCAGGTTGTAGACAGCCTTGATGAAGCAGTTGGCGGGGTGCTCATTGCCGTCCTGGTCAAGCATGTAGACGTTGACCTTCCACTCCTTCATGGGGAAGTCGGACATCGGAGATTCCTTGGGACTGCATCGCGCGGGTCATAGGTCAGATTGCCATCTCCGAGGCAGCTTGGAGGCCGGGCGAACTTACATGGTCTTCTGCTCGGTAACGAGCTTGACCTTGCGCTGCAATGCAACCATGGCGTCAGTATCTCGTCGGCTTGCGCGCTGGTCGCGTATAAAGGAAAGCGCGTAAGGTGCAAGGTGTGTGACTCGAGGCTTGAACCGCTTGTATGGGTTGAGGAGATGAGGAGAGCAGACGGGTGGGCAGGCGAGGGCATCATAACCGGCACGAACTGGTAACCGGGTGGTGGGATTGGAAGAGTGACTTACTTCGAGCTGCATCGTAGCTTTGGGTGTGGCCGCGCCAGCTGAGGTACGAATGGACTGATGCTGGGTCTGAGACTGGTGGTGATCGAGGTCGGTGTTGCTGGAATTGGTGTCAAGAAGCTGCTGTAGCTGGCGAAAGGAGCGGCGGCGAGTCAAAGTGATCCTCCTCAACATTGAGAATCAGGGCCGGGTCAAGGTCCCGGCGCTCACCTGCGCCCAGAGGGTTGGTAGTGCAGGTGTTGGAGCTCATGATTGGGATAGCCGGATGATCGGATGATCGTATATCCGAGAAGAGACGTGCGTTGGGGCGACGCTGATTGGTGGAGGGTACTAGCGGATGGTGGGATGATGGTGCACGAACCAAACAGAATTGGATTGATGAGTGTGCCCACCTATTAATTGTGGCGTTTGCAGGATTTGTGGGGTTTGTGGCTCAGAAGCCCTTTCAGCTGGCAAGGTCTGCTGCAGTTGTGAGCGGAACCACACCAGCTGACATGGGTCAATCGCAAAATCATGCATAATCAAATCCATCCTGGTGTCTGTCGACTTGCACTTTGCTGATACTCCGTTGGACGGCATCTGCCTATGCGTGTATTTCCTCCCATCACAGGCCGCTGTTTGTTCTGAGTGAGCCATATCGATTTGGTTGATGGCATCCGACAGCACCGCATATTTACAAAGTAGTCGTGGTCGTGTCTCCATAGGTCAGGTTCTCTGCAATATTATCAGCCACTATCTGTATCCTTCACACGAGGCAATCAACCCCCTACCTACTTGTAATGTGATAACGCACAGCAGTACCTTAGGTGTTTATGCCTGGCGTCTATTATGTAGCCCATCCTATCACACGGATCTGCCTACAGCTGACGCAGGCGCGGAGAGGGGCCTGCTATGACAATATCAGATCAAGTACATGTGGTGTATACTCAAGTGTACACTGAAGCTCCCTGTGATAGGGACGATCGGGCTCCTGCTACGTCCGGCCACACTGTCGACCTCTGGTAACTATATTAATCTTCCGTCCCTTGGGCTACTTACTCCGACCAGACGGAGACGATATGAGGTAAGACCAAGCCCAACGATTATGCCAAAACTGACGGCATTCATGGTCGCTATCGAGATGTACCCCTAGAGATATATGTGGGAGCAGGGAGGACCTCGTATATGTAGTATCGAGAGGACTTCTTCATAAGACCGAGAGGACCTCATAGTACTGACTCCTTCTCCGCTCCCTTTGGTGGCGTCCTTGTAGCGGCACTCGTCTGGATCTAATGTCCATCCATGCCCATTCGTCCGGATCGCCCGCAACAAGGCCCTGACGATTACCGGCGATGGCTTCATACTGGTACTTCTCGATCTCGCCCGAAAGTGAAAATCTCATTGGACTGTTCTGTTGTCATATTCTGTGGCGAGACCTCGTGGTGCTGCATGGTGAGCTGCCAGCGAGTCTCCCACCACCAGGTCCATGATCTCTAGACGGCCGGTAAAGCTCCCTGCCGCTGAGCAGAATATGTTTCGTTGGATAGCCTGCAAAAGAAAATACAGACGCCCCAGAGAGAACCACAACCACCTGAGTACTAACAAGGCCTAGTTTGTGCTTCTTCATCTTTGCAAAATGGGACATATGTAGACCTGAAACCGCGTTTGGATTGTAGACGCCATGATTGTCGATCCAGCCCGTCTTGTATTGATCCCTGACACTTCTAGATCCTCCTGTCAGATATAGATGGTAACTTTCACACCTTCGCAACATAGTTTGCTCTGGAAATCTACAAGCCCTGGTCAAGCGACTCATGAACTTCAAAGTATATGTCCTCGTCACGGTCTCGCGTTATGAGCCCTGATGTGCCATGTCCGATCCTGCTGTCCTTGACTCGCGGATACGGGACTGCAATAGCGACAGGGCACAGTTGATCAACAGGATCAAGATCATACATCAGTCCACCCCACTGATACAGGTAAGGGGCGGCGGACGTGACCGGTCTAGCGACCCTATTCTGTCACGCCCTGGGGCTTCAAGAGTCCCCAAACTGTCCCCAACCTCGGCTATTGCCTGCCTATCTCGTGATGAATTGTCATAACCCAGCTCCCGCCCACTTCGCTGCTAGATACCAGAGTTACTATAAAGTAACTATGAAGCTGCTCATCCATGGCCACTCTTCTCTGCCTGGCACCGAGGCGGAGTGAAACCATGGTCGACTCATCTGTGGATCTGATCTTGCAACAGGAGACCTTTGTCTCGCTAAGGAGACCTGAGAGTTGCAGCCGAGAGCGTGTGACTCGCTCAGATGACAAGACCTTTCGGCGGACCCAACCCTTCCTGCCATAGACTCTCCCAGCCGAATCGTCCATTCATCGGCCTTGGCTCAGCAATGCTAGCAGAGCAATGCTCCCACTTCTTCAGCCCCCGGTCGTGCTGACACGAGCCCCCATTTGATCTAGCCGTGCTTCAGCAGTAGAGCAGAGAAGGGGCCTGACATCAAGTAAGACTACGCGAAGGCGCGGGTCTGAAGGACAGCTTCGCGCGCACGCTATGATAGCACGCCGCCACCTCCGGAAAGTCATGCCCGTGTGATAATGTCCCAGTGAGAATCCCCCATATTTTCCCCGCAACCCAATAAAAGCTCCCAAGCCATTCAACTTGCTTGAAAGGGGCAGAATATAGCCCGTATTCTTCCATCATATGATACCACCTGGCGGATCGTAACTGGCGCCCCTCGGATTGCCCGAGCTCAGACCGGCGCTGCCCGGAGCCTCGGTGTCGGCCTGCGCCGTGTTGGTCTTGCGCAACATGAACATGGGCTTCTTTCCCTCCTTGTCCAGTTGCTTGAAAAGAATGAGCGGTTTCTCATCGAGACCGAGACACCGCTCCTGGTCGCCGTAGACGATGTAGAGGGCGTACTGATCCCACGGCGCGTTGATCTGATATTTCTTCAGGGCGGCGGGGAGGACCTTGTAGCAAGGGTCGTCCATACTGACCCTGAACGACTTGAAGATCTCGACAGAGGCCGAGCTCGAGCCGGGGGTTTCGGGCACGGGTGTCTGCATACGGCGGGGCGCGACGGGTTGCTTCGAGTTATAGCCATGGTCGTTCTCGGCGAACGTGGAGCGGGAGGATGGCGTCGGCTGGTCGGAGCGGTAGGATCGAGATGCCAGGGTGGCACTGCCGAGGGCCGGGGGCGAGGTGGGCGAGGGGATGTTTGGCGAATAGCCGGGCGACACAGCGTGGCCGGAGCCGTTCATGGCGGCCAGATGTGACGACGAGAGGACAGCCCTCTCTGCGGCGTTGGCAGGATCCAGGGTTTGTTCTACCGAAGGCCGCTCGTGAGTGGTCTGCAGATGAGTGGGAGAAGCGCTCTTGGGATTCGTACCCAGGACAATCTTCTTGGTAGAATACTGGCGCTTCAGCCCACCGCTGGACTGCGCAGAAGACGAGGCGGGGCCGGGGGGAGACAGGGTCGACGTCTCGTAGCCATAGCCCTGGTTGTTGGAAACATTGGGCAGAGGCTGCTGTGCATTCTTGGCAAGGCGCAAGGCCGGTAGCATGTCTTCTCGCAGGCGTCTGAAGTCGTCGGTCAGGCGGCGCAGGTCTTGTTCGACCAGGCTCATCCTTTCATCCCGTAGGCGCAGCTGTTCTACAAGGTGTTTGATGTCTTTGAGCGTCGCGGTGGCGTACTGGGCCTCGGCGTCGGCAGCTGTGAGAACAATCATGTGTTAAACACGAAGAGATGGAGGACATATGATGGTACAAGAACAGAGGGAGGTCCACGGCGGGAGAAGGGGGGAGCCAGACGTACATAGGGGAACATAGTGATCGCTCTCGATGGGAATGTCCTGAGCCTTCTTGACGTCGTAGACACTTTTCAAGATAGTCAGGCGATGGCCGACGCTCGTGACACCCATGGATTTAAGGTCATCGTGCAGCAGAGCTACCAAGGCCTCGCCGACGATCTCGTTCTCTGCGGGTAGGGGTCAGCAGGACAGCCTCGTGGTCAACTCCAGAGGGACGCACCAATAAACCGATCGGCGTACTGCTGCAGGCCAATGGTGGCGATGAAGTCGGCACACTCGTCGGCGGTCCACTCGGACACTATGGTCTCGGGCAGCCTGTCGGTGCTGCTGCGATGTCCGTAGGTGGTCGGGGTGTGCTCGGTGGAGGAGCGGCCCTCGGAGTCGGTTGGGGAGACATCTGAATCGATGGCGTGGACAGGCGAGCTCGTATGGAGACTCCTCTCGTACTCGTCGTCGGCATCCGATTCGGCGTAGGCTGTGCCGGAGTCGAAGTTCATGGCGAGCTGTCTGTCCCCTATCCCTCACGTCCCTTTTCCGGTCTGGACAGACTCCCAAGCAGAGAACGACAGCCCGACGAAGAGGCCCGCGAGCAGAGAGCAGTGCAGCAACAGCAGGGAAACGGCGGCGTCGGGGGCTGGGTACAGGATCAGATGATGGTTCGCAAGGCTGGTAGGAGGTCGGCACTGCTGGGCACTGGGTACTGGGCACTAGGCAGCGAGCTGAAGTCAAGCAGTCGAGCAGTCAAGCAGTCAAGCAGTCAAGATTGCGGTTTGAGCCTCCAGTACTAGGAATCGGACCAAGTCAAGCTCAAGATGGGACCAAGAGTCCAAGACTGCCGGTGCAGGGCAGCAGGTGTAAACGGAAGGGGGCGCTTAATTCGGATGCTGAAAGGCTACATCCTAACCTAGGTTGGTACCTACAGCCTACAGCTGCTAACCAGTGCTAAGGCAGCCTCTAGCCGCTTGCGACCGGCCGCACATTAGGGGTTCTCCTCTAGCTGAGGCAGCCTGTCCGCACGTGCGGACATGTACCTATGTAGGATATGCATTTACCAGACATTCCAACCATCTGAACCTCTGGAACCGCCGTCCGTGTGATGCGCACCTCTCACGACGCCGTATAGGAGGTAATCATGACTTCAATCCGGTGTCTCCCAAGCTGCAGCTTTGCATTGGGTCCACAGGTGCCGGGGAAAAGGGGGTTGCTCTGGCAGCTGGGATGCCTCATCATTGAATCTAATAGGTATCTACCCTTATGTAGGAGACCTGATTCGACTCTCAAGCGCCCGCAAGCAACACCTTTTCATTGGAACCTAAGCCCGACGTTACATTCGCTGCTGTCGATCCAATCGCAACCGCTATATATTGCTCACCATGGTTATCGAGGTGGCTGGGGATGACACATATCGACCACCACACTCCAAACCGTCCGTCCTTGTTACGGGTTTGTGTAATAGGTAGTTCAGATTGATATCTCAAGAGTCTATATACCGTCTTGATCAAGGTGGCCCCCTCTGGCGGCAGCCTCGTGTCCTGGCGGGAGCACAACAAAACCTGTCCGCTTGTTCCCCTTGCGCGTGGCGACAAGGCTTGACATGACGTGAATCGGAGCCGGACAGCTACCCCAAAGGTAGCGAACGCAGTTTCTAAGTACAGCATCGGGGTATCTCTGGTTTCCGATGCCCATGCCGCTGGCTGGCAAAAGGCACCATCTTGCACCCTGATTGCCCATTTGACATTATGACTCGTGGTCAAGAAGTGAAGTAGGTATCCGTAAAGCGAGCGCGGGCTGACCTCCCAACTCCTCCTCAGTATTCGACCCGTTCATCGTCCGTCTAGTACCACGCAACTCCCAGGCGCCCTAGTTTGACAGTATTCAAAGCATGTTTCCCACACCATGTTTAAAAAAACGCCATTGATGCAATGTGATTAGCGTTCCACGGTGGCGGGACCAGAAGGGCCCTCTACCGAAGCCTGACCTTGGCGTCGGCGGCGCCGTGGGCAATGATGTCCTCCAAAGTCCAGCGCGGTGGGTCGATGGCGGCCGTGCGCCCATTGGTCTCGCGCCACGACTTCTCATTCTCCGCTGGCACACCGTCTGGCAGGGGTTTGAGACCACCTGCAATACCCGTCGAGAACTTCAGCTGCAGGATATCGCCAACCTCGTCGCAAGCGGCCAAGAGTCGGTCCATGTCGTCCTTGTTGTGCGCAGCCGAGACGCAGAAACGAGCACGCGAGCTGATGAGCGGCGTCGCAGGGTAGCCGACGACCACCACGGAGATCTTCCGCTTTAGCATTTCGTGGCTGAAGGCCGAGATCTTTGCCGGGTTGTACAGCGTAACAGGAATGATGGGCGAGTCGTCGTGACCGTACACGATCATACCCAGCCGCTTGAGACCGAGACGGAGGTAGCGCGAGTTAAAGGCAATGCGCTGCAGCCGCTCCTCGCCTTCGCCGGGGACCATTTCCCCGGTGATGATCCTGAGCGATGCCAGGATCTGCATCAGGACGGCAGGAGTAGGGGATTCGCCCAGCATGGTTGCCGCGTTGCAGCTCTTCAGCTTATCGATGATGTGCTTCTCGGCCGCCACGTAGCCGCCGTTGGCACCGAATGACTTGGTCAACGTACCCATCAGGACGTCTACGCGACTGGGGTCAATTCCGAAGTAGTCGCACACACCACGACCCCGGGGACCAAGCGCTCCAACGCTGTGGGCTTCATCGACGTACAGGGAGAATTTGTACGTATCCTTGAGGTTCAGAATGCCCGGTAGATCGCACATGGTGCCTTCCATGGAGTACAGTCCCTCGACAGCAACGAGGATCTTCTTCCAAGGACGATGGGTTCGCGGTTGTCCTTGAGCAATGGCCTCTCGCAGCCGCTTCTCCAGGTCCATCATGTCGTTGTGACTGAATGATCGGATGACAGCGCCGGAGAGGCGCGCACCCAGGCGGATCGAAGCGTGGTTGAGCTCGTCAGATAGGATCAGACACCCCTTAGACACAAGGGCGGGGAAGGAACTGGCGTTGGTCACGAAGCCCATCGAAAAGACCATGGCAGAGGGCTTGCCCACGAATGTTGCTATCTCCCTCTCAACTTCGCACACAAGATCCGAAGTGCCAGCATCGGCACGGGAGCTGCAGAAGCTCAGACCATTGCGGCGGACGCATTGCTCGACGGCATTAGCGCAGGGGCCTTCGGACTGGGCGAAGCCCAGGTAGTTATAGGAGCTCATGTTCAAAGTCTCGGTGTTTGTACCCGTGTAGTTGTAGGTCTCGTTGAAGTTATCCGACACGCGATCCAGGAGACTAATGAAGCGCCCAGGAACGCCGGTGCTGGTCCTGGCGAAGACGTCGTCAATGCGCAACTTCAGTCGCCTCGTGTAGAAGCTATCGAAGTCGTCGTTGAGAGGCGCGTAGCCATTGGCGGCGCGCAGAGTTCGGTAGAGTGGCTTCTTGCTGAATCGCTTGCCAAAGAAGTCTCGAATGTGGCCGAGGGCGAGGAGTAGAAGGTAGCTGATGTAGGTGGTGAGAACGTAGTAGTACGGCGGCTCATCGATGATGGGAGCTCGCAGCGGCTCCCCGTGATGCTTGCTCACGTATCGGTGGGCGGGGTCAATCAGAGGACCAAACTGGGCATCGAGGCGCTTCTGGCGGTCAGTTTCGGCGGACGAGGGCGGCTGGTACAGCGTGGTGGCGATCTCGTCGCCATTGGGCTCGCCAGCAGTAGCAGTGGACAACGAGATGGAGGGCAGTGACAAGCTCGCAGCGGTGATGATCGGGGCCGAGTTGTTCTGCATGGCCATGAGGGCCTGCTGGGCCGAGACTTGGTCCTTGGACTTTGGCGAGGAGAAGAATTGACTGAGGCGGTTGCCTCTCGACTGGGAGGGTCTCCTCTCGCCGGGCCTCTCAGGCTGAGACATGGTGCTGGAACCGGTGAAGGGGATTGAGATTTTGCGTGGCATCTCTACAACTGGTCGGACCGGCTGGGGGAGGCGGTGGGCGGTGGGCAGCGATGTTGCAGGGTGTATGTAGTTGCCAGAGGCTCCGACGCCTAGGTAGGTCTATAGCAAACTGAAAATGAGGTTAGAGTAAGATTGCCATGACGAGACAAGAATGCATAGGTGGGGCGCAATGCGCGACAGTAGTAGAGAAGAGAGACGGGGAGAGGCAATGGGCAATGGGCAATGGGCCAGGGACCAGGTATAGGGCGATTGACGGCACTGGCTTGGAAAAGGATGCGGCGGATGGACTGGAGTGCGTGCGTGCGAGCGCCAGCACTGGTGTCAAGGCTGCGTGGTAGGTTGCGAGTGCGTGTGTGGTAGTAAAGTTGTGAGTTGTGTGGTTTGTCGGTGGGAGAAGGTCGCGCGAGGCAACAGAGTCCAGTGTCCAAGTCCAGAGCCCAGAGACATTTGGTGGGCTGGAATTGACGTGGGCGTGCAGGCAGAGGGCCAGGCAACGGCTGCGGCTGCGGCGAAGGACACGGAATGGAAAGACATGCAACACTCGATGGCTTACCTTGGCGATACTCGAGTTTCAACGCGACTGCTGTCTCAACTACTTTCCGTCTCCGTCTCCGCCTCGACGCAATCCAAGCCAGCAAGTTCAAAAAAGGAGTGGCAGGGGAAAAGCTTCCCGATAATTAAATGTTGGAGAAATTAGAAGGTGAGAGGTAAGAAGGTGAGTAGGAGAAGGAGCGGCCGACACGAGTCTCGCCCACCAACTGGCAACTGCACAATCGGCGACTGTCGAGGACAGTCTTGAGTCGTGGAGGTGCAGACGGGAGGCTGAGAGGGTGCAGAGGGTGAAGGAGGTGGAGGGAAGAGAGAGGTAGAGGGAGCTGCGGCTGCGAGTCGGAGGTGAAGGGAACTCGACTCAGGCTGGCACTGGCTGGCAGGCAATCTAATACCGACTATGATTAAGGTATAATTAGACGGGCTGCACGGGCCAAGGATTATGATGGATTAATGATGGGTGCCGCATTTGTGACTTGCATGGCACCGGCACCAGGCATTCAATTGGATATGAAACCGTCGACTGCGCACGTACATTACAGGTACATAGCATACCTGACAGCTGCGTGGCTGACGTGACAGGTCTCTTTACGTGTATCATGAACTCGCTGCCACCTGTCACGGGCAGCCTTATTTTGAAGTTATGCAGTGAGTGGCCTCTCATTCATCAATGTTTCCGGCTGATCCGCGCCCCGCTAACCACCTGCAATTCAAACTCCATGTCACTCACTCTTGTCCAGGCTTGATCCTGCCCAAACATCCAACCAGCTGGTATACCCATAGCTTTTCAGTACTTGGTAGATTTATTATGAACAGTGCCGAGTACATATCTAGGCGGTGAGCAGGTTGCACTTGCATCGTAACCAAAACGAATATATATGAACAACATTGAAGGCAAGCTCCAGTTTCTACTGTAATAGTCTAATAGACCGATGTATTGCCTCGGATACCTCTCGATTCATGTGATAAGTACCTCACAGCATGCCGCATGCCCAGAGACCAGCACCCGCTCTAACAGTTCTGACCGGGTATGCCCCCTGCCAGAACCAACCTCGCGCCTCTCGACTGTCGCTTGCTTCCAAGCTTGTCAATATATTGAAATTAGGGCCCAGTGTATTATTCAGGAATCAGGAGACCGGCTTCATTTGTTCGCTGCATCTCGGTCTCGGAATCACCATCGGCCCCTGACCATCGTCATCATTTGAGCCGTCCGCGACTCTCGCGCTCATCAACATCCATTAGGTCGAGCTCGCATGCAAAGTAAGCCTTGCCGTAATGTTGTCTACATACATGTGCATACTAAGTGCATATGTCTTAAATGCGCGACGCTTATTGATGCATTGATGCGTCGTTACCATCATGTAGAGATGGAGGCGCATGTAGACAACATGAACCCGCGTTACACAACAAAGCCATTGTTGTATGATAGAGGATAACTTAGCAATGGTGACTTGAGCCACATCTCACAGGGCGGCCAACAGTTGACTTTCCCGTTCCCCCATCGGTAGGTATTCAAAGTTCCTACCTTATCAGGTGTGGCTTGAATATCTGACTTTCCTCAAGCGGCCGAGCACTAGGTACCTTCCATAAGCCGCCTGCTCGGCCTGAGTCGGTTCCCTCTCTCGACACCAACAATGATAGTATCGTGAACGCTACAGTACCACAGCAATTCAGCAACATTTCCCTATAAGACCAGTTCCGTCGCCCACTCGCCCCTTTCCTTTCGCCTGCCCATGTGAGAGAACAAGATGACTGTCGACCATGAACCCCCTTCGGCCGAGCTGTGGCGGCACCCGGATCCAGCCTCAACCCGCATGCACGCCTTTCTCGAGCACGTGAGAGACAAATACCACCTTGACATTGATAACTACCCGGGCCTCTATAAATGGTCCATCGACCATGTTGCTGATTTCTGGCACGAGGTCTGGCACTTTTGCGGCATCAAGGCGTCCAGGCCTTACACAGAGGTTGGTCTTCGCATATAATAAATCGCCCACCACACGGGTTCTCCAACCCACACGTGACCATAGCCCCTGGATAACCATATACTACAACACCCTCATCGTCGTGTGCTGACCACTCACCAGGTTTTGCCACCCAACGCGCGTGTGTTTCCCAGGCCGGATTTCTTCTCTGGGGCACTTCTGAACTTCGCCGAGAATCTGTTGTACCCGGCCAACGACAACATTTCAGAGTCTGCGACTGCCGTCGTGACGGCGACCGAGGTCGAGGGCCAAGTTGTGTCCACGACCTGGGCCGAACTGCGCGAGGATGTGAGCCGTTGCTCGAATGCGCTGAGAGCGGCAGGCGTAAAGCCCCGGGATGTCGTTGCCGGCTTCGTGTCGAACCACACCCAGGCGCTTGTGGCCATGCTATCGGCTGCCGCGATAGGGGCTATCTGGACCGGTATCAGCCCCGACAATGGCGTCAGCGCGGTTCTAGACCGTCTGGTTCAAATAGAGCCCAAGGTCCTGTTTGCCGACAACGGCGTTGTGTATAACGGCAAGCCATGGTCTAGTACGGACAAGAATGTGCAGATTGTCGACGAGTTGAAGCCCAGGGGTCTCAAGTCGGTCATCGTCATAAACAATCTCGCGGCTTCTGACTTGGGTTTAGAGCAGCTGAATTCGAGAGGCCTGTCAGCAAGCGAGTTTAATGACTTCTTGAGCAGGTGAAGCGCAAACCAAGGCCACCCTGGAGGGTGTCGTGAGTGCTGACATGTTTTTACAGCGCCGACGACGGACCTCTCAGGTTCAAGCAGCTTCCCCCTTCTCATCCTCTCTACGTCCTCTATTCTTCAGGCACGACAGGCCTACCAAAGGCTATCATCCACACAGCCCTAGGGACGCTGATCCAGCACAAGAAAGAACACGTCCTGCATTGCTCCATGGACTCGACATCTCGTATGTTGTACTATACCACAACATCGTGGATGATGTGGCACTGGAGCGTATCGGCACTGGCTTGCGGCACTACGCTAATCCTCTATTCCGGCTCGCCCTTCAAGCCCCACGGCTACCTCTCTCTTCCCAGGCTACTGGCATCGCAAAAAGTGACTCACTTTGGCACCTCGGCCGCGTACTTGACAGCACTCGAAACGAATAGCGTCTACCCTTCCAAGTCCCTAGACCTTTCCCATCTCCAAGCCATCTACTCGACGGCCTCGCCTCTGCCGCCATCAACCTTCTCTTTCGTGTACAAGGCCTTCCCATCGCATATCAACCTGGCCTCCATCACAGGCGGAACCGACATCATCTCCCTGTTTGGAGCCCCTTGTCCCCTGCTCCCCGTATACGTGGGGGAAATCCAGTGTGCCGGGCTTGGAATGGCCATCAGCGTGGTAGACTCCATTAGCGGTGAAGCCACGCCAGGGGAGGACGGCGAGCTGGTGTGCACGAAACCATTTCCATGCCAGCCGCTGACGTTCTGGGGACCTGGGGGTGATGATAAGTATCGCGCCAGCTATTTTCAGCGCTTCGACAACGTTTGGCACCATGGGGATTTTGTGCGTATAGAGTACGTCTCTCATTTTCCTACTCGGAAAGCCCGTCCCTCTCCTTCTGAAGCCAGGACTACATGTCCTTTGGGGTCACCCGATACGAGTCTGATATGGTACATCTGGGGAATAGCATTTACTGACCCTCCTTCTCAAACAGCGTCAAGACGGGTGGATTGACGATGCTCGGCCGAAGTGACGGGGTATTAAAACCAGCAGGCGTACGGTTTGGCAGCGCTGAGATCTACAATGTACTGACCAAGTTCTTTGGCGGGGAGATCGAAGATGCCGTCTGCGTAGGCCGGCGGCGCGAGTCGGACCGCGACGAGGTTGTCTGCTTGTTCGTAGTCATGTGCGAGGGAGCCAAGTTTACCGACGACCTTCGGGCGAGGATCCAGCAGACGATCCGAAAGGAGTTGAGCCCGAGACACGTTCCAGCTGTGATAGGAGAGTGCGGAGGGGGCATCCCCAAGACGGGCAACGGGAAGAAGTAAGTTGGGCCCTGGACAGGTCCCCGATACCTGGACCTCCGTGAAGGACTATACTAACCTGGCGACAGGATCGAGGTCGCTGTGAAGCAGATCCTCTCCGGTATCAACATCAAGACCAATGCGAGCGTAGCAAACCCCGAGGCACTGGCTTGGTTTACGGAATGGGCAGCTCGTCATGGTTGATAGGTAGGATATGACCCTCGAGGGTGTGATGGAGGCAACATCGCCGATTCGGGTCATGGTTCTTGTCTGCATAACACGCTGGTAGTTGACGGGAGGTGCAGAGGCCGGCACGGGAGCTTGGTGGTGCTATGTTGAGTTGATATCGCTGTACTCGGTGAGCAGCTTGGGAACAGGCATATAAGGAGACCGACCAGCGACATAGCCGAAGATCCAAAGCTCTGGTCACTCGACGGTATGCCAAGCGTGCGAGAACACTCATTGCAGGCTCGGCAGCTCACAGTCGACCACACATTGGCCAAAATTCGTCGATTCACGGTTTTCCACATATAGGTTTATCATCAGCAGATAGACCCCGGACGCCTCTACCACATGATCCTCCGTAGTCTATCCTTCTCCTCTTCACCTCCAAAAATGACATTGATGCCCTTCTTTGCCAGGCTCAGAATCTGCTCGTGCTCAAGGCGGAAATGTTCCTGTATCAGTCTCCATTCGTTCGAAACAGGGCTTCCGAAGACGCCCACGTCGTCGGTCTGCGCCACGTGATGAGTCAGTATATGCAAGATTTGCCTGTCACCAACCCGGCGTCCGACTTACGCAGGGCACCACAACGGGGCCGTCGACCCGCCACCACTCGCCGAAGTGGTGGGCTTCGAAACCGCCAACAATCATCTTGGCATGCACATTGCAACTGAGGCAGAGTTCTAGCCCGATGCCGCTGCGAGCCGCGATTTGCTGCTTGACGTGTTCCGGCACATGGATAACGTGACCCAGTCGATCCGGCCACCAGCTCAAGATGGTGTCCAACTCGGCCTGGCTCGCACTGCACTCGGCCTCGGCAAAGTGAATCGTGACCTTCAACCCGGCGGCCCGCGCCTCTGATATAGCTGGGGTGAACAAGGAGACGTCGCCCTTGGCCGGGTCGCCGCACATATCGATGGCCACGACACCCCGATCTTGGAATTGCTTGGCGAGCGTGACGACCTCGAGGGCCTCTTCCAGAGTATTGCGACGGTCGATGGAGAGGACCAGCCGAGCTCGTAGGGTCTGGACCTCCTGTTGCGCCTCCTCCATTGCACGCAATACCTCGGTGACGTAGCCGGCCTTGTCTAAGCCCGCGTCTGGCATGCCCCGTGGTGTTGTTCGGAGCTCGAGGTACTACCTGCATGTTAACCCGACGTTCTCATACCCGAATGAGCCAGATTCCCTGAAGTGGACGGAAGAGCAAGACGAAGTCATCCTCTCCAGGAATCACGACCCAAGATACTAAGAGGGGGATGATCTCGTACGTACCACGACCCCGTCCTCGGCAAACTCCTTCACCACTGACATGGTCGTGTACACCAGGGAGTCGACATCGTCGACGAGACGGTAGATATACGACGAGAATAGCGGGAAAAAGCTGTGAAAAACGTTCAGCCCAGACGCCCGCGACGTTGGTGTCAAGGCTTCTCACGTCTTCAAGTCGTAGTCGTGCTTCCCCGGGGGCATGACGACGAGAGGGTCTTCAAGATCCGTCTTCCCCGCAGCCTTTTTCACTTTCCAGATGTTGTGTAGACATTGCCGGCTGATGCTGCCAGAGAGATGGGCATGGAGCTGCAGTTTTACGAGGACGAGTCGGGTCAGCAATAGGACATGGACATGATGCAGAGAAATGCAGCGGCGAGCGTCCTCGACACAAAAGCAAACCAAAGTCATAAGGCGGGCTAAGCCGGTCCCCCAAGGAGACAGCGCATTGACAAGGAATAAGACCAGGAGCTACTATGATGGAGAGTTTGTTACCTCGATCTTGGGCATAGACTTGAAGTCCAGATGACAGTTTCCTGCCATAGTGTCAAGTCCAGTAGTTGCCTCCAAGTATACCAACTTTGAAGCAGGACAGTTCTCTCATGAGCCCATTGGCGGACTGGCTCACTTGCTCATCCGCGGTTGATACTCGACGGAAGCTTCCCTTAGGTACGGTGCAGTTGACGATGGCTCTTCCGATTGCCCAGAATGGCAACGGCTGGTGTCGTTCTGCAGGCCGCTTCGCTTCTGGTCAAGCGTCCGTGTAACGGGAGTTGAATATAGATGAAGTCTGGACGGCTAGACCTTTACTTATAGATGTCGTAGCGCTACCACTCAGAGGCGCATATGCCTTCGATGTGAACAAGACCAGCCGTGATTCAGATCGCTTGATTGGTCATGATTGCGATTGAATCTTGAAGTTACGGTCCAGCGGCTAGACCATTTGTGGCCAATACAACCAGCCCGTTCTGCCCATCTCCGAAGCCATTGCCAATTTCCGGCGGCGTCAATAGCGACCGTGTGGTATTTATTATTATGGCCGGTCCAAGGTTGAAGGTACCGAGGTGCGAAACCCATCAATCACTGAGAGGTACCTTGCATGATTAGGGGACGGCGCTCCTTCAGGTGAGCACTCCCGTGCTTCTTATTGGTTATTACCTACTTAGTAATAGGGACGATGGCCTCGTCTGATGAATGAGCACTGCTAAAAAGACAGGCGGCGGGGGTAGTGTCGAGACTCGAGATTTGATGGAGTCCAGGTGTGGCTTGGATGATTGGACTGGGTCAGGTTGGAGGATCTACCTACATGTAGCAGGGGGCACTATCGACATGCCAAATCTCGCCAGTTTCTGTCAGTGGCTCTCTCTCAACTCCCGGGTCACAGGTGATTCGTACACAATACGCAGTACATGACGACCACTTCACCAACATGTCGACGTGCAGCTCGTCGTCTTGGTTCTAGGTACGGTATGGTTGATCTTCGGACCTACATCAGGTTTACATGTACTGGTCGATCACCCGTCGTCCGTCAACGATTGATTGCAAGGTGCATGTGGGCACAGTGCAGACTGCAGACGGGAGCTACATTAAGGTAGCGACAGAGCCCCCTTTACCTAGGACAGCTGGCACCAGGGGGCAAGATTGAGATTGTGGAGCTGTAGGCCTCCGACCCGAGGTAGATACATCCATGTGTCCTGTCCGTCCCCAAAGAATAATTGCAGAGAGAGCCTCCCGCGTCCGCTCTCCAGCCTGCTCTCGTCAGATTTCGTCAGATTTCGTCAAGCCTCTCTCCCTCGTACCGTACTATTACTACACTACCTCTCACTATCTGCCTTGTGGACGTGTGGACGTGTGGGCATAATCTGCATCGTGACTGACTGCGTCTCTGGCCACCTACTTTATTACTCCACTGCAATCATTACAAGCTTGGCTAGGTTATTAGTCGCGCTGGGATTTTCCGACCTTTTAGCACCAGCACCAGCACCAGCACCAGCACCAGCATCCACACCTACTCCAAGGAACTGTCAGCAAGCAATGAGCCTGCCGAGCCGCCCTGACTCCCCTCCCTGACTCCCGTCTCCTACCTCCTACACAGTACTCCCTGAGCCCAGCCAATCTAGCTGTCTTAGGTAGCCAGCGACTACCTTTAGCGAGCAGTCTCTCCTATTGCATATTGCACTTGCAAGTTGCACCTACCACCTGCAACTCTCTACTGTGTACCTACCGCACAGGCGACCACCCCCCCGGAGCTCGCATCTCCATCAATCCTCCTCACTCCTTACCCCGAGCGTCCATTCCAACCTCAATCTTTCCCTTCCCTCCTTTTCTCCCGCCCCCCGTTCGCCGCTCGGTGTCCTCTCCACAGCCCGAACACGACATCAATCAACACCCGCCCTCGACCATCCACCAAATCACCCTCGAGCCCGACACACCTCGTCCCCGTCGCCGTCGCCGTCATGGACTCGCAGCGGCCAAATGATGTGTCGCCAGAGGCGATGCAGGCGCGCATCCAGCAAGCGCGACGCGAGGCTGAGACCTTGAAGGACAGGATCAAGCGGAAGAAGGATGAGCTCGCCGACACCACCCGTGAGTCCGACTGACCACAACCACAGTATTAACTACAGAAGTGCTGACCCTATCCATCATCGTCTGCAGTCCGCGCCGTGTCGCAGCAGTCGCACGAGTCAATCCCCAAGAACCAATTGATGAAGACGAAAAGGACGCTGAAGGGGCATCTCGCCAAGATCTACGCCATGCACTGGTCCACCGATCGAAGACATCTGGTCTCGGCTTCGCAGGACGGAAAATTGATTATCTGGGATGCATACACAACGAACAAGGTCCACGCCATACCCCTACGCTCGTCCTGGGTCATGACCTGCGCCTACGCCCCGAGCGGCAACTACGTCGCCTGCGGTGGTCTTGACAACATCTGCTCCATCTACAACCTCAACCAGAACCGGGATGGCCCTACGCGTGTCGCCCGGGAACTGTCCGGCCACGCCGGCTACCTATCCTGCTGTCGCTTCATCAACGACCGGAGCATCCTGACCTCGTCTGGCGACATGACGTGCATGAAGTGGGATATCGAGACGGGTACCAAGGTCATGGAGTTTGCCGACCACCTGGGCGACGTCATGAGCATCAGCTTGAACCCGACAAATCAAAACACCTTCATCTCCGGTGCTTGCGACGCCTTTGCGAAATTATGGGACATCCGTGCCGGCAAGGCTGTGCAGACCTTCGCCGGACACGAGAGCGATATCAACGCCATCCAGTTTTTCCCTGACGGCCACTCCTTTGTCACCGGTTCCGACGACGCCACCTGCAGGCTGTTCGATATTCGAGCCGACAGGGAGCTCAACCTATACGGCGTAAGCTGACGAAACCAGCCCCCATCTCTTGCCTGGCCCGATTGAGACGCTAACACCGCCAATAGTCCGAATCCATTCTTTGCGGTATCACCTCGGTTGCCACGTCGGTGTCTGGGCGACTCCTTTTCGCGGGTTACGACGATTTCGAATGCAAGGTACGTTCCATCCGCTTCGCCGCCGCCATCGAGCTGCGTATACTGACGGACAACAGGTGTGGGATGTTACTAGGGGAGAAAAGGTCGGCTCCCTCGTGGGCCACGAGAACCGTGTCAGCTGCCTGGGTGTTAGCAACGACGGCATCAGCTTGTGCACAGGTTCCTGGGACTCGGTGGTAAGTCCAACCTGGGCTCTGACTGTCACTCCAAATACAAAGACGCTGACCTGCGACAGCTCAAAATATGGGCTTACTAAACGTCCTTATCGTGACGAAACACCCGATCCTCGGTCGATTCACACCTCCCTGGTGTTTCTGGCCTCTAGTTGCGTCGAAGCATTATTTCGTATTAATTTCCGCCTGATACACGCTTTGGGATCTTTCCAATATTTGGTGTAGACGGGACGAAGTCACGACAACCTTTCTCAGCACCTATTTTCCTTCTGTTGGCCAGCATTGTACTCGACTTCTGCCGCTGGCCGCGGAACACTTCTGTCGACCCAACACCGCAGCGAATATTCTGGCCCATTCCCAACCAGTAATCGCACTATAATACCACACCCCGCCTCGTCCTATTGCTGGCTGCTATGCTATACCCGGTCCGGAAATATTCCATATACTGCCGACCACTCTATTTGTCTCAGTTCATTCGCCGAGTCGGGAATCATGGGAGGTTGCTGCGGCCTCGGGGTGGGAGTGGGACGAACATAGGAACTAATGGAGAGCCGTATCGAACTACGGTCATACTTCCTTCTATGATTCGGTCCCGGGGCAAGCCTTCTGCCAAGCGATGCATGGAAGTACAGTATCCCGTCTTCGAAGGGGCTTAATGTCCATACCAATGGACCCCCGAGACCGGAACTCCCCGGTTACTGCGCGTCTACTTCATTCCTGTTTTTGCCTTTACTTGACATCCCCAATCTCGATATGGGTAGATGGAGTGGAGGTATTGCTTTATATTCCACGAACAAAACGAACAAAATTATGGGGCGGAAGGATGCTGACCTGCGGGTCAGTGGAACGGGGAGGGAGAGTAGGGCAGCATCTTGGTCTGACGATGGTGGTACTCGGTCGGGCGTTTCCCAGAGGGTCAACTCGCATCCTTGTTGTTTGAGTGCCTCGCGATGGGTGGATGAGATGGACTGGGTCCAGCTGAGAGAGTAAGGGGCTTCGGAAGTGGTAAAGAGAAACGAAAACGGCATCGTTATGGCCCTTTACTTGTTGTCTGTACCATAGTCATGTCATACTGAATGCCGAAATCATCCAAACTACTCTGCGTTTGCGGATCGGCACGTGCAGCCCATTGATGTCGGTCCAGGCGAAGGGTTATAGGACTGACTGACAGACTGATTGACTGACGTTGGGTTGGTGGAAAGAAGGCTTAGAGTGGGAGGAGGAGCAGAGGAGGCTCCGCGGCGTTACGAGACGGCCTGTCCGGGCTCTATATCTACAGGTCGGAGGTATGCGGACACCGGAGACGAGAGGCTGGCTGACCAAGCTAGGCCACGGGTATTGGCATGTCCGTTGGCGCCACCTAACTCATCGGGCTTGGTGATTCGCGGCCTATGCGAGCATAAAGCACGTGGGTTTCCGGTCTCGCCGTCGTGCTGGTGCCGCGCGTGTTCTCTGCCCAGGTGGGAAGGAAGCAGGGGCCGTGTCACAGACCGGGCACCTCCGTCTGTTGAAAGAGGTATTTGTACGGAAGACGTTGATGGCAAGCCCAGGGTAGACGGACAAGACGTCTCATCCCAAGTGGTAGACCAGATCAAGTGGTAGACCAGATCGTTTCTGGAGATGCGTGATCTAGGAAAGGGGCTGGACACCCGAACCTTTTGTTGTCGTCGTTTTTGACCCAGACTGTTCGCGCGCAGCTTCGGACATGAGAGGAAAGCGAGCATCATTACCTGGACTCTGGTGTCTCTTATGAAGCTGTGTACCGTCACGCAAGCAGGCAAGGCAGCGTTGGTGGGATTGGAATCTAGATAGCTCTTCCCTGCATTGGGAGTCTGAGACAGACCACGGTCACACTTGTTGGGGGAATACCGTATACCGGTACCGCCGCCGTGAACTAGATCGCTCGCATGAATTCACGTTATGGGGTGTGTAGGCATGACTACGAGGTCACTGACGTCCTGCCTTTCCCAGCATGAGAGTGATAAAAGCCCGCGGCATCTCCGCCTACAACTACTGAACTTTTGAAGAGGTAGGTAGATTTGGGTGTAAACATAAAGGTTAACTTGGGGGCATGCAGTCATGGATGCGTGGGGCCAAAGTGGTGAAACATGCGTCTGAAACATGGCGTCACGTCGAGCTTGCTTGGGAAGATCCGAAGGTGCGGGTGATCGTCAGTCGTCCGTCTAGCCGGGTCCCCCGGATGATAAGGTAAGGTTCATCATTCTCGAGTCACCCACCAGTGTCACCAGTCACCACGTGTCGGAGCCGAGGAGGAGTCTCCCGTAACTTGTAAGGCTTAGGAAGTTACGAGGAGGATGACTACTTCCCACCTACGGCACCTTCCTAAGTCCTATACGCTTGTCCTAGCCCGAGTCGATCTTGCGAGCCGTTGCGCGACCAACTCTATCCTGAAACACGAAAGCATCATCAGGTCGACTTGAACGTGACACGGGCAGTCGCCAGTTCTTTTTCTCTACCCCCCCTCCCCCCCCCCTCCGCCCCCCCTCTCTCTCTTCCCGATTTGAGAATCTAACAGAATCATGGACGCGACGCAAAGAAGCAAGCCGACCTTGTGCTGCGGTGCTACCATGTGGCCTCCAGCTGTTGGGTAAAATAGGTAAGCATGCATGTGCCTATTTTTAACATGGAAAGCCACCGCATTCAGGCGTCCTGCCTGACCAGTGACATGGGGACCGGCTGAAATTCCTGCCGTGCGCTCCTCCTCCTCAATCCAGCAACTCGTGGACATTGGACACTCGGTAATAATAACATTGAAGAACCAGGGTCAACTAGGCAGCGCCGGTGGTAGACGGGCTATTGACGGGTAGCACCCCGAGAATGAGTCTAGATGGAATTGCATTGTACGTCGGCGGTGGGCATGACTTCAAATATCGGTTGCGCCGGTGTTTATTGTAATAAGATTGATGATCGAAGAGCACGGACGGGGCCCATTTCTCTCTAGTACAGTACCGACGTGGGAAAAGGACGCTTGACAAACCGCGGGGGGACACTATCATCTGGACATCTGCTAACAATAATTCCCATGGATTATGCCTCCAGATTGCGATGCGCTCTACCTTCTAGAAGCACGCGGAGAAGGAGGAGACGGGGCCGAAGGGGAGAAGGACGGAAGGAGAAGGCAGGACACCGGCGGGTCGCATGATGACTGCAAATCCGTGGACATGGAATGCCGAGGTTTGCCTGACCTGGTCTATCCATTCCTGTCTATTATTATAAACCCTACATGATTATTTTCAACTTTTCATCACTGTCCTAAAACGGAATCCTCAGTTGGCTGTGTTTGGTACTCGGGTGGTTCGGCCCCAAGTCTGGAAGAAATTAAAGAATCCATGGATGAGAGTCGATGTTGTGTCGCATGCTGAGCTGACATGGAATTTCTCCGATGGTTGGCTGCTGCTGATAACATGTAACAACAATACGACATTAGATCTCTCCGAGTCTGTGCAACAGAACATTGATCACCAGTGAAGCATCGGATATACCGGTGACCATACTTGTAGTAGGCTTGTATAGACCCGTCACACTACATTAGGAGACCGTCCTGCCGTCCTCAACCCTCGCGTATCGTTCAACGTTGGCCTTACTACTAGCCAGTTGCCTAACATGCCTACCGAGCCAACCTACGAGTACCCATGAATGGTAGGAATCGAGCAGCAACTCGGCTTGAAAAGGGCATCCATCTACATATCTGTCTATCATATAGTATCTACCTGTCTATATCATCATCATCATCATATCATCATACGTTCGGAACTTCGGTACCAAGACCAGAGTCAGGGGTTTAACAACTCCACACTCTGTCTTGGCCGACTCACTCGATTCGTCGTGATGGCATCTCGTGACGGCACCAGTGCACCACGCAACAGACACGCGACCTGGCAGGCTAGCTGGCTAGCAATGAGGATGGGAGCGATGGATCAAGTGCAGCATGGGCAATGCATCCCTGACGGACAGGGGTCTACAACCACGTTTTCTAATCCCTGCGCCGTGCCTCACCATAGTTGCCAGCTTGCCACACCATGCGACGCCTACGCAGCCAGTACACGGTTACACCGCCGCATCCGACACGTTCAATTGTTGTTATCATCGTTCCAGTCTGCTCTTTGTGCACTCCTCACACGAGTACTACCGAACTTGGAGTTTGCAAAATGCACGCCGTTCTGGTTGGAGTTGGGAGTTGGCTGTGGTAACAGGTCTGAGATAGGGGGTTACATGTCTAGTCCCGATTAGGCCACATGTGTAATAAAAATAAACCACGTACCCACTTCCACTTTGTACACATCATTCTATCCCCGGGCCAGCGACTCCTTCTGACTTGGTCGGACTCCTCTGCGCTTCCTCCCGGCTCCTCCTATCCAAGTACAGTAACTATAGTAAATAATAGGTAACGGTTCGCAGTACACTTGGGCAATAGGCTTCTCCATATTTGTGTTTTTCAGAACAATCTACCCTGGCTCGGCTTACTACTGTTGAGGAAGTTCCCGTTTATATCTACCTAGTAACGGCACGCTCCACTGACCGCTGACCGCTGACCGCTGACCGCTGAGAACCTACTTAGTAGTCGCTCCTCCTCCACCCTCCACCCTCCACCGCCTCCAAGCGCAAACCCTGAAACATTCTGACGCATCCCAGGGGCCAGGGGCTGCTGCCACGTTCGTTTTCCCCGACTCTCCCACCTACCCCCCCGTATTGGGCATTCTTCCAGAACAAGCAGACTCCTTCCTGCCACATCAGCCTAAGCCTCCGTCCACCCAAGCATCCAATCATCCAAAGCCTCCAAGCCTCCGTGAAGCCATCCCTCGCTCCATCCCTCCATCGCTCCATCCCTCCATCACCTGCCCTCCATAGGTAAACACCGACGCCCATATAACCCTCCTGCCCCCTTCCCTCGCCACCACGCCCGCCCACCATGGCCTCGACATCTTCCACCACCAACCTTCACAACCCGACTCCCGCCCAACAAGAATTTCAGGACCTACTTGACAAGAACACCGACAAGGGCGAACGTGTACACCCTGAGGACAGAAGAGACAACCGGAGCGACCGAGACGATAGCGAGCAGGACGAGGAGGACCAGTACCGCCACGACCAGATCAACGCAGCCATGCGCGCACCCAACCTCAGAGGCGACGTCAACCTGCCGTCCACCGCCTTTGACGCCGTCCACAGCACCGGCGTCAAGGGTGTCATCGCCGACGCCCGCGCCTACGAAGAAGCTCGCCAGGGCAAGTGGCGGAACCGCGTTAGAGCCGCGCGCCGCTCCGTCTTTGGTCTGGGCGACGTAGCTAAGGTCTCCGACACGCAGAGCAACGGCGACAGCGACGAGGACCTCGATCAGGACGAAGAGGCCTTCCTAAGACAATGGCGCGAGAACCGCCGACAGGAGCTAGAGAAGGAGGCAAGGAACGGCATCCGCACCCGCAGGACAAGTCCCAGTCTGCGCATGTTCGGCCGCATGGACACGGTCGACGCTCTGGGATACCTGGATGCCATCGAAAAGGTCGGCAGGGAGACGGTAGTAGTAGTCTTTGTCTACGACCACGAGGTAAGCTCCGAGCCATCGACCATGATTCTACAGTACACAGGCTAACTTGCAACGACAGTGTGAAGTGTCGCATCTGATTGAGCAGGCAATGCGGCCGCTTGTCACGGCCCACCCCCACGTGCACTTCGTCAAGGTCCACTACGAGGATATCGAGTTTGACAACGCCGCGGTGCCTACGATCCTAGCCTACCGGAACCAGGGCGACCTATTCGCCAACATGACGGGCGTCATCGAGATGATACCCGAAGACGAGGACTTCGACACGGCGGCGTTATCGAAGCTGCTAAAGCAGAAGGACGTCTTCTGAAGACATTACACCACGCCTCTTCCTTGTCTCGTCGTGAGCGCCTCCCTATGGCGGTGCTGCCCCCCGAACAAGGCGGCGGCGCTTGTGTCATGCCACCTACGACATGTTTGATTTATTTCCCGCGTTTCCGCTGGATCCGTGGACCGGCCACCAGCATATACTGATACCCATACTTGGATTTGTTTCCTCCCACGTAAAAGAGAGAGCCCGCGGCGACGGCGTGTTTGGAATGGAGGCGGCTCAGGCAGGGCCCAATCCACCATCCATCTTCATCCCGTCAGGCGGTCGAGCATGGGAACGGCGTTCTGGTACCCGCGCATTGGCTGTTCCGATTCAGCATATATTAGTTGCGAGCGCGCACACATGAAGAACGTGAGATAGTCTGGCTATTGGTGGGCCAGAGGACAGGGTCATAAGCCTCGGCTTTGGTTGGTCGGTTTTAGAGATGAGCGCGGCCCCCGTCCCAATGATCAGCGGCCTATGTGAACGGCGTTTTAGGAGTAGAAGGGGGTTTCATGGGCACGCAAACGAGACGAGACGACTGAGTGAACTCGTATCGAGTGTTGTCGGGGGCACATGATGGGTGCGTCTTGGTCACATTAATACGGCCTGTACAATAATAGCAATGCAAAAGCTCTCCTGATAACGTTCTGGACTCGAAGTCTTCTGCATAGGTCTACGGCGAGGCACCATGTTCATTGTTCTTTGAGATGGCACCACCCGGTGTTTATGACATTCTATTTTGCTATATAGGTGGCTAGTTGGAGCTCCTGAGTAGGGGCATGAGCTCTGGGTGCCTACCTCATAATGTAAAGTAATTGTGGTGCGGGAAACCCCCTATTCTCCACTCATTCATACCTCTCTTATGGCCAAGGCGCTTCGTGTGTTATGAGTCTTCTTGATACTATCGTGGTCAGCCTTATGGAGAGGAGTAGAGATGGTTGCTCGTCTCTAGTAACAGATAGCCCACGAACTTAAGCCGTGGTATGTATATAATATCTGGCCATGTTGATGTACATACAAGGTATGCTATATGCCTTTTGCATGTAGGAGAAGGTGAAGAATTCAGGAATAACAAAGCACGCCTATCAAGATCAACAAGGTGGTCGTCACATCGTCACATGCACATGGCCTGCCCAGAAGGGTGCGCGTGCCAACACTGATATCCACCGTTAACGTTAGCGCCTGACACGCGTGATATTGATAAGATGGTCCCCAGACGCTGACGGACCCCTCCTCCGCGCCCCTCCTCCACTGATAGCGCTTGATGAGGCCGATAAGCCCACTACCGTATCGCCTACATCACCTCACCACCACCTGCATCCATCATCCATCTACCTTCAACCTTCAACCTGTAACCAACTCTCTACTAATAAGCACCTGGCATGGTTTTGGCCCGGGATATGCCCTCTGACTGAAAGTTGACCACGCACTTTGTTCCAAGTCCGTAGGTAGGTCCCGCGTTGTTCCCTCTATTCAACCCCTCCTTCTCTGCCCGGGCCGGCTATGGCTGTATACCTTACCTACATGTACTACACCTCTTGTACAAGTGTAGAGGTGAGGTGCCTCCATGTTCTGACCTGTCAGCACGCAGAGCAGCGACACGCACTCACGCGCTGCCCAATGACAGTTCTCTCGGATCACGGATCACGTATCACGGATCACGGATCACGGATCATACCTTCTCAAGCTGTCTACATGACTACCTCATAAAGGTAAGAAGAGTTGAGGTGGCGCCTGGATGAGCAAAGCCGGCCAACCTTAGGCCATTAGCACTTGACCTTAAGCTCTCAGATCCAAACCCCCACCTCCGTCAGACACCTATCAGACACCTATCAGGCGAGCAGCCAAAGCAGGCAGCACTCTTGCACTCTTGTTCTTTGGTCCTGTTTCGGTGCTTGCCTAAGTTGCCTTGCCCAACTCCGCCCTGCCTGCCTGCCTGCCCGACTGCCCGACTTCCAGTTGATCACCAACAGAGACCACCACCACCACATCATAACCATAACCATAACCATAACCACAAATACAACCACGACAACGAAAGACTGACTCCTCTTTCTTTACCAGGTGACAAGCTGACAGGTTGACGCCTTGGCCCCTCCGTTCACGCCGCTTCGCTTTCAGTCCCGTCGTCTCTTATTCTCTTACACTGACTGGGCTGCGTCTCTGGTTATATGCCGCCCACCTCGACACCTTCTCTCTCCAAGCCCCGCATCCGACTTGAGACAGCCTCCAGCCAGCCTTCGTGCAACTGGTCATCCTCATCCTGATTTACCAACATCCACGGTAAAGTCGAGGTATGACGTGATCTGCCAAAGGCCCCTTCTACCACCACGTTATGGAACAGTCTGCCACTCCCGACATACCGAGTACTGTTCCACCACAACCTCCGCGACCATCACCGTCGTCCTACAGAAAACCGTCTCCCTCCCATCTCGTCTCCAGCGAGCCGGGCCCCTCGAACAACACTCCCGACGACCTGACCAGCTCTGTCCCCTCACTCCGCTTTCCCCGGCCCCTTGGGAACCGCCAACTCACCAACTGGATTTCCTCGAGTTCCCCAGACATCATGCAGCCCGGAAACTTCCCCGACGAGGACCCCAGCCTCACTGAGCTGGGTTACGACATCATCGGAACCGACGGAGAGAGTCAGGCCGAATCCACTACGAGCTCGCTCGACTACCAAAGACCAGATGACGTCCAGAGCCTGACGGGTACCGACAACGGTACCGATGTCGATACCAACGAGGCCGATACCGACTCGTCGGACGACGACGAGACTACGCTGGATTATCCGGCTACCCCTAATGACACTGTCGTCAAGCCCAACGTCGCTAGCCAAGACGAAGACGCCGACGTCGAGACTCTACTAAACCAGAGCCTCGAGCACCCTACAAGCTTCTCCCAACACAGCATCTCCACTTATGAGCCCTTGACCTACGCCGAGCAGTTCCATGCCGAGGAACTGCTTGCGGCGATGCGAGAGTTCCATGCTCCTGTTCCGCATACGACCTCTCCCGAGGGGACGCAGGGGAAGAGAAGCTCGTCGTCCAAGCCAGAACGTGAGGATACTGCCACGTATGGCGCGACGTACGAAACCTACAAGCTTGTGTGCAGGCATATCAGAGAGAAGAGTCACATTCTGATGGTCCTGTCTGGTCTTGCCGTCCTGTACAGTCTTGCCATGGCCGGCAAATATGTCCTGTTCAGTTCGTCAGTCCCAAGAGAACTGTCTACAGTTCCCGTGGCTTCTGTCTCCTCCGCATTCACCCCTTCGTCTGTGGCCGTGATGACGCCATCCTCGTCTGGGGCCTTGTCAACGTCGTCAACTACCCAGATACTCGAGGCTCTGCAGACTGGCAGTTCGTCCAAAGCGCTTATCGTTAGCAGCCCTACCGGGCAGCCAACTGTCTGCTCCGTTGAAATGTATGATCGCAGCGAAATAATTGTCAAAATTCCCCAGAACGTCAAGTCAGCCTGGCTCGCAAAGGATGCTATACTGATCGCCGTGAGCCGAGGCGTCCAAGACATCCCCACCAAGGTAAGCTCTGTGGACGAGGGCTTCCTCATTGGTGTGCCGTTGGAGGAGGCACACGGTGTTTTGGCTGTTTCCATTGCCACCACCCGGAAGCCCAGAATCAACGAGACATTCCGAATCAACTTCGGCAACCATATGCTTACCGGAGCCTTGGATGCTGGCAAGCAGCTGGTCAAGGGATTTGCGCAGAAGGTTGTCGACACCGTCAACGAGACAACGGCATGGGTTGAAGAGACCTACATACCGGCCTTTGACGTCATGTCGAAGCAAGTGTGCGATCAGACGGCATCCGTCTCGGACTCGGTGCTTCAGGGCCTTCGGAATGCGGGCAACCGTGCTCTGGCCATTCCCACACGCCTGACTTCCGAAATCGCCACCAAGATCAAGCAGTCGTTGGACCGTGACATGATGGCCCGACGTGCCGATCAGGCCCAATCCGAGTTGGCACGGCAGGCTCAAGATGTTCGCGATGAATTGGCCATGGCCCTCCTCCGAGGTCAACTCAGCTCGAAGCTGTTGTGGCTCAAGCTGCAGGGCAAGACGGAGGAGTACCAGCATTACCTCGACAAGGCCGAGGTCTACTGGGACGAGCAGCGCGCGGGTGCCGTGCTGGCCAGACGTGAGAGGGCTGAGCGTGTCAAGACGCAGATCCGGGCTCGGCGGAAGCAGGAGCTTCACGACGCGAGAGCTTCGTTCTGGCGCAAGGGCCGGGCGCGAGCGTAGCGTGCAGGGTTGATGGGCACCCTTGCACACTTTATACCACATGGTCGGCTGGGATGAGACGGTATGGCGTTGGGCTCTCGGAATGTATTTGTGTTTGCTGGTTTAGTTGATCCCGGAGTCCTCCCACCAGATACCACGGCAAGGGCGAGGCAGACTTGCCCCACGCCCAATCTCCGCTCTCTTGTTGCAGCAATGTTCGTCTGCCGCTACCTGGAGGCACCTGCGCATGAACAGCATAGGCCGTGGCAGGTCATTTCATCTTTTTTCTTTCCAGTGCCAGGGCTGCTCCCGGACAGCAGAGGGCTCATGAGAGAGTAGTCTTCTAGCCAGGTGAGCTACCTCGAGCAATCAATCGCTGCCTGTACACCGAAGGGTGTCGTCGATGGCGGCGAGACGACATTGGTTCTAAAGGAGCTAGTCAGGACTCGAGGTGGACGGACTAAATAGATGACAGACAAGAAAATCTGACACTGTATTGCTTCAGCAGCCGTGGATGTGTCTTTTCCGATGTCTAATGATCAACTTTGCCGTCCCGATACTTCCTTGAACCTTTGAATGTGTTTACTACCCCCGCCCAAGCTCATGACTACTATGTGAGACCTGCTGAGCACGTTGCCGACCTTGTATACACCACTCACACATGAACTCGGTTCGATGCGCACCTGTAAGGACCATAGGGATCCGTTATGGCCAACAATGTGTGCATGGTTAAGTGTACACGGTTGTAGCACTCCCGTGTGTCCCAAAGCAGCGCCATTGAAACTGCGTAATACGCTGATACACTTATCAGTACCTCCGTACAAGCTGGAAGTTTAATAATAATGAAAATGGCGGCCCGGACTGTATGTGGTGGAAAAGTGCGGCGTTCGGAGTTCCAAGGTTGATAAAAGTGGGTTCTAACTTCTCGCTCAATTTCACCCAGCCAGCCCAGCTTGAGGTCCCGGGTCCCGAGTATAAGTTTACCACCTCAGGTACACACAACCATCTGATATCTCACCTGACCTTCTGCCCTGAATGAACACATCCATTACCACATGCATGACGCATAATCGACAATGGCAGGGTGGAACGATCTACCAGCAGAGATCAGGCTGATGGTCCTGCGGATGGCCACGAACGACAAGAAGCTGTCGAATTATACCACCGTGTGCAAAGAATGGCAGCCCGTCTTCGAGAAGGCCAATTTCCGCGCCATCACCTTGTTGGATGATGAAGTGTCCGAGCTCAACAACATCCTCCAAGGCAGGCGGAGAACGTGGCTTCGTCGCGTCTGCTTCCACATCAGGCTCCCCCGCTACAGGAAGAAGCTATCCCGCGAGCCCGAGACCGAGGAGGAGCAGGATGCAAACAACGCCGCCTTCACCAATTCCCTCTGGCATCTGTTCGAGGTACTCGCCGCCTGGGACCGTGCTCGAGTCGAGTCCGGACCGAGCCCCGGCCTCGAGCTGGAACTGCAGGTCTATTCACCCAGCGACCCGAAGAAACTGACGGGCGAGGCTTTATTGAGGGATGATGGAGAGAACCGCTTCTTCGACTCGGATCTCGATCTCGACTTCGACGACAAGGCGTCGCTCGGCGGCCCCTGCGGACTCCCCGAGGTCGAGTCAGTCACCGGTTTCCGGTTTCTACGCCGCAACCGCCGTAGCCTGACACCGGCAGCCTTTCTCTTCATCATCTCGAGTCTGCCCAGCCTGACCGACATCAAACTCGAGCCGTGGCACCAGGTGGACCAACACGGGCAGGAAACCCTTGATCGAGGTTCGTCTCATCCACACCGCCCGCCCTCGTCCTTGTGCCCCTCAGCTGACGCCCGTTACAGAATCTGCCGTGCACATGCCGTTCTGGCCGGCAACGCTCAAGAAGGTCAGCATATTCGAGCACTTCGATGCCTTTCGCCGCGATCCGGAAGAAGTCCAGGAAAAATGCCCGCAACTGGGTCGTAATTTGTACAGACTTAGCCTTCGCCTCGAGGAGTGCTACATCGCCAAATTTGCCGATGCTTGGGACTTCTTTGAGCCCTTCTTTGGCCAACAGCCCAGTCCCGGAGTCCGAGGCTGGGACCACCTCTGCCGGCTGTCACTGACATCGACTTTCATCGATGAGCGGGAAGATGGCGAGTCGCTCAATGCGCTTCTCCTAGCCGCGGGCCGCGCCGCCCGGTACATGCCCCAACTGCGCCTGTTCGAGCTGTGGAACGCCGAGTCGTACGGGGCGGGTGTGTTTCTCTACTCGGGCATCTCGGAGCTGGCGACGTTGACCTGGAAGAGCACCTGGGAGTTCAGGATGGATGACGGAGTGAAAGCAAGGTGGAGGGATGCGGCGCGCAAGCATGCTGGAAAGGACCTCGTCGTCGAGCCCGAGGAACTGCTGGTGAACTACAGGGGCCCCATGAGATTCATCCATTTCAAGTTGGCCACCCGAGGTCTGATCCTCGACCCGACCTCCTCTACGGATATGATGGGGAAGGCGGCCTTTCCGCCTTCGGTTTGGTAACCGCCTGTGATGTGCCATCCAAAAATCTACTTTGTCGATGGCTACAACTCATGTTTGTATAATGTTAGGTCTCTATCACTCTCGCGCCGGCCTTTGGCCTATGAGTTTCAGTAGTGAGGATGCTGGATAGCAGTGGCTTCATATGAAAAAGATGTCTCGCGCAGTACTGGTCGCGCCGGGGGCATTCTCGGCGGGGAGAGGCAGACAGACAGCAGCACCACAGAGACAGAATGAATCAACCATGAGTTTGCGTTCTCCATATGACATGCATTGCTCTACGATGGCCGTTCCGGCCCCGACCTCCGTTCCTTATAGTCGGGCGACACAGGATATATTCCGACTTATTACCCCCAGGGCAAAGCAGGAAACGGCCCCATTGGAACGGGCCCGGCACGTAAGGGCACTCTCAAAGTCTCTCGTGATAGTCCACGGCCGTGGTTTTGTTTACTCGAAGGTTTACAGCTCGTTTTGAGCGTGACCATGTCGACAAATTACCAAACTTGTAGAGGTGCCTAAGGTAAATGAGTCCCAAGGCAGGGTCCTCCTCGTAGGGCTGAACACCCATAAGCGCGGTGCGACGCGGCAACGATAAGGATAAGCGCGACAAGGCGGCCTCGGTCCACTGACGTCTGATACCTAAGGCGCAGTCGATCCCATCCATTGTTCCCGATTTCCCAACGCGACACGGCCTCACCCATTCCATCACGCAACCACCACCCCGCAATCCGTCCATCTACCACTATCCATGTGACGGCGATATTGCGGCTGCAGCCATCGCCCGCAGCGGTCTGTTGGTTTGAAGAAGACGGTGCAAGATGGCAACCACCGCCGAGGGGCGCAAAGGCATGTCACTCCCAAGTCGCATACCGAGCTGCCTAGGCCAGCCACTACTAACTTGGCGAAAACTCCAGGCGCCGCCGACGAGGGCACAATCAACGTCGCCTCCAAGAAGGCCGCCAAGGCCAGGCCCAATGCTGCCGTCAAACTGAGACAGCGTGTTCCCAAGCAGACAAAACCCGGGAACTGGCGAGAGGCAAGCGTGGTCGCGGATGACAGGAGAACAAAACGAAAAGACAGCCCTTCCGCCGCCTTCGGTGAGCTGTCGCCCAGCCCCGTTGTCAACGCCATCGACGAAACCTCCCGCGATACCTTTACCACCGGACGACCGCTCGAAGACGGCCTCAACCTGCAACAGTGCAAGCATTGCAAGAAGGGGATCGTGAAGACGGCAGCTACAGACCATATTGCCCAGTGCTTGAAAATTAAGAAGGAGAAGGCACAACGTAAGAAGGAAGCACGGGAGGCCAGAGAACGGGCAAAGGAGCAGGCGCGAGAGGAGGAGGCTCGCAAAAACGGCGACGATCCCAACGCAAAGGTGAACGACAACAGCGACGAGGATGACGATGACGACGACGGGCCGCCCGAGAAGAAGGGCACCGGCGGGAAGGCGACCAAGAAGTTGGGCGGCAAGAAGCCCGACGGCGAGCCCAAGGGCAAGAAGCGCAAGGCCGACGGCGACGCGGACAAGGCGCCCAAGAACAAGAAGAAGAAGGAAGAGCCGAAACCCAAGGTCCCCAAGCCTAAAGGTACCTGGCCACCACGAAGGTCACTGAGACTCTTGTCCCGAGTTAACCCTGGCGCGATATAGGCCCCGTAGACGTCGAGAAGCAGTGCGGTGTGCTACTGCCCAACGGGCAGCCGTGCGCGCGGTCACTCACGTGTAAAAGCCATAGTATGGGAGCCAAGCGTGCGGTGGCCGGGCGTTCACTTCCCTACGACATGTTGCTTGCTGCCTACCAAAAGAAGAACCAAGCCAAACAGCAGAGTAAGCCTTACGGGAACATGGTGTGGAGGGTCGCTTGCTAACATGGTTACAGAGGCTGCACTAGACGCCAATGCTCCGCTCGAGGACGACGACGAGGCCAACGCCGGGCCTGTGGATTCCGACGAGGAGACGGCAGCAGTGATGGGGGCGCTGGCGCGATGGAATCCGCAGCCGGTCCTACCGCAGCCCATCTTTACGCCAATCAAACGGACATATCAGCTTGCGCGTCTGCACGAACAACTGCAGACGGCGACTAACGGAGGGCGAACCAACATCTTCAAGGTGAATGGGTTCGGGGCGCAGAAGATGGCCGAGAACCATAGCGACGTGATGGATCTGGACGATGCGCCGGGTGAGCCCGACCTCTCGATGATGGGTGGCAGCGCGATGCATGCCAGACGGTCTTCCAGCTTCAGCATGCAGGCGGCGCCGCGACGACCATCAGTGGCCAGCCGGGCCTAGCATGCCAGCGCAGGTGGTCGACACATGGCGCAGGTACCCACGGTTGCCAGGCTCAGGGCGCATGGACTATGAAGGGTTATGAATGTCGGGCGTTGGTAGGCATGCTCCTCTGGACAGGCGGTTTGGTTTGGCGTCACAGGATTCGTGCATTCGTGCATTCAGGCTGGTTATAGTCCCGCAGCGGCGTTGGGCGAGCATGGCATTGTATATCAGGCAGCGTTGGTCTTCCCCTCGACCCACCTGGCCACATAGGCCCATTTCGTTCTTCTTACATCTTGCCTCGAGGGTCTGCCACATAGCCCTCAATACACATGACAGTGTACACATGACAGTGAAGAACAGGGAGCGGCAGACTCTGGGGACCATACACGTGTCGAATGGCTACCGGAGAGACTGGCGACTATGACCTACTAACTAAGGTGACTTTGCCGATATCGCAATACTCCTTCATGTGTACCCAATCTGGCATGCTGCTGGACTCACCCACTAGGAGGGTATTCGGAAATCCAATTGATGGAGTCTTATCACGAGTTCCGGGGAAGAGACCTGAGCCAGGGGTCAGGAGTCAGGAGAAGCCCAGAGGACGATTTGGTGGGGGCGGGCGATGACGTCGTTCAAGCACCCGTCTCTTTGTCTCACAGCCGAGGCTCCGGTTTAGACAGACAGACAGACAGACAGACGGACGACGGGACCGTAGGCACAGGAGCATCTAAGTCCACACGGTACGCCTATCCATCGTGTGACTTGATGTGTCACGCCTCGACTTCAACTCTGTGTCATGTGAACCAATGGTACCGAGACAGATATCAGGACGTTGACGCAACTCGAGAGCCCCATCTGTCAAACCCGCGTGTTGCACACCCACCCCCACCGATAATACCCAACTACCTACCACTGGCTACCAGTGTCTGGTTGACATCTTGACCCTGGTCAGTGGTCAGTGGTCAGTCTTGGGCACCAGACTTCCATATATACTGCTTGCTTCTCACTTGACCGCCGCCGTCTACCCGCACTGGTGCCACCATGCCACCAGACAACCCGAACAAGCTGCTCCCAGCCCTGCACCACGCTCTCTCCGGGTCGACGGGCACACTCATCTCAACATGCGTTCTGTATCCTCTGTCGCTAGTCATCACACGCCTGCAAGTCCAGCGCCAGCTCCGTCGCGAGGGCAAACTCGCGCCAGCTCCTCCTACTCATCCCTCCGCTCCAGCAGACGCAGAACAGCAACAGCAACCACCACAACAAGATCCCAATCCAGCAGGTCCACGTGGACGGCCACAACAACAACAGCAACCAGATCAACCGCAGCAACAATCCCGGCAGCACCCGCAAGAGTACGCCGGCATCGCCGACGCCTTTTCGCGGATCTGGAGGTCCGATGGCGATGGCGGGCCGAGAGCGTTCTATACTGGCCTGGCCCAAGATGCAGCCAAATCTGTCTTGGACTCTTTCCTCTTTTTTCTATTCTATGAGTGGTTCCGCAGCGTACGCCTGAGCTCGGGCCGGAAGAGGGGGCTCCAGGGCCGGGGGCTCGGCGTGCTGGAGGAGCTGGCCGTCGGCACGGCGGCGGGCGCCTGCTCGCGGGCCTTGACCACGCCCATCGCCAACATCGTCACCCGCAAGCAGACGCTGACCCTGATGGACGCGGGCGCGACGTCGTCGAGTGAGATCAGCGTCCGCGAGATCGCCGACGGCATCCTGCGAGAGAAGGGCATCGCGGGCTTCTGGTCCGGCTACTCGGCTAGCCTGGTCTTGACGCTGAACCCGAGCATCACGTTTTTCCTGCAGGACTTCCTGAAGAAGAGCGTCGTGACCGACGACAGATACGACGACCCGGGGCCGCGGCTGACGTTCCTGCTCGCGGCAACGAGTAAGGCCGTCTCCAGCCTGATCACGTACCCCTTCCAGATAGCCAAGACAAGGCTGCAGGCCGGTGTGCCCATCGAACCGGAACCGCAGGAGGGTGGAGCCGACGAAGAGTCGGAAGAGGGTGTACCCCAGAGCGAAAAGGGGCCAGCGCAAGAAGAAGGAGGCGACGACGTCGACAAGGAGGTGGAGCTGAAACTGAAGGGCGTCCGCGCCGTCCAGCAATTCGCCAAGCAGAGCGTCTTCGGAATCGTAGCGCAGATCGTGCGGACCGAAGGCGTCGGCTCACTGTACGATGGCATCCACGGGGAACTGCTGAAGGGGTTCTTCAGCCACGGCACCACCATGGTCTCCAAAGGCCTCGTCCATAAACTGCTGTTCAAGTTTTATCTGTTCGCCCTGGGTATCCTGGCCGAGTTGCGGCAACGGCGGGCGAGGACGAGGGCGGGGGCAGCGGGCGGAACGCAGGAGCTCCCCATCGCACTGCGGTATCGCATCGACAGGAGTCAAGTCGGCAAGAGAGGGAATACTAGTGCGCTGGACTATGGATTGAACGTCGTGGCGAACCTGGTCGATGGGACGCAAAGGGGAGTTGGTAAGGATTGAGTGTGGGAGGACCTGTAGTATTATGGCGGAACATTCGATTTTGGTTGGGCTCCCAAACTGGTAGGTCCAAAACCGGTCTACAGCTATGTAGGTATATACGTTGTCATGTATAGCTTGGCGTTTTAGGAGGTTTCAGGGCTCATTATGGACAATGTTGTATGTTGCTTCAGATAGATGGCGACGTTCTGCGCTGGCCTTAGGTTTCAAAATGAAGGATAGGGGCTTACTTGGCTGGGCGTTCATCACTCCTCACTGCCGTGTCTGATTGGGAACTAGCCTATGTAGTTGGATTCGAGACGACTTTGAATGCTGTCTGTCTGCCTGTCTCTGTGGCTTTCCTTAAGTTGTAGACATGGCTTGCATGGAGAGATTCGCTCGAGCCTCCGCATTTAGGTAGGCTGGCCCTTCATCTGCTGGAACCTGATGTTGTTCACAGAAAATGAATCTGGCTCTGCTTCCCTTACCTTGTTCTTCCTGCCTCGCCGTGGCCACGGTGGAACCAGTCAGATGATCTACGTCACTGATATCTACAAGTACCTGCTCTAGCACTGAAAAGCGATGCCCAACTTCTTCACCTCATTGGTGCCTCCGCCTGAGAACCCCGTGCCCTCGCTCCGGAGTTCCACCAGCCCGGGCCGGATCTTGTCCTTGTCCTTGTCCTTGTCCTTCTCCTTACCCTTCTCGCCCTTCCTCTCGGTGAGGTCGGTCTCGCAGACATAACATCGCAGCTCGTCGGGGTTGGCGGCCAGGGCGTGGGGATCCTGGTGCTTGGCGGGCCGCATGAACTTGTCCACGCAACTCCGACACATGACGTGTCCGCAGGGCTTCGCCATCATGGCCTTGGACGCGTTACTGAGCCCCTTCTTGCACGACGGACAGACGCGCACCCGTTTCCTTCTGCTGCTGCTGGTGCTGGTCTTGCCGCCCTCTTCCTCCTCCTCTTCCTCGGTGAACTGGACCGTCACCAGCGTGTGTAACGAGTACGTGTGTGGTTTGTCGTTCTGCGAGGCCGGACATATGGGCGTGCTCTTGGCCTTCTTGGCTACTTCGTGCAGAGCCGTGTTCGTGTTCGAGGACGGCGTGATGGACGGCGTCCAGAACGAGGGCAGCGTCGGCTTCGCGGCCTTCTCGTCGTCGATGGCCTTGCGTGCCTTGGCGCGGTCGTCGGCCGCTATGCGCAGAACCTCGTCCTCGTCGAGCTCGAATTTCCGCTTTCCACTGCGCCTCTCCCTGTCGGGCGTCGCGGCGCCTTGTTCGGTGGTGGTCGGGTTGCGGGGACCGGGTTTGCTGGGGTCCAGGCCGCTCTGGGTCATCTCGAACTCGCGGATGGCCCTATCGCGGGCCTCGCCGTCCTGCTGGGCCTGGATCTCGTCGGCATCGCGGGCCTCCTGCTCGCGGACCTTCTCCAGGCGCTTGATCTCCTTCTTCTGGGCCAGGATGTTGCTGAGGGCGCACTCGCGGCAGAAGATGTCGCCGTGGGTGCATGAAACGGGGTCGCGTGCCACCTCGAGACACAGGCGGCAGGCAGAGAAGTCGAGGAAGCTCTCGCGCGAGAGGCGCGCCGAGGTCGAGGGCCAGGCGCGGCGGGCGAGATCGCGCTCGTGGGCTGTGAAGACGGCTCTCGACGTATTGCGCTTGCCTGTGGGTGGCTGTGTTAGATGGATGGTAGTCTCTGGTAGGTAGATAAACAGAGGACGTACTATGTGACATGATGGACTGGTGGTTTATGTATATATCAAAGTGTGGTGGTATGGGATTGTGTGGTACCTAAGGTAGGTAATAAATAACATCGCGGAAGGTACAAGACAGGAGCCCCGGTTTTCCGTTCCTGCAGTAGTTCGTCATTTCCGCAAGACAGGTTTACTGTATTATTCCTGCAGTCTGAATCGCATCGCATCGCATCGCTTCTCATTGTCTCGTACTGCACTCAATCCTGTCCAGCTTTAACATGTAGAGATACTCGTAGCCGCTTGATTCCAGTCATCTTTTTTTCCTTGAGCTGAGCTGTACTTTGCTGTGTGCTATGAGCCTATGCCGGCGGCCTTTCGTTTTGGAAAGCGTTCATGACGCCCAACCCAATCAACATGGCGAACCCTGACCCCAACCCCAACCCCAACCAGCAGCCCGGCCTGTCGACGCGCATGAGCTCGTCTCTGGTCATGGGCCTGACCGCCGGCATCTCACGAGCTTTTCTGTACGGTCTGAACACCGTCGAGGTCACCGGCCTGCAGAGGTTTCTAGACATCCTCGACCGGAGAGAAGATGTAGACAAGAGACAACGGGGCCTTATTACAGGTGAATATTCGCCTTCATAAACATGCCATCCACCCCAGCTAACTCGATCGCTAGTCTCAAACCACATCAGCATGTAAGTTTTACCTGGGACGTCCAAGCTGGATTCCCAGTCAGATCCCCAGTCTAATAATGAGCTTGAACCCACAGAATAGACGATCCTCTCATGTGGGGTGTCCTGCCGCCGCGATATGGCTTCAACCCTTCAAATCACCGATGGGGTCTGGGAGCCCACGATATATGTTACAATAATAAGTGAGTCTGCGTGAGACCGCACGTACAACCCTCAACCCTCAACTCACAGTGAATCAGGCTTCTCGGCCGCTTCTTCTTCTCTGGTCAAGTACTGCCTACGCACCGCTTGAAGCACTCCCCTCATGGCACCCCCTGGCAGTCGACCGTGCCGCAGGCCATCAGACTCCTGTCTTCTCAGCCCTTCGTGAGCCCTCGCCCGCTGGCAGGCGACCATGTTGACGACGTACCCGATCCCTTCACCCTGGGCGGACTGACGTACACCACCACGGGCACCGACAGATACATGGCACCCTCCGCCTATGCTCACAACCGTCATAGCTGGGTCCACGTCTTCCCAGAGGCATGTGTTCACCAGCACCCCAAGATGTTTCTGCGCTATTTCAAATGGGGCGTTTCCCGCATGATACTGGAAAGCGAGCCCATGCCCGACGTGCTGCCCATGTTCATCGACGGCACCCAGCGCGTCATGCCCGAGAACAGGGGCTGGCCACGGCCCGTCCCCCGCTTCGGCATCAAGTTCCGCATGGCCTTCGGCGAGCTGCTGGACATGGAGAAGACCTTTGGGGACCTACGCGCGCGGTGGCAGGAGCTGGTGCGCAGGGAAAACAAGACGCTGGCCATGGGCGAGCTGACGGACGAGCTCAAGTACGGCAAGGAGGCCGTGGACCTGCGAATCGAGGTTGCGCGGCGCGTGCGAGATGAGGTCATCAAGGTACGGAGGAGTATGGGATACCCAGAAGAAGAGCCGCCGGGCTTAGAGCTGGCCGAGACGTGGGCCAAGGAGCCTGCGAAGAACGAGTTCAAGAGTAATGTCGACGACAGCCTGGTCAACAAGAAGGAGTGAGCTCGTGATGATTGGGGGGACCTACCGCCTGCCTATATGGACTTGGAGCACACGACCAGGCAGGCAACCTGTACCACCAACAGCTAGAACCAGCTCATTTATTATACCCCTCTGTTTTTGAGTCGAAATACACGCGGATAGAACACAGTACCGTCCTGGTGGGCATCTCACGCAGTGGTTGCCTCTTTGCCCTTCCATCTTGATAGCATGCTACTCCAATGGTTCGCTCACTTTATATATTAGCTGTGTTCATACTTACTTTCCAACATCTCACGTATAGCGCTTATATTGGTATTCGCGTGAGAAAGCAGCAGTCAGGGGTGCTGGAACACGTGTGTGTTGCAGGGTGCACCCCCCACATCAACTCACCAACTCCGAGCATACATGTCACACTCAAGAAGAGAGTCACATGCATCTGGGACAACGGCGGAGAACTGGGGGTATATCGTCTTGATTCGCATGAACACTTCGCTCCCAAGTCCCGTAAATGCAACGAAAAAATCTATACCCGTATTGACCCAGCTGCGCCATAACGCCTTCCTTTCTCAAATCCTCATGCCGGCATTCGCTGCTTTGTCAACACATCCTTCCTCCACTTCAAGGCTCGAACATGCCTGGCGACACAGAAGGCACGTGCCGAGCTCCGATCCTCCGCTCACACGTGAGTTGCCCTCCCGGACATTGCTCTCAAGAGGAAGCGGCTCGGTCCCGACATGTCTCATTGCTGCTGTCGGTACTAATATCCAGGATCATACGAGCCATGCGACGGTACGGCCTGAGGCGCGTAGCCCCTGGGGGCCTGCATCGCCTGTTGCTGCTGCATCTGATGTGACATGACCAGGTCGTTGAACCACGGATGGCCTAATGCGTCATGGGCGCTGACCCGGTGTTCGGGCCGGAGCACGAGCATACGTTGCAGCAGGTCGATGCCGAGCTGGTCGATCTGCGGCAGGATGGCCCTCAGGTCCTGGGTGGCGTACATCTGGAAATTCGGCTTGTACTCGGGGAACTGCGTGATGCCGGGCCAGCTTCGTTCCGTCGGGGTGCCCATGATGCGGAAGATGCGCACGATCTGATCTTCATTGGTGGTCCCCGGGAACAGCGGCCGGCCGGTATACATTTCCGCCATGATGCACCCGGCCGACCAGATGTCAATGCTGGTGTTGTAGGTCCGGCTACCCAGCAAGACATCCGGAGCACGGTACCACAGGGTGACGACTTCGTTGGAGAAGGTATTGACGGGGATGCCGAAGGCCCGCGCCAGGCCAAAGTCGCCCAACTTGAGGGAGCCTTTCCCGTTGATCAGGAGGTTCTGCGGCTTGAGATCGCGATGCAATACCCGATTCTGGTGGCAGAAGTCGATCCCCTTGAGGAGTTGGTACATGAAGGACTTGATGGTGGTGGGTTTGAGAGCGCCCCGGTCGCCGTTCGTGTCCATGTACTTCTTCAGGTCACCGTCCATGTACTCAAAGACGAGCATGAGCTTGTTCTCGGTATGGATGACATCATGCAGGGCGACGATGTTCTCGTGCTTCAGCTCCTTCATGAGAGAGATCTCGCGGATGGCGGTCGAGGGTGTGCCCTCTTCGGAGTCGAGGTGGATTTCCTTGAGGGCTACGAGTTCACCCGTCTGGCGATTCCGTCCTTTGAAGACCTAGAATGCGCGCTCGGCTGTCAGAGGACAGGCTCGGGTGTCGTAGATGTTGGGAGGAAACGTACGGTAGCATAAGTGCCCTCGCCCAGCTTCTCAAGCTGCTGGAACGAGCTCGGATGTCTCTTGGCGTCCATAATGGCCTGTTAGGAGTCGAGATGGCTGACAAGTGCAACTCGAACGGCAAAAAGGGCGAAGTCGGAACTGGACCCTCTTGTTGTTTCCTTCCTATTGCCAGTGCCGAAAGGAAGCGCAGGCCGTCTGGGAGACAGGACGGGAAAGGCAAAGACGAGTCGAATAACAAGGTAGGCGTTCCGAGCGGGAAGACGGCTGCGGTGACGGGGCGGCGCGTATAGGACACACGACAGCTACTGGGAGGAACACGGTTGCGAGGAGGACGCCGAACGTGATTGACGTCGGCGGCTATTCATGGGAGTCTTCTCGAGGCGGGCAGGCGGCAGGCGGGGCAGGATTGTGGCTCCTCAACCCATTTTCCAGCCACAATGACGGATGGGTCACGAACCAGGATACAAGGTACCTTGGAGCCCAACGGGTACCCGTTTGTACCTGTTTTGTACCCAACTGGGATGATAGCTACTTCTGGGATGGGGACACCACCCATCCCTTCTTTCAATCAAGCAACTTCCAGAATACAGACCAATAGTCACCTATCGTGACCCTGGTCCTTATTCTGGATACCGCTACCACAAGGCACAGGATGTCGATGTATGGGCCCATATGCAGGTATCGCGACGCCGGCGGGGGGCAGGGCTTGGCAGGGTCCGGTATGCATGTAGGCAGTGCTATCTCTTTCCTGGGGGCTGCTTATCGGATGCGGGGTCCCCTTGTTATGAGTTGGAGATAGTCATGTCACCACCCGCGGACCGTGGACATGACCTCGGAAAGGTACTGCACTTCCATATGCCATCATTCATCTTCCGGGCCACGCTTCATGTAGTCAACAATCTCACACCTACCTACCTACTCAGCTACTCTACTCATCTGTTGAGCTCGAACGCCCTCCCCTTCCCTTCGTGTTCGTGATCTAGGCAACATAATCTTCCAGTCAACCCACGGGACGCCGCCCTACTGTCAACCGGATCATAAATGTGATTGATACCCATACAGTATACCACGAAAGCTATTATAGTATGCGACCTCTGCCTGGCCACGACGACTCCCGCGTCGGCCGCCAGCGCCCCGCCGACCATGACCTCGTGCCCCTCATGAGCTCTGCGTCCAGCGCCAGGCGAATGTCCTTCGTCCTCGCTGACGAGGCCTCTGTCGATTCCTATCTCGAGCAGCCCACTGTACCGAACCGCTTCAGAGACCCTCGGAAAGCCGCTGAGCAAGCCCAGAAAGACGACAAGAACCATGCGTCGAGACAGCCTGGACGGGACCATGCGCCTCCCTACTCACCGTCGTCGGGCGCTTCCCATCGCACACGTAGTCCTGCCTCCATGAGGTCAGAAGACCAATCATCAGTATCGCGGCCCGTAACCCCCATCATGATCGGCACCTCTTGTACTGGTTCCGCCATGAGTAGCCCGTCCATCGCCGGCTCCCTCTCAGATCATGCCGTCAGCTCCGACGAAGAACCCACGGCCAAAGGCGCCTCGAGTATGCTGGACAGCGGGGGCAGCGCCCCCCAGCTCGTCATGCCCAGCATAAGGATGCCGAGTCGACGCCCCTTCACTGAGACCGGCAAGAACATGGGTCGCTTGAAGGTGCTTCTTGCTGGTGACTCCGGTACAGAGCCTGCCGCCCCGTTGCCATCATCCTACTAATGTCTGATCTCGGGCTTTAGGTGTTGGCAAGACCTCGCTCGTGAAAGCGATTGTTCAGACCTGCGAGCATATCGTCCACGCCGACCCACTGCCCTCGCAATCCGAGGTCAGCAGACGTCCATCGAGATCGCACGATGACTTGTTCTCATCGAGGAGAGCTTCCACATCCACGAGTGCCGTCTCCGAGATCTACGCCAGCACCAAACCCTATCCCGAGTGGTGGACAGAGTTGGATGAGTTCCGCGCCTCCCGACGGCGGAAGAGTCTGGGTGATAGCGTCCTGGAACGCAATATCTGTTTCGTAGATACACCGGGCTACGGTACGGGATCATCCGTGAGTCCTCCCCCTCAAGCCATCTCGCAACGACGTCTGATTTATCCAGGCTATGGAGATCATCGTGCCTTGTGTCGAGTATGTCGAGTCTTTCATGAACAAGGTGTCTTCAGATTCCATAAGCGACTCGGATATGTTGAATATGCTAGGGGGTGACGGCGGTTGTCAGGTTGACGTGGTTCTTTACCTTATTTCAGAGAGTAAGTCATTTGCCAGCTACCCAGGGGCCATTCTTGTCTGACTTTAGGAAAGGGCTGAAACCTGCCGACCTGGAATATATTCGCCGACTGGTACCGCTGACGAACGTCATCCCCGTTCTGGCTCAGGCAGACGCTTTATCACCAAAACAAGTCGCGGCCTGCAAACAAGAAATTGCTAGTCAGCTTCGCGAAGCGAACATTCGACCCTTCAGTTTCACGCCGTCGACACTTCTAGAGTCCGGGCCGCCCGTGCCTGTGGTCCCCTACACGGTATCTAGTGCGAATTGCCCAGACTACGACACGATGGATGCGAGTCTCCTTATGAGCGATGATTATGTGCAGCCCCTGAAGTCGACGGAGCTGACATACCTTGTCGAGAACGTTCTCAGCCCCAATGGAGCATCTTGGCTTCGTCATGCGGCGGCCAAGAAGTATCTGCAATGGAGACAGAGCTTTGCGCCACGACCGCGCCATCTATATCGGCCACTGGGCCTGCCCGGCCCAAGGAACTCGTCTGCGCTGGCTCGACCATCAAACGATTTGGTAGGGCCATGCCCAACTTCGGCGCTCGCCCGTATTGCTGAAGCGCGGAACAACAGCCCGCCGCGATTTCACATGGTTGATTGGGCAGCCGACCTCCAGCGTAGTCTGGCTGGCGAGCGGTCGCGCTACGAAGCACTTGTGCGCGGCGAGCGTGCGGTCTGGCTCACAGAGAGATTGAAGGAGTGTGTTCAAGACGGTACTCTGGTTGCGATGAACGGGTCAACGGAGGCGAGCCCTGGACGGACGAGGCGAGGGCGGCACGGACTTTCCCGGACAAAACAACAGCAGGATCCTCTGGGATTACTCGGGGTGACAGCGGATTTGAAAGCTCGGGGTTGGGTTGCGCTGGAGGTGCTGGGCAGCATGAGCGTGATAGGAGGACTGGCATTCTGGCTGTCGAGGCAACATTGGCAGACAGAATCTGTCAAGCCACTGGATGAGTGGGCCAGGTTCTGGGGGATGGATCTCTGAAGAAGTGTCAATGAACTAATAGAGGGCAGTAGTAGCTCTGCCTGCCCACCACATCAGATAGCAAATGCCAGAGATGCCACTCTCATGCTGCCTGAATATTGAGAGTGAATTGTCAGTGTAATCGTAGACTTCGACATCAGAGCTGTGTGTAGTCAAGTGAGGTCTGCCCTTCAAAAAGTAATAATAAGTGTTTTGCCATGGTGAACTCGCCCCGGTGAGAAAAGAGGAGAGAAGTACAAGACGAGAGGCAGAGAATCGAGCTGTTCATTGACTGTGGGGTGAAAGGAGAAGGCGTTATACCTTAGCGTCGTCACAGTGTTACAACAAGCCGTATACATACGGTCAATCTCCCACTCATCCAGAAGGAACGGCAACAGTTCTCCTTCAATTTTTGGCAACTGCTCACGACGAAAAGGAAGGAACATATGCGGCTTGACCTTATCGAGCGGCGCAGAAAAATATGACGTTCCAAACGAGAGCAGCTTCTCGGACTGAGTGGGAGATACTCCAGGTATGAACCGCAGATATACGGCAGATGTCTGGCTCGTTGGTGTTGCACATCTGAATAAAGTAGGGGAATTGTTGCCACTCCTTGTAACTGGGTTACGACGGTAAGGCATGATACTCGTCAGGTCTCTAAGCGACTTGACCCACTTTTACGGTCGTTCCTCCCTGTAAGTACCTCTTCTGTGAAAGTTGTGAAAGTTGTGAGTCGGTAGATGAGACGTGGTCCGTGCTGCAGCTGAATTACCTAAGGCGGGCGCTAGTAGCTACGCTTTTCGAACCGCCATTTTCGGGTTTTCGCTCGACCAACTGCCAGCCTGCCAGCCCTACAATTGGATGTGAATGTACGTAACCTTACCTACCTACTTACGTACCAATTCCATCTCTGCCGTCGTCACCGTCTTTTTCCACCCTTCCCACTCCGATTCGTTCAAGGTCTTGCGCGGGCTCTGCGACAGGTTACTTTGTGCCAGATCCGCCACCACCAAGAAAGAGCGGCCACCCTCGATCCGCCGACGCCGAGCCTTGTCTTCCGTAACTAACGCGCGGGTGAACGAGAATCCTGCGACATCCTCCGAAGCAAGGCGCCGCCCATGCTCTTCAACTTCCCATTCCCTCCCAATTAGCGCCATTTCTTAAACACGACCGCAGTCGATTCACGCCGAGTCTCCTCCCCAGTTCCGACAAACATCACTACCCGACCGACATGGCAAACGCCGACAAAACCTGGGGCATCACCCCTCCCATTTCGACCGTGCTTCCCACCCCGGCCGAATCCTATTCTACCAATCTGCTATTGGAGGAGCTGAGACGCCAGAATACCTTCGAGTCGGCATCCGAGTCCAAGAAGAGGTAGGTGCCCTAATTCAACGAAACCGTCACTCAGTCCCTTTTATCTGACGGACCACATGTTGCAGAGAACGAATCCTCGATGATATCCAACGAATTGCCGACGAATTCGTGCGCCGAGTTGCCAGAGAAAAGGAACCGAAGAACGAGGTCCTCATTCGCGATGCACGTGGCGAGGTCTTTACCTACGGGAGTTATTGTCTGGGTGTCTACGGTCCAGGCTCTGACATCGACACACTTGTGACAGCGCCGAGATATGTCACTCGCGATGATTACTTCAAACACTTCCCGGTCCTGCTCGAGGAGATGGCCCCGAAAGGTGCCATCACCGATCTGACCGCCGTCCAGGACGCCTTCGTGCCCATCATCAAGTTCGAGTACTGGGACATCAGTATTGACTTGATCTTCTCGAGGATTGCCACCCTGACTCAGTTTCCACCCCACAAGCAGCTTTATCTGACAAATAATGAGTACTTGCGTGGACTGGATGACCGCGAGCTGCGATCCTTGAATGGAACCCGCGTGACAAACGAGATTCTCAACATGGTACCCGAGCAGAGCACCTTTCGCCTGGCATTGCGAGCCATCAAGCTGTGGGCTCAGCGTCGCGCTATATACGCCAATATCATTGGCTTCCCTGGCGGCGTCGTGTGGGCCATGCTCGTGGCCCGCGTCTGCCAGTTGTACCCGAAAGCTGCAAGTGCCACTATCGTCACAAAGTTCTTCCAGATCATCAAAGGATGGCCCTGGCCAATGCCCGTCATGTTGAAACAAATGGACGACGGACCGCTCAACGTCCGTGTCTGGAACCCCAAGGTATGCTTGCATCTGACTGGTGAGCTCTGAGCCCCGATGGCACTGACGCTACTGGCTGCTCCTAGGTATACAAAGCCGACAGCTTTCACCTAATGCCTGTCATCACTCCGGCCTATCCCCAAATGTGTGCGACCTTCAACATCACCCACTCCACCAAGACCATCTTGCAGCGCGAGCTCGAGCGCGGCAGCGATATTACTGATAAAATAAAGGCTTCCAAACTGGCCTGGAAGGACCTTTTTGTGAAGCATACCTTTTTTACCTCGGACCACAAGTACTATCTAGCCGTCATCGCCACCAGCACCACCAAAGAGGCCCATAAAATCTGGGCTGGTTTCGTCGAATCTAAAGTACGTGTTTTGGTCGGTGACCTAGAGCGCCATCAATCGGTTGCCCTGGCGCGACCTTTCAACAAAGGTTACGAGAGGCAGCATAAGGTGAAGAATGACCACGAAACCGCAGACGTGCAGAATGGTAGTCTGGCCTATCTCGCTCAGGACGACGACGAGAGTGACGGAGATGCACCCGTCAAGAAGGAAGTCGCGGTGGACACCAAGCCTGAGATCAAGCCGGAATCCATTCAAGAAGTCAAGGTCGAGATGAAAGCTGAAGATGACGATGCAGTCATGCCCAACCTTCCTGACTTCAAGTCCGATCCGGAACACAGCAAAATCAAGCTGGAGGACTTGCCTACCCTGGGTGCCAAGATCTACACAACGACACATTACGTCGGCCTAGAGCTTGCTGAAGGTAGGTGTGCCGATGCCCCCCCCTCCCTGGTCCTTTGCAACTCACTGCTGCCACTCCGGCCGGCCACGCTTATGATGTTTCCTAACCTGGATATGATAACCCACTAGGCTCGAAATCTTTGGACCTCTCTTTTCAAGTCAACAACTTCAAGCAGATGTGCACTGAGTGGGAAAGGTTCGATAAGAAGCTCAACTTTTTGAGTATCCAACACGTCAAGAAGTAAGTCCGAGGAGACCTGCCACCTGGTTGCTGCTTATCTTCTCCAGTATCAATCTCCCCGACGACGTATTCGAACCCGGTGAAACCAAACCTTCGCGCCCTCTTAGAAAGGCGGCTCCAAACGGCTCGATGGCGGGCGGCCAGAGGAAACGCAACGCTCCGACCGAAGTATGTAGGATAATGGACGGTGGATAGGCAATACAGCGGCTATCGCCACAACATTGAAAAAACTCTGCCCACCTCTTGGGGAACATGCTAATTCGCACTCTAGGGTAACCAACCACCTGCGAAACGACCACAGACCTCCCTGCAGACCTCTGCCGCCGCCGCCGGCTGAGTAAGACACGACCTGCAGGTTCCTCACGTATGCGAACGGCAACTGGATTCTCTAGCTCATTTGAGCACTTTCATATTCTGCCTGAATGCCAAAGTTGGACATATAGGGGGCACCGATACTAACACGACAGTGGGCCGCCGATGTTCGTCCAACACCAGTGGACATATTAGCCACTTTGCACTTGCGCCCTCGATCCCAGTACCAGGGATACGCAGCGTGCGATCGACGAGTAAGACACACCAGATCCGCTAACCTGGGTGCAAGAGATTAGGGCAGGAGGATGGACGGAAATAGAGGACTCGGCCACGGCGATGCCTCATCAGGTGACGAAAAGACCCTTGCTTACACGCTAAACCCTGCTTTACACAAACTCGATGGTTGATAATACCCCCTTTTCCTAGCAAGGCCAGCAATGCTGACGGGCAAAGGGGTAATGTAGACGACCAGTCGCATCACACCACCCCTCGAGATACCCCGGTCAGATTCGTAGTGAAGCTCATTCGGTGAAGATGATTGCTAGATAGAGTACTCACTCGGAAAGTGGACGGTGGTGGACGGCAATGCGTGTGTGTGTGTGTGTATCTAGTGGAGTTGGCAGATAAACAAAATAAACATCCTTTCAGAGGCACAAGTGCCTCGATACCATCGACCTGCGATTCTTTGCGATATCCCTATGTCGTGCCATGACTTTAGCAATCGTGGACCGCAGATGACTTCGCGGTAACGGCCTTCGCCCTCGATCGCCCGTAGCCATAGTTATCGACTACACAGTCAAGTGCTTCATGCTACTGCTGTTTTTACCCCCTATGTTACCCACATGATTTGATTCCCTCGCCAACATGGTCTATCTAGAACACTAGAAGCCACAAAGAATGTTATTACCCTTTCTTGTATCAGAGTGAGTAGCATGATCGAATAGGGGGTTGGATCGCTCTGGTCAAGCCGGAACCAGCCTATCCCTGCTCTCCACGCAGCCGTCAGAACCTGTCTGCGTCTATGAGAGCACCTGAAGGGGCGAAGCTGTATACCGATATACCTACTCCCTCACATTCACTTTGCTCGCTCCTTCTGCCCTTTAGGAGGGGTTCCGGTCACAAACACATACTACGGGCCCTCCTTACATCCCGCAGCTTGGTCGTTGTGACGTTGGTAGGAAGAGCCCAGTTGGCCTGCAAGTGAATTGATCGGGAACACAGCGGAAGAGGTGCAAATCCACGCACTAGCTGGCGTCTGCCCTGCTCTCCTAGATTTCCGCTATCGTCTAATACCGACTCCCGAGCATAGCAGCAATGCGACGGCAGGTAGGTTGCCACTGCAGCAAGGATGGCGCTCGAGCATCTCGCCCTGTGTGGCGCAATATAACTACCTTCTACTAATACTGGTAGTCGAGCGTCAACCTGAAGGAATCAGCAGAAATCATTTTTTCATGGGTGTTCTCATCGCTTTTTGTACAGGTATCTAGATCTAACAGACAATGGTACTAGCTGGTGGTCGTGTGCATGGAACGCTGGCGAGCTCGAATGATTCAGTGAATCGTCATCGAAACACCCCCCTAACGCACCTATCCCATCAATCAGTCCATCGCGAGAGAACGAAGAAATCGCAGTCGTTGGGCTGTGTATGTTGTGCCTCAGGGTATGCAAAGTCGGATCCCCTAGCATAGTAAAACCCTCCCACGACACATCAAGCTGCTTATGATGGACAACGGAGAGCTGCCATGGATCCCAAAGCCCGTTGACTTCCTCTTCGGGTTTCCGAGGCTCAATTCCTTCCATTATTTCGCGATTAAGCGGCATCAAACTGTCCTTGACGAATCTTCCTGCGTGAAGGCTCTTGTATGCTTGAAAAGCAGCATCCTTGCAGGCGTTCTGAGAGCCTTTTGGCATGCACAGCCGCGGCGCTCAGTTCCGCAAAATAGTACATTCTATATCTCTCTGAGACAAGACACATTCGCCCCTAACGCCCACAACGCTTTTTGCTGGAACCGTTTGCCGTCTCAATGACCGGCCGGAAGTAAGGAACAACGCCGGGATGTCGAGCTGATGGCGTCGATCTATGATGCGTCTATGCAGTGTAGGAAAGGTTTCATCGTGATTGCAATATCGTCGTGTCCGGTCGTCGTAGAAGGGAATATGAAGAGAGGTGGGCTCTGCTCGGGTGTCATAGGAAAGATAAGACCGCCGCGGTTGTATTGTACAGCCTTAAACTGTGACTACTAGAGGCGTCCGTACGGGGACCTGAGCCCTTCTGACTAACCAAGATTCCGTCCACGGTTTATGCCGCATCTCGCGCCCACGGACAGTTGGCGTTGTGCATGTAGAGGTCGTGGTGCAAGTCGAGAAGCTGTGTGGAAATAATTGAGGGAAAGTGGAAGAGGAAAATTCATCTGTCCCAACAGGCAGATCCACTCGTGCAGTGCGCAAGCACCTTCGGCTCGATATATGTGGGACGTGGCGGCCAACGTATGCGACATTGTCCTGGCTTGAGGTACGTGGTTGTCTGGATCGCATACCACGCACTCATTACCAAGGTCTTCTGGTGTGAGTGTCGCAACCGCATCCTTGATTGACGAATGAATCTCTTCAGCAACGTGGGCACCGGTGTACGACCATCCCATCTTCCTAACCCCGACTCTTCCTCCCCCCTTTGCGCGCTTTGGGAGGAGGCGGAGGCGGCTCGCTATGAAGATGGCCCAAATCTTCGATCGCCATCTTATTTGTCCAGTTGAGACATCGTATGCTTGCTGAGTCCGGGCTGTTCGGCTGAGTCTTCCGAGTAAGCATTCGCTTAGTAGTCTCCTCTTTCTTTTCCGGCTCCCCCTCCTTGCCTGCGTCCGCTTCTCCAGGGCCAAGTAGGTAAAGGGCCCGTTTCTCCATGTGTGCCACGATCTTGTCCTTGTAGAGCAGGATCTCTTTGCGCAACTTCAGCTCGTTGAAACCCCGAGGATCTAGCCAGTTGAGCAGCGAGTCGACCTCGGCGGGATCGGAGTAATAGCCCCATTGGTGCGCCGTGAAGACGCTGGTCCGTCCTTCCTCCATCTTCTTCCTCTGCGGCACTGTCATCTTGAACCTGGCCTTGTACTCCTCTTGGTACTCGGGAATGAGGTCAACGTAGCCTTCCCTTTCCAGATCGTCAGGGCCCTGCACCCAAATACAGCCGTTGGCATAGCCGGCGTAGGCCGTTGAGCTACTGGGCAGGCCAGCATACGGCATGCCATTGCGCTCAAACCAGTAGTACCGATTCCAGAATCTGTCTTTGCCGAGGACCCGAGTCCGCCCGCAGTCGGCCTCACGCAGGTCATTGTCGAGGACGGCGATCTCCCGCTCGCATTCCTTGATGAAGTCTTCCTTCTTCTGGATTTCCTTCAAGACCTTCAAGAACTGCTTCGACTGTTTGGGCATCTTCGCAGCGATCTCGGCCTCCTTCTTGCGCTCCTGTTGTTCACGCTTGCGCTGCCGTTCCGCGGCTCGGTCACCGCCGCGTCGAAGCTTCCGACGGCTGTGAAGGTCTTCCTCGCTGTCATCGCCTTCTTCACTACGATCCCCTGGTAAATCATCTGTATCCACCATGGTGACATCGCCGTTGGTGTTCCCAGCCTCAGCCCCCCCAGCAGAGGGCGAGGCGGGCATATTCTCCGGCAGAAGAATTTTCCTCTGGTCATTGAGCGCCTTCAGATCCTCGATACTATGAAATTGTCAGCACGCCACAAAAGGCCGGAAAGGGACGTAACTCAGCGTACGCTTGCTTTCGGTCCCTTTGCCACTTAATTTTCTCTTTCCGATACCCTGTCATGACCTCGGCGCCCTCCTCAATATACCCGCGGACTGCCTTTGTCTCGATAGTCAGCATGCAGAGTATCTGAAGAGCCGAGGTGCGGAGATTGAGATCCAGGACCGAATATCGATGGCGAACAGTCTCCCGACTGGGTTCCTCACTCGGAGGTGCGAGTTGAGCAAGCAGCTCTTCACAGGCCAAGGTCTGGCGGGGGTCCTTGGAGAGTTGGTACAGGAGTCCAACCATGATCAACTCCCAGCCACCATCCTGAAACTCGCGCTTCTTCAAGTGTTCGATCCAGTCAAACTTGGCCAGTAACTCGGGAGCACGGTGTTTCACCATGGGTTCGGGCGTGTCCTCCTTCTCAGCTACCGCTGCCTCGGCTCTCATTCGCTCGGCCTCAAGCTTCGCAAGGCTACTTCTAGTGGCGCGGCCGGTCGGCTTCGGTTCGGGCTCGGGCTCGGGTGTGGGGAGTGTGCTTTCGTCTTCTCCATCCTCGTCCTCCTCCTCGTCGTCAATTTCGGGTAGCTTCACCTGTAGCTGGCCACCCTCCTCGGAAGTCACGATTTGCGTGAGCACCGCGCAGTGGATCTCAGTAAACAGTTGAGATGGTGTAGTCTCGCTGCTAACCTCCAAAGCCTGGATAAAGTCGTCGAAAGTAAACGAATCAAGCTTGAAGATATCGCAGTAGACACTCAAGGTATTCCACGTCTCCAACAACGGCCCGATCGACTTCATCAAGATCTTGTCGTTTCTGCCGCCACTGTCGACAATGCCCTCGGGCGGATCGCTGCATATGAACTTCAACGGCGGGCGCACATAGTCATCGCGAGGCTCCAGCTGCAGATCCTCTATAGGGTATTTAGGGGGAGGAGGAGGCGGAGGGGGCTCTGGTTTTGTGAAAGCGGGCGGCGGGGGAGGCATGCTGTGGCGGAAAGGTACAGGAAACTGAAAAGGGTTGTTGCCAGGGACGGGGGGCATCGGTCCCTGATCCTGGTCGAGAAACATATCCGGGCTCCCTTTGAATTGCTGGTCGGGAGGTTGCTGATGGTTATGGTGATGTTTGCCAGCCTTGTGGCTTTTTGGCGCGGGCTTGAGTTCGGGCAGTCGGGCGGGACCGAGGGACTGAAATGTGCCGTTCATGCCATTCGTTTCCTGCAGGCCATTGGTAGGATGGAGGCCACGCTTCTGTGCCTGTTGCTGCTTGCGCTCGAGCAGTTTATTGTCGTATCGCAGGTGCGGCGGCACACGGGTATCGATATGGTATTGCGCGGCAACATCGTGCTTCACAAGCCAAGGAGCGCCGGTCCACGCCTCTCGGGTGACGGTTTTCTTGATGAAGGACCTGAGTACCGACTTGGTGAAGATCTTCCGGTCGCGATATATATGTTCACTCTCCACCCTGGCCTCCTCGCCCGGTCGGCCATCTATGCTCGTCGAGTATCGTGAGTAAGGTTGCGTGAGCGTCCCATCTGGAAGAACCTTGCTACCAAGTCGAGCCTTATCTCGAACTATGCCCGCCACCCGCTCCCCTGTGCCCAGGTGTATGGTGACGGCCTCGCCGGGATAGTAATCGGTTTTGAACTCTTCATAGATCATGTCCACTAGTGTATCGATTCTTGAGATGGTTTGGAACTGTACGCGCCGTAGGACGGGCCCCTTGAGAGCTTCGGGGAAGGCCTGTTCGACTTCTTGGGCACCAGCGAGCTACACGTGCTAGTTAGAGATGCGACGACGCAGGGCCAGGGGTCATAAGCGACGACCTACCTCACTCCTCAGTGCCTCGAAGAAGGTGAGGCCAGAGTGGCCGGTGATTTGGCAGATGAAGCGCGTCTGTGGCTGAGTTAGTATTTGGTCCGGGGGACTAGAGGCGCGTTCTCGCGTTCTGACCTGGTTATAGAAGTCGTAACTAGACCGAGTTAGCACAGAGGGCAACAACATGCAGCAAGCAGGGACGCACCGATTCAGATATTCATCATAGGAGTCAAACACCTCCCCAGTTTCGTGCAAAACCCAGACCTTGAAACGTGTTAGCGGGGTTGAGTGCTGTGTAACGCCGGTTGATGGGTATAAGTCACCTCTGCCGATTCATCGTCCAAGTCCGGCGGCTGCAGAAACTGCACCGGTTTGCGTTTGAAAAGCACCTATAATGGTGAGTAAGTCACCATTCCAAAGCAGACATCGCCATGTTCCTTACCATAGTTGCAATGGTACTGCAGTACCAGGCCTTTACTGGATGTTGAAGATTCAGTTGCCACGAGAATGAAATTGAGTGCGAAGCTTCTTGCAATGCTCGTCGATCTTTACCTCTAGGGCGATGAGCTTTCTGTCTTGAACGAGGCCGATGGCGGCGTTGAGGATGGTATATGGTCGGTTGCGAACCAGATCTGCAAGGCTGAAAGTCAGCCCTATGTGCACGAATGCGCGCGTAAGTGCGCGCGAGGTCAAAGAGGCATTGGCAAGCTGCTGGCTGGGCCAATACGAGCTGTGGTTGCGCGTTGAAGACAGCGTTGGGGGATGGTGGAGGTTTGAGGGTGGGAGGGTGCCAAGCGGAGTAGCCAGGCGGCAGGGAATGGGTATGCGCCTACATACATGTGAGGCTATCAAATTATACCCAGACGCGGTCAGGGATGCGCTAGACGTGTTGCGCCAGGCATGAGCCGCATGAGTGGCAGTGGTGACGGTGGTGGTGGAGGTTGAGGGTGGTGAGGAGAGAGGGCCGACGCGACGGGCCTGGGGTGGTGTTGTAAAAGTTTGTGAAGAGCAGCAGGGGGAGGAGGAGGAGGAGGGCGAGGGAGACGGACTGACTAAAATAATATAAGGTACCGCTGAATGTACGTCCCAGGGCGGCAGGGCCACACACACCCAGACACCCACACCTTTTGCGGGAACAGGTTCAACAGGTGCCAGGGGCCGGGGATGACGGCGTTGATGCTTGTCTGTGAGTGGCTAGGCCGCCCCAGGGTGGGCCCCCCTCGCTTATTGGCATGGGCCTCAGATTCATGTCCACCTGGGACAACACCTACCCTCCCCCATTGCCTCTGCCACTTGCACCGCAATCCTCACCTCCACGACTTGCACCACCATGCTTATACTCGTTCTGATCACCACGACGAGGGCTCTCATTTGAGTACCAAAGTGCACATCCTTGCACTTAGATGCACAGTCTGTCGCCGATTGATGCCTGGCCCAGAATTCCGCATCCCAGGTAGGTCAATCCAAGCCAGATTGCCTCGACTCGACCAACGGCATTGCAACCCAGTTTTCAGCCCAACGCCTCATTGAGCAACCCCTTTGTTACCATCTACTTGTAGAGCATACTCTAAAGCATTACATTCACAAAAGATATCCCTTTGTGACACAAAGTGAGCCAAGTGCACCCGTATATCAGTCTCAGCAAAACTTGGCCCCTTTTCATCCAAGCTGTGCCGAATAGGGGGATGCAGCTCTTCTACCTAATCTTCTTCTACTGCTCTCTCTCTGCTACCCGGCATAGCGTACTTGAGCCTTTGACGTGACTGGTGCTGCCTCTCAATTGAAAGTTGATGTTCACGGAATTAATTGGCTTGATGGTCTCTGGGAGCGACGGGGGGCGGTAGTGAGACTGACTGGGCGGGCTGCCTAGCAAGCCCGTCAGGGATTTTTAGACAACGCACCACGCACCACGCACCACGCACCACACACCACACCGCACCGTGTTTCGGGGCGGACGGACGGGCCAGAAGGCAATCAAGGTCCACCCTACCAAAGCAACACGTCAACCTGGCTTGCACGAAAGCAAATCAGAGCAACCCAGTAAACATCTGCCATGCTCACCGTACTAAAGACATTTTCTTATACGAATTGACAAGGATTAGATACTATATCGCTTGCGGTATAACTCAAACTCCTCATGTGGTCAATTGCTACGACGTAAAGTAAACCACCATGAAGCCGATCCAGCTGCCGACCACCCCTACGGCCGAGTACGAGCTCATGAACATGAGAGGGAGAAACTCGTAACTCTTCCCGAATATCACCTGGTGCAGCAGAGAGCAGTATAGGATGAGCGGTATGCTGACCGTGATGTACAAGATGGCGAAACGGTCAAATAAGAAGAAGCGCGGCCAGTTCGACGCGGGGGCCATGCGGTCGAATACCATCAGGAACAGGATCAGCCAGAATATGGTGTATACTATCTTGATGGGGAACTCGGCCGGTGTGAACAGCAGCGGAAACAGCGAGACGTGGCCAGACACCGCCAGGGGGCGGAAAGCACTGAGATGGCGTCGGTCCTTGAGGGCAATCAGACTGAAGGGTATGATGACCAGCAGGATGGCCTTTTCGTGGACATGCCATCCGAAAAGAAATGACGCGTAGCCGCAGAGTGTCACCGACCCGATGAAGGTATCCCAGCTGGGCCGGACGAACAGCTTGACCAGGGGTATGGCCTGGAAGAGCAGCGTCAGGGCGAAACACATCCTGGGCGTCACCTCGGGCAGGACTGCAAATGCCGTGTCTCCTACGAGTCCTCGCGTGACACTGTTGACAGCTTCCATCTTGATGGGCAAGCCTAGGCGTGGAGCGACTAGGTCTGTGAGACACAACAGACCAGCTAAGGTTGGGTGCGAGGGAACTTACCGGATATCATGATCCTGTCTGCGAAGGAATACAGGGCCCAAAGGTTTGGTGCCCAGTAGGCATGACACAGACCGCGCGAGAAGGGGAACAATCTGCTCAACATCTGGGGAATCTGGCCCTTGGCGGCAAAAGGTCCAAAGGCTAACCCGAATATGGCGACAATGCCGGAGGCCAGCTTCAGACAGTTGAGGAATTGGATGCGGAAGATGGACTTGGGCGACAGGCAATAAGTCCTGAGCAGGTAGACAAAGTAAGCCGGCGCGAGGTAGAGATAGATGTGCTTCATGCACAAGAGCGCGGCAAAGACCAGACCACTTGCTAATAGGCCGCCTCTCTGGCGTGCCAAGACCAGGGATAGGATCAGTATGCCGTACATGGCGCCATTATACTGGAAATGGATGTGGTCAATGATCAGGAGGCCGGGCGAGAGCAGCACCGAGATGGCAGCGGCCTGAGCAGCACGTCTCGTGGCTCCGTGCGAGGACTCGATGAACCTTGGAGCGGCATGTCAGCCTTTGGAGACTCGCGACTTTCTAGATGGGTCTGGCGGGACATACAACTGCAGGGCGTAAACGAGCACCAGCTCGGTTGCGATGACGGTGAGTCTTTGGAAGTAGGTGGTTTGCCAGCTGTCATACTCGAGGTTGTAGACGCGGAGCATGGCTGGGTCGGCCAGCTTGGCGACCTGCGACAGGATCCATTCGAAGTGGGCGAAAAAGGGCGGATAGTCAAGTGTCCATTCTGAGGTCTTCTCATAGTACCATTCCCATGGCGGCAGGCTATTTGTGATTGCCAGCCAGTTTCGGTGGACTTCGAAGTCGGTTGACTTGCTGTGGTAGGTTAGTCTTGGTCGGCAGCCAAACACGCCTATGCAACAACACATGCACATGCAATGGATGTATGGATGTAGGGAGACGACATACTACGCGGGAAACAGGAGAACCTTGAAAGCAGCAGCAACAACGGCGCATTGCGCAATTGTCGGATAGGCTTCAGTCATTGGTGTTGCTGGTCATCGCAAGAGCCACTGGACTTTTCACCTTGGTCTCTTTGTGTAGGCGCGACCAGTTCAGTGTGCTTGTGACTGGTAGGTAGCAGTGGGAGGTGAAAGAGTGTATGTCGGAGTCGGCGTTTTTCGTCTGGGAACTGGAGCTGAAGTCAAAAGATACGTACCGATGTGCGACATCCGTCATCCCACATGAGTGGAATCGACTAACGAACAGCGCTAATGTATCATCTGCCAGGTACCTCCGTACCTCTTACCGTTGCACCTTCCATCGAAGTTTCTCTCTAAACTAAACACACGTATGCATGTAACCACTACATGTATGCAGTTCATGAATGTTGATTTGGAGCTTGGCCGTTGACGATCGTATCTTCCAGTTGGCTCTGCAGACCACATTTACACCGATGGTTTTGTCTTAGTTTTCCCTCTTCGTATTATCATATTAGGTACTCTATGCTATCTGGTATCACAGAGTATAAGGCATTATCAATTGAGAACATCTTCATTTCTTGGCTGCACCAGCCGCCCAGCCGCCTCATAGCTCCCCACAAAACAGGGGAGCTCCTCTTGCTTGCACCAACGAAGCCGCCTTTGCTGCAAACTGTCCTCTCTCAGTCTCGGCCTGGCCAAGGGTCCATCCATTCAGCCGTCCACCACCCCGGCCAGATTGTAGACGTGTCACTTCTCCCTCCATAATAAGAGCCGGCGTTTGTGTGGCCATCTGCAGCTTCTGCGCGTCTTCTGCATTTCTCTTCGTTTTCTGTCACTTAAGATGCGCCTCCTATCATCGTCAGCCCTCGCCTTTGGCCTCGCAGCCACAGCCCAAGTTGCCGACGCCCAGCCGCAATTCCTTGTCAGCGAATTGAGCTTTGGGTACACGGGGAGGTGAGTTGCGTGCATTGGTACCAAAGTCATGTCCTTATACTGACCTGCCGTCAACTCAGAATCAATGACCGCGGCGAGGCCACCGTTCCGGGCTTCTCCATACAAGGCACGCCAGATGTTCCCGAAGTTCTCTCCAACAAATTAATACTCACACCTCCCGCGCCCGGCAACACACGTGGCGCAGTATGGGCTGACCAACCCAACAAATACTCCAAATGGGTTGCCGATGTCGACTTCAGGGCCAATGGTCCCGAGAGGGGGAGCGGCAACCTCAACATATGGCTGGCAAGGCGGGGAAACCAGGAGATCGGGTCTTCGAGCATATACACGGTCAATCGCTTCGACGGGCTGGCCCTCGTCATTGACCAGCAGGGGGGCTCGGGTGGCATGATTCGAGGCTTCTTGAACGACGGCACCGTCGACTTCAAGACCCAGCAGAGCGTCGACAGCCTGGCCTTCGGACACTGCAACTATGCCTACCGCAATCTGGGGCGCCCCTCGCAGATCAAGCTGTCGCAGACCGCCACGGTCTTCAAGGTCGAGATCGACAGTCGCCTGTGTTTCGAGAGCGACAAGATCACCCTGCCTCCGGGGTACCACTTCGGCATCACAGCTGCCGCCGCCGACAATCCCGACTCTTTCGAGATCTTCAAGATGGTGACCATGACGGAAAACTTGGACGCGAAGCAGGATGGACCCCCGCAGACGCAACAACAGCAGCAGTCAGGACAGGACCAGGCGCAGGCACAGTTCAGCTACGGCGGCAACACGCAGAACAGCCCCCGAGCCGCCGACAACGTAGACGATGAGATCCCCGATATGTCTCCCGATTCCATCACGAGCTCCAAGTCGCAATTTGCCGATCTGCACAACCGCCTGCAGAGCGTGAACCACCACCTGTCAACCATCTTCCGCCAAGTCGCGAGCGCCAACTCCCTCGGCGAAAAGCGGCACGACGAGACGGCCAAGACGGTAGACGAGATCAAGCAGCTCTTGTCGCGGCTAGACAGGCTCGACAAGCTCGACAAGCTCGACTCGCTCCAGAAAGACATCACCAATCTGCAGCGCGACCTCAAGGACATGAAGCGCGACGTGAACAACAAGGTCAGGGACTCGGAGAATGCCCTCAAGAACTTCCTGGGCTCGAACCACGGCACCATGCTGGAGCACGTGGCCGTCTCGGCGTCGCCACGGCTTGGGCGCATCATCTTTGTCATCATCGGGAGCCAAATAGTACTGGTGGCCGGCTATGTCTACTACGAGCGGAAGAAGACGCTCCCGAAGAAGTATCTATAGCATTTGGGTTGCGGAGCAAGGCGCAGGGATAATTGTATAAAATGGATGGCAGTGAATGGATTATGACTGCTTCTCTAGGGGCAATGTACATGGATTTCCATCTTTGGTAACGTCTCTCATAGATGGAGCCGTATAAATTGATTGGGACGTTGGAAATCAAAGTGTGAAAACACCGCGCTACCTGATTGAACATGACTTGGGTGGCTATAAACAGCAAGCTTGTGGTATAAAGGGGAAATAAGAGCAACGGCCTGGCTGAAAAGGGCTCTGAAACGTTGATATCGACAGACGCCTAACGCCACATCGCACGAGAACCTATGCGAGCCTTAACATAGCAGAGAGACCCCTGGTCTAAGCTGACGACTGCTTCTCCCTCTCACCCCCCTATGTTCGCCTTCCGAATTCACAACACATCCAATCCCACCATCCTCAGCAACTCCTCGCCCTTCGGCGCCGTCGTCAGATTCTCATGCCCGTCCCGCGTGACCAGGACACAGTCCTCGATGCGCACGCCGCCCACATCCCAGTACCTCTCCAGGACCTCAACATTAATAAACCGCCTGTGCTCGTCGTTGCGCAGGAAGTAGGCCTCGATGTAGGGCCGGCAGAAGTAGAGGCCCGGCTCGACGGTGACGACCATGTCGGGCTGCAGGATGCCGTGGTTTGTGGTCTGCCGTTTCTGGTGTTGTGTGGAAGTGTGAGCAGAATCGTGGTCGAGGTCTTGGTTTGCTTGTTTGATCATGGCCCGTACGGACTGTGGCCCGATCGGCCGGCGCTTCCCCCACATGCCCTCGCCGGCCGGACGAAGAAGGTCTCTGCTGAGGACACTGCAAGCCGTTAGCAACCGGGGGCTCCCATCGAACAAAAACCTGAGCCACAGGGGTCGCATGGAACGGCACGGCAGGCTCAAGCTGAAAAGCGGTAACCTACTCATGAACGTCGAGGCCGACATGATGGCCCAGGCCATGCGGAAAGAAGGCGGCACCGGTCCCGTTCTTGAATATCTCGTTCGCATCGCCATTATGGAGGATACCCAGCTGCAGCAGGCCTTTGACTGCGACGAGAGTCGCGTGAAGCTGGAGGTTCCGGAACACGACGCCTGGCTTGATGCGCTGGATGCAATCATCCTGCATCTGGTGCACTAGGTCGTATATCGCCTTGGCCTCGCGCGAGAACTTTGAGGCAAGCGGCAGCGTGCGTGTCACGTCGCTGGCGTAACACGCCCACTCGGTTCCGGCGTCGAGCACCACGAGCTGCCGTCCGGCGAGCGGCTCGTTGTTGGCGTCGTAGTGTAGCGTCGACGCGTTGACGCCCGAGCCGGCGATGACAGGGTAGGCTTGCGTGTGCGCATTCTCCGCTGTGCACGCGCCAATGAAGGCGGCTTCGATCTGGCACTCGTTTGTCATGTTGTGCAGCGATCGGGCGACCTTCCTGTGCGCCGCGGATGATATATCATTCGCCTTTCGGATCATGGCGATCTCGCAGTCTGACTTGATAGCCCGTGCTTCGTCCATGACGGGCTGTAGCGAGGCTATGTCGATCATTAGCTTCGGCTTGAACTTCTCGAAGCCGTCGAACTTGGGCAGCTGGGAGGCCCGTAGGGCATAGAGTGCCTTCACTTCAGCCAGCCTTGAGGATAGGTATCCCGGTAGCTGGCTCGTGTATTTCGCATCGTGTACGTCAGACTTTGCGAGACAGTCGTCGGGTGATGGCGTGTTGCCGAACCAGAGGACGGTGGCTGGCGGCGTATAGGGAATCCACAGCGTGAGCTTGTCAGCCGCGATGTCATATGTCACACTACAGCCCGGGAAATCGATACCGCTGAGGTAGTAAAAGCTGATAGTTCTTTCAGCGGCGGTACGGGAGAGTTTTGAGTTCCGCGGGCTTACTATCGACGTTGCCGAAACGGTGGTCCCTGGTCGGAGTCCTCCCATGTTGCCTCCAGCTGGCCTGGTAGATAGATTATACCATTCTCCGACCCAAGCTCCTTGGCTACTTTTCTCGCATGTAGTTTGGCTAGTAGAAGCTTTAGTATTCGTTGCGCTTCAGTTTACATAAGGCGGTCAGGCTCCAGCATGACAAGTTGAACGATGTAAGCCAGGGCGGTTCTCTCAGTGTGAGCGCATCGCATCCGTCTACGGCTGCAGCGCCGACTCAAGCAGAAGGCCAGCAGCCTTCCGCTATTTCCCCATACAGCACGGTACATGCATCTGAAAGTCACCCCAAAGTACAACTCAGGGGCAATGCCTCATAGTAGTGAGAGTGAAATGCCCACTCACCAGGGTATCTGCTCGACGTTCCCACACTCATCGGCTCCGGCACCAGGGGCTCTATAGAACTGTGCCCAAATCCAAGTCAGCGGCGAACGGATAATCAGGATGGAAGGTCCGATGTTAAAGCCTCGCCCTCGCGCCCACTCGGTCCAAGGCAGGGCGCGGTATAGGTAGTCTTGGGTGTTCGAACATACAGTGCGTCGAACTCATCCACAACCACGAGGTCGTGCTCGATGTCGGTTGCTTCCATATCGTATTAGGGAGAGAACGAAGGCCGAGTAATGGAGAGTTGGCGCAAGCCCCCGAATTATGCGTGCCAGGTATTTGTTCCGATTATGCGTGATGAGCTGGTGGTTTGTTGATAGTACAAGAGGCTGTCGCACGGGCAGCCTGTGTTGTCGGGTGGCGCTACTTAACATTGGTTTCAAGCCGATTGGCTCGATTATACCTACGGCCTTCTGGGGCGTGCTGGGCCGACTGGCAACTTATAAATAAATACCTACTGTACCGAGAAAAGAACAACCTCCTCCCCAACCAGCCAGCCATTCGATAGTGTCTCATTCTCTCCCGTAATCCTTACTAAAACATTTGGGAAGATTGGGCACCAATTTTGAACAACATTGATATATAATCACTGTGGGCCAAAGAGGCTCATTGGCCCCTTTTGCGGTGTACCAGTTAGTCGGATAAGAAGCAATCACACTACTTTGATGGTTATAGCAAGAGCTAGTAGATGAAACTGTCTTGATGTTCAGGCCAGTGGTATGGCTGGTCGATATAAACATGTATATACACTGGACTACAGAGGCCGTTATTGAGATCCATATCTCGCCGTCCATCATACTTCCACATAGCCTACCCTCTTTATCACACAAGAATCCCGCGCAACTGTCTCTCTCCTCGTGCCTCATCGTAAACCCGAAATCCGGGTCAAGTTGGCGGAACTGCCCGGGGGTATATTGGGCCGACGTCTAGTATCGTGCTTCGTCCATTCCATCGTGTCACAAACTCCAGTCCCTATGCTCGTCCATGAATTGAAGTGGTTGGTCCTCGAGTGACAAGTGAATGCCGCCTTCCTGCCAGTGGGGTATCCTTTTTCTTCCTTCCAAGCAAACCGTAGGCCTAGTTCATTCCGTGCGGGGGGTACATCCCATGCCATGAAGGGTTACCTACTAAATCATCAAACTCTCTCCCTTGCAACCGCTGCCGCTGGTGCTGCGGATGCCGATGTTGTGCCTGATGAAAAGGTTGTGAGGGCAACATGGGATCGGAGTACATGTGTGTCGGAAAGTTGAATGCTGGTTGAGTTTGTGTCTGCATCAAATAAGGCGGAAGGGGCCCTAGGAGCTGCCCCTCGATGCCGTCGTAGAGGTTGGGCATGTAATACTGAGACGGACCGTGATGTGGGATGCCCCCCTGGCTGGCGCCTTGTACTCCGGGCTGGTAAGCCACGAATTCAACGGGTGGCTGGGTCGGGTACTCTAAGGGATTATCTGAAGGGAACATAATAGCATCCAGCCGGTGGATCTGTTGAGCTGCGCTGGTCGTGCCGTGCGGCAGGTCCAGACGGCTAGGCTCGTGCATGCCTGTAGTAGCCAGAGATTCGGGGGATGGTGCTGATAAATCCAGTGGTGAAAATGGAAAGCCGGAAGAGAATGATACTCCAAATTCCTGATTTGGTAGGTGAGCATTGTCAAGGGGACCTCCCAGTTGGACCGGTCCAGCTGATGCTCTTCCTGTATTTCTCGAGCTGTTCCCGGACCGGCTGACCACCTCCGTCGGGCGCCGTGATGACTCGGCAGGATACACTTGCTGGACCGCTTTGAACCCTCCGTCAGCTCGTGGTCCTGATGCCGGCCGCTTCCTCGACGCGGCTCGAGCCTTCACTTTCTTCAGACTTGCAGGTAGTTGTTCAAATAGCATCTAGAACAGTCAGCGATACCTAGACTGGGCATAGTCCATGGGTGGACAGCACTCACCTCCAAAGTATTGGATATGCGATCCGCGACCATGCTCTTCTTGGCGAGTTCACTGATCATATCTTTACCCGCTACAGCGTCGGCTAGTATCTCTGTCGATCCGGGCTTGTCCTGGTTCTCCAAAACGAAGAATACTAGGGATATGATGGCAAAGAACTCGGAGAAGAGAGTAAACCAGTACGGGCCTACAAGGGAGACTTGTTTTCGCATTTCGGTTCCAAGATGCACGATATTCCGCGCCACGCTGATGCCAGCAGCTCCGCAGGCGTACGCACGTTCGTTGACGTTTTTCCCGGCAGAGATCCTGGGAGAAACGTAGTGCAAGAACGGCCGGTACAGCACCATCTGGACATGAGCGTACGCAAACCTAAGCAGATTACGAACTCTGAATAGCGAATTAGCAAATCTTGTTCAATGCAGGTTGTCCATGGAGACGATTGGAGATCCCAGAGATCTTAACCATCAAACTTGAACAGTCTCATCCACGCTCGGGCATCTTACCGGACGACTTCCACAGGTCCTTCGGGGTTTGGACGCCAGGTAACCGGTAGCTGCTCGTTCCATTGTTGTAGCTCATCCTCCATCTCCTTGATTTTGGCGTAGCTGATTGTATAGGATGCATATGGAGGGCCGTCACCTTCTACTGTGTTTTGCTCCATACCCTTCAGAGGATAAATGTGCTTGACCACCTTGCTCAACAAATCCATCAGCTTGACGTGCGCGTTGAAAGCCTCAAAAAAGGAAGGGGTGCCCGGCGGCGGGGCCGATATTCCGGTCTTCGTGATGTATTGGTCGTCAACCGGGGTGGGTAATGGCTGATCGATATCGTCGTCGTTGAGAAGTAATGGAAATCCGAGCAAGGCAGATACGTAAGTATCCATCTGCCGACATATATAGAAAACCCTTCGTCTGGTTTCGGACTCGATTGGATTCATTGGGACATGTGGAAAGTGCCGGTGCAAGCCCATTCTCAGCGCCGATCGCAAAGCAATCCCAACGAACCCGTAGCAAGTGCTGAGGTTTGATATGGACTGAATAAAGAGGATCATGAATAGAAGGGCTTGAAGAGATGCCAGATCCCGACACTCGGTGATGTCTTGTAGCAAAGACCTCGCTGAACTGTAGTACTTCAGCCTGTAGCACACGAGTTAGTTCTTCTTTATCGATCAATAGCAGCTTGGGGGCTTTTACGCTTCATCAATCGATATCTTGTAAGGTGAAGCCTCGACGGGCTCGTCGTCAGGGACGGTGTACATGCAACCCAGCGCCATTACCGAATAAGCCAGGGCCAGGTTCCGATTGTCTTCTTTTCCGAAGGCCGCCCCGGGCCTTTCATACAGGCCGTCAAGCATGGCATAGAATGAGGGTTTGTGGACGATGCGTAACAGACATGTCGCATTATCCAGGGACTCTGAACACAGCGCCATGGCCCTCTCTTTTGGTGGTAAATTGTGTATGTCTGGAGTACTGCTGCGCTGCCACGGGGAGCTCGAAGCCGATCTGGGAGAGTCGAGATTCAAAACACCGGCGGGTCGAGGGGGCCGCGGCATGAAGGGAACCTGATAGTCTCTCCCTAGAAGAGCACGGAAGTGCTCCTTCATCCGCTTGAAGAAGACGGAGCCGGACGAGGTGCCATGGAAATCGTAATCACCCCTCTCGTCTAGGTCGAGCTGGCCGACGGTCTCAATCATGGACTGCAGTTGACCTTCGCCTGCCGGTGATTTCGACTGCTCCTTCTTCAAGGCGACAGCTTTTTGCCTGGCCTGTTCGCGCATGCGGAACTCCTGCTGTACGGAGGGATCCAGACTGGGATCGTTGAGGTCGACATCGGGCATGAACTTGCGCAACAGAGTCTCTGCGCGGGACAGCTTGTTCTCTAAAGCCTCGATATATTGTGGCGCCGGGTTCCTTCGCCTATTGGAAGGCTTGTCGTAGGTGCAATCTGGCGCGAGCGCGTCAACAGGCGAATGACGGACCGAATGAGGAGAGGGAGATTTACCATAACTGTACACCTGACAATGTGTGCAGGGCTGCTTGCCATCGCACTTTATTTTCTTTCGACGGCACTCGTCACATGCACGCATCACTCGGCGTCGTTTCTGCATCGGTAATAACGAACGGACTCCCTTGGAAGACCCGGCAGGGGTGCCGGGCGCATTCCCAGTGGACGAGTCGTCGGACAAGTCATGGTCGGGGGAATCGACAGTCTCGGGCTTGACTGATCCTGCGCGACTCGCGGGTTGCTGTGAGGGGCGGGAAGATGGTGACATGTCCGGCCGAGAAGAACTTGGAGGCGACGACAGGTTGCGCACTGCTGTTAAAGCAACGTAGACAGCGAGGCTCGTCCTACGTGGGTTCTTCACTTGTTCAGATCGAACAGACGCCCGCGCCACATATTGAGAGGGGCTGCCGCGTTGAACCAATTGCTCGGGTCTGAAGGCGCGGCGTCGTAGCGAGCGAATGCGGAGGAGAGTAGAGGTCAAGTGTCCAGTTGGATCCGTGTCTTGACCAATCGCGGTTGCGAATTGGGAAGAGATGAATTGCAGGCCGGTACAAGAAAAAGGAATCACGGGCAGTGGTCGAAGAAGAGTGGTCCTGACTTGTGTCGGGAAGGCTGCCCACTGCTGGATTGAAGACGAGAGAGTACGAACTACGAAGGAGGGTGAGACAACTTTGAACTGGGGTGGTTCACTGGTGGTGTCTGTTATTATTAGTGTTAGGCTCGGAGAGCCGAGAATCCATATGTGGGATAAATCCCGGTATTACGTAGGGGCGCCAGACGCATACCCGACTGTACCTGGTCATACCTGGCGTACCCCGACATCCATGATATTGGTCATCCCCGTCCAGTCCACTGCTAGGTAAGAGACCAGGCGGGTGAAAGGACTGTCTGCTAGTTCACTCGAATAGGCCGCCTCGAAGATGTACTTCTGACAGGTGGCATAAGTTGAATGTTTCTGTGTGCCACTGGTAATGGCTGTGTTTCTACCGTAGTCTTGAGTGTGAACTTGCCCGCGATAGGTAAAAGTCTGGGCATAAGCTAGCGGAAAAGGCAGAAGATGGATGAACCAGAATGGCCGCAAAGACACCTGATTCGACCTTGATAAATACACAGTTAAGGTATCTGGATTCTGATGCAACGCTGGGCCATCAGCATCCGTGTTCTCGTGGATATGCAGGTACCGACCGTATAGAGCATCGAAGTTGCGAGGACAGTACGGCCCTCGCGCCTCCTTCATCCCGGCATCTCCCCGCATGTAGACAACGTAAAACCTACCGGTAGCTAGGTTTGTTCCAGCGACCATAATGGGCTTGGTGTGCAACTAGCAACGTCGAACTTAGCACTGGGAAAGCAGCGAGCACCGGCCAGACAAGGTGAAAAGTCTATCTCATCACAGGTGAGGTAGCAAGGTAGTCTCCAAGGGGGCTTGATGGCTTGGCAGAAGATGGGACATCTCGCCGACAGGATGTATGTATGTATGCTGCTCCTTGTTCTTATTACACCTGTTGCTGCTCTCTCTGCCAGTTCTTCTGATGCCGATCAAGCGTTCCGGTTCCAGCTGACAACAGCGTGAACTCAACGGTCGGGACTGGCTCGGAAAGTAGGAGACAGAGGCTTTCATGACAGCAGTGGTCGAGACTGGGCTGCTGGGATGACATTTCCGCTAAGCTCTGCGCCGAGAGAGCGCTCGATGCATCGCGGGCTTGGCGTACGTCTCGTACTTGTCGTATATCTCTTCAGGCCGAGGCAAAGAGCAATCTGGTGTTATTAGTGGGATTCTAGTGCTGCGCCAACTCGAGTCGAAATTGAAGACGGCCGCACAATGTTCAGCCGAAGCGCAAGGGAGGCGACTCAAATCAGACCCATCTTGAGGTGGTGAAGGTCGTCAACATTGGTGACGAACAGACGAGCGTATGCCCACAAGCAACCTTGATGTCGAGAATGGAACTGTATCTTTATCTTGGACAACAAAAGACACGCGAAGTTGTTCGTTAGCCCGCAGTGGGTATTTCGGAAAGCGCGGCATGTCCGCATGTGTGTTGAAGAGGCAGAGAGGCGGAGAGGCTAATAACGGGGCAAAAGCCAACAAGGTCCTTGTCCTTCTCCACCAGGTCCGAGCCATCTATTCTAAGTTCTTGGCGGCAGCCTGGGCAGTTGGAGGTGATGGGCCATGGCTGGTTGAGGATCATGGGGATTTTGTTTTGCCTGTCGATTCCAGTGGCAGTGGATGGGACTTTTTAATTTTTAGAAAATAGTGCCCGGGACTTCAGGCGGCAGATAGCTATGACGCAAGAGCCTGCCTGACGCGACTTCCTGAAGCTTGAAGCCTTGAACACCACAAGCTAACCACCCTTAATGGGGTTAGTAAATGTAAATAAGGTACCTTAAGGTAGTTAATGAATATGTGGTCTGTGCATAAAGTGGTGCACAAGTTGTTTCTAGCAGCGGCAACGGTCCCGACATCCTGACTTTGAGTTCACCATGGCTGTCTTTGAATACGGTAGTCAACCGGTACATTCAAAGACAGCCACGGTGAACTCAGAGTTTGGCGGGCCGTCTCTGCAGGACCCAGGGGGTCGCTTGACCGCAAACATCCATATAGGCAAACGTGTAAGGTATGATATGTCGTAGCCATCGTCAGTGGGCTATTGGGCAATTGAATACATGTAGTCGAAACAATCATTCGGCACCGACGGTCAGTATATGGAGTAAAAGGGAATATCTGAGTGGCATGCCAATGGCCCAAAGCAGCTTGGGTGAAGCAGGCAGGCTGGCAGGCAGCCTTGCTGTGGACGTCCAGTGCTTTCCCGGTGCTACATACTACACATCCTGGCATCCAGTGACGACCCCCGGGAGTGCTGATTCCTGGAGCTACCCCGCCCCCACCATCAGTCCTAGGTCGCAGCCTAGGTTAGGTACCTAGGTGGTAACCGTCACGGCGTGTCGTATCCACAAGGCTGTGACAATCAGCCAACTCCCATCTCAACGTTATAACGACGAACCGATGAACCGTCTTTCAGCCCCATTTCACTTTACCAAGAACCCAACAGCACATCCCGTCAACCAAGAGCATCTGCCATTGGCCTACGACCCGTGTAGATGCTGTCTTGGGGTTATGGTCCTGGAGCAGAAGAGAGCCAACGCACTACAGTGACCGCCACCACCCCGATACCTACCACTGCATCCTGCGCTGGCGAATGCCTTGACTCTTGAGCAGCGAAACGATCCCAAATAAACGCGACCAAAGTGTGCGCCATGGCGTCCAACGAAGAACAGAATCATGTACTGGAATTCTTCACCGCAATGGACAACCAAGAAGGAGTCATTGTTCGGCGTGAGTGCCAAACCTGATCTAGGTAGACCCAATCGCTGATGCCGTCCTTGTTACAGAAGCGCCCAAGCTGGACCTCGACCTCTACATATCTAATTACAAAGGTTCGTCGCCGTTGTCTGCACCACCACCACCACCGACTGACTCTAATCCATATACCTAGGCCGCACACGCTTCGAGCGGCTCCTACGCATCGGTCAATGTTCCGTTCCCTTGTGCCAGGAGGCCTTGAAGGCTGCCATCGTCGAAGCTAAGCAGGGCCAAGATACCCAACGATACCGCGATGCTTGGGAATGCATCCGCATCGCTGCTCCCAACGAGCCCGAGGCCCAGTGGGATAGCGCCTGGGTCACCAATACCGACAAGACCAACAAGCACGAGACATACCGGTTGGAGACTGAGCTCAAGGGCTACAAGAACAACTTGGTGAAAGAGAGTATTCGGGTAAGCATGTCGCCACATAACCATGTATATATGTCACCAGGGGCCATCGCTGACCTGCCAACCCTTAGATTGGCCACCGGGACCTTGGTCAGCACCTCGAGAGTATAGGAGACTTGACCGGAGCCACCGAGGCTTACTCCAAAATGCGACCCGACGCGAGCACGCAGCAGCACATCCTCGCCGTCAGCAAGCATTTGATCAGCACCATGATACAGAAGCGCGACTGGGCCGGTGTTCTGGCCAACGCGAACAAAGTGGTAGCCGTGAGCGTACCACCTCAGGAGCAAAACACTGAGCAGCCTTATCAGAAGATGGTCTCCGGTGTGGCGTATCTCGGCTCCGACAAATACCTCGAAGCTGCAAAGAGCTTCTTGGAGGTCGGGGACCCAACTGCATGCCAGCAGTACAATGACATTGCCAGCGTGAACGACGTCGCCACATACGGCGGTCTCCTCGCGCTTGCTTCCATGGACCGGTTGGAGCTGCAGTCGCGAGTTCTGGATAGTTCGACTTTCAGAAACTACCTCGAATTGGAGCCTCACATCCGCAAGGCCATCTCCATGTTCGTCAATGGAAGATACTCAGCCTGTCTGGCCATCCTCGAGTCATACCGGCCTGACTACCTTCTGGACATCTACCTTCAGAAGCACGTCAGCACGGTCTTCTCGCTCATCCGCAGCAAGTGTATCGTCCAGTACTTCTTGCCCTTCTCATGCGTGACGCTGGATAGCATGAACGCTACATTTGCCAGACCGGGCGAGTCTCTAGAGGCAGAACTCATCACGATGATCAAGAGCGGGGTGTTGAAGGCACGGATCAATACTATTGACAGGGTAAGCAGGGTCAAAATGTCCCAAAGATTGTGTATCGCTAACATGGTCAATCAAGCTCCTTGTCGCAGTTTCTACCAATGCTCGTGTGGCCATGCAGACTAAGGGCCTCGAAGCTGCACGGAACTACGAGAAGGAGGCATTGGAACGCATTCGACGGGTAAGCCTCGCCGCAGCCAACCTCGAGGTCAAGGGCCAGTCTCGGAATGCGGGCGGGGGACTCCCCGGTGTTGGTGACCTATGGTCAGATGATAACGGCAGACGGTTATTGAATCCTGGTGAATCAGCGATGGGCTAGGGTGCAGCATCAATGACCAAGAAGCGACGACGGAGCATGACGCCGGGAAACAATGACTCCCACGAAGAGAGATATTAGAGATATTGAAGACTCTTTGTTCTTCTGCACGCTGTCTGGGGGGGCAACAGCTGTAGCAGGAGCCGAACAGTCGATATCCGCAGGCAGCCTAGCAACTCTGGGGCTGGGACGGTGCTATAGTAAGTGCAAACTTACAAACGCCGTGGACTGATCAATCTCGGATTCGTCGGGACGGATTGATATTCGCCAGTAGGCAGGCAGCAGGCGATTCTGCGGAGTCTTGTTACTAAGCTCTAACGAATTCCATCACGAGTGAGGCTACGAGAATCACGATAGACTGTATGTAGTAAATGGCGAATAAAGCAATGAATTGCATATCTACCTCATCCCATCAACTGTCTAATATCCTCGGGCGGCCAGCGAACCTGAGCAAAAGTGAGACATCTCTTGATGCTCTGTAGGTATTTCCTCGTGACCTCGTCACCCATGACGTGGCCCCTCTCGCCGTCGTGCAGCTTCTCGCGCGCGCTTCTCTCGTGGATACCCACCATGGTGACTCCGATGGGCCAGGCGGCCTTGCCGATACTCAGGCGCAGGTAGCCGTCGTTGGCGTCGACGTAGCGGCGCTCCTGGGCGGCCTGGACGATCTCGACGACGGGCTGCAGGATGTCGTCGTCGAGCTCGCCCTTCTCGAGCTTGCGGAACAGCGGGGTCATGTTCTCGCGGCTCGAGACCATGGCGTTGACGGCGGCCTTGCTGGCGAACGTCTCGGTTTTGGTCTGGAGCTGCTCGCGCGCCAGCGCCACCTCCCACTCGCGCAGCACCATGGTGAAGTACGATGCCAGCTGGCGGAACAGGTACGTGCGGGCCGCGCGGTCTTGTGGTACGCCGTTTGTGCTGTCCACCTTCATGTCGGCCTCGTCGACAAGCCGCAGCGTCGTCGGGATCGGCCCCGTCGTCACCACCGTCGTCAGCTTGTGGTACCGCCGCAGCCGCGCGCGGTGCGTCTCCCCGAACAGCGTCGCCGGCGCGCCCAGCTCGCGCAGTTTTGCGACGAGCTCCTTGTCGGGTATGTCCTCGTCGTCGCCGTCGGCGGCTGCATCTTTGTCCGTGTCGTCCTCCTCGACGAGGTCGGGCAGCCCGAGCCGTTTCCGCCGCGCGCGCTCCTCGGCCTCGGCTGCCTCCTCGCGCCGCCGCCGCGTGTCCTCCTCGAGCTTGCGCCGGCGGTCTTCGCGCTGCCGCACCTCCTCTGCGCCGTCCTCCTCGCGCTTGCGCTTCTCGGCTGCCCTGACGGCGCGCTTCTGCTCGAGCGCCTCCTGCTCTGCACGGTAGGCGACTTGGCGCTGGGCCTCGGCTTCGGAGCGGCGGATGTATTTCTTGTTGCTGGCTGGGGAGTCGTTGGCGGATGATGTGGGTGGTTTCGCCTTCGCGATCTCTTTGGACATTAGGGATGCGAAATCCATCTTTGCCGGGTGGGGTGGTGAGGGAACACCAGTCGACGATGGGATGTGTAGCTCGTATATTGGAGCTGAAGAGATTCTTGAGGGGAGATAGAAACCACTGGCTTTTATGAAGATGATGTAGAAGTTATCGAGATAAGTACCTGGTCAGTGGTAGGTAGGGGAAGAGCCGCAAGGTAGATGCAGTAACGGGTAGTATTTTTAGCTTTCCTGGGGAACTAAGCAGTTGCCTCGGTAAAGCCTAGACTGCCAGGCGGCCCGTGTGTATGTACTGAAAAGTATCGAAAATTGTGTCTTTTCGGGACTATTTTTCTAATAAATATCATTAGTTTAAGAAAAACGAGCTACCTAGCAGTTTAAGAGTATTTAATAATTAAATATCTTTTGATATAATAATTAATAATTAATTATTATTTAGAATATTTAATCATAGCTTTTAATCGCTATTTATATATTGTAATATATTATTTATACTATATATAATATAAATATCAATTTTACTTTATTTTCTTTACATAGTTAACTTAAAATTACCTTATTTAAACTTAATAGTTTTAATTAAAATAGTAATAATACTTTCAGCTTATTAAACCTCATTTTATCCAATATATCTGTTTGTTAGTTAAAGAGTTATATTTATAAATAGCTAGATTTAAAAAAAACCAAAAAAATTAAGGTAAAATGAATTATATATTAAAAAGGTTTACAATAAGAAGTTCTATACATAAGTAATTATTTTGAACTGTAAAAAAATTGGAAATTATTTGAGTTAAAAAGTTATATAACTTATTACTTTTTTATCGAGACTTTTTTATTTTTATTAAGTTTTTATGCGTTAATTATACGATTAATTATATGAATTGTTTTTTTAATCAAAAAACGTTAAAAAAGGTCTTCTATAAAAAGCTAATAGTTTTATAACCTAGTTGACGTTCAGTAAATTTTTCATTAAATAAGAAAGTCATTTATTAAATAAAATATAAATATAAAATTTTAAGTTTAAACATATTTAATTTTAAAGAGAATAAGTTGTTTTTCAACGTTATTATTAATTTAAAGACATTCAAGCTAGTTACGTAAATTAAATTAATATTTACGTGGTAAGGTTATAAGTATAATAATAAGTTATAATTATCTATATACTTGTGACGGCCTGCACAGACCTTCCCACATGACAAGTGGATACTTCTTAATAGGGGAAGGATCTGACCAGAGGATCCCCTTAAAGGGGCAACCTCCCACTGTACCTATCTCTCTCTCTCTTCCTTTCCTCTCTAGTCTTGATATTCTCGTCAATAGAGTAATAGCTGCCGGCCATGTCCCAGCTCCTCAATACGCTCGCCGTGACAATACTTTATAATGTTTATAATATGCTATAAAATTGTTACAATTAATGATTGTTATTTCTTAACTTTATTTAATATTTTCATAAAGGGCTCTCGGCGTGCCTTGTAAGGGCACGTAACGAAGGGAGTATCTGCATTTAATGGAGGCAACCAAGCAGGCGGAATCAGCCGTTGTGTAACGGAACGGAGCAAAGAAGCTGAATTGGCCGACGGACCCCTCCATCGTCGATTGACGTTCCATGGTATCACCCAAACCCAAACCCTTCTGGAAGATCACTCCTCCGTTAGAAAAGTCTCACATTGCTCGCTTCAAACCACCTGGTGTGAATAATCCTCTTCACAACATGACCTGAGATACATCTTTAGCATTGGCGAGTCTTGTCAAGACACTGCCCCGCGAAACAAGCAACATCCAGCCGAGAAGTACGAAGCACATCTATCGCCATGGACCGCCATGCGACACCACCCTTCATGCTGCAGCTCTTCTGCCGCGCCGGCGCATTCCACAGGTGAGAACAGCATTCGCACTCAATCTGTGCAGACGGTCCCCTACAGCAACGGATGAAGACTAACACTGCAGCACCCTCAGGCCGGACGAGTTCACGTCGACACAGCTGCCACCACATCTGAGCCTCTACACCTGGCCCAACTGCACCCTGACCGAGCTCGCGCACCAAATCACGTCCTCGAGCGACGACAACACATCGCTGCTACCACCATCCGCCATCGGCACGCGCCTCGCCTTCCGACTCATCTTCCCAGACACGCGCAGCAACGCTAACGGCGCAATGACGGCGCGCTACATGGTGAAAGAGCTGGGCAGCGTGATCATCGGTGACGGTGGGCGCGGTCTCGACCCGGACGACCTGGATGCGGAGAGGAGTCTCGAGACGGAGACGGACGGCAGCAAGACCCTGAGCGAGGCCCGGTTCGTGGTCGGGGACTACATCTCGTGCGCCATCCTGCCGCCGCTGCCCGACGGCTCGGTCGCGCCCCCGTCTAGTGCGCGTATGGGGCGCGGAGCTGGAGCGAGCGAGCCCAGAGCTGCGGTTGGACGGACGCCATCAGGCCCCGGCAGAGCCATAGATAGGGAGCGGGAGCGGGAAAGGGAAAGGGAAAACGGGTTTGGACGGCCCGGCAGAGGCAGAGAGCGTGGAAGAGGAGGGTTTGATGACTTTGTAGGCGGTCGTGCTGGTCGTGTGCCCATGGGCGAGTGGAGGAGGGGAGAGCGACTACCGGATGCGCCGTCTCCTGCCCGTCCTCGCGGAAGGGGAGGCAGGTTCTGAACAACCAGTTTAGTCCTGGCCACGGCTGAGTGGCATGTGCTGGGGAAGCTGGGGAAGCTGGAAGCCCAGCACTGGTACCAGGCCACCTCTACCCAGTCTCCGTCTTCACCACAAAATGGTAGAACATATGCTGGGATCAGTACCAGGTCCAAAGCTCCGACTCCTTAATCTTCAGTCAGCATGGCTGGTTCAGGAGGCTGACGAGTATGTACGCGTACTCGCGGCATGACCCGAAAACTCGCATCTTTCTATTCCAGACGTGTTCTTGATTGTTGGGAGCTTTTACGTTCATGACGGTGCGCTTGGTAGCCCATGGGGTATGTTTTTTAGGCGTTATGGGAGTCGATAACGAGATACCCGATGCGTATACTTATTTATTATCTTACTTGAGTTATCTTAAGTGAATCTACCCTTGCTTATAATCCCGCCAGGCTAATCTAAGTAACAACTTAAACCAGCTCGTTAATATTGCCGATCTCCCATCTCTACCAACTGTTCTCGTACTAAACCCGATTCTGCCGGTAAAGAGCAGCTCGTTTAAGGTAGACATATCTTCCCCAGCTAGGGTCGTTGGTCCTTCGTATGAGAAGACGTACGAGAAGAGCCAAATGAGTTCTTTGGCCGGTTTATGGATTGGATGCATAGAATGTGGCTCGCCCCAAGTGTGCAAGTAGCATATAGCAGCAGTAGCAGTTATTGGCAAAAGGATATCTCGTTGATCAACTCTATCGTTGAATTCCTGCTGAGCGACCAGTCCTAAGTACAATCGGCCGCATCGTCCCCTGTACTTCGACCTCAACCTCAACCTCAGTACTCGGCCATCAGGTCCCCCTTCCTCTTCGCGCGCATATCCCACCTTCCCTAGACAGGCCGCCATGTCAGATAGGCCCCAAACTCGGTATCCACATGCTGGATGCTGGAGATTGACTCACATCTGTCTGGTACGCAACGACACCGAAGATGGCCGGTACGAAGACGGCGTACATGAATGTGATGCGGGCTGTTCTCGGGGTCCATCGGAAGAACTTGTGTCGGTTCGTGGTCATATCTGCGGGCGCGTTAATACCTTATCATCTCTATGGGTTGCTATTGGTTTCGGATCGTGGATCGGGATCGGTGTGTACATACTCCCTAGCTTCTGGATGGCCGGGTCCATCGCCATGCCTGGAGGAGATGATTTTAGCTTTGCTCGTGTCGCAACCGAGGGGCCCGTTGAGGTGTCTGGGTATTATGCGTACGGTAGTGCTGTAGGCCACCCATCTTGGACGAGGTAGGCTGGTACCGCGCGCTAGGTGGTGTGGTGTTATGGGTTCAGGTGTGTGGTTGCTTCGATGATGTGAATTGGATCAAGAGTTGGCGTTGAGGTCGATGCGACATTGAATTGAATGCATGTGGTCGGGTTGGGCTACGCGCCACACCTGTTTCAAGCCACACTTGCAGGTGTGGCTGCGCAACACCTTACTCAAACATTGAAGATTCACGTTCCGCTTCACATCAATGGCCGATTACAGCTTTCTGGGTCACAAACAACATAGTTCTGTCATTTTCTTCAGTCCATATCGCGAGAAGGATCATGGGTTACAAACTTGTAATTCAGAGCCTGCTTACTGTAGAACGATGATGTGTAGCTAGCTGGCCCCGACTCCCATACAAGTTACAGTACTCAGTACTCACGTACCGAGGTTAAGATAAGGGTGGACTGACTCACACTACTATTATTAGACTGCCTCAATACCTCCAGAGCACAATTGAAAGTGACCGGAAAGTGACCGATTCCTTCATCACCTCTGATCATCCGTGGTGTGACCTCAGCGGCACAGTAACAGGGAACCCCGCTAGGTTGATCTTTACCGTCAATCCATATTGCCCAAGCTCCAGCGCTCCATTTATTAACACTGCTTCTACTTGACATCTCATCCACACTTGATATATAAGGTCCAGCACTGGCCCCTATTCCACCGCTCCAGACAAGAGATATATCGCACCATCATGGCTTCCGACGCACAAGCCAAGGTCAAGCTGTTCTGGTACGTGGTTCAACTGTCCACCCATGTCCAAGCCATCCGAACTGACATCCAAACAGGCTCGAGAAGTCGCGCAGTCAGAATATCCTCTGGCTGCTGGAAGAACTCGACATCCCCTATGAGCTCGAGACATTTCATCGCCAGCCTGATATGATGGCGCCGCCCGAGCTGAAGAAGATCCATCCCCTGGGCAAGTCGCCTACCATCACTATCACCCCTGCTGGTGCTACGGAGCCCATCGTCCTCGCGGAGAGCGGGTTCATCACACAGTATCTGAGCGAGCACTTTGGCCAGGGCACGACCATGATGCCCAAGCGCTATAAGGATGGCCAGGAAGGCAAGGCAGGTGGTGAAACCGAGGAGTGGCTCCGCTGGCAATACTACCTCCACTACGCCGAGGGCTCCTTAACGCCTGTGCTTTGTGAGTAAACTTGCGCGTCCACTCCTTTCCTGACCTGTTTTGTACGACAAGAAGCAAAAGCTAACTCTGGACCCCGCAGTCATGGCAATGGTCCTCGGGATGCTGAAGGGTCCCAATATCCCCTTCTTCATTCGCCCCATAACGGCCATGGTTGTGAACCAGGTGTTTGCGAAGCTCATCTTTCCCAACATAAAGACGCACTTTGCGTTCCTCGAGGAGCAACTCGCGACGTCTGGCGGTGACTATCTCTGCGGAAAGAACCTGACGTCGGCCGATGTGCTGCTCAGCTTCATCATGATCTCGGTCAAGGACAAGCTCCAGGAATTCGGCAGCTTTGAGGGTGGCGGTCCGCAGGCACTCTACCCGAAGGTCTATGCGTATATTGAGCGGCTGCGGTCGCACCCTGGGTACAAGAAGTCGACGAAGAAGATCAAGGAGATCGATTCCAGCCTCGGTATCGATTGGTAAACTACCGTGCCTTGGTTCGTGACACGGGCTACATTGCCAGCTGGATCGGTCTTACATGTGTGACTATAGGGTATTGCTTACGCACGCAGTCATCTCAAGCCGCTGCCTAGGCATGGGCGGTTGAAGGTGAATGTGTTGCAGGAAGCTTGTATAGATTGCAAACTCACAACTCAATCAACTGCCGGATGGCTTGCCACTCAACATCTCCTTCGTTGTCGCTCTCGCCAGTGATACTTTATGGCTTGTCACTTGGGGTCCGTGGGATGGGCGCTTCCCATAGGAGCTGGGGGCGAATACATGACTCTTTACAGCTATAGGGGAAGATGTTGGACGTCCAAACAGAAGCGTAGACACGGCTTCCGGTCCAAGCCCTCCACAGCTGTTCTGATTAAGCACGGGAACATCTGGTAATGCTTTCGGCTCACATCACCTCGTTTATCGAGAGTATATGGCCGATCCACGAAATAGGTAACTTTCAGCTGTACACGACTACTTCAGATGCTGCAGCCACTGACTGTGCGCGCGATCGATGCAGTTGCTTTGCTCCAGCAACTCTCGACCACGACCTAGGGGTACTAACCCAGCCATTGCGGCATTCTTGCTCGGACCTATTGGTTGGATGCACAATGGGCGAATTGGCCAAGGGCATGTAGGAAACACATTCTCAGTGAAGTTGATTATTAATAGTCCCAGAGGCTGGTTGCACGACGTGCCATCGCCAGGAAAACATGCCTACTGGCGTTTTGGGGGCCAACAAGCTTCAATACCAAACAGCCCCCAACCTCAGCCATTTGTCAGGAGTGCCGTGCCGCTCATTCAGCCTCGACATGTCGCCATGCAGAAGTCGAATGGCGGTCTACCTATCATTTTATTCACAGGTGACAGCAGACTCATGACCGTCGTCCACTGTGGCTGATGAGTCGTGTCGGCAGTGCTCTGAATTCAAGGTCTGACTCGCACTCAGCACGCTTATTACCGGTATATTCTTATTACCGTAGACCCCTGATTCTAGCTGTCTGGCCCGTAGAGAGCTAATAGATAGTCGGGCTGGCCCGTGGTCCCCTGGCTCCGATTCGTCGTAATGACATGACGTCAAGGGACAACTTGAATCGCCCAAGTTCCAACGGCAGCTGGACAAGCCGTTGTTGTTTGTGCAAGCTTCTGGCCAGTGGCCAGCCTGCCAGTGTCGACGTCGTGGGAGGATTTGGGAGTGGCAGAGGCACCCACGGAGACCACGGATCGCGGCGGGGACCCAGCAGTAAAAGCAAGGCCAGCCAGCACTCATCAGCTCAAGTTCCATTTCAGAAGAAGCATCGTGGCTCAGACTTGCGCCGCGCCGAAGTAGTACCTGCCAGCAAGCAGCACCGTCTTCTCCTTTACGCTATGGGGCTGGACCCTCAGACCCTGTATATTAGGGGGACTTTCTTGTTGATTGGCCCCTTTGGTGATATTATATGTAGGTGATGATGATTGAATGGTGGCTGCCAACTTTTATCATTGTTACAGTATAAACAACGAAACAACACGACAAACGACACCACGACCCGCCCGGATCCTTCAGATCCCCGAAGCCGTCTGCTGACGCACAACAACATCTGGCCCGTTTTGCACGTCCAACCTGGGTAGCGCGAATTCTTCACCCGTTTCTCCTCAATTGAGGCGTGCCAGCGACTAGCCGGCAGTCCCGGACCACAACAACAGGGCTCGGCCATTGTGGATACATGCCTGATAGATGCGGTGCCAACACCGTTTTCCACCGTGTCTCTGCAAGCCGGCGTCACAACATACCTAATCACACATCCCGACGGCAGTGTTTTGACTGGACGTAATGACGACCGTATCAGCTCACCCGCCGCAAGTGTCACCTGCTGAGCCAACGAACATGCGAGGAATGCATGAGCCGCATGAGCCGCATGTTCAAGATGAGGATTTCTCGCCGTCAGAGGACGGCGATGAGCCCCTCGATATCGATCAGGATGAGGTCGAGTCTATCATCCAACCAGCACTGAGCCCCGTGGCGACGAGACTTTCTTCGCAAAAGACACCAGCTGCCGAGAAAGCTGCAGCCATGGATCGATTGCCAGACGGCGGCTTGTCCAGCGTCATGGAAGGCATCGTTACTACGGAGCCGTACCCTATGCCTTCCCCATCGACAGTCTACTCGGACGATGGGCCAGCCCAGGGTACTCAGACTACTACCAAGCCTCAGACGCGTCAGAGCCGAGGCTTCTCCCTCGGTCAACTGCCGTCGAGCCTCCCACAGGCCAGATTTCCATCACCCTGGCATGCGGGCCCAAAAGAAATAATCGTTGAGCATGAGCGTAGTTCAAGACCGGCATTATCCTCGGTATTCGGTCAAAATCGACACCGGCGCTCTTCTTCAGGGGGGCCCGATACTCTCAGAAGAATACGAGAAGCAATGCCGTCCATTTCACTGCCCTCATTCTTCGGGGGGCCCTCAGCAAAAAGTCCCGACCTCGACGGGAGGCGACGAACCGCCTCGGTTGATGGGGCAGCAGAGTCAAAACAGGTTGAGGCATCCCCTAAAATCGCAGCCGGTCGCACCGGTCAGCCGGAAAACAGGGCTATGGTGGCTAGTCCGCTGAGCCAGGCATTCAACGTCTCTGCGCCTTCGAGGCCATCATCCATGCTGTCGGTTCGGCCACGGACGATACGAAGGTCGACCTCGGATGAATCCATGCTATACCATTCACTATCCAGAGTCTCATCTCTGGGCGACGACGATAAGTGGAAGGGTGTCCGAGAGCAGAAGAACAGCAGGCTCAAAGCTATTACCGACAGCTGGGACAAGCCCACTTTCAAGCTCCCTCAGTTCCCGAACATCATTCCAGCTCCGCTGAAGAAAAACTCGATGCTTGGGTCGGAAACTTCAGACTCGCATCCCATGGGAGTAACCCGACCGGCGCCCATCTCTGAAAGCAGAGACGAGCTCATGTCAGAACTCGACCGCGCTCTGGAAGCCTTGACTGGGGATGTTGTCGTAATGGGGGGATACCGAGGCTCCGTACTTCGGTCGACCAAAAACAACCGCCAGGTGTGGGTACCCGTGAAGGTAGGGTTAAATATTCGAAAGGTCAACTTGGAGGTCGGACTGGATCCCGAAGACGAGGAGAGAATGGAAGAGACAATTTATTCGTCGGGCATGCTGCAAAACATAGGACCGGTTGACATCTCACGACGCTTATTCAAGAGGCTACGGGAATGTGATAACGCCAGGAAGGGCAACTTACGAGTCTGGGATTACGGCTACGACTGGCGACTCAGTCCCCATATCCTGTCTCGCAAATTGCTGGCTTTCCTTGAGCAGCTGCCCTCGAACCAAGGCACTGGCCGTGCCGAGAGCGGTGCCACGGTCATCGCGCATAGCCTTGGTGGTCTAATCACGCGCCACGCCGTGAACCAACGGCCCGAGCTGTTCTCTGGAGTAATATATGCCGGTACTCCGCAGAGATGCATCAATATCCTGGGACCGATTCGCAACGGCGACGCTGTGCTCTTCAACGAGAAAGTCCTCACGGCGCAAGTGAATTTTTCGCTACGGACAAGCTTCGTGCTTCTCCCAGAGGACGGTTTCTGCTTCATCAACAAATACACGGGAGAGGAATACCCGGTTGACTTCTACGACGCGCTAGAATGGGCGAAATATTCCATCTCTCCTTGCATCGAAGCGGCGTTGCCAGCTTACAATGCCCGCAATACGCCTCTGGGCTCGTTCCGGGAGCTGTCTGGAAGATTACCAACGCCCTTACGAAGTCGAGGCAACAGCGCGGCGGGTGAAGAGCCCAACCGCAACCCGGTTGCTGAGGTTGCGCGAAAGGCAGAAGTAGCCCACGACCGGACCCTGGCGCCACAGATAGGAACCCTGTCCGGCGACCAACAGAAACAGACAAACGGGCAGGGTGACCTTGGAGCTCGGAGCAGAAATATGGCCTACTTGTCGCGCACTCTGGCGGATACCAAGACGTTTCGAGCGGAGACCCACCACCAGCCTCGACACAGTGACAGTAATTCATACCCGCCGTTAGCCATCATCTACGGCAAGGAGGTTCCAACGGTGTGGGGTGCTCATGTGACCTCCCGGGAGGCTATCGCCTGCACGGATGCCTACGATGACCTCGTCTTCCGAAGTGGCGACGGAGTCGTCCTCGCCAAAGAAGCCATGCTACCAGAAGGCTACGCGCTGGCGAAGGGCGGTCGCGTCAGCACCGACCGCGGGCACATCACCATGCTCGGCGATCTAGAGGCGGTCGGTAGGGCTCTGCAGGCCGTCATCAGGGGACGTCGGAAGGGTATCGGCCTCGGGCGCCGGGTTTTGGATACGAGAAGAGAGGCGGCCCAGCTGAGCGAGCCCTGCCATCCGTGAAGTACATATGGCGGCGCGATATCGCGTCTTTCAGCTTTAGATGGGACATATCAACGGGCGACCGGGTGTCAATCAGCATTGGGTAGAGAACGGAGTTTATGAGCGCACTCGGGGGTATTTCTGGTTAATCAGCAAGAGGGTTTACAAGTCAGTCCTAGGCTGACGGCGCAATAAAAGACCTGATATACATCACATGACCCTACGTGTATGTCGAGACCTGCAAGGGCAAAGGGTGACAACTATTGAACTCAAGGAGCCCGTGGGCAGGGTGTCTGTATGCTCTGGCAGCGTGCCAGTCACCTCTCGTCTGCCAATCAAGCCACAGGCGTGGCTCTCTGGCAGCCGATATTTAGAGGCAATCTCATCAGTTGGTAGGTAGATTCACCCTCGGAACATATGCCTCATACGGGTAGGTGCCTAGATGCAGGACTAGATCAGATCAGCCCATACTGGTCGGCGACGTCATCAAGCCCGGGAACCTTACATGACACCTGCAGCTGGCATCGGGCCAAGGGATCTATCTGCATTCGCCGACATATCGACTCTATATCGACTCTACTACCTAACTTATGTAGTCACATTCATAGCCCCAGCTCGTGAACTATCCCAACCACAGATGGCACATCGCCATCCTCATCAGCGGCGGTTAGCACCGTCTTCCACCTCCGTCGATCACGGAACGCGGTTTGCTCACCAGCCCCAGGCAGGAGGATCTCAGCTACCGCAGCCATGAGCGTACCTATTTCGGCCGCTGCCTGCCTGCCCGCCCCCGAGACAATGGCATACTTTTCTGCACGATGCCTGCGGCCACTCGTCCCTGGTTTTAAGCGTAGCGGACTAGTCGACGTCTGGGAACTTCCTCGCCCCTTCGTGCCTTTGCTCCTCAAGTAATCATTTTTGATCGCTATACATCGACGCGCCTACGGTGTCGCAGAGGAGTCGACATACACCGGTTGCCGAGATGATGGGCGATGTTTGCCGCCTGGGTTGACAACCGTGCGGCATTTTCCGTCTGCTGTGGACGCTTCTGCTAATCTTGGGAAGGTAGTCGTATATAACCCAGGACAGGTGATGGCCTCACTTCATCGTGGTTGTATGAGAGTTCGCCAGCCACGAATGTCAACATCGATACCGTCGTGAAGAAGAGGTAGTCAGATGCGAATCTCGGCTCGGACCTAATCCGCAATAGCTGCAAGCACATTGTCGCGCCGTCCAAGTGACCTTCCGTCCCTGAACCGACCTGAGGAACGAGGAGCGGCTTCCCGTATAGCCCAATACGCGCTGGTCATACACAGGAGGGTTCGGGTCTGCGGATATGCCACGTACATTCCAAGCCGGCGGAGAGAACTCGGGGTGTAGGTCCGCGAGGGCCTGTATCGATTCCTTAATCCGTCGCTCGATGATGCGGTTCTCGGGGCTCGGCTCGACGAATATTGAGTCCGAGCTATACAGGGGGTTTCTATCGTTACACACAAACGTGAGTTGCTGCAACTTGGGAAAACGCATCGGCGTTTCACGGAATATGTGCTCCGTGGCCTCTCGGGAGGCTTCGATAGCTGTGTCGCTTCGCAGGTTGTCGCCCCTGGTGAGAGTCTCGTTGATGGCGACGTGGCGGATGAGAGCCCTGTCTTGGGGCGAGATCTTGGCCATGAACGTGTTGAACTGGGCTTCCGAGGCTGCGTGGCCGTCTCTGGCGCCGAAGTAGAGCGTGTCTCTGGAGGGGTCGAAGAAGACCTTTGCGGGCTCTTGGGCGGTGCTGAATAGGAGTCTGTACCGCCTCATTGCCTCGGATCGAGACTCTTTACACACATGGAGGTTGACGGGAACCAGTGACGAGGAGGTACATTGAAAGCTTTCACTGTCACGGCATTGCTCTGAGGAGCCCTGGTCTGATGTGGCATCGCATCGTAGGGCGACGATGCGGGAATCTGGGAGGTTCAAGGCCCATATCTTGAAACGCAATTCGGCCGGCAGATGGGAGAAGAGGAGCTGCAGTACCAGTTAGTGACAATATGTATCAGGTCAAACAGTGATACCAGACTCACGAAACATGCTTCAAGGTTTTCAACAGCCAATGGCCTGCAATCCATGGCCATTTTTGATGATGTGAGTACGTTGGGACTGTTGGTTACACAGCAGAAACGAAATCCGAGAGACCGGAAGAGGGGGCGTGGGTGAGTGGTGGCCCGGAGACCTGGTAGACGGCAGAGAGTGTGATGTCTGGTTGTGGGTTGCAGTGCACACGCATATAAAGTTTCTCGCGTGACCGAATCGAAAATTCAACGACGCACACACTTACCTATAAAATAGATAAGGTTCTAGGGGGTCCGTTTCACTCGGGTGATCTCGTTCATTCTTATCCCTATCGACTGCGAGTCTCCTGGCAGGAACACAGCCAAGCAGCGGGGAACCAGGCGAGGGAGGACACAGATTACAATAGAAGAAGTAAGGGCTGTACCCGGCGGGCAGGCGGAAGTTTTCCAAGCCTGACCCAACAGTTTGGAACCCAACCGGAAGGGCAAGGTGGAGGTGCCATCCTCAGAACTTCGACTCGATGGTTCCCGGTCCGTCACTTCATGTGCAGCTTATGGTTACGCCGAGCCCCGCAGACTCGAGGGAATATGCTGCGACGCCACATATGTGTGACTGTCGTGCGTGTGCGCCAGCGAAAGGAGCCTTTTAGGAGCGGGGGGAGGTTTGCTCGGGATAGGAGCGCGGGAGACAGACCCGTCAACCCGTCACCCTAGACTGAGGTAGGACGCCTTGCCTTCACATCTGTGGGCGACGCAGTGGCACATGCCAGCGAAAGGGTTGATGCTACCGTGTTTCTTGTTCCCATTGGACAGCACGTTGTTTGCTTGATGCGTTTCACGCAGATATGCCATCATGGTGCGTTGTAATACAAAAGTCCCTGGCCTAGAAGGTTGTGAGAACCATGGAAACATCGGAAAGGTGCAGGTGGCGTACGAGATGAAGGGATAGGGTCCTACGGATATCCCCTATCTTATTAGTCTGCGCTTGGTGACGCCCTGAAGCTTGCCGTTTGGCGATCGGCGACTAGTCTCCAGCAGGTTCCAGACTGTCGGGTTCAATCTGATCATCTGACCTCACCAGTCCAGTTGTCGTCTCTGGTGGGGGTCCTTATCATGAGTTCGGTGCTTACGATAGCATAAGTCCGCCTGCCCTTACATAATCAGCCAGTTTACGAAGTATGTATGCAGGTGGAGATTTAAGATACTGCCGAGACCATCATGTTAGCGAGCACACCAGTTTAGTCAAGAGCATGGGAACGGCTGTTGGCATTGATGATGATCTCTACTACTACTCCGTTTCGGACTCAACCTTACACATCTTCGGTCTTTTTCAGTCCCCTTCACCTTCCAGCTGGCTCAATCGCCTTCACGCCCTTGAAGTACTTGTCCTCCTTCAACAGCTTCTGGATGATCGGCTGCTGATTGTGCGCCTCGAACGCCTTTCCGCTCTTGTACCTCTCAAAGAAGTGAAAGATGCTTGGGTCGTCGCCGTCTCGGGCGAGGCAGTAGTATATCGAGCCGGGCTCTAGCTGCGCAAGCCGTGTTGTCTCGGCGTAGACTGCCTCCAGAGCATCGGCGTGCTCGGGGTGGGCGTAAACCTAGGGGATGTTTGGTCAGAGGGTGTCTGAAGGCCACAGGCGGCGATGGGTGAGGAGTACCGTGCCATAGACGCAGAATGCGTCTTCGGGGAAAGGCGTAATTTCGGTCAAGAAGTCCCCACTGTCGACCATCATGGTTGAGGCAAGAAAGTGACCTTTGGATGCTCGTGTGCCGCCTTTGAACCGGGTTTGAGGCAGAGTCGATGCCAATTGACGAGGATGGTTACCACTCTACAGCTGAAAGTCAAGGAGACGCGGCAAACAACCACTCATAAATACCCGGGTGAGGTGCCATGAAGCTAGGGATGGAGTCTGAGAAACATAATACAACATATCTATTATGTTATATTGTATTGTATTGTATTTTTTAAGTTTATACGTGTATATATTAATAGTGACGTATATATCGGTACTTAATAGTATAAAAGCCGAGAGGTCAGGTGTTTTTAAGGCATTATTTTTAAAGTAATTAAGCTTTTAGTTATAAATTTACAAGGCATTTCTAAGACATGTTTTGGCGCTTTAATGTTTTAAACACGCTGTTATTCTTATATTTGTTATAAGTTATCATATTTTATGATAATCTTTAGTATTTTGAATATATTTATTTAAAGCTTATAATTAACGGTAGTATTATTAAAGTTACATTTAAAGCTTTTAATAACTATTTATATAATTTATTTTTAAGTTAACTTTTAATAAGGTTATTTGAAGTTTTTCTTTTCTAGCCATTATATTACCTTATAGTTTATATGAATTAATACTTGTTAACTAATATGTCTTCATATTGATTTACCGCGATTTTTACTTTAAATACAATTTTTAATAAAAACACCCTTTCAAAGGTATCAAATTTACGATTATTATAAAGATTTTTAAAGCTAACTTATTAAGTTACAAGCTTTATGTGTTAACTTTTAAATATAAATTAAATAGGTTATTAAATCTCTTATAAATATTATTATAAATAAATAAGTCTTTTTATCTAATCTTACACGTATTAAACTTCTAAAAAAATAATTTTTAATTTAAAAGTATATTATTTATAAGTTAATTAGTAATATTAATATAAAAGGTTTTAGTTTAATTATTTATAACTTTATAAATAAGTTATAAACTATTTTATAAACTTTTAGAAGATTCTTGAAGCTTATTATTATTATTGATTTAATTTATAAATAATAGTATTTTTTAAGTTTAAATTAAAATGCTTTTAAGTTTAAAAAAATCTTCATTGTTTTAAATTAAGTTTATAAAGCAAAATCAAGGTTTTATTGAATTATTGTTAACAATATCAATATTTTAGTTTTATTGTCACATATTTTCTACATATACCTTAAAGTCAAAAGTATTAATGTTTAATCAGTTAAAAGCTTATAACGTAGCTGACAAGCGAGTTGACATTACAAGCGAGTTGGCACTCGTCATGAACTCTCCAACTGCCATGTCAAATAACTTCACCACAACGCATTCAGTTCAATTCAATCAATCGGATCCCTCTTCCTTAGAGGTTTCTATCTCTATTATACAAGTTCGCGCATTATGGCCAGTATTGCCGCAAACGCCACACCGTCGCCCACGCGCTGCCGCCCGCCTTGGACGACGACTACTTTCACCCATTTCCTGTTTTGCCAGCTTAGCACCATCCTTTGCAGCCTGAAGATCTATTACATCTTTAACGGAAAGTATTCCTCCTTTTACTAGACGTTTATTTTTTGTTCTCCAGTGTTTACATAGTAAGTGATTGGCCTCTTCTAGTTCGCGGACCCGGGAATCAACCAAAGCGACCTTATGCATAAGACCGTATGTAGCCTTCGAAAACGAGCTCAATGCATCAACTATTGATGTAGGTGAGCTTCTCTGGTGGTTTCTGACTCGGTTTCGGATATAAACCGATTGGTTTACCGCTTCGTTAATGGTGATAGGCGTCTTCGAAGTCCAAGTAGTGGGTGGCAGATTGGGGTCTGGCGACGGTGTTCGTATGACAGCGACAGCATCCAGCTTTGAAATGACACTTTCTGGGTCAAAAGGAACAAGCCCAGTGGCACTGAAACCTGCTCAAATATTTCCTGGCGTCATAGCAGCGTTGTGTGCTTCACAAAACGCTGCAAGGAAGTCCTCCTTTGAAATGTGGGTTATATGACGCTGGATGAGATCCTCAATCATGCGACCGTAAGCTTGTTTGAGCGGGCTAAAACAGCCGACATCTAGAGGCTGGAGCCTATGTGACGAGTGGGCAGGCATACAAAGGGTGATAATGCCGTTGTTCTGACAATAATCCTTAAAGACCTGGGAATGGTGGCTTTCGTGACCATCTAGGATAAGGAGGCGTTTACCGGCAGTCATACGCGGTCTGATATACTTGTCGAAATGCTGAATCCATTCCAAACCAATCTCATTCGTGGTCCACCCGTTGTCGGACACGGCCACCTTCCAATCGCGTGGTAATATCGTGTCGCGATACCATGACGCGAGGTGGGTTTTGCCCTGTAGAATGATGAACGGCGGGACCACCCAACCATCAGCATTAACAGCAGAGATTGCTGTAGACCATTTCCTGTTGCCTTGCTAAGCTTGTCTAGGCCTGCCACGTCTTTCGGCGCTTATAACAACCATGCCGGACCCAATAATGCCCATCATAAACCCAGTCTCGTCAAAGTTGTAAATATCCGCGTCTTGGATACCATGTTTCACGACTGCCGCTGCAACTTGGCAAAACCACGCGCAATACGCGTCTGGATCCTCGTTCAAGACCCTCTGGTAGTCTATCTTCCGATGAAAACGCGTCCGGAGGCCTTGTGTACGTTTGATGAAGTTCCGCGTTCAGTTCTTTCCAACGCGTCCAGCCCCACGTGCCGCCAACAATTGATTTGCCATATCTTTAACATAACTGTACTGGGGCGGAAATGCTCGCGCATCCAGGTCGAGAACGAAGGAACAAATGGCATTCTCTTCAGAAACCATAAGTTTCAAAGTATTGGGCATGCTGTCGCGTCGTGATGGCATTCCTTTGACTCTGTTGCTCAAAGTGGAACAAGGGACGTTAAAGAGTTTCGCAAGCTGAAATATAGGAATATGAGGGTCACGTCGTTTAGCTTGAACAGCTAGCTGCAAGTCTGATTCGTTATAACGCGGTGCCATTGTTGTTGGTGGAGATATGATGGTTTGAATCGTATTGGTTGGAAAGTTCATAACGAGTGCCAACTCGCTTGTAATGTCAACTCGCTTGTCAGCTACATTATACATAAATATAACGTTAATAGTAATAACAATCAAAAAAGGCTTCTATATAATTTAATTATTAACTTTAATAATGATTAAAATAATTAAAGTTAACTCGTAAGTTTTAAGATACCTTTGATTAAACATTAAAGATTACAATATTTAGCAATAACCTTTTAAATATGTTTAAAATTGAGTATTTATATAAGCTAATCGTATATAGCTTATGTAGTATTACAAGTATCTATATAAAATCTTTTAACTTTACGTAGTTTATTACAAGTAAGGTTATATATATATATATATATATATATATATAAATGCATTTAGCTGTTTTTTAAGTTGATATTTAAAGTTTGCTAATAGTATATGGTTTAATCAGAGAGATATAAAAAGACATTTAATATTTTATTATTATTGAAGTTTTTAAAAGGTTTCAAAAGAATTATAATCTCGTCAGTTAAGTCGATAAATTTAAGAACGTGTTTATAATATGATTTACAATAATAAGAAATAAGTATTAAAGATTAAAGATTTATCCAAAGGTATACACAAAGCGTTAAAAAGTTAAAAGGCGTAAGCGAAGAAAAGACATTTAAATATTTTAAAAAATTAAGAAATTTATTAAAATAATATCGGGCTAATTTATTTTATAACCATAGATCATTTCAATATAATAAGACTTCAAATTTAGTAATAAGAAAGAAAAATAAATGAAAGAAAAATTGTCCATTGAAGTTGAAATTAATAATTAACAATTAAAGTAATATAAATAGAGACTTGATCAATTAACGCTTTTTAACTTTAAGTTATCTTAAAACGTTTATAGTTAGCTTAAAGCGCTTACGTGCTAGCTAACTACGTACTTCTAATATATTATCAAGTTAAAAAATTTTAAACAAGTATTATTAAATTAGTGTTAAAATAGGTTTATTTATAAAACTTTTTATCCTAATATTTATAGCGCTTTTTGATAAGTAAATAATATTAGGTATAAAGTGTTTATACATATTAGTATTAACTTTACGCGGTATTATAATGATTCAAAGACTTTAAAAGTAGTTATTAAGTTGATTTAAAGATTATAAAAGAAGTTGTTAAGTGTTATAGTAACAAGAAAGTGGTAGTATTATTAGTTATAAAGGTAATAAAGTGTTAAAAAATTGCGAAACCTTTGCTTTTAAAGGTGGCTAGGCTTAATCGGATGGTAGCTAAGTTTAATTAAAAGTTCAAGAATTTTTTTCCATTTAAATATATACATATACGTATATAATACTTGTTGTGACGGCCTGCACAGACCTTCCCACATGACAAGCCGATACTTCCCAATAAGGGAAGGATCTGACCAGAGGATCCCTTTAAAGGGGCAACCTCCCGCTGTACCTATCTCTCTCTCTCTTCCTTTCCTCTCTAGTCTTGATATTCTCGTCAATAGAGTAATAGCTGCTTGCTGCAGGCCATGTCCCAGCTCCCTAGTACGCTCGCTGTGACACTTGTTATATAAGCTGTTTATATTATATTATATTTCTCGTTTTTACATTGTATTTTTCCACCTTTATATAACTTATATATTTATTTAAGTTCGTAATAAAAGCCTTTTATGTAAACTTAAAAATATATTGTATTTGTGACAGAACGCTCACCATAAACACCATGCCACGGCTGTTCCTCCCAAAAGGATGTCGAATATCAAGCGTGGCGGCTTGGCATTCAATGGTGGTACATATACTTATGTCCGGGCTCCAGGACTCATCACATGGCCTACCTGTACCAGACCATGACAGTATTGGCTGCTTTTAAAGCTTTTATAAAGCTTTAAAGCTAGCCGCGAATATTGAGGCTAGTAAATTATATATAGTTATGTAGCTAGTACGGCTATATTAGATACTTGAATTTTGGTTTTATTAAACTTTTTTTGGTAATTTAATTAATGTTTAAGTTTAAATTTTATAACTTAAAAGCTTTATTAAAGTTCGTAATAAATACTTTAAAATAGCTGCTTTTAAAGCTTTTATATAGCTCTGAAGCCAGCTGCGGGTATTAAAACGTAAATACGGTCCCATGGCTAATACGGCTGGTACAGCTGTATTAATTACCCGAAATTTTACCTTGTTAAACTTAATCCGGTAATTTTAATAAAGTTTAAATGTAATTTTTATAACTTATATTTAAATAATTTTAATTTTTATAAAAAGCCCTTATATTTAATGAATATTATTCTTTATAGAACGTAAGCTTTTATGAAACTTGATTAAAATATTAAGAAATGCTTAGCTTATATACAACCTGGTTACTAACGTTTAAAAGGTCGAAAAACCTAGTTTTAAACTACTTATAACTTAACTAGGTTTAATTATATAGATTAAAGAAATATAAAACTTCTTAAAAAATTATAACCTTTATTTAAAGATACTTTCATCGGAATTTTAAACTGCAAATTTAAAATGACGATTTAAAAAAAATTCCGGAGTATTAGTCTGTGCGTTGCTACCAGAAAATGTGTGGCAATGAACTAAGTCGGAGTCTTAACTGAACCTCGGTTTTTCGGCCCTCTGAACGCAAGCGTTCAGAGGGGGCACTTGGTCCGAGCATCCTCTAGTAAGCGTGAATGATTCAACTTAGACCACTTAATTCTGCAGCCAAAGCCCAGGGTAAACCTCGGTTGGATAACGCTGTTCAGCGATGTTTGCTCGATTTCACTCATCATTGGAGCTCACGACGCAAGGGACCAGTGCCGCCGTCTCCGAACGTTGGGACTGTGATGGTGGCCGGGGAAGGACACGCCGATCTTCAATCGGTGCAAGGCGTCCAGCGCTTCTTCTCCGCCTGGCTCGGCATCACACAATGCCACAGACTTGGACCCCATTACTTATTGGTCGCAGCGACGGATGTTGGCCGGGAAAAGACGCCTTCCGCCAATGGCGTAATTTTCGTCCTGAGGACGGCATACGCGGCAGGCCTCCTTAAACAACATCCCCGCCAGGTCGTGTCTATTCCATCCAGTCCTCACATGGCAACAATGGCAACACGTTCCATGGCGATGCACTCACTGGATATCGTGGTGTTTCGGGGTGGTGATTGGAGGGACTGGACTGCTTTACCGCCCAGTCTGCGAGTCCCCATTGGCTTGGTGTTTCTCCTTGCCTCCATAAAACACAGTGACCTCCCTCAAACGACGCCCCGTAGGGGCGTCGGCGTGCCCCGTCCGGGGCCCTCGGCCACGCGTTATAGTTTAAGTACTTACTAACTACATTTAAGTAGTGTGGGTACCTTTTTACGAGGCTTTGAAAGAAAGACCGCGATATTTTTATTTTAAAGTAACCTTTTATATAGTTATTATAGTATGAAATAAAAGTTATATAATTTATATAATTGTTAACCCTTTAATTATTATAACGAATAATCGCAATAAATATACTTTACATAGTTTTAAATCTTTATTTTACTTATTTAATATATATATATACTTTTATATAAAACGATAATTATATTTCTTAAATACAATTAGAATTAAAATTATATATATAGCCTTTTAAGTATATATAGATAAATCATACTACTAGTAAATAACTATATATGATACGAAAGGCTTAAAAAGTATCATTAATTAGATTAAACCGTATTATTTTTTAACAAGTTATAAATTATAAATTAAACACGTAGCTATTAATTAATAATGTTAGTTAATATACGGATATATTACATAGCAGCCTTAAAGTTATAATTATAATAGTAATTACGTGATAAGGTTATATATAAGCTGCTTAAAGAATAACTATCCCTTAGACTGCCAGGCGGCTTGCTACGCTTAACTAATAAAATCATCTGAAAATATGGGTCCATTTTCTGTACATCCTAATACTTCAGGCTGCCTGGTAGTCTGAGCTTTTTTCAGGTAAGTTTCCCTTGCGTCTTCGACTTAAGCGCCCGCAATGGCCTGAATCGGGACCTGCATTGCAACGTCCTGGCCAATGTGCGATCTCCTGCACCCTCTGCCAGCAACTCTCGTGACCCCAACTCCCTTTCGACCCCGGCGGCTGGCCTGCTCACTGGCCTATGTCATGCACCCCAAGGTGCATGGGCGCATCGCTCATCGCTCTATTCGCAATCATGTAGGGGACGGGAGGTATCACCGGCGATGCTATCCTTAGCACCACACACGCCAGAGCAGCGCTTCGGCTGGCAATGCTCTATGTATGCGCGATACCTCTCCATTCACTTGATGAAGCGGTTAGCTGCCATATTCATTCATATTCGTCGTGTTTCGCCCTCGGTCCCAGTAGGTCAGGTCCGTGTTCTGTTGGTATCTCCTCGAAGTTTGGTCTTGTTTAGAGTACTTCTTTCCTTGCTCGCCTCCTTTCTCTTTCGACGTACATTGTTCAGACGCTTTCCCTTCGTGGCTGTTTCGTCGATCCTGCGAAAGCCGAAACGAATCAGCACTTCATCCGCCATAATGTCTTTCGATACCAAGGTTCAGGTATCTACCTCCAACTTCGAAGTCGACTCCCACGACCAGTTCTGCCAGAAACAACAGAAACAAGTCCGTATGGCCGACAGCGCGCGGGTCAGTCTCACTATTCTTGCGCTGCTGTGCGGCCTCACCACCCTTGGCACTTCCGGACACACCCTTACCGTATACAATGCGACTCACCTCGCGAGCGATTTCAATTTACCTCTATGGCCTGAACACTTCGATCTTCGACCATCGATAACCTTGGTGGTGGGCAGTGCTATTGTGGTTTTGACCAACATGGTCTCTTTGCTCTTCAGCAAGGTCCAGATGGTGAGTGCACTTACCATATGCGCCGTGAGGATTGTGACATTATCAGGCCATTAAGACAATGCTGACCTGTGTCTCTGCTCCAGCTCCGGGACCGTACTCTCATCCATACCTCGTTGACTTTCGTCGCCCCTTTCGTTGGCTTCGCGGCTGTCATGACCAGCATGATCTTCTTCTATGCAGTAAACGCATCCACCACCGTCGACACACTCCAGGGCTGGAGCTGCCGCTGGGACTACGCTGGCATGAGTACCAAGCCTTATTTCGGCACCTTGTGCAAGGAGAGCCAGACGGCCCTCTACCTTTCGGTTTCTCTGGTGCCTCTTGAGCTGATCGTCCTCACCATCGCTGCCTACCAGATGGTCCTGGAGAGAAAGGCAAGCGCACTCATACCATCTCGCAAAACCAGCAGCCCGGCGTTGTCGTAGGACAAACGTGGGTAAGGGCGTGGGGATGAGGGGCCGTTGCAGGACTAGATACGCCCAGTCGCATGTTGAGGCTGGGGATGATGGGAAGCCGTATCCAGGCGGCCGTGGATTGCAAGGCATGGTCAAAGGAGAAGATTTACCTTGGGGGATTGAGGTATCCCTGTATAGTAGCTGTAACGGAGCACTTGGAAGCGACTGGCGCAGAATGCAGCTTATTTCAATCAACTTCGGTGCCTGGCTACCACCTGAAGAGTCGAGGTCCGATATGGGTAAGGACAATACTCGTCTTGTGTGAGGGTCTCCCCCAAACCTGACTGCCCTGGTCTGCTCGAGTCGTACCAGACCGCCAGTCTCGGATGCGCCGCGATAGATTGGCATGTGTCAAATCGACCACCGCATAGCGGCGGCAAGCTGCAGCAACCGCTCTGGCCAGTCTTTCTTTTCTCACTCACGGCCACAACCTCTTTATTAGGGAGATAGGGAGACAAGATTCGCCGTGCCGCTCGCTTCCCGGTCCATGGCATACCGGCAGGAGCCGGTGTCAACTGCCATTTCTCCGCCTACGTTGTTTCGGACGATGCCAGTTTCCTGATTGATGTCAGCAGCGAATCGCAACAATGGCCACTTCCCTCGCACAGACACGTTGTACTGTTACCAGAACCGATCGTGGTCATCATCATGTGTTCTGTCCTCTTGTGTTCTGGCTGGCCCCCCGCCGTCGGAGTGCTACATGCAAAGCGCAGCCACAATCTAGAGGGCGGAAGAGGTGTTACGATGGTATTACATGATGGTATGAGAGCCTGAGACTTGGAGTTTCGAGGACAGCTTTTGGATCCGAGATGCTGACGCAATGAAAAGAAACCAGGTACATGTAGGAAGGCGCTGCTTGCGCACCTGCAGTTTCTGACTCACATTGAGAAGGTACTTGTTGGCCAATCGATAAGGTCAATGGGGGGATTCATTCAATGTTCATCTTTTTTCCATCCAATGTTGACAGGTGAGCATTTCCTTCCACGGATGGCTGCCCTCCCCAATTTTCCACCCACTCGCTGCGGTTACGCACTTCCATCAAGCAAACGCTTTTCGACCAGGCGTCCGCCCACCTTACCCGACCGCATTTCGTTCGTATCTCATCAAGATTACGCCTGCTAGTTGGAAGTCTGGCATTGTCCATTTTCCGACAGTCGCTGGTGGGATAAAAAGTCCAGCCCTTCAACACCCACACCAACGACGACCCTTACCCTTCTCCAAGGCGCCTAGAGATAACGAGACCATACTACTACAGGACAGCTCGAAAGCTCCTGCGGCACTGACATCTCGTAGTCAACTCGAGGAAAGCATCGAGTCGTGTGCCGGTAGCTTCTTGCCCTCTACAGCAATTGGCGCTCGCAACGTCGACTTCACCAGCATCCCGCAACCAATTTAACAGGCTAACTGCAGCTCCTGAGCCACCAACAACACTGCCAGGACTCTTTTCGTGAAGCATCATGCTTGGTAGTGCTCCTCGGTCGCCGCAAGCATCGCCTGCTCATGCGAATATGGGTGGTCCAGCTTCTCCGACGGCCAAACCTCCTGGCGCGAACCCGGCCTCTTCTACTGCAAGCCCGTCATTTGCGCAAAGAAAGGCAAATCTGTCCCGGTCGTCGAACTCGAATAGCTTTGAAGGAACCCAGATCATGCGAGACATTGAACGCTTACCCCCCGCCGATAATTCGACTTCTAAGAAGTCCCACGTGCACCCATCTCTCAGCATGAGGACGAGCGCATACTTCGAGAACGAGTTCGGCCCGGCGAACAGGGACGCAGACTCGAATAGAGAGCGCATACAAAACGAAGCTATGGTCGTGGCGGAGCTGAGGACGAATGTCATTGTAGGACTCCTTTGCAACCCTTCAGATAGGGCGAAGACTAGCTAACACCTCCTGCAGATCAAGGATGAGTTCACTTTCATCACAGACCTTTCCTACCACATGTCCAACAGATATCAGCGGCCAGTATCCTCCATCTCCGTCACCCTGACTCACGGTAGCTGCATGATGTTTGGCGGGTCTTTCGACCCGGCCTATACACTGGCTATCTACGCACTCCCGTGTCTAGTCCAACCAGTTACCAACCGGAGAAACGCTGCCCTCATCCAGCGACATCTGCAAGAATCGCTGGCCGTGAAACCATCCAGGGGTTACATCCGCTTTGTGGCAACCCCGGAAGAGAATGCTGCCACCGGCGGCAAGACAGTTGCAGCCGAGATCGACGAGCTGAATAAGAGAAGTACCGATCAGGAGGCAGCCATGTCTAGGAAAAAGTCCAAGCCTGGGCGGAAGCTCAGTGCTAAGGTAGTGCACCCATTTGAAGAAACCGGTCCACCAAGCTCGTGGGATTCGTAGCTAACACCGGACGCAGTCGTTCGGGAACTTCAGGTCGCCTTCGACGGCCAATCTCACCCAAAAGGTGCCAACACCGCCGCCGAGCATCCCGGGCGAGACTACCCGAATCGCAACTATTCCAGAGGTCCCGCCTACACCACCCGCAGACGACAAGCTAGGCGAGCTCGTTGAACACAAGCAAGAGAAGCGTGCATCACGCAGAAAAAGTATCAAGTTCGCTTTGTTCGGTTCTAGGTCGCAAGCTGGAGATGGGAGGCGCCTCAAGACGTCGGAGACCGACCGCTGAAGCTGGGTGGCCCAAATATTGGCATACATTGCGTACTAGCCGCAGTCGTGGTCATCATAGGTATTAGTCATTCCGCTGCCCATGAGCCGGCACCAAGATACTCATTACTTGTTTGGCGAAGTCACGTCGCCATATACGGATGATCCTACGGCTCTACGGATTTATGTTGCGTACCTACTTGGCTCGATGGAGGGTCAGTTGCAGCTATAGTTGATCGACATTGCCTGCGAAATAGGCACAGACCGAGGTTTATCAATAACGTTTTGCGACTACAATGATGGATGAGGTTGCATGGCACTGACGAAGTGTGCAACAGGCAATGCTGGCCAGTTATCCTCTGCCATGATGTGAAGGCTTGTTATCACAGCATCAAGTACCAATTCAAGATCTTGGGCCAGTTTGCGGATGCCAGAAAAGCACCCTCACAAATTTATACCCACTGGCTTCAAAGGAGGTAAAAAATTGCGGTGTTAGCCGACTAGGCTAACGCATAGGCAGTCGTGTATAGAAAATAGAAGATGGTGTGTCTACATGCCCCTTCTCTTACAGCTCTCCATCTTGCTCGCTGGTGGATCTACAGCCTGCTTCGGGAGAGACTCTCGCTTTAGGTGATCCTTGCGAGTCGTCAGCTTGCGTTACCACTTACGCAGCTGCATTGATATACGGTGTAACGATTGTGACCTGTCGAGAAGGCCCGAGGTAGGCTTCCGCCAGTTATTTCTGTATTTGCAGAGGGATCGGCTAGCATACCTGTCAGTGTGGGTGATACTATATCAGGCTTCATAAGAGTTTGTTATCAAGGATGATTGTCTTCGAAGTCGAAGGTGAGGATTCGTGATGACCAGAAAGGGCAAGCGTATGTGGTATGCAGATGCAACTTAAGGAAGTCTGTAACCCTTGGGGCAACTTACTATGCAATGCCCAGTGCAGCGCAACAGGTGGTCACAGCGTCCGCTGGGTTCATCAAGCAGCCTTGCATGCTGACTTTCTACTCTTTTAGATCTCTACAAGTAGACAGTTTAGAGGGTTAGAAACGAAAGCTCCTGGGATGAAGCACAAGATGTACGGTGATAAGGGGCTCCGATACACCTGGCGCCAATCTCCGGCAGCTGCCAGCTATGTGCCACCCCTCAGGGCCCCACTCTCACCAGAAAGCTGTTGTAAGGTTCCTGAGACCTTCGCAACCGGAGCAAACATAAGCGATCGATATTTTCGCATTGAATGGCTACCATCATACATTGCAGTGCCGTGTCTCACGTTTCTACGATCGAGCTTCTGCATCAACGACGACTGACGGTTCTATCTCGGTCCTTTGGACAATCCCTCAAGCTCGAGTCTGTTCATCACGGTTGACCTTTCGGCATACGAGAAATCAACCCAAGCGTCGCGACACGCGTAAATCACCATCTCGGTACCTACGTGCCCACCCGGTAGATCTGCCGGGAGAACCTGCCGGACCCGTCCGAGCGATCCGTCGCCTGTTGTTCCCAAAGCTTGTGCTTGCGAGCCGACGCGTCTACTGCGTACGCCCCGAGCCAGTAGAACGCCGCGGCGCAATCAGTGTGACGGCTGAGGTGAGTCAGCCCAGCCTGTTGGAACTGCTGCCGCGCAATGATTCGACGGCCGATACAGCTGACTCACAATCCATCGTCACAGGAGCCATAGACGACAGACGATCGCTGGCCTGTCTCAGAGTCGCCAATTCTTCATCGTCAAGGCCGCGGGGGAGGGGAGGACCGGGCCATCGCGTTTGATAACCCACCAAACAGTCGGCCCCGGACTCTGGGAGTTGGGAACGTTGTGATTCGCAAAAATGGAGGTGAGACAGATTTTCTTTCACCGTGGACAACTCTTGCGTCGCTTTACATGAATTGCCATCTTTCCTGCTTACGGACCGGTCTGGCATTGCCGAGTGGCACAGATATACACCGCCTCGATATCGAGGGATCATTGTCGACATTGTTCAAGAAGGTAATCAGCTCATTTGCGCCGAAGTCCGAGCACGTTGTCCTCACCGCCAACGTTGCTCTCTTCATCCTATCAGCCGCTCTACTGCGCATCCGCCACAACAATCCTAAGTATAGTCAGTACTAGGTAGACACGGGATGCGGTGGCCCAAGCTCGAGGACGACCGGGTTCACTTGCGAGCTGAGCTTCTGGGAGGATTCTCCGTTGACGTGTTTGTTGTGCGACGGTGAGATCAGCAAAGAAAACCATCTCGCATTTCCCGCCGAACCACGGAAGCGACATGCCTCTTTACGACTGACCCGGTCATCACGCACCGTGGCCTGTTCCCAACAGCGTGTTTGACGTGCACCCGAGGATTCGACCCTCAACTCCTGCAATTATCCCGTCCTCATATTCCGTGAGCCTCTCTCAGACCTGATTTCGCCTTCCCGATCCCGCGGATTCGGCAATCTCGTTTGCAGATTGGCTGCTCGCCAATCTCTGGATGTGCCGACAACTGCAAACCAAAACCCGGTAGTCGAAGTCGTTGGTAGTTCCTGGGGAAAACGTCTTGGCATCGCTTCCAGCGCGATGAATCAGGGAGGAGAGTTGTCTTCAAATAAAGGGCATCTGTGTCCCTAGCACCTCGCCTTTGATTGACCTGGACCAGCGTCTTGTGCAGCTCTGGCTTGATCACTTCTTGCGTGCCACTATGTCTTCTCGACTTCGCGGTCGGGACATCCTCCACGGGCAGGATGACGATGCGCAGTCTTCGCAAGCGCAGCCTGGTGCTGCTTTGAGTCCGGCTCAACAGAATCTAACGCGCGTATTTGAACAGAACCGACATAAGCAGCAGAAGCAGAATGGCGCGAAAGCGCCCGAGCAAGCTCCCGAGGCATCGACAAAAGGAAAACCTAGATTGCTTCTTATGGGCCAGAGAAGGTGCACTGCCTCCTTTCTTTTTGATATCACGAAGCTAACCTTCGGGGCAGGAGCGGCAAATCGTCCATTTCGAGTGTGGTCTTCCATAAGTTACCACCTAGCGAGACACTGTTTCTCGAATCAACAGCACGCATCCAAAAGGACTCTATGCCGTGAGTGCACTGGAGCAGCCCTTCAGAGACGTCCCGTTAACCACAAAATCCGCAGCTCGTTCATGGATTTCCAAGTATGGGATTTCCCTGGTCAGATCGACATATTCGAAAACCCGACGTTTGACATTGACGCTATGTTCGGAGAGATCGGGGCTTTGATCTGGGTCATTGATGCCCAGGACGATTACATGGAAGCTGTGGCCCGTCTGAACGTGACCATATTAAACCTTCAGCGGTCATATCCAAACATTAAGATCGAGGTGTTCATACACAAGGTGGACGGCCTTTCGGACGACTACAAACTGGACATTCAGCGAGATATCACCATACGTATTCAAGACGAGCTCTCGGATCATGGGTTTGAGAATGCTCCGGTCACGTTTCACCTGACCAGCATATATAACCACAGTATCTTCGAGGCCTTCAGTAAGGTGATCCAGAAACTGATACCCCGGCTGGGCATACTCGAGGCTATGCTGACCAACCTCTGCCGTACCTGTCGTTTCGAAAAGGCTTACCTATTCGACGTGTTGTCCAAGATATACATCGCTACAGATAGTGCGCCGGCGGACATGGCCAGCTACGAAATCTGCTCCGACTACATCGACGTCATCATTGACGTCACGGAGGTGTATGGGGGCTGGCAACGATCGCCAAGGTACCGCGAGAATCTCGAAGGGCCCCCGTGGAACCAGAAGCTGGAGGACCAGGTGGCGACAAATTGGGCAGAGAGCTGTATGGTGCTCAGTGACGGGAACAAGCCGATCATGCTGCGCGAGGTGGACAAGTATCTAGCATTGGTCGCGATCATGAAGGAGGACAGCTACGACAAGATGCCGCTTGTCAACATGAACGTCGAAGTCGTGGTCCAGGGGTTGAAGGACTTCTTCGAGATTACGAAGTCGAAGTAGAGGAACTAGGCGGGATGGGAGACTCAACGGCGTTTAAGGATAATTCGTATAATCACACGCGCCGGCAGGAGAGAGATAGGGTTCTGGATTGGACTGGCAAACCGATATAATACATAGCTTCTGCATTCTGCATCCGGGAGTCCCCATGCTTGAGCATGAATAGTGCTGGTACTGGTAACCACGCTTTAGGTGCAGTTGTGAGGGAATGGATGCCAATCATACATGGGTACGAGTATTAATTCAACTGGATTTGCAGATGACAGTTCCCCACTCTCACAGCCTGGAGTCGGATTTTGTTTGATCAAGGGGACGTGTTGTTCTCTTACAGCGGTGACGCAAAGGCAATTCGTACACCTGCTGCCAGCTGCCAGCTCGTGTCGCATCAAGCGGACTTCGGTTTGACCAATCACAAGGGGCAACTCGGGTACGTGGGGTGGTCGACCAAAGAGCGTTGAGACTACGGTACGAGCATCGAGACCGATCGTGACCTGGAATCATCATCAAAACTCTCATTGCAGGGCCTTCGAGAGATGGTACTTTCTTAATCTTTATATTTCGGCTTCGCGTTGGATTAGTGCATCTTGGGGTGGTTTGAGTACTTATAAGGGCGTCTTGTGAAACTGACCAAGCCGTTTCCATCTTCTATGCCGACTTCCATTTGTGACCTCGCCTTCGAGCATCGGATCACTGCGTGTATTGAGACTGGGCCCCGTCAAGCTGGACGATATCAGAGGCTTGAACGCCGCCTTGTTCCAAGACCTGTGAGGGGTCCCAATTGAGTAACAAGGCCAAAATAAACCATCATGCGCGGACTTGGCCTCATCCTCACGCTCACCAGCTGCTCGCTGGCACCAGTCCTCGCGGACGCCGGATCGTTAGGCCAGTATGCTCTGCAGAAGCTGCTCCAAGACGGCATAGAAGTATTCGGCGATGTCGAGTCGACCGACTCGGCAAACGAGAACTGGATGGGTCGCCTGCCGGACTCGATGCTCATCACGCACATCAACGTGCCGGGGACCCACGACGCCGCCACATGGAACTACTCGCAGGCGACCCACGACGCCCTCTCGTACGCCACGCGCTGCGACGGCACCGCCGTCCCCGAACCGCGGGCCTACCGCTGCCAGCGTATGAGTTTCGCCGACTCGCTGCGAGCCGGCATCCGGTTCTTCGACCTGCGGTGCGCGCTCGACCCCATCGACGCGAACCTGGTCTTCTGGCACGGCCCCGCGCTGGTTTCGGCGCGTGCCACCGTCGCCGACGTCCTGTTCGGCTTCTACGCCTGGCTCGAGGCCCACCCGTCCGAGATGCTGATCCTGAGCTTCCAGTACGAGGGCTCGACCAAGGTCAACGCTACTAACGATGCTGCGGTGCAGCGGGCCTTATTCGATGTTCTGACTTCGGAGGCGGCGCGGCGGTATGTCCTCCAGGAGAAGGGGACGGTTGGCACGCTTGGTGGTGCGAGGGGCAAGATATTGCTCGTTCGACGCTTCGACTTGGCGGACCTGCCGCTCGAATTTGAGGCCGCGATGCCGGGACTGCATGTATGTGATACCGGGAGCGATTTTCTCCCTACCTATCCGATTATATCATGGCTGTGTATATTCCACATAGACATGCGTTTGGGCTCTTCACTGGCGGAGAGACACGCACCTAGATCCCTCTATTTCTTGCTGAAATTGGCAAAGAGTCACCTACTGACTCCTGCTTTCTCAAGATGCCACCTACGGTATGGACGGACAACTCGAGCGACTTCGAGCTCGTCTACAACAAGACCACCAACGCTACGGCCTACATCGAGGATTACTACAGTCCGGACGCGTACCTGACGACGGCAGACAACATCGCGGCGAAGCTGAACGCGACGCGGGCGCACCTCGAGAAGGCGACGCAGGCGCACTTCGGGAGTTTGTTCATCACATTTACGTCCGGCACGCACGTTGCGCTTGACCCGCCGGTGTTTCCCGAGGTCATGGCGCTGGGGACGGGGACGGGAGCCAATGGCACGGAAAAGAGGGGCGTCAACCAGCAGCTGGTGCCGCTGCTGCGGCACCTGAAGGGGAGTAGGCTTGGGATTGTGGTCATGGACTTCTTCGAGGAGCCGGAGGGACTGGTTGATCTTGTTTTGAGGTTTTAGGGGTTGGGGTGGTCGACAAGCAAGCAGTTGCTATCTAATATTGATGTTCGTGTTATTCATGAGCGTGATTATAAAAGAAGATCCAGCCACCGTTCACGCAACTCGATACCGGGGGAACAAATATGGCAATGGTGATGTGTACAGCGTCTACGTCCAGATCTTCGACGGGGGCAGGAGCCCAGGTCGGGTCGCTCGAGAAAGACGGCTGTCGGTCGACTGCATTGTGACCTCAGCTTCCTCTCGAAGGCTGCCGAGCGCTCTGACAGGATCCTGCACGCCGGCCGGCCAGGCTGAGGCGAAAACACCGTCTCCTCTCCCTCCCCCACGGACGGGACACATGAGCTTGAGGGAACGAAGGCGATGGATGACTCGGGTCCGCACCAGTGCAGTATTGGCAGTGGCCCTGAGCACGGGTATGAAAACGACGACCGCGAGTGCAACATGGGCTTCACTTGCTAGGTCATAGGGAAGGAGTTGAATAGCGTACAAAGGGGTGGACGTCGGTCGGGCTGGCAGCACTGGTGCTGCTGTATATGGTATATCCTGTGTGATAACTGCCCCGGTCGCAATTAGAGAGGGCGAGAGAAAAGCCCCTTGGATTCTTTCATAGGCGACAATTTGTAAACCCTTTTTCACACTTCTCTGTCCGGCTGCTGAAACAAGAATTTGTATATATCACTCGGACTTATTGCTTATCCCAAGGGTAAATCGATGGGACAACCGCTTGCCTGCCAGCACGTTCAGCACATGGTCGTTTATCTGCTAACCTCCCGTCACAGCCTCCATCCATCTGCTTGGAACCAAGTGCGCTGGCAGCTAGTGTGCGAGGTCTGGCTCAACCTTAACGCCGCTTTGCAAGAGAAGCTCAACCAGATCATGACCCGGAAGCGAACAGCGTGGTAGAGACCGTTTCTGCCGTTGCCGTCTGGGCAATTGGGCGAGGCAACAAGCTGCAGGATCAACTTGATATTCTGTGACGAGGTGTCCTCGATCGAGGTCCAAGAAGCCACGCGAAGCACATACCTATCTGTAAGGAACGGAGTAATCCCTTGCCGAGCGCGAGAAGCTCCTCCAGGCACATGCTGACGAGCTGCCCTCTGTTTTGGGAGACGTCGTTGCGTTGTCGGCCGCCCTCGAAGGGACAGCAGTGCAGATGGTTGAAGTCGAGGCCCTCTAGGGAGCAGACTGGGCCGATGGCCTTTGCCGTCATGGTAAATAGGCCGGATTAGAGACGTGTTAGGAGACCTTGGAGCGTAGTCTGCGGGGACGCACCGACTTGGTCGTAAACCCTACCTTGACCCAGCAGAACGCGGAGTATCTGCTGTTAACGTGGGCGCCGGCATCCAGGGCCATTTGTTGTGGCCGAGACTCGCCATGTTGGGCCGCCTAGAATAGTGCGCGGTAGTCCCGGTTCTAAGCAGAGCGCAGATAGAGGAGGCGGTTCGCCTCGTCGTAGCAGAGCCAGGCGCCGGCAGCAAAGGCAACGATGTCGCTGCACCTTTCCAGCCGAAGTGCTATTCCTTCGATGAGTTCAGATGGTACGCGGTCCATCGCAGGGCAAGCATGCGTCGAGGCTCGATGTGGGCAGACCTCGGGAAATCAGGTCCAACTACTGTAAGGCTGTGCGGACATTGGGCAGCCATGCAGTCAGCTACTCGAGCGAATATACCTACTACTCCGTGTTGTAGAGCCTGCCTACATCATCTCATTGCCCGGCACTATTGCATAGTCCCAGACAGCCAATGAGTGATCACCACAAATCGGCATCTTCGCTGTCACCCTGCGTCTTAAAGCCCCCAACACCAGATACTTATTGGGACACCGCCCGTTGTTCTGTCCTTTCTGACCTTAGACCCTTCTGTGGACACTCGTCTTCCATCTACCGTAGTCATGGCGGCTCCCGCTGTCGTAGCCTGGCTCGCGTTTGGAAGCGGTGTTGGAGGCACTGTTGTTAGTGCTGGAGCTTTCGGCGTTGCACTTCGGGCGATGCGTATTAACCTTCGCTCTCTCGAATTCAATATCAGAAGTAGAGATGTAAGATACAGCCCCGTGTCTCGTCCGCTATGGAAGCGCAGGCCTCCCATTGACCTATGATGCAGATCGATGACCTACGGAAACAGGCGGAATACCTCGAGGACTCTATCACAGCCAGTTTGGAGGCCCTTGAGAAGAGGTTCCCTGATAACAAGCACACGTGGCCATTCACACTCAAGAAAGCTCAGCTGCAACGCTCCCTGGCCCTCAAAGAGCAGAAGCTACGCAAGAAGGCCGAGGCAAGAAGAAGACCAGGAAGGAAGATGAACAAGTGTACATTACCTTACTTCAGCGGACCCGAATCCTACGGCCACTTCACACACCACACAGTCTTTGCAAAATACACCAGCATACGCCACGTCTGAGCACACACCGACTTCGTCCATCCGGTATCCCCCCGATGCGGGCTTTGCATCTGCCGCTCCAACTTACACTCCTGCCGCCCCGAGCTACTTTCAACCGGCAACATCCTAGACTCCTTCGGCGGCAGCTGGTTCAGCTCATAATTACGCAACAGTACCTGACTCACACTTGTGTGATGGATATGGCTGGCCACAAAGCGCATATGGCACGCCAGCCCCGATGCAAGCGGCCGAGGAACCTGACGACGATGGAATCGATATGACAGAGTACCCACCAACGCCGACCGCGTCAAATAGATACGCGGCGGGCTACGAGACGTCAGACTCCGGTTCCAAACATTCTCGATCTCGTAAGACGTCAGGCGGATCAGGCAGAAGGTCTAGGCAACTCGACTAACCGTAGACCCAGTTACCACCGGTTCCTTCCCAAATACGTACGTTCAATGACGTCTGTGACTCTAAGCCCAGAGGCTCTTGTGCCTGTTTTCCTCGTGAAGAACTTAGTATGGAATACGTTTTCTCGAGAGCGCACCAGTGAACAAGTAGGCGCCACGCCAATTGCTGGTCACTTTCAACGTCATCAGCACCGAGCTGAACTCAGAGAGTCCATCTTGTCTTGGAGCTCGTTCTGCTTGTAACGGCCTCAGAATGTGCCAGTACAATTCAGGCTCAGGCTTTTCATCTCCCAGCCGAGAAAGCTCTTGAGGCGGTAACCTCAATACCTGCAAACTCTCGACCTCAGCTTCCGAATAGGCTTGTGCGAGAGGGCTACGACGCAGACATTGTCGTATGGGATGCCAATCTACTATCCACCGGCGCGACTCCGCAGCAGGTTTTCATCGATCGTGTGGCAAAGCAAGACGGCAGAAGACGCGAGGCGATGGTCTATGGAAGCACAATGTGTCCCCCTCATCCGCATTGTAGGCACCGCAGATGATGACCCGAAAGTCCGGGGCTGAGGCGAGAGACCTTGCACCCTGGGTAGAAATGGCAAACATGACTTTGTTATCACGGGGGCGCCGAAATACTTCCTGGACAACTACCCACATTTCGCGGCCTTCATATCTGACTCCGGCCCCGAGAATCTGACGCTTGTTATATCTAGAGGTGCCTTAGTTCATCGGCCGTTGGTACAGCGAACCCGCCATGAGGATTACCCTGAACAACGGGCACTTGATGCCTGCCCTCGACCGCAGTTGCGCACAGCTTGGGCATGGTCGAGATGGCGCTGGAGGAGGCCACGGTCAACGGCGTGGCTTCGTTCGAAGACGTGACAGACCCCTCCAGCGTCGACTATGCTGGTAATGACATCTCCTTTGATGAGAAAGCGTTCGTTCGCGCGCGATTGGGCGGTGCTGGTAGCATGCTGCGAGAAGCTTCTGTCGGTATCCAGACAAGTGGCACGAAGACCATGCTTGATGGCGGTATCTTTCAAGTTTATGTAGGCTTGCACATGGTCTCTGGTGATAACAACGGACACCCGGGGAGCGTGAGCCAGCTACCGCCTAGTTGCGCGCGATCCTGAAGGAAAACTCAGAAACGGCACGAGAGTGCCTACGGTCTGTTCGCTGACGGCTTGATGCCTCTCCTCGTCGATGCGCCAACCGTAGCGAGTCGACTTGCTAGATGACTCCCTCGTAGCATTAGCTCTCCTTCATACCAGCCCGTTACTTAGCAGATGATAGCGATCAAAAGTGACTTCCCAGATGTCAATCTGATCTCGAATGGTGGCCATGCAGCTCCCATGCTAGGTTAGATAAATCACATGATAATGGTATATCGTTCTGACTCAGGTTGCCGAAGAGCTGGCCAGAGCCAAAACCCCCGTCATCTTATCGGCGACGCGACCAGCGCCAGCTTCCTGGGATCAGCGGGACGTCCTCACCGGCCCGCCACTTACTCGTAGTCCGCAATACACAGTCTCATTTGCCGGCGGAAGTAAGTGCTCTTCCCCTTACTAACCGTTTTCAATCGATCATACCTCAGGGCCCAGCTGGGGCAGCCAAGCACGCCAGCCACAACGAGCATGAGGCGGTTCGCCTTGTGTTGAAGAACGCGGAGAGCGTCAGAAACCTGAATAGGGGCGGGAATAGATTGTGGCTGGCTGAACCAAGGACCAGGGGTTCGATCTGCCAGGTGATAGGGGGATGCGGGAAAGCCACGCAGACGTGGCTGTTTGATGTCATGCACGGCGGTGGTATCTGTAGACGTGTCTCTGATGCGATCTGTCATGTCCAAATTTCTCGTCAGCATTACTGATGCATTTGCTGCGGGCGGCTGCAGTGGCTTTCAGGTGGGCAGAAAATGCACGTTGGATAGGCTCGCCGCAGCGTCTTCGTTTGGTTGGCATGACTCTAATAATACAGAGCCAGCAGCAGTCAGTTGCCGCGCGTGTGGACGGCTGTGGTTTGTGACCTTGATTATTGGCCGACGTCTCCCATTGTAACTTGGAGTTGCCAGGCGCGCGCGCAAACACCACGAGCAAGGCGAAGCGCCGTCTCCTGTGTTCTGTGTTCTGTGTGTTCTGTGTGTTCTGTCTTCTGTCTTCAGCGGGTACGGGGCGGTTACCTCACACAGAAATAAGCTTATTTTCTTCAGGAGCCTCTTTTTCGTTTTCCCATTCAACGGTGGTCCAATTGAAGCCAGACATTTGTCTCGCAAAGTAACGCCTGTCTCGGGACCGAAGCTGTTGGTGCACTTTGCCTTTCGTGGCGGCGGCTGCATGGTCCCTTTGCGTACCTTGGGTTCCAGGGTGGACCGGGGGGACGACAGGGGGACGACTAGAGTGCTGACTATTGCGTAATTGAAGGATCTATCATCTATCCACTGCTGCCCAGGCATCAATGACATGGAATTAGGGGTACGTGCATCGATATCGGCTACCTTAGGTAGATAACGAATGACCTGTCGTGCATGCCTGGATTTTCATGAGATGCTCTTCGTGGCAGGCAATGCGTTCCAGTTCTGCAGCGTCGTTATTGGACTTGCTCGCGTCAGCAGCGCCCAGGTAGTAGGTACCTAACTCACTCGCGGTAAAAGTTGCAAAGTTCATCGGATGATGGAGCATTCGTTGACTAGAATCGCCAAGATCTAGGTACGGCCCCCTCCCGCCAATTATCAGCCCCAGCGACGGCAGCGTTTAGCGTGTTTCGGAAATCCTCCCGAGCTTATCGAGAAGGAGCTAGCGTGGCAGCTGGGCTTAGGGGTTGATTTGCAAAGTGGGCAGGTGCCATTGGGTGCACAGACTACCGTATGCAGGGGTAAGCTGGGTTAAGTGGACCCGATGGGACCCTGGTGTTCTGGTTGTTCTGGCCCTTTGTGATCGACAGGCCCAAGAAACACAAACCCGGTTTGTTTCCGTCGCATCGTCTTTCGTCTCAAAACTCGGAAGATAACACTGAATTCAGATGGACAACCCCTATTGAAGCCATGCATCAGACTACTATGCAGACAACGGCCTCTATTTTACTGTAACGACATTCGGTCGTCGGACTTCGTCTAACCAATCGGACTTGATAATACCTACCTCTAGGTAACATGGACAACAACGTGGAATTGCCGCACTTTCTGCCTACGCCGCCGCCGTGCATCGGCCAATCGTCCAGTGTCTCAACTTACGCCACGGCGACGGCGCAGTCATGGATGTCCCCCGAGGCTCGAGCCAGGCAGCCAAGGCCAACGATCAAGTGTCCGCCGTTGGGACCAATACCAGTACAACTGTCATGGTAAACACAAATTTCCACCATGAGGTGCTATGTGGGCAGCCAGCCTCTAGCTCTTGAGTTACAGGAGGCAGAAAGTGAATGGCGACCCCGACGAGATGGTTCACCAACAGCTTAACCTATGTAGGTAGGTCCCTAGGCTGGCGCAGATTGTCCTCGCCCCTTTCATCTGCACATTCTACATTCTTTGGTGGTCTGGTGGTGTTACCCCCCGGCCCCCGAACCCCCCTACTCCCCTGCAGGCTGCATGCTTACGCCCGGATCGCTCGCTAGGTCTCGAAAACAACTGACCAGTGACCAGCCGAAGCGCCGGCCAATCAGATCAGACCTTTCAACACCAACCAACACCACGCTCTCTTTTTCTCTTTTGTCCGTTGGTTGTCCGTTGTCACTATTCCGACCCACACCTGCATGCCACATTGCCACCAGGCCACCAGTGACCAGATGGATGCCTTGCATCGACCCGGTATTTTAGCATCTTATCGTCTGGTCTTTGGTTAACGTCCCGGTGGCCATGGCTCCCCTTCCGACTTCGTATATGACCCGGCCGTCCCAGTCTTTCCAACTGCTCTTCCCGCTCTCTCCTATTGCTTCGTGACTTCACATATCATCGTCCTGTTGCGCTGGGTGCTTTTCCCTAACCGATCTTTTCAATCATCACATTTGCAGAGCTCCGCCGGCTGAGTCCTCGCCATTCATTCATTCACCAACACCACACTCTTTGTTCATCCGTTCTTTACTGCAGCAGGTCACAAGCACCCTCAGGTACTAACAACACCGACACTCCACCAGTCAACATAAACAATTTGCTTGCGAACAAGCCCTTCTTTAAAGCTGCTCAGGTATCAGCTCCAAAAGAATCCCATTCTTCTTCCAAGACAACGGTCCAAGAGACTATATTTGTTTGCCTAGCACAAGAGCAACGCTGAGACACGCATACACACACACACACACAAGCTCCCCAAAATCGAACATGAAGTTCACAACTACCACCACCCTGGCCTCGCTGGCCGTCGTGGCCGCTGCAGCCAAGGACACGACCACATTTGCTGTCTTGAGATTCAACGGCGATGGTTTCTTGACCGAAGGGCCAATGGACCCCATCGTCAACCCCGGAACGACGTCTACCCATTACCACAGTATCATGGGAGGAAGCAACTTCGGCCCTACTGTCGAGGGCGACCAGCTGTTGGACTCGAATTGCACCACGGCCAAGATCAAGAACGACCACAGCAACTACTGGATCCCTCAGCTCTTCTTCCAGGATCCCAAGAACCCCAAGAGCTTCGAGAAGGTCAGCATGATGTACATGAACGTCTACTACTTCTTCGAGGAGTCCTCCAGCGATGTCGAGGCCTTCCCCGTCGGCCTGAAGATGATGATTGGTGATGCTCACACCCGCTCTCCTCCCAATGCTACCGGACTCCAGCTCGATCCCAACAACAGCGCCGGCATCAACCCCGTGCAGTGGACATGCCCGCGGACGTCGTACACCCCGCCTTCCTACCCTGTAGACTCAGACGGCACCAAAGCCGGCATTGTAGACCCCAACAACGCCGGTGCTGGTGCTGGTTTTCCCTCCCAGAAGTGCGACGGCTTGTATTCTCCTCTCCGCCAGGATCTCCACTTCCCCTCGTGCTACAACCCCGAAGCTGGCCTGGACGCCTACAAGACCAACATGGCATGGCCAACGTTCGACGGCGATAAGAGAGAGTGCCCAGAAGGCTACATCCACGTGCCTCACCTCTTCTTTGAAGTTTACTGGAGCACCCCTGATTTCAATGACAGGTGGGACGTCGACGGAGTCAACCAGCCATTCGTGCTCTCCAACGGAGATGCCACCGGCTTCAGCTCGCACGCAGACTTCATTTCCGGCTGGGACAAAGACACTCTCAACACCATCATCGGCAGTTGCAATGCTGGCACTCTCGGCATGGACACCTGCCCCGACATTCCTGGCGGTCTGAGCGAGGACAACGACTGCAAGATCTCACCGGCTATGGGAACGATGCTGAAGACTTCAGCAACTCTGACTGCTCTTCCTCTTGACAACCCCGTCACCGGCTGGGGCAAGGGAGGCGTGACTGGCGGCTCAGTTGGCGAGAGCTCCAGCGGCTCGGAATCGGGCTCCAGTGCCTCTGCCGCTACCACGACGTACCCTACCAGCGCCGCCGAGACCGATGCCGCAAGCTCAACATCGGTTGCCGCCGAGCATACCGAGACCGAGGTCGCGGCCAGCTCCCCGACTGAGGCTGCGAGCTCTGCGACCGAGGCTGCGAGCTCTGCGACCGAGGCTGCGAGCTCTGCGACCGAGGCTGCGACCTACCCGACTGGTGGCGCTTTCATCCAGGAATCTGCTAGCTCCGCTACGACGGCGGAGACCGCTGCCGCTGCCGTTACCGATGCTCCCGCTGCGCCTGCTGCGGGTGGTGACCCCAACATCAAGACGGTCTGGGACTACGTTACCGTCACATCCACCACCACCGTGGCACCCGACGCCTCGCCTGTCTCTCAGAGACGACGTGTCCCGCGCCACTCACACGGCCACATGGCCCGTCACCTCGGTGGCGGCTTCGCCGGCCGTCGATGATCAACGCATGCCTGATCCGATTCCTCTTCTTGTATACAACTTTTAGGGTAGCGGCACGATCACGGTTGGTTGGCTGCATGGTAGACAGGTAGGTGCCCGGCGGCAAAAGGTAGATAGGCAGGCAGGCAGGCCGGGAAGGCAAGACGACATACGGCCACTACAATTCACGTTACTTGTTGATTCACGCGGGTTTGGTTTCAATAGCGCTGCACGACGCTACGATCTCTCCCCGAAAGCCATACCGCACCCACTGCGCGGCGTGGCTGTGTGTCTTCACCAGGCATTTACAAGCGAGCTTCGCTTCGTCGATGTATGATATTTATATTTTATCTTCTACTACAGAGTTCCAGAAGGACTTTACGGTCTTCAATTCTAAACGTCTTCAATCATAATAAGCCAATTATGAATTTTACGCTGTTCAATGTAATGTGATGCGTAAAATCGGCCATTGTTGTGTCATGTCTCGAACAGCCGACGATCACTTGGACCGAAGTGTTTCGTCTTACACAAATGGGACCGGACCAGGTAGTTGTCATGAAAATGCTTCACATCAGTTCAATCTCCAAAACCATCCCATTCTTCCTGCTCGCTATCGCTGAGGCTGCTATCGACACTCGAGCCGCTCACATCGTCCGAACCGGTATCGGGCCCGTCGCCATCAGAGGGTTTATTCTCTGATGCGCGTCCATCGTAATGTGATGATGAGCCTTGGGGCTCGCTCCCTGCCTTCAGCGTCGGCATGCCCATGACATCCCGCACAATGCGACCGTCGTCATCCCTCACATACGGCCCATCGCCATTCTCGTCGCCAGCTTGCGCATCCCGCACAAACCCCGCGACGAAGAAGCCCATCACGCCGCGTCCATCACCCTTGTAAGACCGAATACACGAATCCGCAACCTCGGCATCCCCATTGCTCGCCTCGACAGACCCCCGAACGGGCCATTCGCGCATCCCGCGGACCTGGTGCTCGCGCCTGAGGATGCGCCACCCCCTCTCCCTGGCCACGCCGGACCGCAGCGCCTTCAGGACGACCTGCTCGTTCTCCTCGGCGTGGACCGAGCACGTCGAGTATGTCAGCTTGCGGGCGGCAGGGAACCGGAAGGCGTGCAGGATTAGTGTGAGCTGGAAGGACGACAGCGCCTCCAGTCGCATCCGCAGCTCCTCCTCGGACGAGACCAGCACCTCCTGGCCGTCGTCGTCGACGAGGACTGGTTGTTGTTGGTTCTTGCCCTCGCCCTCGCCCTCCTCCGCGGCGGCGCCGCTCTCCTCGCGCTTGCGCTTGCGGCTGCTGTTGTCCAGCGTGGGCTTCTTGAACGTACCCGGGACGTGCGGGAGGTGGATCGTGGGCATGCTGTCGCGGCCAACGATGCCGCTGCCCGAGCAGCTGGGGTCCAGGAGCAGCGCGCCGACGTGGGCGAACAGCGGCGTGTCCGGGTCGACCTTCAGGAAGTCCTGGCCGAAGCTGATGCGCGTCATGTCCTTGGCGTCGGCGAGCCCGACCATCTTCTCTAGCGTCCGCGCGCGGCGCCGGTCCTTCTCGAAGGCGTACACCTTTTGCACGCACTCCTCCTTCTCGGTGCCGTGGGATCGGACGATGGCGGCCAGGTGCGTCGTCTTGTTTCCCGGCGCCGCGCACGAGTCGATCACGTCGCCGTCCTCGGAGCGCGGGTCCAGCAGGTAGGCCGGGAAGCAGGAGGCCTTGTCTTGCAGTATGATGGCGCCCGACGTGTAGGCCTCGGTCTTTGTGATCTCGAAGCCGGGCGACAGGGCCAGTAGATTCGGTATATGCTCGTCGACGTACAGAAGCTTCCCCCCACTACTGCCGCTTGCTGTGACATCCTTGACCGTGTAGACCCGCGTGAAGTCCTTGAAGACGCCTTCCAGTTGGGCTTCCAGCGTCGTCCGCAGTGCGTTGACGCGTACCCACCGGGGGTACCCCGCGGCTTCGCCCAGAAAGTCGAGGTTGATCTGCTGGCGCAAGACCTCGATCGATCCGGCTTTCCGGCGCAGGCGGACCCGTGTCAGCTCGGAGCCCAGGCGGGCCTTGTGGCGCTCGATGGTGGTCCGCAGGCCGTGGGAGGCGGGCAGGGCAATGCCCTTTTTCGCAAGCAGGAAATCGTGGACGAGGAGGAGCGCGAGCACGGGGGTTAGCTGGCTCGGTGGTCAGCACACTGAACATAGTGCAACTACCTTTCGAATCTTACCTTGCGCTCGTGTCGCAGGAGTTCCGAGTTCTCAATAACCTCCTTGAGGACGGTGCTCCATTTGCAGGTCTCCAGGGCCAGGGCATAGACCTGCTGCTGGGGCGACTTTAGATCCTTCTTGCCGAAGATGCGCGTCTTCAGGTTGCCGCCCGTAGACGATGACGCCGACAGGATCTCGGCCGTCTCGTGGTAGAGGGACATGATGCTGCGTGTTTGGTGCAGCGCATGGTCAGCGACAGCCAAAAGGCACCAGAAATGTCAAGACCTTTTGCGACTGTGAAAAAGAGTGCTGAAATTCATCGAGTAGGCGCGCGCGTAGCCAGCCTAGCCAGCCACTTTTCCCCGGGGATGAGCCGCAGGGAAATACCCACTTCCCGATTGAACTGCTTGAGCCTTGAATTCACATATCGGTGAACTCCAATGTCAAGTCTCTCCAACTTTCGTCCACTTTCATGTCATCACATTCCCAATTGAAGAGGCATCGCACGAATCGCTTGCCTGACACAGAGAAAGGCTCCGCGGTTGCAGGCTGCAGCACTCTTCTGGGTTCTGAATCCTGACCTGGTAACTTGTAAGGAAGGACCCTTGGTGCTTCACCCGGTCACACAGCGTCCGAATTCAGGTGAGCTTGATATTCCCGTATCTGGGGACGGCGTTGTTGCTGCATGCAACTAGCTACGATCCCCCATGAGCGACGATATTTGATGCCACGGCTTCCCTGTTGTGGACTGGTCTGGCTTATCACATTCCGAGCCTGCCCATCAGCCTTCAGGAGCCTGGAGGAGGCTGCTTTCGCTATCCGGCGCTCAGGCAGGGAATGGGAGGGAGCGTGGGAGGCAGGAGATGATGCGCGTTTTTGTGTTTGTGCCGTTGGGGTCCCCCCTTGCTCTTGGGAGCTTCTCCACCTCCACATGCCAGTCAGCCCAGGTTACCACATAGCTGGATATCCGTACTCGACCTCACAAATCTGGCTCACCTCTACTCCCCCGAGTTATTGCTGTTCAACGGCGTCCCAAAGTCCCCTCCTCCAACACTAGAACTTTGCAACTCCTCTCTTCCAACACAACTGGCCGTAAGGTGGGCCCAAGTTTGCGGGATTTTTGGGCAATCCAATCGACGAGAGTTGCAGTCCCCATTGAGCCTCGAAGTCACCTGAAAGGCTCTTCCTGCGTGCTGTTAGCACCAAGGGGGGCCTGTCAGTCGCTGCTCTATCCGGGCGGCCTCCCAATGTACACGGTACAAGGTCGGGCTTCCACCCAGCTTCCCCGACATTGTCTCGTCTACGAGGTAAACAACAAAGGAGGATCACCATGTTTTTTAACCAGCGAGATATCCACACCCATGGTGCTTCAGGTGGCGGCATGAGCTGCAGGAACAGGACAGGGCGGGCAGTAGCACCGTCAGCTTGTGTGCAATATGAATAAATAATGGCGCCGACCCGTGCCTTAGGGTTCATCGCTCACCTCAACCTCCCTTTTCGCTTTGTGACTTTCTTCCGACCAGCAAGCTGCCCACGGCACAGTTTCTCAGCTACCTTCTCTTCTTCTCGCTCTGTGAAGACCCAAGGCAAGCATCATGGCCGAAGCCGAAGCAATTGAGCCAGACTTACGCGTCCGCTTCGCTGGGCATGTCGGGGCAGACCAGTCCGGCGAGGAGAAGTCTTCCAGCGCCAGCGAGAAGCCTCTGGACATTGACGACGAAGAGAACGCACGTAGGATCGCTGATCATGACCTCAACCAGAGCCACAAGCAGGTGAGTTTCCAGAAAGGAGCAGTCTTGTCCCCAGTTGTTGTTCGTGTAGCCTGTCGTCGGAACTTGTCTCAGGGGTTCGCCATTCCAGGCCCCCTAGAAGTCGTCGTTCAGCACATCTGCCTACCACGCACTCCCAACGATCCCTTCTTCCCTAGTGGTCACTCCTTCGTGCTGACTTGACTGCAGAGATATAGCGGTGTCGTGCTTCTATGGCTCGCCTTCCAGAGTACTGGTGTCATCTACGGCGACATCGGTACCTCTCCCCTCTACGTCTACTCGTCGACTTTCACTAGCCAGCCCTCCTGGGAAGATGTAGGCCTCTGTCTGCGATTAACCTACCCATTCCTCACCACTTGTTGTACCCTGATCGACTAACCGGGAACCCGTTGGTCCTAGCTTGTCGGCGCGCTCTCCATCATCATCTGGTCCCTCACCCTGATCGTCACCGTCAAATACTGCTTCGTTGTCCTCTCGGCCGACGATGACGGCCAGGGCGGCACCTTCGCCCTATACAGTCTCCTGGCTCGCTACACCCACATCGTGAAAGAGAATCCCGTCACCAACGGCATGGTCAGGATGGAACGATACCAGACCAACGAGATGAAGCCCGCTGGTCGAGACCTGAGAAGCTTCCTCGAGAAGTCCTCGACATCCAAGCTTCTTCTCAGAGTCGTCGGCATCATCGGTATCTCGCGTAAGCAACCTTTTCGAGTCATGATGTTACCCTTCCAGATACGCCGAGGGCGATGATTGCCCCTTGCGACTATCTGTAGTCTCAGATAGTCTGCTTGTCCGAAACTCCTTTCAGCGCCTCCTCGAAAGGCAATTAACTGACCTGAACTGTTGCAGTGGTCATGGCCGACGGCGTCTTGACGCCCGCGCAGTCCGTCCTCGGCGCGATTCAGGGGATCCGCGTCGCGAACCCCGACCTCGGCACGTCGGCCGTGGTTGGGATCTCGATCGCAATCCTGATTCTGCTGTTCTTCGTCCAGCCGTTCGGGACGTCGAAACTTGGGACGGTGTTCGCTCCCATCGTCACGATTTGGCTGCTGTTCAACTTGTGCGCTGGCATCTACAACCTGGCTGTGTTCGACTACACTGTCTTGAAGGCGTTCAGCCCTTACTTCGCCTTCACCTATCTGATCAGGAATGGTCATGATGGTTGGAAGTCCCTGGGCGGACTGCTCCTTGCTTTTACTGGTGTGGAAGCGTTGGTGAGTTTTCCCTCGTCGACTACCAGCGGTGCGAGAGGTGAAATGTCAATGGCGCTGACGGTCCCTAGTTCGCCGATCTAGGCGCCTTCAGCAAGCGTGCTGTGCAGATTTCCTGGCTAGGATTGACATACCCGTGTAAGCACCCCTTTCCCATGAGAAGCCCTTCCTGCTCCGAGGGGCATACTGACACCTTGTCGATACAGGCCTCATCTTCGCCTACGCTGGCCAGGCGGCTTTCATCTCCATGGATGCGGATGAGACCGCCTACTCGAACCCCTTCTTCTACACGGTGCCGCCGGGAACCCTCTACTTCAGTCTCGTGCTAGCAATACTCGCAGCCATTGTTGCCTCGCAGGCCATGATCACGTCCAGCTTTCAGCTGTTGTCGCAAGTCATGCGCATGTCGTACTTTCCTCACATCAAGGTCATCCATACAAGCCATCAGTTCCACGACCAGGTGGTACGTATAGCAAGATCCCATTCAAACACCAAGAGCCATGTTTTCTGGCCGTGCGGGTTAAGGGACAAGATGCTAACCTGAATGCAGTACATTCCGCTGGCGAACTGGTTGCTGATGATTGGGACGGTCATCGTGACGGCTGTGTATAACAACGTGAGTCTTCTCTATGGCATCGTATGTTCCACTTGCTTACATGCAGACAGACAACTTCACTCGGAAACGCGTACGGTGTCTGCGTGATCCTCGTTACGTTGATCACAACCTGTATGGTGTCACTAGTCGCGATTCTCGTCTGGCGCTTCCCATTATACCTCGTCTTGCCAGTATTCCTCGTCTTCGTAGCTCTAGACGGGGCCTACACATCGGCAGTGCTCACCAAGGTCCCCGAGGGCGCCTGGTTCACGCTCCTGCTGGCCGCGATCCTCTGCTCCATCTTCATCCTCTGGCGCTACGGCAAGGAGCAGCAATGGAGCGCCGAGTCGCTGGGCCGCCTGCCCCCGGCCAGTCTCATCACCGCCACCCCCGCAAGCGGCGGCAACACCGTTGCCGTCCCCCGCCTCAGCAGCGCCTTCGGGGGCGCTCCCATCAGCACCGTCGAGGGTCTCGGCATCTTCTTCGACAAGACCGGCGACGTCGGCCTGCTGCCCGTGGCCTTCACGCAGTTCCTCATCAAGTTCGCCGCCCGCCCCCGCGTCCTCATCTTCTTCCATATGCGGCCGCTGCCCGTGCCGTTCGTACCGCTGTCCGAGCGCTACGTCATCACGCGCTCCCACGCCATCGGAACCGGCTGCTACACCGTCGCGCTGCGCCACGGCTACGCTGACGACATCATCAGGCCCGGACTGGCGCGCGAGCTCGTCGCCCAGGTCGAGCTGGCCATCACCGCGCGCCACCGCGACGTCGACACAGCGGAGCTGGCGGCGCTGCGCGCGGCGTGCGAGGCGCAGACTGTGTACGTGCTCGGCAAGGAGACGATGCGCATCAAGCGGGCCAAGGGCGTCGGCGCTGTTGCGCGCAGGGCGCTTCTTGGGCTGTTCTTGTGGCTTCGCGAGAATTCGCGCACTAAACTGGCGGACCTGGATATCGATGCTGATAGGCTGATCGAGGTCGGTTTTGTCAAGGAGATCTAGTAGATGATAGGGTTTTGGGGTCTGGCAGCAGTGAGCACGGTATGCTGGGTCAGTTAGGCCATTTCTGATGATACGGTCGTACGTTGGTGAGTATCGAACTGGTCGCTTTAGATGTGGCTTTATTTGGGAAACACAAACCAGACTTGTTATCTTCGGGATACCTGTCAAATGGACTGGAATCACATTACGTGGCACCGCTGCTGGGTACCTTTTCCCCCCTGGAATCAGCAACCTGTAATAGACAATTACATCTCTATGAACCAATCTCCATGCTTGTCCCAGAGCGCTCTTATCACATATACTGAATACCCTCAAATACCTGATCGAGAGGCGTGCTATTCTTCACGGCGGAACAGGCACTTTTTCTCCAGTCGTTCCATCTGGTGAGTGTCGTTCCATCTACCGTAGCCTGTGGCCTCGTTCTCTGGTCCACTTTTAGTTATTAACTGCCTCGGCTGGAATTTACGGCTTTACCAGTGGAGTGGATAGGATAGGATCTTATCTCGTGGAGAGCTGGCAGGACTTTTAGTCACCTGAGTCCTGGGCCCTGCAGGCAAGAACCTTGCAAGAATCTAGAACACTTCTTCACATCTCGGCAACATTGCCAAAGCGAGCAAGGATGTCATGAGGGCTCGGACCTTCGACATTGACTCTCTGCGAAACACAGCAGCGTGCCTTGAAGAATCGGCTTCAGTCATGCCGCGAATCACGGAGTCAATCAGGTCAACGGGGATAATGATCTCGGACCCGATGACCACCGACCATCTGCCATCTGCCTGCCGCCGAGTCGACAAAGATGGCATAAGCCGGGTGGTGTGATCGGGACTTGCGAGCGCGATAAGTCCGAGTAAGCTCATCCATCAGGCTGGGGAACGTTGGCCAAGTCGGACCTCCTGTGAGTCCTGTCTGTCTCTCTTACAAATCTGTCTCACTGTTCGGCCAATGAATACATTTCATTCATCATTCCATTCTCAACTGAAAGCCTTTTAGCCCGTACAGGTCAGAGCTAGGATCAACTATCACCTGTCAAATTTCCGTGCCATGGCGATGGTAGGTACGGCAACCATAGCGCATAGCCTGGCGCGCGACCCTCGATCTATTAGTATCGAGGGGTCTATCCCGAGGTCTAGTGCGGATGTGGGGCCGGTGACGGTCCCGAAGCAGCCTCTTCCCGCGTCTACCTAGGTATACGCGTCCCCGCCCCACCAGTCGCATAACCAAGTGGTTCTCGCGTACGACAAACACATGGAACCGGATATTAGCAGACGTTCAGACGTTCCAGGGGAATACGGCTTGGGAGTTGGGACTCATCACGAAGGTCTGAGTCAACGCCAGACACGAGCATCTGAAGGTCCGACGGCAGGCCGAGTGAGACAAGGCATCGTGTAGAAGCCGGTGCCACGGCAGCGGTACTCTGATCTCACAAACTTCGTGTCCAATCGCAAAGCTCCTCCATGTTCCGACCCGGGTTTCGCAGACTCGCACACTCGCACAGCATACCGGTGGCACGGCTACGCACATAGGGCAGCTGTCCCGAGCGGGTGGAACTCGAAATTCTTCTGCAAAATGGCAACCTTCAAGCGCAACACTATTATAAATGCGACAAGCCTACCAGACGGCAAGCGGCTGGAATGATAACTTGCATAGTCACCCGGCATGGGCAGTTATTCCAGGGGCTACCGGCTGTGAACGGGCAGGTAGTCACGGCTTATTTCGCTGCACTTGGCTTTCCCTTTCAACGGCATCGATTAGCTTACCCGAGCTCTCGTGTGTCATAGGCAAACCTAGAAAGCATGAAAGTCGCATGAGCAACTTGAAGTCACAAAGCGGCTTGGCATCGGAGTGTCGGACGGTCGCGGACTTAAAACGGGTGACTGCCCAGGGCTGCCATGTGGCCACCGGCCGATTCATCCATCCCGAACCTGGCAGCCCTGGCTAGCTCTCCTATACGATCCTTGCATGGGCCTGCACAAGCCGCCTGGATTCCTAGTGGCATACCCTGGCATACCCTTTGTGATGAGAAATCCCCTCATAATGGGACGGCTCGCTGCCGGTGCAAACACGCAAACACTAGGCCCGAACACCGATGAGTACATATAGAAAGCCTGCCCCCGGCAGGCTGGAATGCATGCGACTTTCCCCTTTGGCTTTGGTGCATCCAAGACATCTTCTCTTCATCGGATTTCTAATACCCATTTCAAGGCTCATCTTTCGTCTGCGACCCTCTCCCAATGTCGGCCGACCATGCCCCATCCTCGTCATCGTCTGTCACGATGACAGAGGCTGACCGCGATGTCGAGTCACACCAGGCCAGCCCCAAACTCCCATACTTCAAACGCCAGTTCGACCAAGCCGGCGTCACTCCCGCCGTACTGGGATGGAAGTACAGGGGATCGGGCACAGAAGAGGATCCCTTCCTCGTCGACTTCCTTCCCGATGACCCCAAAAACCCCATGAAGTTCCCCACATGGAAGAAGTGGATGATCACAGCTCTTCAAGCCATAGCCGTCCTCGCCGTCGCCTTTGTGTCGACGGCCTTCTCCGGCGGCATCAGCGAGGTTATCAGGGAGTTCCAGATCGGTACGGAGATCGCCATCCTGGGCATATCGCTGTTCGTCACCGGCTTTGCATTGGGGTAAGTAATGTTCAATATCTCACGACGTTGCTGCGATACTAACCCGTCTGCCAGTCCGTTGATATGGGCTCCCTTGTCCGAGTTGTACGGCAGACAGCGCCTGTTCTTCCTCACTGTAAGGACACCTCACGTATTGCCACCCTATGAATATCGGTTGACTGACACAACGCTGTAGTACATGTGCCTGACGGCTTTCAACGCGGGAGCTGCCGGAGCCCCTAACATCCAAGCACTTATTGTGCTGCGTTTCCTCGCCGGAACATTTGGAAGTTCTCCCTTGACCAACGCTGGTGGCGTTATTGCGGACATGTTCTCAGCCAAGGAGAGAGGGTTGGCTACGGCTATGTTTGCTACGGCACCATTCCTTGGACCCAGCATCGGACCTATAGTAGGTGGTTTCCTCGGCGAATCAGCAGGGTGGCGATGGGTTGAGGGTCTAATGGCGGCATTCACTGGTGTGCTGTGGATCGTGTGCTCCTGCGTCGTACCCGAAACGTATTCGCCCGTCCTCTTGCGCAAGAGAGCTGCCAAGCTATCAAAGATGACTGGAAAACATTACATCTCGAAGATCGACGCGGGTAAGCCAAAGCAGACCATCGGACAGAAATTCAAGGTTGCCCTTTCGCGCCCCTGGAAGCTCCTCTTCCGAGAGCCGATTGTCCTGATGACTTCGCTATACATGGCTATCGTGTATGGAACGCTCTACATGATGTTCGCCGCCTTCCCCATCGTTTTCCAGCAGCAGCGCGGGTGGAGCCCAGGCATCGGTGGCTTGGCTTTCTTGGGTATCGCTGTTGGCATGATGGGAGCCGTATTCTACTCGGCATATGATAACGTCAGATACGCAGAGATCGCCGAAGCGCGGGGCGGGCAAGCACACCCGGAGGCTCGCCTCCCGCCGTCTTGCATTGGGAGCGTATTGCTTCCCATTGGATTGTTCTGGTTCGCATGGACGAATGGACCTGAGATCCACTGGATTGTTCCCATCATCGCCTCCGGCTTCTTCGCTGCGGGCCTTGTCTTGGTGTTCCTCAGCTTGATGAACTACCTGATCGACTCTTGTAAGTTGCCGCCCCGGTGTTGCACGATCAAACACTGCAAAGACTAACGTTTCTACTTAGACACCATCTACGCAGCCTCGGTGCTGGCCGCCAACTCTGTCCTACGTTCCCTGTTCGGCGCCGCATTCCCTCTTTTCACAACCTACATGTACGCGGACCTCGGCATCCACTGGGCAAGCTCCATACCAGCCTTCCTCGCCTTGGCCTGTCTGCCCTTCCCCTTCCTGTTCCACACATACGGCGAGACGATCCGCATGAAGTGCAAATACGCTGCCGAAGCGGCCGATGTTATGACGAAGATGCGGACGCGGCAGGACGACGACAGTGTTCCCGCGAGCGAGGCGGGCGCACTGCGGGAGAAGGAGGAGGAAGCAACATGATGATCGAAGCATGGCAAAACAAACAGGATCGATCTTGAATTTACAGCATCATAGCGGCATCCGGCATACCCATCATAGCGACTTGGTTTTTTTTTTGCATTTAATTAGAACGGGTCTGGAAAGGATACCACACGCACACAGAGTGCACCTTGCATCTACTCACATAGTCTCCTTTAACTCTAATCAAAACACCACTTCTTGACGTAGGGTCGCCCACTCATTTCGTTCAATGTGACATCCAAGTGCGACTTGTCAGGTCACACGTACCGGCTTCTGTTTACTACAGTCAAAGCTCATCACGCCCGCCCACCCGAATATTGACCCCGGGGATATTAACCCTCACATTCCGCGTCGCCCCAATGCGCCCACCCACCTTCCCAAGCCCTGCAATTCCACCTCCTCTCCGATCCTCGTCGCCTCCCTCCGGCGGCGGCGTCAAAACACCGGGCGGCGTCCACGGCCTGACCCGCCCCTGCCAGACGTCGAAACCCCACCCCTGCAGCTCGCGCGCCGTGATGCCGCGGCCCCGCGGGTACCGGTAGATCCGGCCGGTCGACAGCTGGTGCACGGCGCCGGCCGGGAATGATAAAGATGTCTCCCGCTCTGCCTCCCCGGCCAGTCCTAGCTCGGATAAAAGCGATGGGAAGTCCAAGGGGTCGGCCGTCACTATGGTCAGGCTGCCGTAGTGGCTGCGCGCGAGTGCGGCGAGGGAGGTGCGCAGCGCGGCGCGCTCGGCTGCGGTGCGTGCGAAGACGTAGACGATGGGCCAGCCGCGCTGATTTTGTGTCAGTACCTAGGCTTGTATATTGGGCGCGTGGTGTTACGCGGTGGTGGGTTGGGTTGGGGATATAATGAGCAGACACCATGCGGGAATGACTGCTTAATGCCAGGTGCTTATGCTCCCTTTCATTCCAGCCACCTGGGACAGAGTGAGCGAGAACTCACGTCCAAAAACCGCTGGTGATTATGCGGCAGCAGCTCGCCAATAACAGGCCGCGAAGCCTCAACGACGAACTTCTCCAGCGCAGCCGTATCTTCAAATCCATCGAGGTCGTGCGTGTCGCCGTCGAGCGGCCTGTAGCACCTGACCAGCGGCGGCGCCTTGACGCCTTCGGCTTCCAGCGCGGCGGCGTCGGTGGCTAGGAGGCCGAAGGTGAACTCTTCTGCGTATTTCGCTGCTGTCTGGACAAAGGCTGTCTTGCTGGCGCTCTCGCTCTCGCCGTCGGTGCTTAGGTATGCGATGAAGACTGTCTCGTCGGCTGCCTTGAAGGCGGCGAGGGAGTTTGCGGTGATTTCTGTTACTGGCGGGCGCTGTACTCTGTTGATCCAGGCGAGAATCCTGCCGTTTTTTTCGTATGAGCTCGAACTCGAACTGGGGAGGGTCTACCAGCCGAATGAATCACTTACGCTGAGGCTCTTCGGGAGCCATGGTAGGTCGATGTGGGTTCTTCGTTCTTGTAGAGCTTGGCTGTCGTGGTTGATGAGACGCCGTGCGAAGCGCAGGCGTTTGGACTCGCGGCGCAGTCGATGCTGGCTATATGTACCTGGGCTTCTGCTGCTGCTTGATACCATTCTGGCTCCAGATATTTGGTTCTCTCACTGGTAACATGTTAGATTTCATTAATGATAGCAGCGAGAAAATCACTCACTCTCCAGGCTAGAGTTCGAGTCCACGTTAGACTGCTGCAACTGAGAAGTCGCGTCGCGGACGGAAGACTCACGACCACAACTGGGACAGTCAGTAGCTTACAGAGCGCGAATGGGGATTGTATCGTAATCTTACATGCTACGACCGCCACATCATTCTGGATCGTCGACTGAAGCTCCTCCGCAGAGATATGGCCCCATGCCTCACCGCTCGCGATCAAAGCGGACAGCCCTAGCGCAAACAACGGAAACCAGTGCATACTGGCGAACTGGCTTTATGAGGAAAAGAGATCACTACTGGTGCATAGAGAAACGCATCAGTTTAAGTTTTTGGCTCTGTAGACTTCGCTCAGAGGACACATCTCTCGCTGTATCGCATGAGACATCAGATTGATGGCTCTGTTGTGTTTCATCGTGGAGGTTCTTGGCGCTCCCCTGTTAGTTGAGGCCGTTAAGGGCAGGGGTCCATGGGTGTCATTGGCCTCTCGGCCAGTCTGCCGACTGCCAGTGAAAGGCTTGCATAATCACCTTGGCTCAGCGATTATTCGAGGGACAATCGAGTATAATAAACCCGAGAAGGCTGTTTATTACACAGGAAACTGGATTGTCGGCGATGCGTCACCAAAACATCAATTCAGGGGCTTCCACAGGTGGGATTGCCTGAACTTTGGGATGCCCATGAATAATGCCCCAACTTCGCTCCATCCGAAGAGAGAGCAGTTTATAATTCACGGATCAAACTTGTCTCTCTTACAGCCCCTGTCATTGCTCCTGTATACGACTAAAGCTAGCTATCAGACGAACGGCCGAGGTTGATCGCTCGACGGAGACTTCCTATCCGCGAGCATAACATCCCCATGCTCCTCGACATGATTTCCAGGCAGCCCCTTCAGCCCCCTCCCAGACGGCTTAAACACAAAGCCAGGGTGCCCGATGCACAGGGACGAGACAGCCAGCACGATCAACACGCCCTCCAATCCGATAAACAGAGGCTGGTCGTGGATCAGCCCGCCCGTGTATCCCTGGTTGAGCTCGGCCACCCGGTAGGCGCATCGCGCGAGGATGAGCAGCACCGCAAACCCCAAGAAGCAGAGGAAGAGCTTCAGACGCGTGCCGACGCTGCCGCTGCCGCTGCTGCCGCCGGGCGGCTTCTTCGTCTTGAAGTACCTGATCAGGTATTCGGCGAGCAGGCTGCAGAAACAGCACGTGGTGAAGACTTGGAAGCTCAGTCCGACGAGGGATATGTCAACGGCTACGTTGCTTGATCCCTTTGTCGTGGTTGACAGGGCACTGTGGAGGGATATGTCAGCGACCGGTACACGCCATAGGGTAAGTCAGGAGAGGTGATAGTGCGATCTTGGGATCTTGCGTGAGATTGCTCGATAGGGATAACCATGGGGTACGTGGAACGTGGAATAGAAAAATCAAGGGAGCACTTACCCTCCGACCGCCTGAAGGACCAAGGCCCCAACATCACAAATGATGAAGATGATATAATACAGATTCGGTCTGAGACGCGAGATGGATGGGTCAAGGTTCACGACAATCTGCTTCATCGTGACATATATAGCCGCCGAGTAGAAGACTGGTGCTGAACCGACACATACTGCACGAAGACAGTCAAGTTCAGCGCCGACGAACGAGTCCAGGAGAAGAACGTACTGATCTGAAGCAGAAACCCGTTGAAACTGAAGGGGTTCTGGTAGAGCATGATGCGGCCGCCATACCCAATGATGTTGTACGCGGTGCCAACGACCACGCAGCCCGTGAACCACCAGCTCTTCCATCGGATGCCGAGCCAGAGGTGGATACACATCAGGTTGAAGTATATGCATATGAAGGTGACGTTGGTGGCCAGGGACGGGCGATACTGGAGGACGGACCATTCGAGGGGACATGTGTCCAACGTGCAAGTAGCATCGGGGCCGAAGGGGATGAGCCGTGATTCTTCCATGTTGGTTTTGGAAATCCACGAGAGACTGGCTGGTACGAAAGACAAGGACAGCCAGACAGATGGGATAGGGCGAGTCGCTGGATGTTATAAGTAGACGGCAGTCATGGAGCGGCTTGGATGCAGACAATTGTGTATGCAGATATCAACCAGACAGCACGAAGACGAGATGCCATGCTTGATTATATATCGTGTACTCACCGATGCCAGCCCTAAATCCAAGACGAGGGTCTCACGGCTAAACCAAGGCATCATATCATAGGTACTGCTGTCATTGGAATGCAGCCCGGTAGGATGCATTCGTCACCACTCGCTCCAAGCAGAGGCTCTGGGGGTCCAATCAACGGATTAGCGACCCGAATAGAACATCTTTACGGTGGAAAAGGCGTAGGAAAAGCAGACTTCATCTGAGATCAAGGCAATATGATCTGTTTACCCTGTGGTAGTCCTACAACGCCGGGCCAATCAGGCGCAGAAGACTTTCGCACTCGCTTGGCCGTTTGGGAATAACGCGATCTCTACCCTGCGTGGCGTCCGCGAATCTCGGGCTAGGAGGCTCAACTTCGGGCGCCGCGGGCCACGTGGATGCCGTGCTCACTGCTATCCCAAACGGGATTGCGAATGCGATGGCCGTTGGCCCCTTGGCCTTCGTTGGTGCGGAATCCTGTTGCGGTTAGCGGAGATTATGCGTCATCACCTCTTTAATTGTCGTAGACAACATCATCACTGCCGTTCAAGTCTTATCACCTTCCAAGATATTCCGTGAGGCTTGGAAGCACAAAAGTATAAGGCTCTACTTACCCATAGTGTGAGAGGTACGTGGGTATAGACGCTGCTTATTTCTACATATGTTCTCATAGACGCAGTGTCAGGCAAGCTGCGACATCATTCCGTCGAACCGTACCATCCTGGCTACCTCCTCAGAGAGAACACCAGATTCCAAATGCCAAACATAAAGTATGTGGTGCAAGCCGGGAGCACTGTTCAACGATACCACGCCGACTGCTTTCCGTTCCCCGCGACAAGTATGCCCCTCGCAGCTATAGGTCACAAACGCAGCGATCCCACAGATTGCGACAGGACCGACAGTATGTTCTATTTTGGTATTTCGGTCGGATCTCCCCATCGTCGTCGCTGTCCTCCTCATCCCCATCCTCCTCGTCGTCGTCCCTTCTCCTCACCTTCGCCCTCCTCATTCTCCTTGCCGCCATCGTCTTTCTCGTCGCCGTACACACCTTCGGCGGTCTTCTGGAGATCATCCAAGACATCCCTAAGCCGTTGGAAGAGGCCCTGGTCATTCGCCATTTGGACGAGCTCGATGAACTTCTTCAGCCACTCGCCATCGTCGTCGGTCGCCAGCTGCCACTGCTCATCCTTGTCCAACTTGGCCAGCATCTGGACAAAACTTCGGTCCCAATCGACACAGTATCGGCGTACCTTTCAGCAATCCGCAGAGTTTAGTAGGAGTTCCGCTGCAAACACTCCCGACACCGGATGTGTTCTCTAAACCTTCTCGCCTACCAAGAACTGGAGGGCGAAGGGAAGAACTTGGCTGGAAGAAGGAGACGCCAAGGGTTGATGCCAACCACTTGCTGATAGACTTACCTGGTTCGAGAGCTCGCCAGTGCTGAGCAGTAGGTTCTTGAAGATCTTGCACATGGTCTCGACGGCGCTTTTCTTCGTACCGTACGACGAGTGCGGCCATGTGTTCTCCAAAATACTGTCCAGTATACCCTCGATGGCGGCCGAGACCTCATACTGCTTCGAGACGTCGTTCGAGCTGTAGCGTGTATTGAGCTGCTGCCACTGCAAGATAATGTTAGCGGCTATGTTCTGATTTGGTGGCTCGCAGTGCAAGAGAGGGAACATACGGCATCCTCGCTGTGCGGGTCAAAGTCCATAAACCGTGCCCTCTCAGCAGCCTCGATTGCTTGCACGCTCATTGACATTTCGCGGGCCGTTTCGGGGTCACGGACGACGGCGCGGCAGAGCAGGCGCTTGACGTCCTTGTAAGAGATCAAATCGATCCATGACGATATCTGCGCCATGCTTTGGCGCTCCGTTAAGGGTGCTGCCGGTACCACTGAGGCCGGCTGTGTCCGACGACCGCTGCTCTCGCCATCATCGTCGTCCACTCGGCGCCGCTTCGCTGGACTGGTCGACATGGCTTGTGTTGCGCTGGGGCTCTGCTCGATTTCCGGTATTCAGCTGCAGATGCACAATTGAATTGTCTTTGGTAGGTACCATAGTAGGTAGTAGGTAGATGGGAGTTTAGTAGGATTCGGAAGGTAAGGTATGCGCTGAGGGCAAGTTCTTCAAGATTAAGACGCGTTCATGGGCAGGTGCGTCTCGCAACTGGGAATAAGGCATGCTGATGCACTGAACAGCTGCTATGGCAGTAACGACCCAGCCCACACACGTGCATCGATGCAGTTGAGCAAGTGTCTCCTGCCACGACGCGTATTGCCGTGTACTGACAATATGAGGGTATTTGAAGGGCATTTTGAGGTTTCTAGCACGAGTTTTCTCTAGTGCCTCGAGTTCCTCCTTGACAGAACGGCGTCTTTCGAACAGGCACAATTCCGTACTTCAGGCGTGTCCAAACTGTCCTCACACGGGTAAGTGAGCCTCTCGAGAGGATCACAGCCTTGGTGGAGGAGCAAGATGCAGACCAAAAAGAAGCGCGATGACTGCCGAATATCAGAGATGTTAGAACTAGGTAGGTACCACCTGAGATGGGATGGGTCTTGCCGTTATTACTTCCTTATTACTTCCAAGCCTTCAGCCGGTATGCCGTACAGCCAGCCACACCATTCAGATACCAGAACCGGACGGTGACCACGACATAACAATACTACATCTCGCGCCGATCGCCAACATCGTCCTCGACATCCTGAGAAGACCGCTCTTGGGTTGGAAGTTGAATCTTGTCCAGCTTGTAAGACTTTACGTCATTGAGGCAACGGGCGGAACCAGCTCTGAGGTGAGAACCCATGTTATTGTAAAAGAAAAGGAAGCCCATGACGACTTCCTTTCAAGATGAGATTAACCTTCTCCAGGAGTGCTTCGATCTCCAACTCTACTACGTCTGGGAATCATAGCGGTTTGCGTTTCCGCGTGGTGGCGAGTTCGCAACTCGGCGACAATGACAGGATGAGAGTTGTCAATCTGGCCGAAGCCTTGTTGGTGGAGAGGACACAACAATGATGAACATGGACGAGCTCAAGTCTTCACATGCAGGCCACGAGAGCAACGGTTCAACAAGTGCTGAGCCGCTCATCAATGAAGGCCGGCTATCGGGTGAAGTCTAGATGTGGTAGAAAACAGAGGATTGGTGTTCCACCAACGCCGCCACTGCCGCCACAGTCCTGTAGAACCCGAACTCACGCGTCGGATAGATTGAACGCCAAATTCTTCTCGAACATGTCCAATTAACGCGACCACGCGCGTTGGTAGCACGCACGAATCCCGAGTCCCAGGAAGGCAACACTCGCTCATGTGTGACGTTACTGCGAGATACGTACAGCCGCCCAGGGAGGGGCCAGGAGTGCGCCGGGGAGCCGTCGGAAATTGGCTGGCTCCGTCTCTAATAAGAATCAAGATGCAGCCCAAAGGTCCAGGCGCGGTGGCGCACGGGGACTCGACAGGACACTTGCCCGACGGAGTCTAGCAGCACCAGCAGCGGCTATCATTCGACAAGGATTGGAAATTATAGCTGTCAGGGGTAAAGTTATGATCGACAAGGGGGTCCGCAGCAAGGCGATGCAGGGGATGGCACCCCTTCTTTCTGGGGGTTTGTCCGCGCCCCTCAGAAGGCTGGCAAACGCTTCTGGCCCGAGAATTGTTTCTGATATCACGACTTGTGGTCACTCAGGGTTCTGAACATCATTACTCCGTCAAAATGGCTTATTGCAAAATGGACATTGGAATGTTAGGTTGTCAGAGGCATCCAAAGCCCATTAAATACAATTAGAATATTAGGTACAGATGCCAATAACATCCATCTTCCACGTTCCTTCATGAGCAGTGCTATCGTACGTAGCCTGCCTTCCAGGCTCATCCGAAAATATTAACAGAGAAGCTTGGATACGCTTAAGCGAAGAGAACAGCGGCAACACCGGCGGCGGCGGCCATCAGGGCAGAGGCACCCATGGTGGAGGCACCGGCCGTGGGGATGGGGCTCATGCTGGGGGAGCTGGGGGAGCCGGAGCTGGAATAGTAGGTTAGCATTTTCTTCGTTGCGATCACCTCTCTTCCGACTGTTTCAGGGCTCAACTTACGTGGTAGGGTAGCTACCGGTGGGGGCAGGGGCACCAGTGCCGGCCGGGTAGGTGGCAGCGGGGGTGGTAGCGGCCTCAGCGGTGCTGGTCGACTCAACAGGGACAACGGTGCTCAGCGTGGTCGGGTAGGGGGCAGACACCATGGTGTTGCCAGTGGCGGACGTGACCGGGGAAGAGGCCGCCGGTGCCGAGGCGCTGGAGGAGCCAACGGGGTAGCCAGCCGGGACGCTGGGGACCACGGAAGGGTATCCGGAGGCGGCAGAGGTGGCGACGGAGGTGGCGACGGAGGTAGGGTAGGTAGCCTCGGCGGACGAGGTGGCATAGCTGGGAACCTCGACGGAGGTAGGGTAGCTGGGAACCTCGGGGGTCTCAGTGGCCGACACAGCGGCGGTGCTGGTGTGGCTGCGGGCCGGGCAGTTGGTGACCTCGGGGCCGCACGAGGTGATGGTGACGACGTCGGTCTCGTAGAGGGTGCTTCCGGCCATGGCGGCTCCGGCGAAGAGGGCAGCAGCAGCGAAACGCATCTTGACGGGTTGTTTCGGTTTACGTTGAAAAACGACGGGTAGTTTTCTTGTTGTAAAGAATGTGGTAAAGCTGGAAGCTTGTGGTGAATGAATGGACGACCGGAGTCAAGTTGAGCAAAATGCGATTGGTGCGGTATTGGCTGTTGGGCTGGAGAGAGGACAGGAGGAAGAGACTGCATGTTGGAGACGGGCGAGTATTAATAGGCTGGTGAGGACATAGGATAGGGGATGGATCCTGGCAGTGCCACAGCTGCCTGCACTACTGTATGGGAAATTACACAGATCCATGGGCGGAGTCTGGAACTAGCTTGTTCAGGGGTGGTGACAGGCACATCAACAACAACGGTGGACCGTGGAGGCGTCGTTGGAACCGCGAAGTGACCCACCAAGATAACCCTCACTTCTGCGCCATACGCTCCGTCCTTTGAGTAAAATTGAGCCACGTTCCTTCAACCTTGACGTTGTCAGGATGTTGATGGGACACCCCAGTGAGGCTGGTGACAACGGCCAGCAAGAAGCATGGACAGCTCGTGAGGCCACCAAAGAAGGGCTATTGGCACACTGCCAACCTGTCAACTGACAGATAAACATTTCGGGCGGCTCGGATGGGTCGAAGTAGACCAACAGCGGCTGTTGATTCGCTGGTCAGTGGTGGGAACCATGGGATGGAAGTGGATGGTTGCTTGATCGATGCCCAGCCCCTAGCGGCAGGGGGTTTACTCCGCAAAACCGACAATCCTTGTCCTTGGCCCCTTGCGAACGGAAAGGCGCTGAGATTGGACCACCGACTGCCTCGTTTGGATGCAGGAGAGCGAGATACCACCGTGCCACCACCGAGCATATCCTAAATTCTAGAAGACTCAATGCTGTTGGGAATTATTTCCAGATACGCGCGCCAGGAAGATGAGACAATTTTGTCTTGCTTGCTACGCGTGGAAGAAAGACAAAAGGGGTTCAAGACACTGGTGTCTGACAGTAATGGAAATTATGATGGAAATCCTCCGAAGTCCAAAGACCAGACGACTTGACTTGTTGGTTGTGTGGACGACGTGCGTGCCTTCACCGACCAATGACTGGTGTCATTATTCTTCGCAGATTCCAACCCACCTGACAGCATGCATTGCTTTCGACGGCTATGCTTCCAATCATCTGCAAGAGAGATGGATGGCAATGCAATTCGGTCTGCCTGTGCTGCGCTAATGCAGGAACGCTTTCCCCTCTTGTTATTCCCCTGCTCTAGCGCCCAGGTGCTAGAATAGTAGAAGTTCCAGAGATTACGATGCTCTAGAATTCAACATGCGTTCGTCCTTCACGACCTGGACCAATGATGAATGGCCAGGAGACGTTGGATGTGTGGTCACGCGTACTGGCACAGGAGGTGTGGTATCTTCAGCCGGACGCGCAGTGGCGCAGTCATGCGAACAGCCAAACCCCTTCGCCGTAGAGCTGCCGTCGCCGTAAAGCCGCCATCGTTGTCGTCGGTCGACAGGAGGACCTAGGTTTCCTCACTCTGGTGACCGACCGACCGACCGAAAGAACGCGGGTCAGGCCGTCGAAAATCCCGCCAAGCCTACCGATGTCCGTCAGGCAGTCAGGTGACTGAGCGGTCAGCGTTGGGCGTCTGTGTGTTGGCGCCTCGATCGTGCGACAGTAGCTTTCGAGATCGGCATCCTGTCTTCAAGGATACCGTCACCACCAAAAGAAAAACAGACAATTCCATAGACAATCTCACTTTATGTCAACGCAAAAAATGCCACAGCACTGACTGTAGAGTACCTTACGTGATGAGGGAGGGACTGACTCTGAGCCAATAACCCTGAACGACGACATCTCAGGACCTGCACTCGGCCGACAGCTCACGGCCAGTTGTCGGTCGGCGGTCGCTGATTGATTGCACTGTACAACCCTCGCAGGCGCCATCGTTTCGCCATACCAAAGACACGGGTCAAGGTTCTTTTAATCCGAGCTGAAAGCTGACAGCACACATCTCGTGCCGCCAGCGACCTGGATTACCCTCAACCGCAATAGTGCCTCTCATCTGATAACTGCCGCTTGTCATCATCTTGTCAAGACTCAAAGGTTCAGATGGGGCGGCCTGACTCCCGTGAGAGCACCAGCAGTTCCTTGCTAGATCGTTAGCAGCTGCATAGCCGCAGAGCTTATTTCAGGCGTGGACTCTGGAGAAGGGGGCGATGAACGATGGCAACCAAAATGGCATATTTCCTTTCGGCCTGAATCCGCAGTTTGAAGATATCGATCTTTCGGGGAATCGGATGGGACCCGGCGCTCCTATTGACCACGCACTTGCGGCTAGAGAAAGTTTGATCATCGTGGATGTAACCCTTTGCTCGTCTATCGTCTATCGGGGCGGACTCGGCTTGTCATGAAGCTGTCGATGCTCCAGAGGGGCAGGATGTTGATGCTATGGTATCACTGCGATGCCAATCGAGGGCTGACACTGGCGATGCTGTGTTTGGTAGATGGGATGAGCTTCACAAGACCACATCTTGCTGTTCCCATCAGTAACTCGTTCACCACCAGTTGAACACTAATAAACCCCATATCAATAGGATAACCCAACACCAGCGACGACATGCGGACCGATTCGAACGATTGATATTGTCGTGTGCCCTATTCAATAAAAAGATAGGAACCCAGGGCTGGCGGTATGCTTCACCCAGCTATTATTAGGCTCAGCCTGGCTGCCTTGGGTTCCTCACATTGGGTCCCCAGAATCGGAAACGTCAGCATCCCTTCGCCTGTTCGCGAGCCACGCTGCAAGCTAACATGGCGTACCAGTGGAGGCTTGTGAACCTCTGACGACGCCTTCGTCTTCATCTTCAATGATATGCCTGGTACTTCTTTCGTATGGAGGTTGTGCTGCGCAATTTACGTATGCTCCAAGTTTTGGGGTCTCACATGATCGTCGTCGTATGATCGCAGGGTTTTGATGCACTGTTGCCAGTAATGTTCATTAGTTGCTGAAGACAGCCTGACGTGAAGGCGGTTTCGAGTAGTCGATGCATCGAATCGGCCGGACCAGACCGAAAGCGATCATGATACCAATTCAACTTGCTCGACTTGATTGTCCAAATCTTGATGCGGCACGCATTATGTTGTTCTCATGATGGTCCTATGTGGTGTTGTGACGATTGAAACATACAAATGGCCGGGATGTATTATTAAGGGAAACCCCGCGGATTTGCCGTTGGCCTGCTGCGGACAGTGAGGTGACCTCAGAGTCACACCTCAGAGTCACCGCTGGGGAATGCGGGGCTGGACCCGCCGGCACGAACAACGAACCAAAATAATTAAATGTGGCAAGTGGGGTGTGTGCAGCCGTGGCAATCCAACCGCCCGCCCAAGTTTGATAGAGACAAGTTTGACAACAACCAACGCCGCCAGCCTTCTCCCTCGATCCCATCAGCAAATACCAGCAAACCCGCCGCCTGTCGGCCCTCTACCGCTTGTCACGCAGGTCGCCGCCCGTGGATGCCAACAATGACCTGATGTACTACATACGATAGCAAAGGAAGACAAGCAACCATGGACTCTCAGGTACGGCCCTGCGCCCCCACCATTTGACCATCATCACATGGCGCCCAACCGCCGCACCCTAGTCACACCCAGCTACAACTACCTATAAATCATACTGACAGTCATGACAATCCCAGATCAAGAACGCCATCGAAATTGCCTGGAATCCAACATCCGACCAATCCCTCAAAGGGCAAGCCTTTGAGTACCTGAACCAGCTGCGGTCTGATCCCCACGCCTGGCAGGCCTGCCTCTCCCTCTTCACTAGATCCCCGAAGCCCTCCGAAGTAGTCCGACTTGTCGGCCTCGAGGTAGTCAACAATGCCATCCACACCCAGTCTCTAGACATCCAGAGCCTGAGCTCCCTCAAGGATGCTCTGCTCGAATATGTGCGGTCAACCTACGGCGCCAATCAGCAGGGACAGGCAGACTCTCCCAGCCTGCAGAACAAACTCACCCAGACCATCACCACACTCTTTGTCGTTCTCTACAAACAGGGCTGGGAGACCTTCTTCGACAACTTCCTTGCCCTCACATCTGTTCCGGGAAGTGGCCAACGGGACAATGTCATGGGCGTCATCCTCTACCTGCGCATTCTGGGGTCCATTCACGACGAGATCGCTGATGTCCTGGTCGTGCGCCAGAACGGCCAGGGTCGAAACCACACCGACCTCAAAGATCTAATACGAGCACGAGATGTCGGGAAGATAGCACAGTCCTGGCAAGAGTTGCTTGCGCATTACGGAAATCAGAATGATGCCATTGTCGAGATGACCTTGAAAATCATAGGGAAGTGGGTCAGTTGGATTGACATATCTCTGATCATCAACGACGGCATGCTCGGCCAGATATTCCCACTGATTGGGAGGACCAATCAGTCCGGCGGCGATGACAAAGTTCGAGATGCCGCCGTGGAAGCTTTCAACGAGATCGTGGGCAAAAAGATGCGCCCAGCTGACAAGACCGAGATGATATCATTCCTTAACCTGCGAGACATCATTGCTCAACTCATCGCCAGCCCTCCATTGCACGAATTCAAAGGCACTCCTCGATATGACACGGACCTGGCCGAAGCCGTCGCCAAGCTCGTCAACACGGTTGTGAGCGACCTGGTTAGAGTTTTGGAAGACCGATCGACCGACGATGCTACCCGCATAAAGGCGAGCCAGCTGCTTCACGACTTTGTGCCGCTGCTTTTGCGATTTTTCTCGGACGAGTACGACGAGGTCTGCTCAACCGTGATCCCTTCGCTCACCGATGTTTTGCAATACCTTCGCAAGCTGTCCGAACTATCCCCTTCTTTCTCCGAACTGCTGCCTGCGATCTTGAACGCAGTCATCATGAAAATGCGTTTCGACGAGACTTCTTCCTGGGGCAATGAGGATGAGCAGACAGATGAGGCCGAGTTCCAGGAGTTGCGGAAAAAGTTGCAGGTGCTCCAGAAAAGTGTGGCTTCCGTGAACCAGAACCTATACATCGAGATTCTGTCGAACCTGGTTGCTACTACCTTCCAGACATTAGATGATCCAGGGTCCCAGCTTGACTGGAGGGACCTCGACTTGGCCTTGCACGAGATGTATCTCTTTGGCGAGCTTGCGATGCCCAACCAAGGGTTGAGCCCCAAGAATCAGCCTTCTCCAGAGGCATCCGAGAGGCTGATGGCGATGATGGCCAAAATGGTGCAGTCAGGTGAGTACATTCAAACTTGCATCAAGCAATCATACTAATGCCCGGGTTAGGTATAGCAAGCTTCCCCCACCCAGCCATTCTCCTGCAATACATGGAGATATGTGTCCGATACTGTTCATTCTTCGAGACTCAGCCTTCGTACATTGGCCAAGTATTAGAGAATTTCGTACGTCTAGTGCACCATGAGCATGTTCGTATTCGCACGCGCTCCTGGTATCTGTTCCAGCGATTTGTGAAGCATCTGCGAGCGCAAGTTGGTAACGTCGCCGAGACGGTGATCCAATCCATTGGCGATCTTCTCCCTATTAAGGCCGAGGTCCCAGGTGAGGATGCCGACGATGACATGTCCTCGGATGAGACAGACAACTCAGCCGATGCTGTCTTCACCAGCCAGTTGTACTTATTCGAAGCTATCGGGTGTATCTCGTCTACCTCCGCCACGCCCATCGACAAGCAAGCCATGTACGCCCGGTCTGTCATGGATCCCTTATTCGCAGACATGGAGCGTCACCTCCCCAGGGCAAAAGCTGGGGATGCACAAGCCATACTCCAGATCCATCATATCATCATGGCCTTGGGTACGCTTGCACACGGCTTCTCGGATTGGACCCCTGGTGCTTCCGGGTCGAATCAGCGTCCACCGCCAGCCAAGGCACTGTCTGATGAGTTTGCACGAGCTTCCGAGGCCATCTTGATTGCACTGAATGAGCTCAACACTTCATCCGATATCCGTGCTGCGTGCCGGTCCGCCTTTTCGCGCCTCCTCGGTGTGCTGGGATCTGCCGTGCTTCCGCAACTGCCTCAGTGGATTGAAGGACTGCTATCCCAAAGTTCGTCAAAAGACGAAATGGCCATGTTCCTGCGTCTTCTGGATCAGGTCGTCTTCGGTTTCAAGACGGAGATTTATGACGTGCTCAACATGCTCTTGACACCTTTGCTACAAAGGGTTTTTGCTGGTCTCTCAGAACCGATCAACGGCACCGACGACGAGATACAACTCGCAGAACTTCGACGCGAATATTTGACTTTTCTCGGAATTATACTGAACAACGAGCTGGGTGCCGTCCTTGTCTCGGAATCAAACCAGGGGTTTTTCGAATCGCTCGTCAACTCGATCCTGACCTTGGCTAGAGAGGTCGGTCCAAGCTCCGGCAACCTCCCAGCAAGTCGACTTGCATTCGGACTCCTTGCCAAGATGGCGACTGTCTGGGGTGGTCCGGATGTTGCCAATATCTCGGCAAACCCATCTGCGCCAACAGGGACTCCATCGCCCGTGATACCTGGCTTTGACCAGTTTCTCCTTGACCGGTTCCATTCCGTCTGCTGGGAGGTGCTGCGTGATCCACAATTCAAGCCGTCTTCGGACGCCCAGACGAAGCAGGTTTTGAACGAAATCGCTGGCCTGGAGCAAACAATATACTTGAAAACAGGCGAAAGGTTCATCCAGCATGTTCAAGCGACACTATTTCCTGGTCTAGGCATTAACGGTGACGACTTCTTACGACCATTGACCACTTCCACCGATAAAAAGAACTTCGCGAAGTATCTACAAGAACTTCTGAAAGCGATGAGGTGATATAGGCACCGAGACAGGCATAGTGGACGACCAAGTGGCTACATTGTCAAGCAAAATCAGAAAGCATATCATGGTGTTTGTCTTCGTTGCATATCAAGGAGTTCGGGGGCCGACTATACCAACTGCAGTTTCGGTGTTTTGTTAGACGAGAATAGGGGGTAGGTGATACATTTCTGGTCTCTGCATATACAATTACCCGTGGTCCTCAATCTATCAACCTGCCGTCCGCTCGAGTTGTATGACATCCCCCGGTCTTGGCTTTCATGGTGCCTATTCTATTCACCTGGGTTTGATACGACGCAATGGCAACCTGAACTACTTTCTTGAACATATGTAAGCTGCCTACCTTAGCCATATCATCCATGGATCCACAAATAGTAGCTCCGGACATCTTTAAATCCCATGGCAAGCAGTTACCCGCGTGAGGCTCTCGTGAGTCGTCGCCGACCACACTGCAGACTCTGGACCGGCGGCGAAGGGGCCAAGTGTGAAAAGTACTCACCTCCCTCTCCCGTTCGGCTATAATCTACCACCGTAACGTCGCCACCCTCTATCAACCAGCCGCCCGGTTAGCTCAATCGGTAGAGCGTGAGACTCTTATATCCCAGTGATGAATCTCAAGGCTGCGGGTTCGACCCCCGCATTGGGCTCAATTCCCGATACCTCGATATAAAGCGAGACCTTCGAACTTTGATTTTTGCCGAGCGAGGGTATATATGATAATAGGACTTTAGATTACGATCTCATCCGGGGGATGGCTGCGGTCTTTCCTTTAGTTAGGGTCGTCGGTGGTCAGCAGAGTGAATCTGTTGATGTTGACCTTTTTTGTGCCATATTGACCTCCCGATCCGGACCGGATTAAAGGAGAGCGGATAGCAGCGTTGGACGACGACCTCCACGGGGTCCAGGAGAAACTCAGACATCTGAAATGCGACGAAAACAAACGAACAAAGCAAGAAAACTATCGTCTGTCAATGGGGAAGACAGGGCACTGTTGTATGGACAGACAAAGGTGTCGTCTCCGTCTTCGTCGCTCGTCCGTCGCTTCCGCTTCGAGGGCCGTTCTGAGTCTTGGAAGTCGGTCGCCGTTGATGAAAGCCAACTCTGTATTCGGTGCTAGCGTCGGCGCTCTCGACTTTCTTCGTCTTCGTGGATGAGGTGACTCAAATGACTGGGGGTACAGTGCGTGCCTTGCGTGACTGAATCGGTACAGAGGAATTGGCTCGTAATAGCGGGCGCAAACCCGACGACTGGACTGGCGAGGACTGGAATGACTCGTTCTCGAACTGGTCGCTGATAACAGGAAACCCTCGTTAGCGAATTGCCATCAAGAGGTCCAGGTCTTTCAGGCTCTTTCTTGTACTGGTGTACTAGATTGCCTTGGTAGACGCGACGCATGCCGCTCACGATACTCGACATGATGGACTCGAGGAGAGATGTGAGCTGTGTTGGATGGTGGACGGCGGACTGCAGGCCAGACATGGCCAAGGGCCAAGAGAGAAAAGTCCGCTACGCAGCGGCGGGATCACATGTGCGTCTCAACCACGTTCCTCACTGGTGGTTCCGAAACCATTGTTTGCCGAAGCGATACAGGCCTCATGGCCCACATCTCCTGCATTGTCGGAAGTACTGTCTCGGTGTTAGACAGTATTCACAACTTGTTGAGTGCTGCGACGGCGATTCCCCGATGCTCGTCTGGATCCAAATCTTGGGGGCTTACGTCGAGCGCTCGCTGGAGGAGGTCGTGGCGGACCGGCCGCCCTTTCTTCAGCGCCTTGTGGGCGTCATTGGTGCCGGCCCACTGGTTGGTGGCTCATACCAGCCGGCGACCACGCTCGTCCCACTGACTCTCGGGCATGACTATCATGTGAAGCACGTTAGACAGTCCGGGAAGGCATGGAGATTACACCGCGGTTCGGGATCAGGAGAAAAATCACCGCTTCGGGGGGCCTTGCCGGAAGCTGCTTCACGGTGTAATGTGCCAGAAGGACTTTGTCCGTTGAGTTGCTGACATCACCTGAGGCTGGCCCGTGTGTCAAGGGGCCAGCAGAGGCATTCTCGCTCTTTGCCTTGTCATCATAAATAATGATTCGCACAAGACATCCACAGATTTCGCGAATGTGGTTCACGTCGTAGTAATGGTACTTGGCTCCTGCTGCTGGGTTTTGCCGGCGGAAGCAGATGGAAAGGAGCACCGAGGAAGTCAGGTTGTAGCGAGAATCTGAGCAGCCGATTTGCACAGCGAGAGTCTTGGGCCCCGGTACGCATACTATACACCTGGCTTCTCGTAATTTGTGTTCCCGCGGCCTGACGCGAGGCTGCCAAGTCCTCTTGGACCCTCGAGTTCAAGGCTTCCTCCTACGAACCCTCAGGTAGGCCTCCCAGCTTGCGCAGTCGAACGGCGACTCGCACGATCCTGGGTTCGAGCTTGGTGCGCTTGGGCTCTGGCGAACCGGTATCGCGGGGATCATGGTGCCCCGGGAAATCACGGTTCCGCTATAGAGGGTAATACCCCCAGGTAACTTTGTCCCTTTAGGTAGCTACGTGTCACCAGGAAGTTCGATCCCAGCTGGGAGGGTGGTACCTCGCGGTAAGGTCGTACTGCCAGGAAGCGTCAAGCCACTGTCCATCATGCGCTTGGGAGAGTCGGCCATGGCGGCTCAATGACGGTAGGGAGGGAGAGATAGGGTGATATAGGGGTAGATGAGTGCCAGCAATGTTGGTATGAGACGCGAGCTCTTCGCTGGCTCGCGGGGCGTTGTCCGTACTGTGACTGCATTGTTCTGTCTCTTCAGGTCTCGGGTGAGAGCGAAGTCTTCATGGTGCCGTGCCTTGCGCCAGACGAAGCGCCCCCTTATCCCTTCGGCCCACCCAGGGGTCAGCCGGCATTCCGGCGTCACTTACCTCGCGATTTTAATGTTGTTGAATTGCTTTCAGACTGACACCAGCCTACTCTGTAAGATTTTACACATGAATTAGCATACGCCCGGCTACGTAGTGCTAAGGTCTGTCTTACCTCGATCTTGGCATAAAGTGCCATCTGCTCCTTGATTGCTTCCTACACCAACCGACTTGCCGCGGCTATTTAAATGAAGTGAACGCAAACTTGAAAGAGTCGCCCGATTCGTCGCTATCAATTTCGTGTGTGACTGGAGATCCGTGCTCGAGCTGGGACGTCCCCGTCGACTGATGGGGACCGCTCTCTATCTCGGGGCAAGGCCTCGGCAAGGTCGACTGAAGGTCCAGAAACTAAGCGCGAACTGACCCGCTCCCGTTCCGCTGGTGGTGAAGTGGGAGGGATGAATAGCTGGGAAGGGGTCATTATATCGATTTTTCTTTAGTGCGTGCCCAGTCCATTTGCGAGACTGACCCTCCGAGTGACTACAGTCATCCTCACTGCGAGAAAGCTCTATGTCTTAGTAGGCCTTGCGGAATTCGGTGCTGGGCGGCGGGCGAGTAGTGGCCGAGGGATGAGGGGAGGTTGCCATGGTGGTAGAAAGGCCCATGGGAACAGGCGTAGAAGTAGGCGAAGGAGTGGGAGTGGGTGTGGCGGAGGCTTGAGGAGGAGAGGATGCCACGATGGGAGAAAGGCACGGTGGTGTTGGTTTTGTTAGAGGCTGGCAAAGGCCTTTTATTTGTATTAACGATATGATGACGACTCTTCCGAGTCACCTTCGCCAAGCTCATCTTTGCAGTCTGGGAGCTCGATGTCTGAAACTTCCAAGTTGCGGGTGATCGGTCACGTCTTCGGGAGCAGCGAAGACTGGGTTTCCTTGCCTGTGAGTCGGCCTTTGGTCGCAACCAACTAACTGTGTCTTGCTTGCAGTTGACTGATGCTCTGTGGACATAGTCATGTTGGAAGATCTCAAAGATCTTCGCCGACATCAACTAAACAAACGTCGATTCTCTGCTGGTCGGAGAGGTCGCGGGCGGGGGTGGTGTTGTCCATGTTGATGATGCTTGGAGATCAGACAACAAGACAACGAGACAGGACTGGACATTCCCTAAGGTCATCTAATAACGACTCCGAAATGGCACCACTTTTTGCCCTTGATCAAGTCCTCGGTTTCCCAATGTTCTTTGCCGGAGTTGCGATTGGGGTGCACTTTGTACACCTCAAGGCCCAGAGGTATGTGCTTCAGGGCCTCGTATCGGCCTCGTGCTTGCTGAAACCAACCACCATTCTTCGCTTCGTCCTCAGAGACATGGCCACCCGATGCACTTGAAGTGTTCACGAATGGATTCTTGCGCCATGGTATCAAACATTCTGTCAACTTGACGGGTGAACGTGTCAAGATCTCTGTCATGATTGGAGACGGGAGCGCCACCATGGATCTTGTCCCGCTTGTAGGCGTCACAGTACCTTTCCAGACCTTGAATCAGCTGTTCAAGCTCATCGACGTTGGTGAAAAAGCCATTACGGCCTTGGAACGGATTCTTGTGCCATGGTACCGAACATGTTCTTGGATAACCCCTCGGGGGTTTTCCACAGAAGGGTCATGACGGCAGAGGGAAGTTGGAGGGGATCGCCTGCCGGCAGCAATGGACGACCACTGAGCCATGGGATACAGGCTTCTGCTTTGCCCATGGCTCCGGCCTCATACAGAACTGTCACCTTGGCCACTTTCTTGTTGAAGTCACTGGTAGGCTAATCACCGCTCCCATGGGTATTCGGAACGACGACATCTGCTGCGAATAGTAATGCCGCGGGATATCGCTGGAAGCGCAGAGAACTACTGCTACTAGGCTGCACCTAACCCGGAGGTTTCTCAAATTGGAGCAGAAACTGAGCAGGACGATTCCCACAATTTCCACCACGATGTCCACCACCACGTCGTCCTTGTCCTTGTCCCTGTCCTGTCCCCGAGCGGGAACCTGCGCATTATTGACCTTCTGGCGCTTCGAGGACTCGGGCGCGTTGTCTACAGGGGCAACAGGCCATTTGGCAACGGGTTTGCCTACACATATCCGCTGCCTGTATCACTGTAAACGTCGTCCGACGAATAAGCACCGTTCTGGGAGGTCGGGAATGCATTTAACATGCTTCCGGCGTAGTTTTTAATGGTGGTAAAAGCAGGCATTAGTTACAGGGCAATCGTCAGCGCTGCCAGTCGTTCACGTTCAGATGGTGACAATGGTTTATCAGCTGAACCAAAGAAGGCAGCAGACGTAGATGATAAAAGGCGCGCATGTTGAAGGATGAGGAGCACGACCTCGTTTGTTATCATGGTGTCCGGCATCGATTTGTGTGTCATCGTCAAGTTGGTCGGAGTAAAAGATCTTGCACGTAGCTCCTCTGACATCAAGATCTACTCGGGCCGGCCAGGGCACATTGGTAAGACGAGGAGTGTCTCGTTCACAGTCCAGTTGACTTGACATTGCAGTCTGCGGCACACAACGATATCAGCAGCAGCGTGCCATTGGCTCAGGAACTACAATATCGTATGTAATCTTGCTTGTAGAACTCGCTGTTGGTTTCGCTTGTTCGCAACTAGGTTGGCGATGAGAGTCGTCGTCAGTTCCTGTTCGGTTCTGGCTCGTGCGGGGTGGCGATTGCTCGAACCAATGGGTCTTTCGCATTATGCATAAGCTTGGTAGCGAGAACTTCTCAAAGCACACGTAGGCCGTTGAGGCTTTCTGTACTTGACGGTGTGTGAGAGAGGGTAGGACCAGGCTGTCTCTGGTACACTGGGGACGTCAGGCCCGACATCTTCTGGGCAAATGCCAAGTCGAACATGGGACACCCTAGGGACCCGAGAATCTACTGCCAGATGGACTGACCTGAGACCGACATGACGCAGGGTCGGTCGGGACTGAGGCTTGTTAGGGTTTGGGATCTCGATCTGCATGCCACGTAGTCAGGGTCGGTCGTCTCGCGGCTCGGGAGGTTCGATCGCTGCGTGGCAAAGTGTTGGTCGATAAGACCCACGCAGCCGTCAAGGAGGCGCTGGATATGATTTAGGATGTCCGAAGCGGTGCCGCCGTCGTCAATCTCTGCCTGGGGGTTGATCGGCTGGACCCGGGCTGTCAATGAATGCCCGAGGGCTAGATGCCCCTAGGACTGAAGAACCGCCTTGGCTGGTCGCGCGGCGATTTGAAGGAGTTGGAGGACTCGCAGGCAACGCACGATCGGGGCTCGAGTCGGGGACTGTTGAGCTTAGACGACGTGGAGAGCGGTGGAATACTTTAACACCCGATTTACTCCCGAATGATACAGGGAACGATCTCAGACTCTGAGGTGCTTGTTAGTCGAAGTCTCTGGCTTTCATTAAACATCCCCGACGTCCCTGGACATCGCTATTTTCCTCCTCCTCGTCCAGCAGCTTCAGCTCCATGGTGGCTTTCTTGATCAAGGCCACCAGCCTCTTCCTCTTCTCCTTCCTCTTCCTCTTCCTCTTCCTCTTCCTCTTCTCCTTCCTCTTCCTCTTCCTCTTCTCCTTCCTCTTCCTCTTCCTCTTCTTCTTCTTCTTCTTCTTCTTCTTCTTCTTCTTCTTCTTCTTCTTCTTCTTCTTCTTCTTCTTCTTCTTCTTCTTCTTCTCCTTCTTCTTGAACAGGCCGAACACAAACCCGAAAAACTTCCCCAACAACGCAATGAACATCCCGGACTGGTTCAACACCGCAGTCACGGCCACGGCAGTGACCAGCCAAGGCGAAAGGCCCCAGGGGGATCGGCGGCGACGGGCGGATCGGCATTGCAGAGCACCAGGATGGAGACGGGGCCGGGGCTGTGACAGGGGCCCCCTGCTGGTAGTTGCTGACCTTCGGCATCAATTTCTGACGTCTCAACTCCTCAAAGGTAAAATCGCCGTCCAAGTCAGCTCTGACAAAGTCCATGATGCCAGTCCGCTGCATCGACCGCCTCGTTGCGCGGGAGACCTTTGAGCACGCTCCGTTCGCCAGCGTGTCCGCCACTACACACTGCGAATACGGACCTCTGTCGTCTCGAGTGAGTTTTCCCTCTGCATTGCAAGTTGTGCATCTTTGGCCCGGAGCCTTCACGTCGGTACGGAACGTGGACATGACTTGTGCTAGGTAGAGCTTGTCGGCACTAGGCACCGCGAATGTATGAGGGAAACCTCTGCCCGACGTCGAGTTAGTGTTTAAGATCGGTGTGATTTTTCGAATAGGGACGTCCTGATTCCATTCTAATCCCAACTCCGTCGCGCGTTCGTAGGCCGCATATGCATTGAAGAATCGGTCTTCAAGCTGACGCATTGCCGAGGCAGGAGGGGTGAGAAGGGTCTCGGCCAGATGTTCCGAGTCGGCCATGTCGACATACCCGATGTACAGGTCTTTCTGTAACAGTTCGCATATAAGGTCCCCATGTATTCTCATGCTGACATTAGTGGGAGCGTTAAAAAGCGCGTTGACCGCTAGCAGCTTGGCCTAGCCGTAGATTGCTGCTATTGCTAGGAATATTTGTAGTTAGTATATATACTTTTTGTTTTGGCGTAAGCCATTAACCTGGGCATATTCTGTAAACTTCCCGACGATTTGTTGGCTCTTTAAGGAAAGACTTAAAGCTGTAGTAAAGGAAAAGAGAGGACTAGCCTTGTTGTTAAAGCATACAAAACCAGGAACGGATATATAGTCCTGTTGTTTATCTTCTAGAGTGAGAAGGGTTTCTAAGTTTGTGATTCGCAGGTAGCACCATGCTGGGAGGGGTGGGTCGTTCTGGAGTTGGGTTTTGCGATGACTCTGATCGCAGCACAAGGGTAAGCTATATGATTATTAGCATCAGAGTTAGGGTTAGGGTAGGGTTTGTGGCGGTGAGAATGGGGCAGTAACGTGCTTCATGACCCCCATGGGAAGCCACTACGCGTAGGTGACCATAGAAGACTCCTAGCCTGCCCGAACCGGGTCGGTGAGATTGCGTTCTGATCTCTATGGACTCTCTCGTGCACCCGCAATGGCCCAGAAGCTGGGCCATGTAGACGTTGTCCTTGGCGGCTTTCAGTCGTTGTAGATGGTCTTTTCACTCGTGCGAGCGCAATGGTGGATTGAATGTTTGTAGTGAGCTGAAGGTCTGTGCTCTGAGTTGAAGAAGTTGGACATATGCTCGCACGAGGGCAGCGGATGTTGGGATGATCGTGGTTGGTTGGACTTGGGCGAGTGCAGCCGACTGTTGTCTAAGGAATAACCTCTGACGAACTTTATGTATCATCCTCCTCGGAGTCTTGAGCTGGCACACGACGTTGAAGCGCTGATGATGACTGTCACAGCAGACACACATACCCCTTGATAGGTGGTCCTTTCTGAAGTCTGCGAGGCACATAAAGGGGATTGTTCGCCTTCTGCGGCGGAGGCACCCCATTGAGGCCTTCCCAGGCCTGCCGAATGTAAGATTATGTCGAAATGCGAAAGTAAAAGCCTAGGCTTGAGATTAGTACATGACGTATGTGATAGTGATGTCTATAACTTGGTTACTTGCTAAGAATAGGGAAAAAGCATTCCTTTAAACGAGGACGTTCGCTTCAAGTCGTTACCTGCGGCGTTGTAGACTTTGTGAGAAAACGATGAGAGTATGGGACTAGATTGAAGTCAGTACGTGGTGTGTATTACCAAAGTGTCCATGAGTACTCACTAAGTATAGACGAAGAACGTCTAGCACGGAGAGTTTCACCAATGGTCATCGCCTTGCGGCAAGAAGAGTTCCCTTTCGCACTTGGCCCTTGGGCGCTCTTTCCCAGGGGTAGGAAAGCTGAAGCGCTGGTCATCTGGTAGTGGGTACTATCAAGCTCGAGAGCGTTGTAGAGGCCGGGCAAGATGACGCCCGCCTGCGGGGTGCGGCATCGCATCGAGGAAGGCCCTAGATTGATGCCCGAGTGCCAGCCCTTACTACTCAACTCTAGAGGCTCGTAGAGGCTTGCTAACCGGTCTTTTCTATTGAACTGGAGAATGTAGTGCATAACAGTCTCGACATGCTCGGCGTTTTGCCAATTTGTGCCGTAGCATAGCGACCTGGCGTCTAGCCTTCCGAGAGTGAGGTCGTGGCGGATAGGGTACACGAGGGGACTGTACATACTATAGATCTGGCTGTATTTCTTAGCGGACTTGAGATTTTATTTTGTTCAGGAGGTTTTGTCTTGTGGGCCGAGGGCGATCCGGCGATCCAGATTGAGAGGTTTTTTATTGACACGTAGCTGTTGGTCTTCTATTCGCAACAGTAAACACGGCGTTCTGCTGCTCACAATCCTTGAATAGGTTCGCAAGCTGTCAGATTTTCGGATGTGTTTGATTGCCCTTCGCGAATATCTTGGATGCGCCGACTTCCATCTCCGCCAGTCTGGCTCTGGTAGTCGCCACGTGTTAAGTCGAGTTAGATTGGAAAGATCAGAGTTGGCCTGAACCTGTTGAGTTCGGTCCTCACTTGTTGTCATTGAGCCTGACTTTGTTGCAACTAAGCCTGGGCTAATTGTAACGAGTCCCGGTCTCCTTGCAGTTAAACGTGTGCGTTTTGTAGTCGATCCCGCTTATTTTGCAGTGGATCCATGAGAAAGGGGTAAATCGGACTTAATTTATGATTCAGGGGCAGGGCGCAGCATGGACTAGCGGCCCAAACCCGGGCGCATCAGGTCACGGTACGACAATTGACGCGAGCTTCGAGATCTATGTACCGTCTGAACAAATGAGTCGGCTGAGTGACTGGAGAAGAACTCGAGAGTGAAGGTGATGGTTAAGATACGGGTATAGTGCTTGTCGATAGGATCCGATAGTGATGATGATGGCTAGGATACGCTGGGATGCGAGTCATGTTTGGAAAACGATATTGGAAGGTATGGAATCTTACAGCGGCGTAAGGGTACCGGTAATGTAGAATGTGGAGTGCATGTTGGAATACATTCCATTCCAAATCTTCACTCTCGAAGGCCGCCGCAGGGATGTCAAGAAAGAAGACACTTTCGTCTACGATCAAGGAAACCTTGTCGGTACGGAGGGTTCGATGCTTCTTGCAGATCTCTAAGATGGCATCGATTCGAGCCGAACGACAGTTCTGGTCTTTGCGGATGTCGGCTCTCCACTGCTCGAATTTTTTTCTGCCGTCGGTTTCTATAAACTCCTATTCATACTCTTCGTCGTTCCGGGGGCTGGCTAGGAATGCCCTCCTCAACATTTCCATGATGTCCATTAGAGAGGGGGCCCTTGACGTCTATCGTTTGTGTCAGTTTTGGCTATCAACAAAACGGAACCGCCAAATGGCGGCCACGGCCTGTTCTCCGTGTTAAAGTTGGGTCTGATATGTGTTGAAGAACCTCGAAGCCGTTAGGTGTCTCTCGAAACACACCGCACACTCTTGAGTCTTGGGACAGATCGTTACTGGTAAAGGGCCTATAGATCAGGTCTGGGGCCGCGTTTTTTAAGGTCTTTATCATCCCTAGGACAGCCTCATTTTTTCTTGTTATTTTGTACACGCTGTATTGCAACATTAAAGACGTAGCAGTATGGTTAATTCGGGGAACTGCGAGCGGGTGTGCGGTAGTGAGTTTGGTTATCATATTTTCCGTAATAAGACCACTTGTATAAGTTGTATTCGGGTCTGCTGTTTTGTTTCGCGCTGCTTCATATTTGCAGGCGTAGTTGATCGAAGTCTCCTTTGATTTAGCTTCCATTTACTCGACTTTTTTGCCTTCATTTTCTACAGCCTTATTTTAAGATTCCCTGTAGAAGAATACGACAAGAACCGTCTATCCTTCATCTTGCATCCCACATAGAACCTGGCACCCGTAGCTCCGACGTTCTGGGTAACGGGAGCGAATACCCTCATCGCGCCTTGGTCGCGGGCCAAAAGCGTGGGCCGCTCTAGCCTTGACGGCATCGCTGCTTTCTCTCGTGGAACCCTTGGTCATGTTGTAGGCATGGGTGATATTTGTGAAGCTGCTTCCCAGTGATTTGTCCCTCGCGACGGACTCTCGTCTGATGCTGGTTGTTTGGTTGTTTGATTGCGTGCGTTGTTGCCCTTTGCCCTAGAGTGTCAATCGCGAACTTGGCCAGCAGTGTTGTTGGCGAATCCGAGCTACTGCTGCGTCTGCATGCCAACCGGAAATCGGTTATCCCCAGTCACTGTGGCGGGCAGTTGCGTGGTGTCAGGTGAGTTACGCGGAACATACGCCAACAGGTCGAGGTTGTATTCCTCAGTGGCTAGAGTCTCCGTCAACACGAGGGGGACAGGGACCTGATGATTGCCACTATGTCCAGCGCTGGTTCTTCAGAGGACGGGGCGCTACTCCCGTCACTGCGAGTGATCATCTGGTTAGGGGGTGCTTGTATCGTTCCAGCTGGGTACGTGGCCACAGCACCACGCTGGCGCAAAGCGCCTTCACTTCCGTAGTGTGTGAACCAGCTCTCAATTGGTTTCGTGCCGTCTTGTTCTCCTCGAGCTTTCGCGGCTAGGTAAGCAGAAGTGACAGTCGTACCATATAGATCTTGGTAATGTCGGCATAGGGTGGTGATATTGGAGTAGAGGTGCTATATGGCAAGTCAAATTTTCTAATGATGGTACGAGTTAGGATATAAAGACATACCTGGTATAGCGCGGTACAGGACGGTATGGTAAACGCTGATCGGCCGCATGCCGTGTTTTAGCCTTTTAGAAATTTAGGTGGATAGTCGATCTTCAGGTCATGAACACGATTTATCAGTCGGCTATAGTGACCAAAAAACTGTTCTCTATGATCACAGTATCGAATAAAAGCCAATCCGTTTAGAACGGATGAAACGTCGTCGATCTTCGACGAGGATTCCGTGCCTGAGTATGCTTGGCGTAGAGCAATCCACATATCTCCAGGGTCGTGCAGGCCCACAGTCTTATTGTAGGGGGTCGAGAAGTCAAGAGTTGCTTGACGAACTTGTGAGAGAATGACATTTTGTTGGATTAGATGGTGGTTGGGACACGAGGCCCTTCGCTCCAGAGGCGGTGTTCTTCTGTGAGATGAGCCCGGATCTCCGGATCAGCGGACCTGCTGAGCGCGCCAGACTTCTCTCCATGCCGAGTCCCTGAGATATAGGTTGTTTCATGTTGACACCAATTAGTCATGCCGTCGAAAGTGAAATGAATCATCATGTGATGTCTGATAGTGGGTGACTATGATGCTGACGTTCTTCACAGGTGTCATAGTCTCCTCTAGCGATAATGCGTCATTGTTAAATTCTTGTATATTGTACTTTCTGACATTCGTGGGCAGCACTGCTTCGCGACAGGAAGCTCGAGGACGAGAGCGGTAGGAGGGATGGGTATAGAGTGTTGAAAAGGGCGCACTCGGCCTCGGCCTCTCCCGGCGAATCGTGCACTTGGAAGCCGAACAGTTACAGCCTGATCATATCTCTGCTCGTTGAGTAATGTTCTTTAGTTCGAAGGCCACTGATAGTGTCACCTTCTTGAAGAGTCTCAGAGACAGATGTGATCCGCGCCATAGTTCTCATCGCGATCTCACCAGAACATATAAGAGAACGTAGCCTCAAGAGCAATGAATAACTAGGAGCCGTCGGACAGGGACAAAAGTAGCGGTTGGCTGCGTAATTTAGCACAGTAAGCCCTTATGTGTGATGACATACCCTTCGGCCAGAGAGGCTTGAACTCCGTGTGGAAAGTTTTGATCCATGCTCGTGCTGCCGCAGTGAGGTGCATGGTAAGACGCGGAGGTCTCGTTTTCGTCTTTGTCCTTGTCCTCGTCTTCGTCCTTGCCCTTGTCCTCCTTGTTCTAGTCCCTGCCTATGCGTTTGTATCTTCCTTACTTCTGACCTCATCCGGTTCGTGGTCTGCACCAGGTCACTCCTTCCTTCTTCTGCGGCATCGGTGTGGGCGTCTCGGGAGGACCGACAGCGGTTATGGGTATAGTTGTTGCTGTTGCGCCTTGCCCTTGCTGGTGTCGCGGCGTATGTGGAGGTAGCAGTGGCGGGAGTATGCTGAATGTGACCATGCGGCGCGTGGCTGTCGTGTCGGATTGCTTGTTCGAGTATCGTTGGGCTTCCCGTTAGAGCACTTGGGGATGGACTTTGGTGTTGTGATGTGCGGCTTTATGTACAGTACTTACAATCAGCCGTGTCTTGGTGGCTTGTAAAGAAGCGCTTTTGTTTTTCTTGGTGTGGTGGCAGTGACGTAAGAGTATGAGCGATGATGTGGGACTTAGATGGCTTATGGTGTTTGCGATGTGGTGAACCGACGGCAGGTTGTGCGCACTCTTCCTAGGTAGCTACCGAGTTGGCGAAGGGGATAGACCGCATGACTGCCGGCATGAGCACATATTCGACAGGCAATTAATTGGAACCTCCTTATGCCTCTTGAAGCTCAGGGATGTGAACGCCACCAGTGTGGAAGTGGAAACCGAATGTACAGGTATTGACGCTTTTGTTACAAAAGGTTCAGGAAAACAGCATTGAAGTGTATGTGTGTAACAAGCTGTCAAGGCTTTCACAGAAAATAAGCCTGCGAAAGGCCATGTAGTTGGAAGTTGCGCTGTACGTATATAGTTAAAAATATTCTTGTTATTCTTGTTATTCTTGTTATTCTTGTTATTCTTGTTATTCTTGTTATTCTTGTTATTCTTGTTATTCTTGTTATTCTTGTTATTCTTGTTATTCTTGTTATTCTTGTTATTCTTGTTATTCTTGTTATTCTTGTTATCCTTGTGTCAGACTCTGTCGTCGAGTGTGTAATTACCGAGGCTGGCTTCCTCATTGTTAACACCACCACCACCAACACCGGCACCAGTACCGCCCAGACCGGCGCCAGCAGCATCAGCACAGCCACCACCGGCAGCAGCGTCACCAAATCCACTTTGACCTTGTTCCTTGCTGGCCCCATGGCGCCAGAATACCGCAGCATCTGGCACACGCGGTTGAAGGAAAGAAATCGAAAGGTCGTGTGGTTTCTCCAAGCTATCATAATCCGCGTCCCTTCCTTGTCGTTCCCATGCTGGCAGAATACGAAACGCATCTACTACAGCCGGTTGGGCGAAGGAATTCCTCCAAGACCGAGAACAGAATCATCAGCAACGGCAGTAGCAGCACCCCCAGCAGAAGCAGTGGCAGCAGCGATGCCACCACCAGAACGACCAGCCGTAAGAACAGGCAGGCTGTAGAGGCGACGCCGAAGATTCAAATTCAGATATCGATTCCTTTTGTTCACGGGGCCAGGTCAGGCGCTCTACGTGTTGAATGGCGCGCAAGCCACCGTGGCGTTCAGGGAGGTGGCAGTGCACCAACAAGGCCAATAGGGCATTTTTGGGCCACTTAGCCCACAGAAGGATTTTTGCAGAGATACAACAAGAACACGGATTACACCAGAATATACGTTTTCACCCATCCAAAAGCCCCCACGCTCTGTTTGACACTACGTCGTGCGATCGATTCGCTAGCGACTGGACATTTCGCAACCTTGGGACTGAACGCCCGTAGTAAGGACAATGCCGGCGGCCGTTGTGATGCGCTGTCGGTCTCCGGGATGCGTCCCGGTGTTGTGGATAGCCTGACCGGCCGTTGTATGGTATCAGCGACAACCTGTTGGAGGTTCTGGAGTGATCCATGGTGTACGATTATGGATGAGTATCAGGCTAGCACTGCCTGGCAGCAGCGCGCCAGGTAGTTACTGATTATTTGGCGGGTACAGCCGGTGCAGGCGTAGCGGTCCACAGGACTGAAGATGCATGGTCATGTTCGTCTCGAAATCATTCTCGCAGTGCCCCTATCGGTCGTGTCTCCGGCTCGGCCGCCCGCCGCCCGCCGCCGATAACGCCGAATTCACCTGCTGCAGCGCGCTTTTGGAGTATCAGCGTCTCGGCTGAGCGATCCTCCGGCACGCTACCTGACATCAGATTCGCCCGCAATCCAGCCGGTGATAGTTCCGGGCTGTTCGGTGCTGCCAGGGCGCCCCCTGCGACGAGAGGCGATGTGTTGGCAGTGTTGGCGGTAGTGGTGGTGTGGACGAAGGGGCTGGTGCTGGTGATGGTGAATGTGCTGGTGCTGGCAGTGGGATTGGGAGTCTGAAATGTGAAGTCCATGCTCTGTGGTATCAGACGGGTGGTGGGCGGGCGGTCGTGAGCTGGCCCGCGGACTTGAGGAGAGGCAGATGCGCCGGCTTGGGCAATACTTGCTTCTTCTCCCGACGTGCCACCGACTTCTGTGCGGTGAGGTGCAACTGAACACCATGCAACAGGAAAATGCGGAGCAGAGGAGGTTGCAGCCACGGGGTTGCCGTCTCCCAGGCTCGGAGTCATCTGCCTACCCTGCGAGGCCGTCGCCGCAGCTCTCTCCTGGCTGCACATAGTTATGTATGTGCCTGCAAGTGTCCGTTGGAAGCTTGTGGGATGCCAGCCTTATTGCCTGACTCTGGTGAACAGGTTGTGCCCGTTCTGCTTGGACCCACGGGGTCGACCTGGGGCGTAACGACCAGGAGGCGAGGAGAGAGAGAAGGGGGGCGGGGGGCAGATGGAAGAGAGAGAAGACGGCCGAACATATATATGGGATGGTGGTTGCACTCACGAAGCTGGTAAAATGCGGATAAAGATTGGCTGGCTGACTATAGTGCAGAGATCAGGTGGTTGAAGATTGTCAACCAGTAAATGCCAAAGGCTGGGTGTGACGTTGTAAATGCTGGTCGCAGTAGAACGCTCGAGTGCGACTTGGGGTATTGAGCAACTCTTGACCGCAGTCCAAGAGACTTGTGCGATGGCGAATACGTGTCGCACGCAAGTATAATAGTTGTCAGAGATGCGAGGCTTGGGGAACTGGGTATCGATCACTGTCGAGGCGTCAAGTTGGTATCCTTCGAAATAGCATGTGATTATGAATGTGAGATGGCAGACGCAGGGCGACGGAAAAGCGCGCTGTAGATGCTGTGCGGTGCCGTAGACTTCGTGTTCCCAACCCAGCGGATTGAGAGTTGGTATCGATGATGGAATCAATTCAGGCTCTGCCGCAACCTTGAGCAACGGTGTTGTAGATGCACAGGATATGCTGCTTGTTCGGAAGAGGTTAAGGGAACTGTTACTTCCCGGAAGAGTCTGAAGTAAGTGCTGCTTGTCGGGAAGAGGCCAAGGGAACTGGCGGCCCTTGTACTCGAGAGGTGGGAAGTCGAGACTGCCGGTCGGTGATTGCATGCAAAAATTATGGAAGACAAGTAGGTCAAACTGAAGTAGGTTGAGAGGTGCAGATGCAACAAGCAACAAGCAACTGCAGAGTGAAGGGAGAGTCAGAAGAGCTGGTGTTTGTCGAGTGCAAGTTTTTGTTCTTAAAAGAAAGAGAAGCGTGGGCAGAGAAATAAAAGATGTAGACTTTGAGGACTCTGGATTAAGTTTATTCGAAGTGTGTCAGGAGTTGGGTTGATATAGACTTAGCGTACAGCACGGGGGCTCTGCTTTTTGTTGTCTTTTGGGGTATTTGGGTTTGGCTCCTCCCTTCCGGTCGAAGAGCTTAGAAAATAAAAACAAGTCGTGGTCCCCTAATCATTAGACGACGGTGCAAGCCACGTTCGCAGAAATTGGGAGCTTGCTCGTCAAGGTAGTTACTTAGTACAGTGATGGCTCGTTATGTCCAATATCACGAGGTACCGCGTCTGGCGAGTCAAATAACTCGCTCAAAAGATGGCACCATTGACAAGTACGGGCTCGGTGGCTTGGTAGGAATATGAACACCGAAGTTGCTGCTCCGCGGTACCGTGGTTGTGTGTAGACTTTACTGCTTTCCGAGATACATGTAGATAGATACTGTAACTGTGACCAGCCTGTGTTTGTGAGCTACCTGTATCGTACACCAGCGGATCGAAACGACGTTACATTTTCACTCGTTCGGCACGTTGGGAGAATTTCCAGCGAGCTGGATGCTGCGAGGGTTATTCAACGAGGGGATAGTGAGATCATGCTTAACGCGATGTTGCATATCTGACATCTGGCGATGTCGGTACCATGTTGTCTGACCCTCAAGGTTGACGCTCGAGGATGATCCCAGATAGCGGCACAATGAGCGTGTGCTCGTAGGGAGTGTAGTCACTGGTCAAAGCTGTCTGCTTGAGCATATTATGAGTGCCTAGCGTGACACTTGGGTTGACGAGGCGTATTTCAGCGTGGTGTGCCGGAAAAGACTCCCGGAGAGAGAGAAAGATAGGTGGAGTAGCACGTTGAATGGAACTTTAAATGTTATTACTTCATACACCTGAGTGGAGACATCGCTGTGCTGCAATGTATAGTAGAGTTAGCTGGGGGGTCAGTCGCAGATGGAACTGACGGCTCACCTTGTCATGACTGACTGAAGTACCGAAGTCGAGCGCATCGGAACAACGATACTGTGTGTCAGGTTGTTGACAGCTGAGCTTGCCCTCGACCGATACGAAGGCATGGTGGGAGAAGAATAAAGAGTCTGTGAAATGTGAAAACGCTAAGTGCACATCAGGCTGGGAGCATAAGCACACGATGATGCAGAGAGGGTGAGATGGTCGGAAGTTGGATTGGGCGAATATGGACAGATACCCAGGTACAAAGTTCAATTCGCTGCATATGTACGCACAACACCGCTTCCTACCTAATCAACGAAGATCTTCGTCTCGAGCTCTGAGTAGTGCGATAGATAAGACTCAAAGAGCTTGATACCATGCTCAATATCGTGGGTTCCACCTGTCTCCCGGATGCTGTGCATGCTCAGCTGCGGGTTGCCCAAGTCCAGAGTTCGCACTCCAAGCTTTGCGGAGAGCATGGGACCAATCGTGCTTCCGCAAGATGAATCGTTCCGCACGACGAACAGCTGCAAGGGAACACCAGCACGCTTTGCCATTTCCTGAAGCAGGACGATTCCAGGCGAGTTGGTAGCGTAGCGTTGGTTTGCGTTGATCTTGATTACGGTACCCTTGTTCATCTCTGGCTGGTGGTTTGATTCGTACTTGCCAACATAGTTGGGGTTGACTGAATGTGCCATATCTGCAGATACAAGGAAAGAGACAGCCATGCTCTGCTCGAAGGCAGTAGACAAGTCGATTTCTGGATCAGAGCTGATGTGCTCCCATGACTTGTCAGAGGCCGAATCGCTATGGCGACCACCAGCAAGAACAGAGAGTCTGCGGACGACGGCGGGCAGGAGGTCAGAGTTGGCGCCCTGAGCTGAAGTCGATCCGATTTCTTCGTGATCAAAGCAGGTGATCAGGCGGATGGACGTCTCATTGTTCAGGCTTGAAGACGCAACGGACTCGATGAGACCCATGACGCTGCAGTACGTCATGTTGAGGTTGTCAAGTCTCGCGGAGTAGATGAACTCCTCATTGAGACCGCCGAGGCATGATTTCTGGACGTCATAGAGTACCATTTCGAAATCAACCACGTCCTCGACCTTGACACCCGCCTGCTCAGCGATCAGCTCCAATATGTACGGGTGGTGGCGATCAGCCATGTCCTTCAACGGCTGGAAGGTTTCATCGGCATTTGTGACTTTCGCGTCGTCTTTCGTCTCGTCTTTCTTGCCAGTTCTGTTGAGCTCGGCGGCCACCATGCCTGCAATGGGGAACAGCTCGTTCTCTTTGTTGGGGTTGAACTCAGATGATCGGTCGAGATGGATGGCCAGAGTTGGAATGCGAATGATGGGCCGGTCGACCTTGACCAGCTTCTGAGCAAAGTTCCCCTTCCCGTCCTTCACCAAGGCTCGCCCTGCAATGGACAGGTCTCTGTCAAACCAACTGTGCCAGATGCCACCTCCGTAGGTCTCAACGCCGACTTGCATGAATCCAACACTGCTCTTCTTGCTCACCGGCTTTATGCGCAGGCACGGCGAGTCTGTATGGGCGCCAAGCATGGCGATTGGGTTTCCAGGCTTCCATTTTGAACCGATAGCGAATGCGACGATGGTCGAGGCATTCCGAGTCATGTAGTACTTTCCGCCCGGCTTCAGGGTGGACGACCAGTTGTCTCGCTCTTTTATAGCGGTGAATCCCGCCTTCTCCAGTCGCGTGATGGACGATTGGACGGCATGGTAAGCTGGAAGAGAGGCCGACAGTTAGCTACCCAGCGATCACTGGTATAACGTAGGGGCGGATACTCACGAGTAGGCGAGGCATTGACGAAGTCGAGAAAGTCCAGCGCTGCCTTGGGAGGTGCCATCTTGTACGACGAGGTGCCGAAGCGGTGTCTGAAGGAGAAAAAGGAGGTGTTTGAAGGTCTGGGTCTTGGGCTTGCGAGTAACGGAGCTGTCCAAGGTCGAGCGGACCGGGCCGAGAGTCGAATGCTGCCAGCGAAGTTCAGGCCGATGAAGCGTGGTACGCCGGAGTTCATCTATACCTCGGAGGTAATGGTAAGTCTTGTCCAATTGGCTCTCTGGCAAGACTCGGGGGAGGTTATACAAAGACGACTCGCCGTATTTGTCAATCAGTTGCGTCTCGTGGATTGACGATGGTTGACCGTTGACGTGGTTTCGCCGACGTTGGCCGGGAGCTTCTGAATTGGTGCCACAATCCCGGGCCACACATGGCTTCTCCACACTGGAAGGCACCCGACTGGGCTTATCTTATCGGCAGCCGGCTGGCTTGCATCGGCAGTCCAGCCCGACGGTCATGATCGAGACTCGATCCTGATAACTCCGAATGACTGCTCATACCTACCACTGCAAAGCATCATTCAACCACTTGGCTGGTTGGCCTGCTTCATACACATCCCCCGTCGGGGTCTCTGTTGTGCCTTGCCACTTGCAACCCAAACACCATGGGCTGGCGACCTTGCATGCAGCCTCGCCCAGATCTCCTTCACACCTCACTCGGCAGTGACGTGATAACGGTATCTGTGGCTCCCTTACCTCTGCCGCCTGCGGCCTGCCACATTCGTCGCCTGCTACAGTCAATGCTACCTGGTTCCTCCCGCGCTTCGACCCCAACAACCATCGATATGTTACAGATGGGCAGGTAGTTACAATGATTGCGAGCTTTGCGACATCGAGTTGGCGACTTACATGAACAGTCCCACAATTGATGCGTTGGCCCAGTCAACAGACAAGCAAGATAGCTTATCACACGAGTCTCTAGCCAAGCTTGCTCTTCGTACATAGATTGTGGTATGTGAACACTTCGTGTCCCCAGCAACATTGAACTCGATGATGCGTACCCTAGTTTCGATGCAAGTATGGTATGTGCAGGGGACGTTGCTGGAACGTAGAGCTGGGGGAGGGCGTCCGTCGAAACAACGCCTCTTCTTGGCCACAAGCATCTCAGGCACGTCAGGCAAACTTGCTTTGATGGGTGCGTGTGCACTGGGTGTGTGCCACACAGTCTGAGAGGCAGACCTAGGAAAGGTCCCAGACTTGGAATACACAGTATCTCAGCATCTGCAGATAGACTCATTGGGAAGCATGGGGCGCTCGCCACATCTTTGAAGGCTGCATGGTGACCTCGAAGGCGCGGGGGCAGATCGCATGGGTGACGAGTTGAGCAGCTGCAAACATTTGATCCAGAGCAGAACGTCTCCCATCATGATCTCTCGAAGGATGTTTCCAGGCCCGCAGGCCAGGGACAGGGCGCATTGTCGACGGGCACCCAACTTGCCATGGGCCAATCGCAGCCGGCGGGAGGCGAGGGTGCATGCTGCCTTGCGGAGTCAGAATTCTAAAATAAAATGAACCTGGCAAGCCATCTCCCTATTCGAGATTCCAAGATGACGGGATCTCAAGGGTCCTTCCTGTGTGGTGAAGATCACTTCTGCTCCCCTGCCCGATCGAACATTGATGATTCTGTCAGTGAGACTGTGAGCAGTTCTGAACCACCTAGATTTCTATCTTGCTACAACTGACACTCCCACTGTCGTCGACAAGGGGGTAATGCGACCTGCACGGCAGAGTGTCACAGAGCCCTGCGGTCGCGGGAAGGAAGAAGCTTCAAGCAGGATGGCGTCGTCCCATGGCCCCAGGGGCCCTCGGGGTCTGCGAGGCAGATCTTCGTAGTTGTGGCCCTGTGCATTCGCCTATTCCGGTACTGACCAGGAAATGGGAACTGGGGAAATCCAACATCACCCGCTGGGTATCTCCCAGTTGGCGGGATCAGTCATATCAAACTTGAATTGCAGAGTGCGTACATCATATCCGCTATGCGAATCCAATAGGAAGCACTTGCGTACGAGGTGAGGCATAGAGCGGCAAGCGGCTGAGGTGACAGCTATCTCACTGCAAGTTTCCTCACCTATGGCCTGCCAGCAGTCTGACCTCGATCGAAGCCGATCGAAGTGCTCATAAGAGGATCGATCAGTCTACAGAGCGAGTTACTCAGGATTCGCCAGCACGTGTTTCGGGAGCTCGATGCAGCGTAGCCGCACCTTACAAGACAGACCAAGTCCAACTCGGTCGAGGAGGATGAGTCCCCTCCATGCCGCACAGGCAGACAGGACAAGAGGAAGAACCATCTACATGTACAGTTCAGACAGCTAGCGCGACACGGTGCGGTACTTCCAAGAACCCTTCGGTACTTGCACTGGCCTCTGCCGGGAAGGCAGCCAATCAGCACACGCCGCCGTACTCCCACCTGGATGTTCATCAGGGTCCATTTCGAGGCAAGGAGGGTGGAGGGGCCATTGGGGCCAATACCTTTCTTACCTGGTGCTGTGCTGTGCAGTCGTGGTCTGTCGCCTTCTTTTGGAAGTTTGTTGGAATACGAGTGCGCTGTTCTCGAAGCCAACTGGGGGCTGTTTTGATCCAGTCGTCACGTCACGAAAACATATGTTGGCTGAGCGCTCACCTGTTTTGATCGTTATGTTCACACGAGCTTTTAGCTTTTCGCGCGCTCAATTGAGGTGGTTTTTTTGAGATGCAAGATGGGCGACGGTGGCGGCGCTATCATTGGCTTACTGTACTAGGATCGGTGCCCAGACTCATGGCGGGAGGTTAATCCAGATGTCCGTTCGTCGATCAGACAGCCTCGATGGTATCAAGGTTTGAAGCATGAGGAGGTGAATGGGCGAAGGGAGCTGACCGAGTCATACTACCTTACCTATGTAAGGGTACCGCTTGAGCGATCGTATGGTTTTCTACGCATTCTCGTCCCAGCTATGAGTATCTCCTTTTTGAAAATGCAGTGTTACCGCCTCGTTGTCACAGAGGGGCCTTGCGAACAAACATCATGTCACAGACACGTCTAACGCTCAGTCTGATAACATTCAGTGAGCGTCAAGGTCGTATGCCGGCGGGAATGCTAAAAGCAGATAGAGATCAGTGGACGACGGCCAGAACATCACATCAGGACTGTCTTGGAAGCCCAAGAATACTAGTGCATGGAAACCTGACGACACGTCGACAATGCGGCGGCCGCCGTTTGTCTTCGATCAGCCGACAGAGCGTGGTCTACTGGTGGCCAGGCTAATAGCAGGCTGAATGATGGTGTTACATAATGAATGTCTCGTCCTGCGAATCTGGGGTCCATATGCATATATGGAGAGCCGAGCTTTGGGGAAGACTGGTGAAGTGCACCCGCTTTCAGAGCAGAGCAGAACAGACGAGATACGTCTCGTCTGAATCGAAACTGAAGAAGCGACGAGTGTGATGCGTGGTGTGTCCAGGGCACACCGAACCACATAGGCATCGCGACGACTATCGTCGCAACAAACATTTCCAGTCCTGGTCAGCCCTGATACGGCAAGGTACATATTTAGAGTTGGTAGGGCTTTTCATGGCATACATGTAACCAGGAGATCAGGTGCTTATGACAGACGTTTCTCGCTGATATCTCAGCCATAGGTGTGGTGGGATGGATAGTTGTAAGCCTGGTTTGGCACAGTACCGCAGCCTGTAGATGCCAGGAAAGCTTGCACTGCACGCTCGAGCTCTCGCGGAATCCCTGTCCCAAGGCATGTCAGTCTCAATCATGTTTGTCACGACGCAATTCCGAGTGAGGTTGATTTCGTCGGAATTGGCCGGGAGACAAACGCTGCATCTTCTCAGTCGCATTAGGTAGCGTGTGAGTGTGTAATGAGATACATCGGAGAATTATTAGCACAACGGGACGCTCATGAGATGGAGGGGGCTCAGGTGCTAACACAGGTTACGTGGAAGGCCGTTCTGACAGTTCTGAAACGGGCGGAGAGCCGTGAAGCTCTATTTTGGCACCAACCTCAAGCTCTGCGCTCTCAGGTCTCACCATGCAAAGACAGCGCGGTCTGTCGGGGTCGAGTCCGAATGACAACACGAGCGTGAACGCGAAAGGCCTGCCGCGAAGTAAAAACACGGGGAGGAAAGGAAACCAATGTCGGCTCCTCAATCATAACAACACTCGGCCAACGGAAGCTGATGTTCTGACTGGTGACTCTCGAGTCTCGGCTGGTTTGCGCTTGTTTGAGTTCGATTCGTGATGAATCGAGAATAATGGTAGCGCCCCGAGGTTCATAAGGTTTAACCGCCGGCGGGGTCTAGCCGGAAACGGCGTCGTAGAGCAACCTTGAAGTCGAGACCAAGCCGTACTACCAAGTCCAAGTGCCAGCCACAAAGCATTCTAGATCTCCACCTTGATACAGCCGGTCTACGACTCTACGAGGTGGCTTGAAGTTTGAGATGCTCCCATTGCCGACGAGGAGTCAAAGCTCACCATCGTTGCCGTTGTGGCCTTGTTGTTAGTCGGTGGCCCGTGGCCCATGGCCCGTCGCGGATGCCGTAAGGCTGACTGCGCTCAACCCATCAGACGTCGTTCACTTCTTCCAGGGCCTCGTAGCTGCCAGAAACTGCGCTGCTACGGGACACTCGCGACATAGATCCGTATCTTTCTTGTCTCAGGTACTTCGCGGAGCGCACGAGGAGAGGAAGTCATGCGACTGGACAGAGCATGCCGAGCTGAGTGGGGGTGATGCAATGAATTGGCCGTAAAGGCCGCAGGGACAGCGCGTTTGATTCGGTGGCGATTGCTAGCCAGAGACGGTGTGGGTGCAGGTTGCTTGCTGCCCTCATAGGCTCGTCGATGTTGAGGAAACTCGCTCGCTTCAAGCAAAGCTGATAAGGGAATCGACAGCCGAACACTGGCGGCAATGAGGCTGGCTTGGAAGCTGAGTAGATGAGGAGGTGTATGTATCTTTTCGGTCTGTAGATCAGTCTATAAGCAGAGTGGCTGACGGACCTGACTTTGGATAGGGCCGGGCTGTGCGGGGGAGGAGAGCTAGGGAGTGTTCAGTCAGCAGTCATGAATGTGGTTCAGAGGGACGACATTGCCATTCACACCTTGCTGGAGGGTTTGAAACAGACGGGAGATGCGTTCAAATATATGCGGCCTTCCAACTCTGCAAACCGGTTGAATTGCAGCGGACCGCTATGTAATAAGTCAGTCAGTGCAGGAACCAACTCTTAGGCCTTATCGTTTATTTACATAAGGTACCTTACCTACCATCTCGTGAGAGGCGATTCTTCGTATTTTTCGTTTTGAAGGCAGCTATCGATGTCATGAAATGCTCTGCATCTTTGCTTTTTCCCTCTCCTCAATCTTGCCAACGAGCGTATGGTGGTGAACTGGGGCAGGGATGGTGAGAGGATACCTAGAGGTAGTGCTGGCAGTAGCCCTGGCAGAGAGGAGTGAGGCGCCTGCTTGACATGGCGCTAAGCATGGGGTGCCTGTCCAGGATCCCTGAAGAAAGCCAAAAGCCAAAAGAGCCCGTTGCATTTCATGTTCATCGGACTCTGGAGTCACTGGACCGTCGTGTGCTGCTTGATGGGATCAGCAGTGCTGCTCTTCAAGAAGAACTGATGTCTTGTTTCGATTGCAGTTGATGATGAGGGTCTTTACTACCAGTTCAGGAATGGTATCTAGTAGGTCGCTCTCGACTTCACATGTAAACGTACAACCCTATTATGGCTTTGGGTCTACCTCCTTCGTGCATGTGAAACCCGCTTTCCTTGGTACCGTAGTCGATGCTGCAGCCCATCAGCATGGACGGCAACGGCAACAGCAACTGCCCGCCATTTGTGATCCTAGGTACCTATCTATCTGCCTTTTGGTGACCAGGAGACACAACTTCATATCCCATGCTGAGGCTGGCTCGCCTTGGATACATGTAGCAAGATAGTTGCTGGAAAGGCGGGTAGACTGGCTGAGATCTCTCGACTCCCAACTCAACCACTATACACTGCAATTACTGGTGGAATCGACCCCATCCATTCCTCCTCCATTGTATTGTTTGGTGACAGGTGAGCATAGTCCTGCTCTTCAATCCACATTGTTGTCTGCACCTAGGTACATGTACTGTACTTTTAATACGGTATTTGCTGTAGGTGAATCCACCTAGTGCTCAAAGCTCAAAGCTCAGACATTTCCTGCCACTGGAATACAACCAATGCACCATTCTGCCATTTTATCAGCAACAAAGCAACCCGGGCCCAACCTTGGAGCTCTCCACGTTTCTTGCCAGGCCCTCCTACACATCCCACTCATCACTCTTTTCACTCTTTTCATATGCGCATCGATGACCGCATCTCGACCAACAACACCACAACACTGGACCGACTTCAACTTGAGGCTTTTGAAGCTTGTAGTGAGTAGGTATTCCTCTTCAGCCCTATTCCATTACCACCACTACCACCACCACCCAAGCAACCACCTACTGCAGTGAGTGCGCACCTGGGCATCTGGGCAAGAGACGCAGGTTGGCGCACAGTGCCAGCAGACGCAGCACACCGAACATTTGAAACTCGGTGACAGCTGGACGGCTGTAGGTACATTGCGTCTTGACGGGCGGGGCGGCTGCCACTCTGCACTCAGGCCTGTCAGTGGGCAGATCCCCAGTGCCCACTTTTGCCAATATTTGAATTCCCACTATTGGGATCGATCACTCACAACTTGCACGCGGGAACCTGAACAACCCTGAAGGTGGCACACCAGTGGTCTGCCAGACTCCAGTCACCAGTGTAGGTACCGCGCCGTACCTTCCTGCGACCTATCCTGATCCTAGCCCCAGCCCAGCCGGGCTCCTATCCCTGCCTGGCGGCCTGGCTCCGCTCCTCTAGCCTCTCTCCCACTACCGCTTTCCTCCTTCATCCACCAGCCAGACCAGCCCACCACCTGCACCACTAACTGCCACCACTACCTACCTCGACCGCCATCACCAGTCTTGTTGCTCTTACCACCTACCACCTACCACTTCTCCGCCTCTTTTCTCTACTTCCCTGTTCTTTCCTGCCGCCCCTACTTTCCTGCGCAATACACCACAGGCCAACAGCTTTTTTTCTATCGATCCTTCACCGTTGCCGCTTTGAGGAACTCTACGTTGTTGCTCCAAGGTCCTCCTACGCTAACTCTCTTCCTCGAGCTTGTTTAGCATCTCTCGTTTCAGCCTCCACCGAAACCGACCTACGACACCATTTCAACGTCCAAACTGAGCCCCGCGACACCGTCTACCTTCTCAAGAAGTCAGGAACGTCATACAATCGAACAACTACGATCGCCGTATGGTCCAGTCACGACATCCTTGTCTCCACCCGGTTCCCAGTCCTCGTTCACGCACAGCGCAGCTTGTGCGAACTCGCTCCCTCGACAAACGAGACGACACCGATCTTGACCTAGTTGCGAACATCCGAGTCGCTTCCTGCGGACACGTATTGGCCCTCTACATTTCTAGCTCTATGTGGACGTAATCGGCTCCCGCTAGGCAACCTGCAGCCACCAACGGCTTCTTGCCTCATTCCCAGGTATTAACTCGGCCTCGACCTACCATCATTGCGTCCACGGCAGGATCCTGGAGACTCTGTACGGTGGAATTGTAATTGGACAACGGTCGGGTCACCTTGCCTTGAACCCAACACGTGTCAGTGTTAGCAAATCGCCTTCGATTTGAGCCAACTCAACCCCTCCCGCGGCCATGGCCGCCAATATGCCCCAGATGGGCGGAGTCGGCCCTACGCGGCCTCGCCCGCAGCATCAGCAGCTGTCGCAGCTCATCTACACACAGTTGATGACCCATGGCGTCCAAGGCAATGACTGGCAAGCTCAGGTCCCAGTCAACCTCCGAGTCACCCACACGATGAACCTGTAAGTAACGGCACAGACATTGTAGGAAATCAACTCTTAACGATTCGCTAGCATCACAAACTCTTTCCTCGCCTTGCCCCACGTAGACTCGCAAAGTCTCGTGTCATATGGCATGAGGTTCGAACAGGAGGCGTTCGTTACCTCGCCGGATAAAGTCAGTATATATACTCGTTCCACCACTATCATGTATTGAGCAAATGACTGACGGCTATAGGCAACTTATGATCAGAAGATCGGGGCGCGCATTCAGGAGTTGTTCAAGAAGCGCCAGGCCAATGAACAGAATATACACAGTACCCTGAACGCCCAGCATGCCGCTCAAGCTCAGGCTCAAGCCCAAGCCCAGGCGCAAATGATGATGAACGGAAATATGCAGATGAGGGGGATGGGCCAGCAACCACAGCCAGGACTGCAACACCTTCAACAACAGATGCAGCCTTCTCCCATCCCCCAGCAATCCCAGCAGCCCGGGATGGGCATGGGTAACCCGGGGGGGATTCCCATGAATCCTAATCATCAAGGAATGCAGATGAACGCACAAATGCGTCCCCAGATGCAGATGCAAGCCGGGCTGGCAAGTCTCACGCCCCAGGACAGAGCCAAGGTGCTTCACTTAGCCACGGCAAAGCTAAATCAGACGCCCGAGGCACAAAAGGTCCAGCTCCGGGTGCTGGTACAACAAAAACTCTCGCCGCAGCATATGGCACAGTTGCAGCAAGAGGGCACAGATCCGGTACTATACTTCTACCAGACTCAGATATTGCAGGCCTCGAGAGGAGGTCAGGCTGGCCCAAATCAAGCCGCAATGCAGCTGCATGCCCAGCAGCAGCGACAGATGAACCATGTTGGTCAGCAAGTACCTGGAGCGCCCAACGGCGAGTTTGGCCCGTTTGGAAACGTAGAAAGCATCATGAATCAGCAGAAAGCCGGACTCATGGCTCAGGAACAGGGACAAATGGTGGTTCCGGCGAGTACTGGTCCCGGCCGGAACGCCACACCCCAGCCTATGCCTAACCAAGGCCCCAACCAGCCCGGAATGCCCCATCAGATGCCACAGCAGTTCAACAATCAACCGACTCAGCAGTTGAAAATGGACCAAAGAGCCGCTCAAACACAGGCTCAGATCAGAGCTCAAGCGCAGGCGAAGCAGATGCAGGGCCAGCCTGGTGGGCTCAACGGCGCTGGTGCCGTCTCGCAAAGCCCTGCCATGAACACTTTAAATACTCCTGTGCGTCGAATGCCGATAGGCGAGGGACATCCGCAGCTGGGCCAGGGCAATGGGCCATTTGGCCAGATGCATGATCCCCGGCTCAACCAAGGTAACCAGCAACCGCAAATGGGACCGAATCCAAACATCATGAGCAGCATGCTGGCCCAGATGCCCCCGGAGCAACGACAACAGTTTCTAGCTCTACCGCCGGAGAGGAAGAATGATATGATCATGAGGTTCAACGCGACCCAGGCCGCCCGAGCCGCTCAGGGGCAAATGCCGGGCCGTCCTCAGCCTCAAGCCCCTGGCCAATTCGGGCAAGGCAATCCTATGGCGCAGTTCGCACCCGGAAACAACCACGTAGGCCAGCAGCCTAACCAACCCATGGCGACGAATCAGCAGAATCAGATGATGCTACAGCAGCAGCTGAACAGAATGCGACAGAACGTGCCAGGGCAGAATCGACAGATGCCTCCAGATTCCAATGCGCTGATGGACTCTCTGGATGTGCCAATCAAGGTCTTGGACCAGCTAAGGTCAACTCAGCATACAGAGATTCCCCCTGAGATCAAGAAATGGGCACAACTTAAGCCATGGCTCGCACAAAAGGGTACCAATCCGAATATGATCAACCAACTTCTAAATGTACAGAATCAGCAGTTCCAGACCGTCCTAAAGCGGAATCCGACATTGGCTGCTGCAGGTCATCAGGTGCCCCAGTCCAACATGACACAGGCACAGCCAGGTGCTCAACCTCCTCATGCTCCTAATGCACAGATGCCAGGACAGCCTGCTCAACCCCCTGCCAACATCACTGTCTCCCTCCAGGAGATACAGAATGCCAAGAATCACGACAAGTTCAAGGGTTGGCCCGACGAGAGGATCCGCATGATGCTTTCTAGCATGAAGATGCACGCCTGGAAGATCCGGGTAAATGGACAGATGCAGGGCGCTCAAATGCAGACTCCTCAGACGGCCCAACCAGCTACTGCCAATATAACAGCTCTGGCGCAACCGACGAATGGTCCCAATGTTTCGCAGCAGCAGCAGCAGAACGCAGGTCCTGATGGTAATACGACGGGGTCAGTCCCCGCTATGAATACCAAGCAATCCCAGAACAACCGGCCGCAACAGAATGCTTCCCCAGCAGTTGCACAGAAGAAGGGTCTCAAGCGTGCAAGCAACGACGACTTGATCGAAGTGCCGAACGCGTCCAGCACGTCAGTTCAGCGACCGATCTCCCAGCAAACTCAAGCCGGCCCGTCAGGACATGGACAACTTCCCCAACTTACACCTGCGCAACTTGCCAACATGTCGCCGGAGCAGAGACAAAAATACGAGGCCATGAAAGCCCGACAGATGCACATACCGTCGACGGCGGAGGAGATGCAGCGCCTCAAGACACTCGGAGTAGAACAGCAGGTCGCTGTCCGGCAAGAACAGTTACAGGATATACCCATGACTCCAGAACAGCACGAAGAAATGGCCCACAAAATCAGGGCTATGATTGGCGAGATGGGCAAACTCAGTAAGGTCCTGGGTCGCTGGTACAGTCTAACGCACGATGATGCCCGCGCCAAGATGTTTTTCAAGATGGTGAGTACCTCACGCTTGCGCGGCGCTGATTCATCATGTGATATATGGCTAACATTGATCCAGCGACTGCGTCTCGTAAAGCAGTTTGTAGACGGGGAGAAGATGAACGTTCTCAAGGACACATTCTCAGTAGGGCCTAAAGAGTTGGACGGCGTCAGGGGCATGCTTGAGAGCATGGCCAAGGACCTCGCGAACCAATATCCCCAGGGGATGAGGAAGAATGCCAACCAGCAGAACACCTCGGAGCCAGGACCTTCTGCGCACGCGGCGACACCACCAGGTCAGGGAATTCCGTTGAGCGCGGCGAACCTCGAGAAGCAAACACAGGAGCTCAACAGGCAGCAGCAGAGGAGCAGCAGCAGAAGCGGTCAACCACCGGCAGCACCGACGACGTCACAGCCCCCCTTCTCGTTTGGCGGCGCACAGTCACCCAACGGACAGCCGACGTATGCCGGCCGGCCCGCGCTTACTCAAGACAACCTCCACTTGCCTGCTCGCAAGAAAGCCAGGACAGGGATGCAGTCGGGTGGGCCGAGTGCCAACGCGTCACCTCAGGTCCAGAAGCTGCCGTCGCCGGATATGCAGAAGCGCTCGGCGCCGCCGGAGGCAAAGGCACCCGCAAAGCCTCAATATCAGTGTTCAGAGCCAAGCTGTGAATTCCACACGATTGGGTTTGCCACGGAGGAAGCTCAGCGAAATCACTTTGATGAGGAACACGTCAAGCCCTACCAAGATCCGCTCAAGTTCGCTACTGACGGGCTTGCCTTGTGGCTTGGCGTGGACTCTGATGGGCATTCGAAGAAAGTGTCGCCGACGTCGGCAGTCAATACCCAGTCTTCGGCTACACCTATGACACGAGACGCATCCAAGCAGGGCCTGACGCCTACAACTAGGGCTGACGCGACGCCGATGTCCCGAGAACCCTCAATGAGGAGACAAGGCAGCGCTGCCGGGTCCAAGCCCAACGAACTCGTCGTCAAGGCGGTTGCATGCAAGGCTGGTACACCGAAGCCAGATGTGGCAAGCAGGTCCGGCGACGGTGTCGGAGCTGTCAGTGTGGGGGCAGCTCCGGATACCCCGTGGGCGACGGTTGACCCCCAGAATCTGTTCCAAACCAGTTTTGGAGGCGGCGGTGCCATCTCTAATATGAATGCGTATCGAGCGATAACGCCAAATGACACGCCCGAATCTAGCAAAGACAGCGCAGCATCGGAGCCGAACAGCGACCTGTCGGATGGGGTTGCTCTCAATGTCACTCTCGACATGGGGCTCGACTCGTGGCAGCCGTTTGAGGGCGGCCAGTTCATGGATATGGACTCGGCGAACATGGATATGGGTGATCTAGGAAATATGGGCGACAGCGTATTCCCGGAGTTAATGACATGGGATGATGTCAACACGGATTTTGGGAAGCCATTTGCCTTAGATACCTCGCTTTACTCACTGGACACGACGTGATGGGACGGGTCACAGTTTATTGCGAGTTTTGATGCTGGATGTTGAAGGAGACATACTCCACTTTGACCACACGCCGAGGTATGGCCAAGGGGCCCGGAAGGATATATTAACAGGCGCCAATGGTGCGCCGGCAAGGATAGGCGGCTGTATAGGCAATGGTCACACGTGGTCTCGGGAGGGAACATAAAAAGGACTCCGGCAGTGGGCAGTGGCGTTGCAGGGCTGCCTTACTTGGAATACCTTTTTCGCTGACCAGCTCTTGCGGTCAGCTACAGCGGATCTGATTTTGATTGATTCAAGCGAAGGGTGCATTCGGTATGTCCGAGGGAACTTGGGGAAGAGACTGAGACAGGGCTCTAGGTGACAGATGTATAGACCTTGCCGCAGAGTGGCGATAGCCTGTAAAAGCAAACAGATAATATGAGCGTTTCCATTCAAGTACAACAGGGTTCTACGCATCTTTGCACTGGTTGCATGTGTCATGCCTAGTAGAGGTAGTGTTGGTGATAGGACATGCCGAGACCCCTAGACTTCTATACCGACCCCTATGATCAGCGCTGCATGAAAACCGCCGTACCTGCATGTTACTACTACCTAGCAACTCGGTATAGCGGTACAGCCCGCGCCGAGGCTGGCATGGCAGGGCTGGGGAATGCGGGGCCGCAAGGCTGCATGGAAGGACCCTGATGATGATCTTCGGTCTTTGGAGGCTCGATGCAGGTGCGAGCTAACCTTGTTGAGCTTGGGCTGCTCCGCCAAGAGCTTGTGCATATGTTTTTATGCCGCCGCTGGTGACCGGAAGAGGCAATAAATAAACACTGCACAAACACACATGCACGTCATGAAACAACCCTGCCTCACACGACCGACGCGGCAAGACGACGCGGGCTAATTTCTAAGGCTTGACTAGGCCTATCTCGTCTACATTGCAGTCCATTGCTTGCCTACATACCTGCTCCCAACGACGCGACCAGCTTCATCTTCAACCGCCCGGGCTTATCTTGTATTCCTGCACCTTGAAAGACACCTGTGGTGTAGAGAAAGAGAGAGCCTCGTAAATCTCCCCTTCCTGCTTTACACCTGTCGTACACCCGATCACAGCCTACCTGGACTGCACGACCCCACGTAACGAGAGCATCACCACCTGACCACACCCTCTCGACATTGTCCACATCCCGCAAGCAGAATGGACGCATCACCAAGCAAGCGACGCGTCTTGGCCCCGCTGGATGCCAACACCAGATCCCCGGCTGCCACGGCGCGTCTGCCAGCCTCCAAGCTCGAGATACCCAAGCCAACCATCTCAAATGCGTCCGATCCCACGCAATCCAGTACCACGAAACGATCTCTCGACCAGGAGAACGCCCACCAATGGCCAAACCCAGCCAAGAAGCAGCGGGTCTGGGGTACGGAGAGCAGCACCCAGCCTCCAGCAGTGAAAGAGGATGCGGTCGATAGGGTCGCAAGACCGCGTTCCAACTCGCCCAACGAATCCTCCATGTTCGACAACTCGACCGCCAACGCCTCCCAAGTCACCGCCATAACGGAGCCCGACGCCGAGCTGGCAGCATCTCCATTACCGGTGCCCCCACGTCGCCAGCGCACCCTGACGCGCGAGGACGCCCGTCAAGTAAGTCGAGGTGGTCACCCGGAGCTCACAGACGCGTGCGCGTTGGCAGAGTACAGGTCCGCTAACAAGCCTGGTACACAACAGAAAGCAGAGACCTTGCGGTTACGACTCGGGCTGGCGAGCTACAAGGTGCGGACGGGCCAGACGGACGTGCCCCTCGAACGGCTCCAGGTCAAACCAATTCCGGGACAACAGCAAGCAGAACCGCAGCTACCGCGTCTACCCGCCCCGGCCCCGACGCGCAACAACACGGTCCGGCCGCACAGCAGCAGGAGCAACGAGGGCAGCAGGAATCCGAGAAAGGCACTGCCGTCGGCGCCGCTGCTGCAGCGTGCCAGTAGCTTCAGCCACGCGTGTCCTCAGGCGCCGCACAAGAGGAACGCGCTTCCCAGGCCGCCGCCTAATTCGGTCGATACCCCGGTGCGAAGGCTGAGTGGCGAGGGTGAGCGGCTCGCCGGTAATGGGCTCAGGGGTGGTGCGGTGAAGGGACTCATGAGTCTGTCCCAGAGCTGAGAGGCAGCATGCGTGATTTGAGTTGGTTGCCATCGAAGCAAGGATATCACATCATACTTGGAACAGGCAGGCCTGTGTGTACGGGCCTTTCGTCGCATTCGCATTCCACGTTCACATCTCCACTGTAAGGAAGCATTCAGCGGCGTCATTGCATCTTGGGCCCTCTCTTCATACTTGCATTAGACTTGGAGTTCAAGCTGTCGTCATGTCGTATTGGGCTGGGCTGGCAATGGAAGCCATACTTGGCGTTGTGTAGAAGTAGGATTCATAAAAGGTTGGGGAAAACTATTGGGCTGTTGGAATCTGTTGGAATCTGTTGGAATCAAACACTGAGATTTCAAAGTGTTCTGCATCAAAAGAAGAACAAGTAGAGGTAGCTGAAGGGGGATACCTTCCTACTTGAATAACCGTGTGAGTGACCTCCGACAGCTGTCAGGTAACCCCACAGGACGACCATTTCAACTGCTCAGGCTAGTACGCCACTGAGCACGTATTCTGACAAATACCCGTGGTTCTTGTCCACCAGGGTTGACATTTTTGAAGTTGGGCGTCAGTCATCTGATATGCACGTGGAAACTTGAGAAATTGGTGGACTTCGAAGTGAACCCCATCCAACACAGAGACTCTATGCGTTGCTGCCTTCCAAGATCTTTCCAAATTGTATGTAGAAGGCCCCAGACGCAACCACCAATCCGTCGAATGAAAGTGTCGGTCTTGCTGTCATTGCGCCCCAGCACGTCTTCCGCCACTGGAATCAGACCACCGCCGTTGGGTTTGTTTGATTGATTGATTGATTGATTGATTGATTGATTGATTGTATTTAACGTGGGGGGTAGCTCCTCAGTAGTGCAAACCACGCCTCCCAGAGCCTCTGTATCGCAGGGTTGTGGAGGTCTCAAGATAATAAGTACAGTCAGTCCCGCTCACGGGCCCATCCCCGTTGTTGCCGCGGTATGACCTTGGGGTCATCCATCTGGTCTTCAAGAAAAGCTATCTATCGGGGGCAGATTGTTGAAAAGAACTTGCTCTTCTCCACGAAATTTGCCCATTCTGTGCTCCTCTCCCCTAAGTATTGTAAACAAGCTGTCCTAGGCGAGTACCTAGGCAGCAGCCGGTTTTTCCCCAGCCTCTTACAAAAGAAAATGTGTTGTGGTGTTTTCTTCTCACCACAGCTGCAGTGATCATTCGAGTCTGTATGCCCAAAGCGTTCGTGGTATCTGGCAAAGTCGCCATGTCCAGATCTGGCCCACCGCCGTTGGGTATTGGAGAACTAAGTGACATGATCTTGTCAGATGTGGAAAAGGACCTGGAAGAGAGAGGGCTACTATTCCATTTGGAAAGCCGTGGTGTGTGCGGTTGGCAGAACAATTCGTATAACCTTCTGGGATAAGCAGTTATTCCCAAGACAAAAGACGGGCGGCATAAGCACCAAGACTGCTGCTTCTACCACTGCAGGTTGGTTGGTAAAAAAAGAATAAAAAAAGTGATGGTCTAAAAAGAAGGTTGGTTGATTGATGGCAGTACCAAGTCTTGAACCCCCTCCCTGTCAGGCAACAAAAAGAGAGACCATGTTCCTACCGGACGAACCTAGGGCGTGGCGCTACGTCTCCGGAAAACCCCGTGATTTTCCTCAAGCACGCTGGGTGAACCAGCACTCCAAATAGACCACCGGCTGTACTTAAGACAGCCAGATACTTTTTGGTGCGATAATTGGTATTGCTCACGTTTGGACATATATAATAAGCAGACCTCCCAGCCAAGTAAGCCACTCAGGTGACTTTAAAGGTTATAATGTGGATTACACGCACTCACTCTCTTGCACGTGCCTGAGGATAGATGTTCATCCCCCTTTAGTAACAATGCATGACTACCTAACGCACTACCAACTCCTGGCAGTGCTGGATGCACGCCAGGTGCGCATCACCATTCCGAGCTACGTCTCGCCTGAGGGTATGCAGTCCTTTGCTTCTGACAGTGCCGCCATAAATCCTCGAGTGCTGGTAACGGTCCGGCACAACCTTAAACTATATTTAAGACTTAACATTTGCAGGATAGATATTTTATTTAGCAGACTGATAACTGATTATTAACTTTATCCGTTTTGTATTTTTTAACCTGGTCGCTTTGCGTTACTTTTTATCCGAGTTATGCCTTTTAAATTAGCTTTTTTGATTTTGAGTTATAATTCAACGTTTTCGATATGTTTTATTATAAAGCGCAATCTTCTATCGGCTTTAAAATATTCTAGCTACGTTTTTTCGTCTTTATAGCTACGGTTTATCCTGACTTTAACTTTTATAACTTTAAATCGTTAAATAAGTTTAAAAAAGCCGTAAATCTTTATTTTAATAAAAATAAAGTTACCGTTTTTTCTTTTAACTTATCGTTATAATAATCGATATAAAAATAACGTTTTTAAAAACCAAAAAACCAAAAAACCAAAAAAATTTAAGCTAGTAAATTTTTTTTTTACGTATAAATAATGTGATATTCAACGCGCTTTAACGATATTTCGTTAAATCGGATATATAAAAGCAAATAAAAGAAAAAATGAAATATTTTAAGCAAAATCTAGCTTATAAATAAACCTTTACGCATATATCGTTAAACGTATAACGTATTGGCTTAAATTTATAAACGCTATTTATGATTAAAGTTTTAATAAATTAAAATAATTTATAACGTTTTATTTTAATAAACTCAACGTATAATACGAGGGCTTTACTTTTTATTATCTTTTAAAGTATTCAAGTTTGGCTCCTCCCTTCGGTCGAAAAGCTTTAAAAAAACCCTAAATCGAGTGCTGGCAGGAGGGTGCACCTTCTCCAGTTCTACTCTAGGGAGATACTCTAGTGAGGGCTGGCAACATCAGATGTTCCTCATCAAGCTGATTAATATCCCACGGGATGTCGTCGTCGTCCCAATTCATGTGACCGAATAGGGATGACACCCCTTTTTCCACTGCATCACCAGTGTCGATTCGGCCAAGTGCTCCGATTGTCGTTCTTGCACCTGCGGGAATCGTCTGAGTATTTGTGATCTGTATGTTCCGACGTCTCAAAGGAGTCATATTAGTAGGTAGTGCACCCCCGGTGCAGAGTGCCTCTCGTATTTGACGCCTTTCTGGAAATGGGCGGTCTTCATACAGGCACTCCTTGGAGTCCACATATACCAATTGACCTCATGCGCTGTCATTTGGTCTTCCACACATGCAGGGAGATGTCCTAGTTCTTGAATGTAGAGATGTATGACGTCGTAGAAACATGGCATGCTCTGCCCAACTTCGAAACGGAGGCGGTACAGTGCTGGATTCTCAAAAGGAGAATGTCCCAGTCCCTTCCACAAACCTTGAGTTCGCGTGCTTCAGAGCTTTTGTTATCCTGCTCGTTGTGTCGACGAGAGCAAAGACCCAGTTGAAGGTGTCACATATATGTGGTGTTAGGTTCGAATTCTAATAGCGCTAATGTGGCTTCACCCTTTTGGTGCATCCATCTCTGCTGTCCCAATGGGCTACATCTCCAGGAGTCAAATCTCCTTCTGGGTCCTGAGGGCCTGTCGATACGATGATCTCGTCCTTCGCTTGTGACATAAAAGGGGAAAGGGGGAAAAGGGTAAAGGGCCATGAGCAGTGGGCCCTACCTGTTGATGACATAAGCCAGCCCCTTTTCTTACCATGCAACACCCATTGTCCCAACGCTGGTGCGCTTGGAGCGCGGTCTTAAATGCCTTTCTTAATGCTATTTATAATCTGTTTCTCATGTGATTTTTGATGCGGTTGTTGATGCAGTTGTTGATGTGGTTGTTGATGTGGTCGTCCATGCGGTCGTCGATGTGGTTCTTGATGATGTTCTCACTGTCACCGTGATCGATTCCAGAACTGTCCATGGGATGAAGTTGGCAAGCCGCGTTCTGAATATCGGCGAGGTCGTCAATGATCAGACTGACAGTTCAACGACTAATCCTTTGATGCCTCAGAATGTATAATAAACTCCCCAGTGTGATGAGCTTGCACAGATCCCCACAGCATGTGAGTAAACATCCCACAAGAGAATGTCGCCGGATATCCGCTTTTGTTCAAATTTTCAAGCAGCTCCGTAATTCCCATTACCCAGTCCACACCCTCCAAAGATGCATCTGTTATGTTTCTATCTTGCTAGTTGTCCATAGCAAAATCTGCGGACAAGCACCACGACAACATGGACGCCCTGGACGCAGATACAGACCCAGCAACAGCAGCAGCAACAGCTCCCCAACCCAAAGCCATCTTCCTCCCACTTACCCTCCAGTTGACCGAGGTGGCGTTGCCCAGATCGAAACCCGGACATACAAAGAAAGAATGGAGGATTTGGTGGCCTGGATCCAGACACCCGAAGAAGCAATGGAGGAGGGTATGGCCTGGATCAGCCGTTCTGCTGGAGAAGATATAGACAAGCTGCCTCTTGAAGGGGACGACGAAGACAACGAGGATGGCGACAGCAACCCAGAATCCGAAGCACCAGCACTGATTCCCGGGTTCAACCTCGACTTCGTAGCACCAGCACCCGTTCCCGACCTTCGAGAGCCCGTCGACATTTGGGTTGATACACCTAGTCTAGAAAAACCGCAGCAGCCACCTCAGCTGGCCATCAACGACCCCCGATCAGAAGACGGAACAGCGCACACGGACTGGCCCGAAGTAACGTTACTGTCGATGTCATACACCCCAGAGCCGTGGGAGGAGACACAAGATGCGCGTGCTCTGCAGGAGATCGCGCCGAATGCTGTCGCACGTCACAACGAGTGACCGACCACGTCTGCCTCGGTGCCTGGATCAACACGGAACTTATGGGGGATCAGAGCGGAGAAGAACACTCGAGCTCAATCAGGCTCGATTACATCAAACACCGACCGGAGACTACGAATTTGATGCAATCGGCGAATTCATCCAAACGGGCAATGCACGCGTTCGAGTAGGATATCAAAGCTGGAACCATAACCTTGCTTCGACATACAGGTGTGGAAGTAAGTCAACACGTCGGTCTGATCTATATGGAGTTATTACTAACACGAAGCAGACTTGCTCGACAATCTTCTACCATTGAGTTCGGATGAGGGATCGATTTGGCACGGATTTGGCGATATAACTACCTGTGGTTGGCGGAAGCGAAGGAGTTGGCGTTGCTGGCGTTGCATTTGCTCTAGCTCAATCGACTTTGATGCAATCGGCGAGTTCATCCAACCAGGCAATGCACGCGTCGACGTGGCCAGCTTTGTGGCCAACACCAAGGTCCAAGATTTGGATAATGGGAAAGGACGCGGCCTGATCGCCACCAAGGACATCGCTATAGGCAGACTCGTCTTCCCCGGCGAAGGGACCTTTTGCCACAGGGAATAATAAAGCTCAACTACCACAACCAATGCTGTGTTTCCACGTACTCTCGAGGGTGTGACGTGCCTTTAGAATTGAGCCCAAACGCATATTTTAGACTTCACAGGCCCATTCTCCCCTCTCGGTTACAGTGAGCCCACAGAAGTCTCCGATTCCAACCCCCTATACAGGTGGCTGTTTTTCAAGGCAACTAGACGGCTTCAATTTCTTCAAACCTGCTTATTCCAAGGTGCTTATCCCTTGTCCTGGGTGCATTGTTCGTGTTTTCATATCTTGAGACACGGTTCCCGCGGAGACTTTTGAGGGGTGATTGTACCGTTCCTCAACACCCGCGATAAATATATGACCTAATGATCTTATAGTACTGGTTGCTCCCCTCCCTAACCTCCATCGCACCCTACGCCGCCTCCGGCCAAAGACCGCGGAGCCTAGATCCAACCCAGGACATCAGACCTTGCCTCCCGATTTGGGATTACGTCAACTGCGCCAACAGGTCTGGGACAGGAGCTACAACAGGCCTTCGGCTTCAGCATCAACCCTGCACGAGATCCCATAAGTTGGCTCGCCACGGCACACAATATGACTACGGCAGGTTCTGGATCGCGTGCGAGCTCTCGCCCGTCCTAGCCAAGGGCGATTTTATCCTACGACTCAACCGATCTGCCATCGAACCGGACGGATTGTACACAACTTACATGGAATACAGGAGCACATCCCACGCGTCCTACGCCACGGTCGCTCGCGAACGCACTCCCGTCCACGTGCTGCGCCCGGTCGCCGCCCTCGTGGCGCGTCGAGGCTTGTAGTACCACACTGCCACGCCGTCCCCCCTGCCCTTTGGCATCAGACATACACATCACAGCCTTTGCCGAGTTCACGCTCACTTTTCGGTGCGGTGGACGTCTTTGACATCGGGTTGCAGCACTCATGCGCGGGACTGGCAGGAAAGCTGGATCAACGAAGGGCGGAGTCAGGGGCTTGCCCCTAGTTCATACACGTTCGATCGAGTCTGAGAGCTGACTGGCTGCTTGATTTGCCGTTGGGATTCCTACCTTCCTACCTTTTCTCCCCAGCCATGGCTTGATAAATGCCGGCTGAGCGCCGATGATATCTGGAAGGGGGCGTATTTGATACTTGATAGGTGCTGACCACCAACGCCGCCTGTGATATTCGATCCCGTCCACGAGTTTCCCTGGGCGCCCATCATGGACGACCGGCACGTCATGTCGTCCAGCAAACATATTTGCAGTCGAGCTCCAAGTCGACAAGGTCCTGGATAAGCTTACGACTAGAATTGAGGCGTGACGGCGTACTTACCCCATCACCCAGTCCAGAGTCAAATACCCATCTGGTCCCCCCATCGACCGTCAACAAGGCGTGTGACCGATGGACAAGTCATGGGGAACAATCACACGAAGCAGAGAAGCTGAACACAGCAACGTTCACGGCGAAACCGATACGGGCGAATGGATAAGTACTGAAACGAGCTCAGCAAGCAGCTAGAACCATCTTTATCTCATATTCAGTATCTGAGGCTATATTCACCATTCAATTCCGCAGCTCCGAGCCGAGAGCAGGAAGGACCTCCCAAGCCCATGATGGCCATGTGACCTGCTATCCCCCTGAACCTCCCGACGCCCATTCCAAGCTACCAGGCTATCTCAACCACCAAAATCCATCTTCAGCGCAATAGTCGGCTGGCCCGCATTGCCGGTGTCCCGCCCCGCGTCGCCGGTCTGCCGGCCAGAGCGGATGACTTCCTCCATGAAGGCCTTCTGGCCCTCGCTCATGGCCGACACGACGCCCCTGAACCCCGTCTGGTCCGCCGACGCCAGCTCGAGCAGTCTGGCGCTCGTCTCGTGGTAGACCTCGGCACCTTCGCTGGCAGCACGCGAGAGCAGGGTCGGCGCCACGATGGACATGGCGATCTGGGCGTGGTCTTTGCCGACAATCGACACGTACTGCGTTAGTGTGTGAGCAACGAGCTTCCGAGCGCCTTCGGGATCCTCGGGGTCCGTATCCGCCACGAAAGCGACCAGACGCGGAAGGAGATAACGCGCGACCGACTGAGCGGCTGGTGTTGGCGAAGCTTGGAGGAGGAGTGACCGTACGCAGTTCGCAGCGATCCTCGCGGTCTAGAAACAGTTAGAGACACTTTATCGATAAGAGGAATATGAAGCACTTACCATGCGATCGGTCAGGCAATCTAGTACTTCGTCTAAGAACTTGGAGACGACGCGATCATTTGCCGCCAGACGAGTGTTGCCGCCAGTAAAGAGGATGGTGATAATAAGAAGGCTGTTCTTGACGCACTGCAACGAGGTTGAAGCCTCACGCTTCTGCGCGTGCAGGTAGATCGACAAGAACCGACGCAGGCAGCCCTGCACCTGAGCGTCGGTAGGAGACCTACCATCTGCAGAGCTGCGGGAATCGCACATACTTGTGACGAACCTCTTGAACATTGGCAATGCCTGAGGTACAATGACCTCCTGGCAAGAGGGGGTTGCCAGTATAGTCGAGAATATGTGGATGATACAAGCATGCAGATCGGTTTTGATGATTGAAGGGAACACCTCGGCGGCATCCACGATAGCGCTGAGCCCTGTCCTTACAAGAAGAACCGATTCCTCAGTGAGATGATGACGGACTGGTTGGTTCGCTTCGGTCAAGTTGGGCAATAACCCAGAGAGAACGAGCACGATGATCCTAGTGAGCTCAAATAGCTGCTCGATGTCTTCACTCAAGTCGCCATCCTCGGTTTGCTCCTTCTTCCTGGCCGATGGATGTGCCACACATAGTGCCCGTGCGATTTCGACGATGACTCCTTGCACATCGAGGCCCTCGGTTAAGACGAGGCGGTCAAGTAGATCCATGGTTTCAGAGAAGATTGCCTCCCTGTAGATGGCATGGCCTGAAACGCTCGGGTGCAGGATCTTCTTGAGAGCCTGGAGTATCTCTAGTGTTTGTTCCTGCGTGGCCAGCGAATCGGTCTGGCCGGGCCTCGTCGCAAGGGCCTCGAAGGCGATACCAAAGAGCACAAAGAAGAAGGCGACAGGCTCATCGCGGTAGTTGATGTCAGCACCCTTCGACTGCCCATTGGTAGATGGAGCATCGATCTCCTTGCCATCCAGCGCGTCGAATACGAACTCGCTGTCTTGCTCAATCAGACTAGCAATAGCATCTACCAACTTCAGCCAGGAGTCCTGATAAAACTTGAGAAGCGTCTCTCGATTGAGGGCAGCGTAGATTGTGTCCAGGCTACCTGACATGGAAGGCGGCCCTAAGGTCATCGAGATGTCAGGCTCAAATCTCAATCGAGCAAATTCACGCAAAGAAGCCAGCCACATTGGTGTGAGTGTGCCGATATGGGCCTTGAGCACATCCAGGAGGTATTTCTGTTCCGAGCTCGCAACTTGAAGATCTGCCCATGCGGAGAAGACGGACATTTTGACCATGACTCCGGCGTTAGAGCTGAGGCCCTTTAGGTCACCGATGCCTGCATTTTCGGTCTCCGTCGAGAAGTTCTCCAGTGCACTGACAAGTGTCTTCAAGATACGACCCATGCGGTCTACGTCTGTGACAATACCAGTTGAGATGAAAGCTGCACAGACGTTGACAGCCTCGGCGGCAAGTTCAGGCGACGAGTCTGCGGCGAAAGCAGGTGTTAGTGCCGAGCTGATTTGCGCCTGGTACTGTTCAAGAAGCATGGCTTCGTCAAAATCAGGATCGGGCGCCTTTCCAAACATCCTCAGAACGGCGCCGATTATCTTCAAGCCCCATATCCTGAGTTCCAAGACACTGGATGTGGAGGCGGAGAAAGCCATCCGAATGACTTCGGCGATTCTGCCTTGAAGCGCTACCTGGGCAGGTGACTCTCCGTTGGTGGCAATGTCTTTCCCAATCAAGACAAATATGTCGTTCAGGCAGGCCATCGCGAATGTCCTGACCTGCCAGCGCAAAGGCTCCATCTCGGAGCTGGCCGCTGTGTCTTTCTCGTCCTTGGCAATGCCGGCGAAACCAGCAACTTCTTCATCCTGCAGATCGAGAGCCGGGCCCTTTTTGGTCACATCGGTTCGCAAGTCCTCGGTGACTTTCGTCCGAGTCATCTTCAGGACGTTCTGGCAGCGCAAGAGCCACGATGCCGTGTCTCGCAGCGAGGTCTGGCGCAACCAATTGCGAATGACATTGCGGATACCGTCATGATCAGGCGCGACATCCAAAACGAGCCAGATTTGATCCTCGAAGCCCGGATCCGCTGCTTCGATGACGTCGTAGGAGTTGCGCTTCATGAGGTTGTAGAGTCCGTCCACAGCAACGTCGCGAAGCTCGGGGTATTCTGAGTTGAGGTACTTCTGTAACAGTTTGACATAATCACTGAAGACCATGTGACCGGGCGCATACAGGGATAGATGCTCTAGGCATCCTAGGACGGCACGCTGTATCAGGATCTCATCTTCGCTTTGCAGCTGGCCAACCAGAGTAAGTATCAACTCGCGGGACTTGGTCGAGTCCTGTAGATCAGGCCCTACAACGTTGACTAGCGAATCAACGCAGCGAGTGATAGCTGCCGTGGTCGACAATTCCATCTCCAAGCTCATGGATATGGCGGACGCGACTTCGGAATGGTGCGTCTCTGACAGGTACAGCTGCGCCAACATTCCCAGGCTCCCAGAGACGTATGGGCTGAATCCGAGACCAGCAGCATCCGAAGCCTTGCCAAGTGCCTCCAAGGCCCAGAAGTGTACTGTCGGATGCGGGTCATTGCACAGGGACATTAGAATACCTGTGATGGTCTTGAGATGATATCCAGCTCCCATACCGCCTACCTTGGCCTGGATGGAACCCAAGGCCATGGCACATCCAGCACGAGCACTGGGTTCTCGATTGCCCACGATAGTGTCTACCAAGTATTTGACCTCATGGTTAGTGAAAGCATTGCCGCAGGTGTTGCACAGGCGGCCGATTGCACCATAGCCAAGATTTCGAATGTACTGGTCCGGATCTACCACAAAGCCCCTGACCAGCTCCTGCAGCAGCTTTTCCACGGCTATATTTGTGACATCGCCAGAAGGAGATTGGGTCTCTTTGACCGCGACCTTCAGTGTCGAGAGCAATGCGCTAGCAACATTGACGTTAATGGCTGCCTTGCGGCCGGGATCGCGCTGCAGTGAGCCTGCTGAGATGAACGTAGTGATCTGTTCGAGTATGCTTTCCTGGACTTTGGCCGGGGTGAGGGGAAAGACGAAGGCAAATAGCTGAATTGCCATGTTTACAACCTCGGTAGCCGGTGGATCAGGAAGACTCATAGAAGCATTTCTCTCGCCGATGTAAAGCACAGCAGCATCATGCTCGAGCGAAGGACATATCGGTGATGAGAGTAGGTTGTCGATGATGTTATCGGGGTCGGTCTCGTCAACTACCAGACTGTCTGGTGGTTCATCCTTCTGTCCAGCAAGCTTCTTAGTCTTGAAGCCGCGGATCAAACCATTAACACCAAAACCAGAGTTGTCGCCGACCTCCCAAACGGTTTCGAAAGTCCCGGCAGAGTTGGCAATGGATGCACTTAGGGAGTTTGGTGTGTAGTTTTCAGGATCGGCAAACAGGGATATCGCGAGAGTAAGGAGATTGGATTGCAGGAGCGCCTCGCTGCCCCCTGCCGGGCTCTGATTGACAAGCTTGATATAACATTGCAAAACACGTCGCTGGACCATCATATCCAAGTCTTGCAGTTGTAGGGCTGGCGTCAATCTCTGAGCAATGTCGTCCGTGGTCTTTTTGGAGGGCAGCATCCGAAGAAATGCGGTGGTGCCCTGAAGCATCGTGGCTATGCGCTTGGAGACGTCAACAGTCAACAGGCGGCTATTGAACTGAAGGAAAGAGAGAATACAGCCTAAGGCGCATTCCTTGACGTGCGTTAAGAAAGATACCTCGAGACTGCTGCGGTGAGCGAAGTTGTCCTTGGCTAGAGGCTTCGGAAGTGCATTCTTCCAGAGAATGAGTAATTGTGAAAGGTGAATTTTGACAAAGTTAGGCCCGAGAGACATAAGACCGCCTAGGAGAATCCAGGCGACTTGGACTTGTGTGCTTGAAACTCGGAGTTCTGACTTGCCGCTCGACTTGAGGAGGTTGGTTGCCATAGAGTAAACGCGATTGTTGATATCAAGAGAGCCATACAGTGGGCGTGCCGGACTGGCGCTGAGAGTCGCTGCCAACCCGTGCGCAAATCCAATACACTTCCTTGGAGAGGTCCGTCCACCACCGAGAAGGGATAGTTCCCTAGTGAGACTGTTCATACAAACAGATAGACACGGCAGAAGCTGCTGTGGACACGCGAGAACGAAGGTCTTCATGCAGTGTGAAGCATAGACTTGGACGCTGTAGCTTGGATGTTGCAATACTTGTAAAAGTCCATCTCGGCAAGGCTCCGCGAAATTGTTTGCGGCCGATCCCAACGAGTCAATGAGCGAAGCAACAGCACCCAAGGTTGCAATCAGTGTCTGCTTGGATGGCTCACGCTCCGTCATGGCCTGAGGGTAGTTCTTAAAGATCTCATTGACGAGCACCTTCGCTGCAGCCATCTGACCGGATTCGCCCAGGGTCCTGCGACCAATGACATCCTGAAGTACGGTGTCAACGATGCGGCGGGAAATGAGCAGCCTGTAGCGGTTGTTGGTGATATTCTGATGGCCGAGGAGGTCGATGGTCAGATGTTCGACAATTCGTAGATAACTCATCTCGACGAACTTCTCCCCCAAGCGTCTCATAACCCTTCCATAACACACTCCTATAGCTGCCCTGGCTCGGTTGGTCGTAGACAATCGAACATATTGGGTGGTCAGTGTTTTCATAATGTCACTCAGAGAGAGTGATAAGTCTTGACTCTTTTTTCCGCCAGGTGCTGGACTTCCTGGCCGTGAAGATGGCATATCATCTTCCTCATCGAACCCGCCCCCTGGAGTCATTGTAGCCCTCTTGCTTGGCTTTGTTTTTGACTTCTTGGCTTTGGTAGCTGAAGCGCCGCTGGGAGATTGTTCGGAATGGTTCTTAACCATAGCCTCGGCCAAGCAATCAGCCGCGGCGTGCCTTACACGCGAGGAACTAGAATCGATGGTCTTGAAGATGTGCGACTTCAAGTACTCGAAGTCGCTCGAGTTTTCAAAGTACGAAGTGTATCTGATCAATGATCTCAGACACCGGCAAGCAGACACGATGGTCAGAGATCCCCTCTCACCAGAAGCTGCGTTCCGCGCCTGCTTCCAGATGTCTCTGGCGATACTCTCGTCCAGGCTACCTTGTACCATGCCTACGATCTTGGCAAGGGAGGTGAAGATGGCGGCGCGCAACCCGGCGTGGCTCTGGGACGACTTCAGCGACTTAACTAGAGTTCCGCAGGCCAACGGATGTAACCCAATAACACTGTCGCCGGCCGCGGCATAGACATCGCCCAAGCAGCTGACCGCCGCGTGCCTCGTCCGAACATCGGACTCGGTCTTCGATTTCCCGCTGGAAACAATAGTAACCAGCTCGTTGACGGTTTCGAAGAGCAGCTTCCTGTCGCCAGTTCCAAGCACATGCGCGAGGATCTTTCCGAGGTTGTTCCTTATTACTCGACCCGGCGCCGGCGCTGATAGGTTGATGATCTGGAAGACCTCCTTTTTGAGGTAGAACTGCTGGGCGGTGCAGTCGTCGGCCGATAGCGCAAGGGCATGTTTCGTCAATGCTGCGAAGGCATTCAGGAGGAACAGATCCTGTTGCTCGACAGGTAGTGATTTCAGCTTGGGCAGATCAAGCTCTGGGTTGTCGGAAGGTTCGCGCGTGGGAGTGGGAGCTGGAGCTGACGCGGGCGCAGCCCCGTTCGAGGGACGAGGGGAGTTGGGCGACGACATCGGGGATTATATAGGGATTACGAGGATGTTAGAAACACATCAGAGCGGTCGCATCAGTGACGAGATTTGAGACTGGGAGACCACGTCTGGTTCACCTGAATGTAGGGCTGGGAAGCGATCTGTAAATCAGATGCTGGTGAATTCAAACGATGTCCCTCGAGATGCCCCCCGTTTCGAGGGTACATGTGTACAGTGTTCAATGGCCAATCATCAATTGAGCTCACAAGGCACCATTGGGGCGGTCCGGGGTTGATCCAGCTCACTTGCCTTGTTAAGCCGGGGATTACTCCAAACAGTTTAGCCGCCTTCCCAATTCCCCGTGATATCACTTAAAAGTAACAGCTTCAAAGCATCTTCGTCTTTGCGATTCATTCTATGCCAATGTCCTAGGTGTAGAGGATGTCGCAACAGCTCTTGAATACTGATTGAACCTCTGATAGTTTATTCTCTCCTTATTCGGTGTAGTAATATGCATTAGGTCTCCAAGGTGTAGGAGCAACTCCGCAACTCCCCAAGATGTCCTTCCTATTCGCATACCCAGTCTCGAGATCGAGGTCGACAGCGACAGCATCGACGATATGCGCGCAATGCCGGCGATCCTTCCAAACGAACGCGGTGCGATACAGCGGCCATAACCGCTGGTCCAAGATCAAGCACGAGAAAGGCGCGGCCGACAAGAAGAAGACCTCGCAGCGCAGTACCTTTTCAAAGCACCTGACATTATACTCGAAGCGTGCGTCCCTGGCCCACGAACCTCCCTCGTCCGAACACGCTCGCTGAAGCAGAATTACAGTATATGGCGCGGATCCGAGCTTGAATTCGCAGCTGGCCGCCATGATAGCGACGGCCAAGAAAGGTACATGAACACCAACCAGCCTGCGATGCGACGGGGTAAATACCTACCTACGTACCTTAGTTTCCCACCTCGCCGCCCTCTACCTCTACCAAGCAACATAGTGGAACAGCAGGTCTGACGATGACATCACGGATCTAGCCGGCATGCCAAAAGCCAACATCGACGTAGCCATAGCGCGGGGCCAGGGAAAATCCTCCTCAGGCGCCGGCCTCGAGGCCGCAACGCTCGAGATCATGATGTCGCCCTCGGTCGCCCTAGTCGTCGACATTGAGACCGACAGCAAGCAGCGCGCGCTGCACGAGCTGCGGTCCATCATCAAGAAGCACAACGGCACCGTCACGCCGACGGCGTTCCTGTTCGCGCGGCTGGGGCGCACAGTGCTGCAACAGAACAACAAGGACAACGGAAACAGCGGCAGCGGCGACGACTTCGACGAGATCCTGATGCAGGCGCTCGACGCGGGCGCCGAGGACGTCGAGCAGGACGAGGATGGTAATGTCGTGCTGTGGACGCAGCCCAACATGACGCACCAGGTGGCGCAGAACCTGTCCAAGGAGCTGGACAAGCAGATCCTCAGCTCGGATATCATATGGTCGTGCACTTCGGACAAGGTCAAGCTCGACGACGCGGAGGCGACCGAGGGCATTGCGAAGCTGTTGGCCTCGCTGCGGGACTACCCGGACGTGCAGGGAATCTACGGCAATCCGGAACGGGGGGCCGTTTCTGAGGAGATTTGGAGCGCGGTGGAGGAGAACCTCGATGCTTGATGTTGTGGGATGTGATTCTTTTTATTGTACATGATACTGTACATAATGCAGACCTAGAGCCTCTTGTACATATTCGGCTATACTGTACACCACTTAAGACGATCCGATCCACCCGACTTCAGGACTTATGAGCTTAGAGAAAAGGAGGATATCAATTCCCCTCGAATTCGTCCCCAGCAACTTTTTTTGGAAGCCCCCAAACGCCGAATTCTGCCGTATGATATGCCGTCGTGGTCTTGCTTCCGTAGCCTCTTGCAACTGCAACAGCTTCCTTCCATCTCCTGGCTGTCGAAACGGCCACTGTCACGAAGTCCCCTCCTGACGTATTATCCTCCGGGCCTCGGGAACAAAGCACGCACACCCCTCGATCGAACAGCCCATCCCCCACACTCCCCCACACCTCGCCTGTCACTCACAGCACCCATCCTCAAGACTCGCCCCCATCATCCTCCCCCCTAGTTGCCTGTGGTGGTTGCGGCCTCCGCGCCTCGTCCTCAAGCCTCCGATCCCTCAAATAAAGCCGTCGCGCGCGCAGCCGCTGCAGCTCGGCGTGGATCTCGTCGCGGTCGAGCGGCACGCTGTTGGCCTGCTCGGGCTTGGGCCAGAAGTCGGGCACCGAGAAGCGCGCGTCCAGGTTCGTGCCGAAGTAGTACATGATGCCGATGGGGAACATGACGTACATGCCGAACTGTTTTCCCCCAAAGTGATTAGTTGGAGTGGAGGGGAATGAAAAGGGGTGTAGAGAGAGGATGTGAAGCTTGACGGGAGAGGAAGAAGAGGGTTGAGGAGGTGTGTGGGAGGAGAGGGAGGGGTCAGAGGGCGTGCGTGGGGAGGATGGGAGAATGCGAGGAAGCTCGACGCACCTTGAAGACTTCGAGATTCAGGCCGCCCATTGTGACTGACGACGGCCGCGTGGCAATGATATGGGCAGCACTGTGCGGAACGAGCACTATGTCCTGTCGAAAAGGTGGTACGTGTAGTGTGCCGTTGAGCTGTTGCGACTCGAATGCAGTTCGAGCTTCGTCAAATAATCGATGATGAACCGACCCGCGGGATGGTATGTTGCGTGTCGGGAAATCCATTTCTCCTACAAGCAGGGATGTCTAATCTAATCAGACAGGTCCGAGAAGGGATCCACCAAAATTACCTGGGCTGAATTATCGATATCGATAGGGGAAGCTCCATCTTCAAGTTCAGGTGGGCCTTACCCTACCGATGGATTACACTTACAGTCGACATGCATGAGCTCCGTAATGTCGTGCATAAGCATTGGCGACAACGGCGATCAGTAAATGCGTGTCTACTTCAGCAGTTTGAGCTCCATGTCACGTATAGTCAACTGCAAACATCAAAGACTTGTATCACAGTGAAAGCGCTTCATTTGATTAGTCCTTCTAACTCACGTCCTCGCGGGGCGTCCACAGCTCTTAGTCACCCTCCAAGCCGCCAGACCCCTCCTGCCCACAACCCTCTTCAGAGTCGGCCAGAAGCCGTCTTCGGCCCAATCCAGATCGTCCAAGTTCAGATGCTTCCTGTACCTCCAGACCTCCCTGAACCTGAGCCCATCCAATCCCTTGTTATCCAGATAGGGATCCAGCCACGTCGTTGACAGCGGCGCTATTAGGTAGGTGCCATTCGGCTCCTTCAGGTACTCCTGACTTCTGCGATCGGCTGGAGTATCGCAAGTCGCTATCCTCGCCAGCTCCTCTAGCAGCGTGTCTCCCGTCATGCCCGGCACGTCTTCGGTTCGTAGCACCGCATTTTTGCCGTTCAGAAGCCAGATCGGAGGCATGTAGGTCTTCCACCACACGGCTTGCGTCGCATCGGGCTGCTTGCTCAGAAAGACCTGAGCTGGCACAACACCACCTTGATGATACACTCCCATGAGCAATCCCAAAACCGTGTTGAAGGCAATCCATGTCCCTACCCATATCTTCAGGTATTTAGGGTTCTTGGGAAGCTGCAGGGATGAGAGCAGCAGAGGTATAGTCGGAAGAAGAAACCGAGCTTCCTGATGCTGAAAGATGGACAAAACAAAGACCCCTGATATGGCCGAGTATAGTCGAAGCGACACCTGTGGCTGTGTGAACAGCAGACCGACCGCGGGCCCAATAAGCATCGGAAGGTTGACTAGCAAATGCTGGTACCACGGGTGTATGCCGTGTTCCGCTAGATTCGAAGGCGACATGTTGTATCGTAGATTGTTCCAAGGAGTGACCACTGGGTGTCGGTAAAGGTCTGACCAAGAAATCGAATGTGGCGTGTAGAAGGAAGTATCGAGAGAAATCGCAATTAGAAAAGTAAGTAGTCCAGAAGCTGCCATGACGACAAGTGATAAGGGTCTGGAGACCAAAATAGTTAGCAGGATGTCTCTCGGGAGTACGCAAGTGGGAGACTTTACCTATTCGTGAAATGGGGTATCAAACGCAATCCAGGTATAAGCAGAAAAGCAGGAAACGTGATCCTGTTGAAAACACCAAACACGGCCACCACACCTAGCACCGTCGATGCCAAAAGCGAAGAATTTTGCTGCGAGGGGTTATTAGCGGGCGGATCTTCGGGTATTCATGCGCAGCAATGGCACCTACAGAAGTCTCGAGAATGCGCTCAATGAGAACTAGGCTCCATGCCACGACAAGCGTCTCGATCGAGTTGGAGAAGGTGTGGGTTTGGAAGGTCCACGTCACGTAGGACGAGGCAACCAAGAGGACGGCCACACGGCGATGGCGCGGCGAGTGGACCAGTTCGTGGATGGCCCAGTCCTCCAGCACGAAGCTTATGATGAACATGAGCACGCGCAATGTCCAGAAGACGGCAATGGGCGGTATCTCGCCGTCGTTGCCGTTACCGATCCACAGCCATCGCAGGAGCAGCATGGGGAGGCCGTAGACGGGCCATAGCGGGAAGACGCTTCGGATCGGGTGGTCGCTCGTGAACTCCCAGGTCAGTCGGACGGGATAGCTGAAGATCTGGCCTGTAACGGTGCGCGAAGGGTCAGTCAGTGAAGCTGGACAAGAGGGAGATAGTGCGTCGCTTCGTTGCATTGCGCAGGCGGCTGGATTTCACGGTCGCAAAGAGGGTGTGGAAGGGCCGTACGTACCAGCAATGACCTCAGGCCCTTGGAAGTTCTCGTCTGGATGGAGATAGCTCGAAGAGAGCGCGAACCATAGCCGTACCAGCACCAGAAGCAGATATGTACGCCGCCACATTATCACCACGCAGGCAGCTACATCTATTGTTCTTTGTGTTTGCGATGCGATCGAGACACGGGCGAGGTCGGGTCGGGGTTGCGCGCGGTGGGCGGTGGGCGGATTAGGTTCTAGGTAGGGAAGGAAGGCGAGGCAGAGAATGCGCCGGATGACCTAGTTGTAGTTCAAGACACGGAGGCCGGTGAACATGTTGGTGGTTCACAACGTGCGGGTCGGTGCAGGTGGTGCGGAGGGTGGGAAGCGAAAGAGGACGGAGGTTCCGTCGACAAAGGCTCGGCTCGACAGGAAGGACTTTGTTGTTGTTGCTGATTGACAAGGTTGTAAGGACAAGAAGGAAGGAATAAAGAAGCGAACTTGCCCCTTAGAATCAAGAATGGGGAGATGGCTACACGAAAAGGAAAGATGAGCTTTGCTTGCTTATTGTTAGGTGTGGTAGCTAATAGCACGTGTTTCTCACAGTAATCGGCAGGTTTGCAAGGTTGAGGTGAGATGACACGGGTCACAACTACACAGGACCTCCAGCCCGGGGTCACTTGCCTCAACATGTCATACATGTAATTAATCGGGACGAACGCAACTCATTTAACATTATTAGCTGGCCCTATCAACCGAACGAGGCCGTGATAGTGACCGTGACGCCCCTGTAGACGCGACCTCTAACAAGATTTCTTGCAGGGATCCAAGCTGCATTCCCATACAGCATGAATCCTTCACGATTATCAAGCTGCGCCGGTGCGCCGGTGCGCCGGGAGCAGCGGGACTCCAGAAGCTGGAATGCGCTAACCGCCCTGCTTAAATAGCCGGCACCCTGCAGAACGCAAGGATTGAAGTCGGCGTGGGAATTTGGCATCATTTCTTTCCGGGTCTTGACTCTTTTGGGGTTTCTGCTGACCAACATCACCCGATGGAGAGAAATTTTATCTATAACCTCGTTTGCAGGAAGCAATCACACCGAAGAATGTGTTGGGGGTCAAGACTGCCCAAACACACCACCGCGTTACAGGCCGGCCCGAGAGATGTAGTCCGTGGGAGCGTTAGGGGACATTCCAACCGTGTCTTCCTTCGGGATTGCTATCTGCGAGCAGCAAAACCCCTGAACAGCTGGAAGTGCCTTGCAGCGGACGCCGGACTCAGATCGCGGGTTTCGACCCACTTTGCATGAAATAGTTACCGTGCCCCCGTGCCACCGTCTACAGCTACCAGCGACTACCGCAACTAGACGTCCATCAGCCTGTCAGCTCTGTCACTTGCTGCTCAGTGCGCAACATTATCAAACCAACATGTAGATAGTTCTCCTGATGAAACAAGCCACCCCCGGCAATGAAGAATGACAGTGTTACGCATCACATTGTTCTAAGCCCCCATATCTATGCTGGGGGTTATCTAATCACGGTATCTATATGCGAGGCGAGGTATGTAAAACAATCAGCCGCAGCCAAGCCAGTACAACAAACCCCCAACTCCGATATTGACAACAAGATGCTGGCCCAAACTCCAGGCCATGCTGTAGAGATATTTGGGCGAAAACACCGTCCAGATAAACAGATGTGTCCGCAGAACGGTGCAGGCAGCCATCACAAAGCCAAGACTGATCGACACAAACACCGTCAGCAAGGCCACATGTTGCTTGAACACACCACCGCCGCCACTTCGGGTTCGCGCAGATTGCCCATGCTGCAACAGGAGCAAGTTCGATGCCGACGTCCACCATACCGGCGCCGCCCAGTTGCTGACGAAGGTCAGCGCGCCCACGGCGACAATGTTGAACTCGCCAACGCCGTTGTACGCGCTTGAGAGATCGACACCGGAAATCGCGTTGGAACCGCCCATGGCGAAGAAGGACGTGAACTGCAGAAGCAGCGACGAAGTCGTCGTCTCCACAGGGTCCAGACCGAGCTTGCCCAGGAACAGGTAGATGCCCTGGAAGAGCAGGAAGAGCGGCGCGTTGGTCGTCCGGGACTGCGTCAGCGCTAAGAGTGTGTAGAGATGGTGCAATGTTCGCAGAACTAGTACAGTTAGCATCTATCATCTGCGTCGGCCTCGTCGAAAGGAACTTACCCTGCGCTTTAGAGGATTTGCTTGGCTGTACCGCGAGTAGATATATCGGGTACAGTGACATAAGCCCGATCCCTGTGAAAACGGCGCGGGCTCGAGTCAAAAGAGACGGCCCGTTGAGCATGCTCGTGACAGTCCTTGCAAACCCGACAACCAGTTCGGGTGCATCCTCGTTGGTAAAAGCGAGCTTGAAGGATAGTGCAGATGTGACGACTCCCACAACCACAGAGCCTGAAACGACACTGGGTACACCCTCTAGGCCATTGAATAGTTCCCAAGACACCATTGCATAGGTTGCCAACACTAGAGTCCAGAGGAGCGAAGGGTTGGTTGTGAGGAATATGGTCACAATGTCGGGCTCGCCGGCAAACTTTTGCCCGGTCTGGTTCCAGCCACGAACCAGTCTCATCATGCCCAGTCCAGCGGCAGCCATGAGAAGGGATCTGAAGGTCGTTTTCGGCACTCTGTTATCGAGTTAGTCCCATGCATGCTACAGCACGAATATTGGCGATGGTTACCTTCGGAGGGCCAGGTAGAATAGCCAGGCTGATGTGGCCCAGTACCAGAAGTGCTGTTCCTCCTCAACGTAACTGCTGGCAAACATCATCACACCATACAGAATGGTGATCAACGCAAATGGTCCCAGACTGACGATACTTCCTTGAAGAGACATTGCCGTTGCTGCCATCGCCGCAATCGTAGCAACACCCGCTGCAACCCCACCAGCAAGAAGCCTATCCATGTCGTAATTGCTGGCCATGCTGCTCATCATGGTCTGCGCCGTCGACAACCACTATTGTTAGGTAGGTAGTTAGTACACGTAACTCAGAGATGGCATATACGAAGCTTTGATGCTGACCCGTGACATATCCGTAACCCAATCATCTGCCTTGATTTCTGTTGCGGCACTTGCGGCAGAATTGCTGATGCCTCGCCATTCGCATACCAGCTGTTCCGATGCTGAGCCAGGCTGGTTGCAGTTTGGATCACGTCCCCCTGGCGAGCTAGTCAAGGTCGCCGTGACGATAGAGAGAATCTGTCTCGCGTTACGCATGAGGATCTGGAGCTTGTCATGCACTTAGAGGGTAAATCAGTAATGTCACACATGGCATTTCAAGGCTCACTCACCGTCTGGCCAAAAGGGGAGAAACTCCACGATGAAAGAACCAAGACTGTTCTTGGGTATGGGGAATCCTAGCAAAGCAGCAAGAGTTGGGGCAAGATCAGATTGTTCAACAACGCTATAATACTGAAAGTCTTCGACATAATCTGCCGGGGTCTTGATACCCTGGGAAACAGTCTTCAACTTTGGCGAAACGAAAACCAGAGCTGCCGACGTCTCTCCGGGGGAAGATGCCCCATGGTTTCCAGCATCGTTCATGCCGTGGTCTCCACAGAAGACCAGCAACGTCGATTGCAAGTGAGGTTGCGTCTCCATAGCTTCGTATATCTGCCGGACTATGCCGTCCATCTCCCGCTGCTTCGGGATCATGTTGGGTCCTCGCGGGCCTGTCTTGTGGCCAATATGGTCCAGTCCGAGGTAGTGCAGAACCATGGTGTTCCAATCATCGTTGCGCAGCTCGTCGGCAATATGCCTGGTAACATTGTTGTCGACCTCTGTGAAATCCGACACGAAGAAGCTGGTGGTACCTTCTGCTCGGTCGAAAGTGCCTGGGAACAGCTTCAACCACGTGTCGTCGCCGTACATGATGAGTTTCCCCGTGTCCTTCGCCTTCATCTGAGCAAGCCATGTGTCCTGGACAGCTAGAGTCGAGGACGTATCGGCCTCGTCGAAGCTCAGTATAGCGTCGAGGAAGGAGGGTGTCGAACCCGTCGTCATGGCTTTGATTCGCGGCATGGTAATCGTCGGGGACGTCGCATGGGCAGTGAAAGGAATAGCGACCCCATTGGCAATCAGACTGGCCAATTAGTTAGCAACTGGCTTAAGCAGTGTATACATGATTTCTCTAACCTCTGCGTAAACTCAAACCCGGAACCCTCCAAGTATACGAAGTCGCTACATGATTTCGTCAGCTCCAGCGGCGCAAAGAACACCACAGCAGACGCACCTCCGCAACGCGTCGACGACCATGAACACTAGCCGGTCGAACGGCGCAGCTGGCGGTGACCCATACTCCAAGTCTTCGTATTCGGCTAGGCCTGGCAGAAAGGGTTTGTAAGGGAAGAAGCCCGTCGCAAAGATCAAGATGGCAACTGGTATAAGCAGGTTGGCTGCGACGAGCAGGCTGGTCGAGACGGAGAAGACATGGCTGCGGCGCATGTCCAACACTTGTTCACTCAACGGTCAGGAGAATCATAAGGGAAGATTAGAAACTGAAGTCAAAATGCTCCATGACCTGCACACAGAGAAACCGGCTTGAAGATGGTGAGGTGCTGAGAGGACACATGCCAATCTGAAGATGCGCCATGTCGAATTTAGCTTCAACGATCCCCTGAACTTTTGGACCCGGTTCATCTTTAGCTGCAGCACCCGGACGGCCTCGACTGTGGGGCGCAGGGATGTCGCAGCGGGTGTCACCTAAATCAGCCCATCAGTGTCATTGCCCCGCACTCTTCACGACTTACAAGTCACGATATTCACCAACTGCTCTGCTGTCTCGGGAACATGAGTGAATAAGTCCAGAAGGTCGACAACTTCAAATAACCCAAGAAACCACTCGGTCGATCGCCATCTGCCATTACAAAGGCTAGAGAAAACTCGCAGCCAGTTTGCAACCACCCGGGCTAGTACGCAAATCAGACATACCAACCATCTGAGTGACCATGGGCGCCGACGACGACTCCAATAACCCCTTCGTCCGCTTCAGACACCACGTCGACAGCACCGTCCAGCGCGGCGTGCAGAGCGTCTTCGGGTCATCCAGCACCAGCGCCAGCATCGCATCATCCAACGAGCAACCAACAAGACCCGATATCCCAGCTCAATCCCTCGACCGCCCCATCCCGGATCCGAGAGCCATGGTCCCAACGCCACGGGCCCAAGAGCCCATGCCGTCAAGTCCACCTGCAGGTAACGAAAGCACAAGCGCAGAAGACGTCTACGCATGGGCCATCTCATCCCCCTACTCGCCACTCAACCTGCAGCACCTACCGCAACCTGTGCCCCGGGACGTCCGGGACGCACCCGCGGACTTGGCCGGCGCCTTCACGTTCCGCGACGCATTCGACGACCTGCTGATAACCAGCGCGGGACAGCCACTCCCCAGCATCCAGTCCCACGCGTTAACAAAACGCGTTGAGTCGATGGTGTTTGCTCCCGATGGTCTCCACGTCGAAGACTGGGTCACGGCGCTCGCGTGGACGCGTGGAAAGGGGGTCTGGGGCGCCTACTTCCCCGCGCTCTCGCCGCTGGCAAGACGGCACTTGATGATGCCGGCGCGAGGGCTGTCCGGTCCCGATACGACGGGAATGACGTTCCGTCCGCCTCCCATGTCACGGGGTCTGGGGCTGGGGCTGGAAATGCCACGTGAGAGCCTCCCGTCCTGGCAGGATTGGCAGGATAGGGACCCCGTAGAGGCGTTTGGCGGTTTGTTCAAAGCGGCTGTATCGGCCGCGAGGGAGATCGCTGCTGAAGAGGATAAGTCAGGATACAATGAAGACCGCGAGGCGGATGCAGAGGAGGACTTCCAAGCGAGCACCAAGTCCGCTCCCGCTGTAGCGGCGCCATGGAGCACCTGGCCCTGGCCCGGCACCCAAAACAGATACAGCGACGACGAAGCAGACTCGGAGGAGGAACTCTACACATCTGCCAATTCGCAATTTGCCAAGTCCAGGCCAAGCTGGCAAGCTATGAGCCAACGCGATTCCAGGGACAGCACAGCTTCTGCCGCCCCTGAGGAGGAGTCTACCAACGTGGTCATGATGCCGTCTGGTGGTAAAATTGTGTACACATGCAAAAAAAGCAACCGAGATGGAAAAAGCGAGGTCACGACTCTGAGGCAAGAATACGATGCGGATGGTAACTTAGTCTCGCAAGGAGAAGACACTACGACCAAGAGGACATGGTCTGCGAAGGCATCAGGCGCCGAGGCCTCGTTATCTTGGAGTTTCCGGAGGGATACCTCGAACACCAACACAAGCGGGTTTGACGAGCAAGAAGTGGGAAATCCTGAGGCAGAGAGACGGAAGAAGGATGGTTGGAGTGGCTGGTTCTGGACGAGATGATCGCATGCTTTTTCAAAGGATACAGTCACCCCCCATAAGTCTCCGTTTGGCACGCCTTTGTTGACCTTTTGACATTAATGCCATATTCGTATAAATGGGATAAGCATCCCGGAATAAGCAGATTCGATCTGATTAGCTATATTTGATGCTTATTCCAGAACGCTTATCCCATTTACACTCAATAGACTTTTCGTTGCGGACGAGGGGTATACGGAGGGAGACTTTTGGAGGTTCAGTGTACTTAGGTACGGAGTACGCCGGATGCTTTATGATATCTACCAAATACTTCAACACAAAGTGTAGAAGCCACAGTAATATACCCACACAACTCCTTTAACCCACAGTTCTGGTCTTCAGAAGCGCATTGGAACATCTGGCGAGGTCGCTTGCTGAAATATCGCCATGACGCATGCTATCAGTGCTTGAATTGCACCGTGCCGAGCTTGCAACCACTTAACCCCTTAACCACGAGCCATAGCCTTCTTCTTTCTGACCATTCTCTTCCTACCGATGACTCTGTCCTGGAATGCGTTTTTCGCCGAGGGGTCTTTGGCTTCTTCCTTCTCGGGCTTATCCCCCTTCCCTTTGCCATTTGGCGCCTGCCGTTTCCCCTTGGAGACGGAGAAGTCCTTGTTCTTGGGCGCATTCCCGAATTGTTTCCTCTTCGGGTTCAGTTCGGTTTCGTTGGGGTTGCCAGCATTAGCGAAGTTGCCAGCCCTACTCTTGGCCATGAACTCCTTGCGCCTTGCGACAACCTGGGCGTTCTCGATGGCGAACTCAACAATTAGGCGGTGTGTCTTTCCAGCGTCGTTCTTCAGAGCATGACCATTGAGCCATCTCAAGCCCATGAGGGCCCATCGATGTGACGAGTACTCAACAAACCCGTACCCTCGACTCTTGCTAGCACCGTCGGCTTCTGAGACTTTAGAGCCTTCCTTGTTCTCAAAGACAATCTTCGTCTGCTTCACTATACCCTTGCCCTTCTCTTTGCGTCGGTGCTCGGCTTCCTTGTCTTCTTCGCCGCCCCGGTTGTTCTCTTCCTTGGAAAGAGGTTGTCGGCGGCCTTCCTTCACATCTGAAGCAAACCCCACCACAGCCTCACGAGCCAGCGCCTTGAGCTTCTTCGAGTCTATGTTTCGGGGTAGGTTGCGGACCGCTAGACGAGTTAGACTGAGATGCAAGCTTGGATTGCCTTGGATGAGCTTTTTGCGTTGCGCGTGACTGTCATCCCGTAGCTTGACCTCGGAGGGCGCAAGCATCCTATGCATGGGCGAATCCACATTGATCACACCCTCAGCAAGGAGGTAGAGCCGACGCTTATCCTTGTCTTTGATTTGCCGACTAGCAGCACCGGTTTCCGTAAGATGGTTGGCTTCATCCTTGCTCACAGCCTGCGTCACCTGTAATATTCGGCCGTCAATGGTGTACTTGCCTGACGCATCAGCCATCTCGTCTTGTAGTATTGACTTCTTCTTGGTGACGGCGGTCTGCTGAGGCCGGGGCGCTCCTTTGAGGCATGCTTTTGAATCGCTGTCGCTAGCGAAACAGACGAATCCCGTACCAGCCGGTCGGTCGGTGGCTCGGTCGACCACTATACGGGCATATCGTACATGACCGAATTGCTCGAAATGCGATTTGAGGGCTTCTTCTGTCGTCGTGAATGGAAGGTTGCGAATGAACAGTGTCGTGTTGTTACTTGTCATGAGGGGCTTCTTGGGTGCGGAGGCAGTGTCTGATGCGTCATCCCCTTCAGATTCATCCTCATTTTCCGCATCACTGTCTTCGTCCTCGAGGTTCTGCATGTGATTCTTCATAAAATTCTTCACATCGGTGTCCAAATCGTCATCTTCATCGTCGTCTCTCGGAGGTTCATCTTCGTTTGCGTCTTCCGATGCTTCACCGACATCTGGGGTCTCGCTCTCCTTGGGCTTGGCTGGAGACGCATCTTCTGCTGGTTGCTGTTTCTTGTCCCATGTCTGCTTGTCGACGGCCCAGTCAACAGCCAGAGTCCTCCCATCGACTGTCTTCCCGTTTATGGCATCGATAGCTGCCTGGGCATTCTTCCTGCCGCGCATGGTGACAAAGCCGAAGCCGGAAAGCTTGCCCTTGGCTTGCGGGAGATCCGCAAACTTGATCTTGCCATGGCTCTGAAATAAGCCAGCCAACTGGTCTGAGTGTTTGATACTCCACGGAAGGTTCCTGACAATGAGCTTGGGGGCTTTGCGAGCCTCGGCCAACGTTGCGAGTCTCTCTTCTTTCTTCGCAGCAGCATCTGCCGACGCGGCAGTTTGGCGATGCCGCGGCTCTGCTATTTCCAATACTACTGGTCTGCCGCCAATTTTGTGCCCCTTTAGTTGTTCTTGTGCTGCCTTCGTGTCCTCGGCATCCTATGCAAAGCGGGAGAGTCAGCGATCGGTTTCTCGCTGGTCATCTCTCCTGGGGCCAACTAGAGTGAAGTACGAACCGTGAAAGTTACGAAGCCGTAGCCTCGAGAGGCCTTGGTCTGCGGGTCCACAACGACGGTCGCATGTTTTACGGGGAAATGTTGCGAAAAGAATTCGGTCAACGTTTCTGTAGTGGCAGAGGGCGGTAGGGATCGTATGAAAAGCGATCTGCTTTCTTCGACTCGAGCTTTCTTCTTCGGACGTCCGACAACGGGCTCTGGGTCCTTCTGCGTTACAGCCACGTCGGTGTCTTCGGCAGTGTTGGCAGGTTGCCCTCTGGACCTCTTGAGGTTTCCTGGTTTGCCCATTGTTACGACGCAATGTTTGCTACTGCTTCGGAAAAGTCATTGAATTGGTCGGTCGCTTTTCGCAACATCCATCCCACGCAGAGCCACTATGGAAAAATTAAAGTGGAGAATGGTTGATAACGAGCCACACTTGTCTTATCGGTTAAGGATGGGCTTTGTGGCACGCGCGGGGCAGATCATGTTTCCCCAGCAGCGTGCATGTGCATGGTTTATTGACATTCAGGAGATGACAAGCCGCGCTACCAAAATACAAACAGCCTGTCGCGACATCGCGTCTTATTCAGCACACGCTCCAACTGGCAACAGTTTACTAACATTTGCATTCGACGCATGAACATAAGACAGCATTTTGGCAAGCCATACGATCTGCGATCATTCCTTACCCGGTTGCCAACTGTTCACCTTATTTAATCCGACCGCCCCCTTCCAACTGGTCGCACCGACCCACGACCAAGGCGCATCTGCTTGGTCGCACACATATCAGCAGAGCGCATACTCAGTCTTCGTTTGGGTTCCCCAGAGCGACTCAACATGCCCGCAAGAGTCTCTTCAAGGTCAGCACGGACCTCGGCCGCTGTCACCCACAAGGCTTCAAGCGCAACCCTAAACTCACGCGCGTCGACCACGTCGCGAGTATCTTCATCCAACCTCGATATTCCGGAGGAGGCGCCCGACAATGCTCTACGGACCCAGATATGCGCAGTGTTTCGCGACGCCCAAAAGACTACTGCGACGCACCGGAAGCTAGTAGTCAACCTTCGCAAAATCCACGAGACTTGCTGCTACGAACCGACGCGCCCCAACAAGGCTTCAAACGACTTCGACGAGGCTGACTTCAACAACGAATTTACGCGATGTGTCCTCCGGGTTATGCCTGTCAAGAAGAGCGAGGGCGCTGGGGAGAAGATCATCCGCTTCGCTGGTCTATTCCTACGACACGCCAATGATAAAGACAACGATCTGCTAGGGGAGAATGACGTCGATGCTAGTACCATGCCCGAAACCCCCAGCACTCGTCTCACAACCCAGGTCATGGAGGCCGTCCTGCCGCTGCTTACCTCCAAGGACAAGTTTGTGAGATTCCGGTCGACTCAGCTGATCTCCCACATCATCAACTCGCTGGACGCAATCGATGACGAGTTGTTCCAAAAGCTGCGCCACGGCCTTCTGAAACGGATACGGGACAAGGAGGCCATGGTCCGTTCACAAGCCGTCCTCGGACTCGGAAGATTGGCTGGCAATCAGGTCGAAGGAATGGTCAACTCGGAGGATAGTGACGACGACGTTGAGACTGGCCTGCTCGAGAGGCTTCTAGAGGTGTTGCAGAACGACCCCAGCGCCGATGTCAGGCGCTCTCTCCTCGTCAACTTGCCCATTCTGCCGAACACACTCCCTTATCTCCTTGAGAGAGCAAGAGACCAGGACCCGGCTACTCGCCGTGCCGTGTACTCCCGACTGCTACCAGCGCTTGGTGACTTTCGTCATTTGTCTCTCTCCATGCGTGAGAAACTGCTCCGCTGGGGTCTGAGGGATCGAGATGAGAATGTGCGTAAAGCTGCAGGGAGGCTGTTCCGGGAGCGTTGGATAGAGGATTGCGCAGGAGATGGCCAACCTGAGGATGGTGAGGCACCAGCTGAACCTGCGGCCCCAAGCATTGAAGGTATGCTTGAGCTTCTTGAGCGTATCGATATTGTCAACTCTGGCGTCGAGAATGGCGTAGCTCTAGAAGCCATGAAAGGCTTCTGGGAGGGACGCCCAGACTACCGAGACGCTATGGAGTTCAACGACCACTACTGGGAGACGTTGAGCGCCGAGTCGGTGTTCATAGCCCGCAGCTTCAACGACTTTTGTCGGACAAAAGGAAACGGCAAGTACGAAGCTCTGCTTGAAGAAAAGCTGCCAGAGGTCACGAAACTGGCATTCTTCCTTGAGCGCTATCTCAACGTCCTGATCGAAGCCATCAGGAGGGTGAATAGTCAAGAGAACGTTGGAGACGATGAGGAAGAAGACACGGTCGAGCAGGAGTTCATTGTCGAGCAGCTACTACACATTGTCCTTACCCTGGACTACTCCGACGAAGTTGGCCGAAGGAAGATGTTTGCGCTCTTGCGACAGGCCCTATCAATCCCGGAGTTGCCAGACGAAGTTACCAAGCTCACTATCGACGTTCTCCGGGATATTTGTGCTCCAGATACAGCAGGCGAGAAGGAATTCTGCAGTGTTGTTCTTGAGGCAGTCGCGGATGTCCACGACACCATCGCTGACGATGATTCCGCACAAAGTGATGGTGAAGACAGTTTCCACTCGGCTCGTTCAGAAGCCAGCGGTGACAGCACACCCACTAAGAATGGGAAGAACGGCAAGAATTCCAACTTGAGCGAGGAGGAGGCTCGAGAGAAGGCCGTCAAAGAGATCATGATCAACATGAAGTGCCTGCACATTGTGCAATGCATGCTTTCCAACGTGCAAGGAACTCTGCAACAGAACGACCACCTGGTGGCGATGCTCAACAACTTGGTCGTCCCGGCGGTCCGCAGTCATGAGGCGCCAGTACGAGAGCGAGGATTGGTGTGTCTGGGACTATGTTCTCTCTTGGATCGACCCCTTGCTGAGGAGAATCTCACTCTGTTTATGCATTTCTTCAGCAAGGGCCACGCGGCTCTTCAGATCACGGCGCTTCAGATCTTGACTGATATTCTCAACGTGCACGGCGCACAGCTTCTCTCAGCAAACCCAACCCTGCTGAAAGTCTATGTCCGGGCATTGAGGTCTGGGTCTCGGAACCCCGAGGTCCAAGGTGCGGCCACTCTTGCTGTTTCCAAGCTGCTACTAGGTCGTGTCGTCACAGATCAGGAGACGGCATCAGAACTACTGAAAACGCTTATCGTGGCCTACTTCGATCCTTCGACAGCAGGCAACCAAAGTGTCCGGCAAGCTCTCAACTACTTTCTCCCGGTTTTCTGTTTTTCGCGAACCGAAAATCAAGACCTCATGACGTCAGTGGCACTCGATGCTCTGCACGCGCTGTACAACGTCAGGGAAGGCATCGACGATGACGACATGGATGTTGGCGATGAAATGGCTAGCCTCAACACCATTGGTGCTTGCCTCGTGGACTGGACGGATCCTCGGAAGTGTTACACGCCAGGTATCCCGATGGATGCTGACAAGAAGAACGTCAACGGCGATGTCCATCTTGACTTTGCCGCGGACATCCTTGAGAAGCTGAACAGCAACTTCACCAGTAGGTTCATGTCTCCTTTGGTGTTGTGGTTCCCTTTGCTAACAACCATACAGAAGAAGAGAAGAAGGTCATTGCACCTCTACTGGGCAAGTTATACGTCTCACCAACATCATCCGAGGAGAAGATCCGCAATTTGTACGAGGAGGTCTCGTCAGCAGTGGAAGAAAACATTCTCTCGGACGCTACCAGCAGAAATGCCCTATACAAGATCCACGTGAGTCTGGGCAAGATTGTCAATCAGCTCGGCGAACAGGACAAGATGTCTACAAGTAGGCGGAGCGTGAGTAGGAGCGTGTCGGCCGCCCGAAGCGATGACAAGACCGTTACGACGGAAGATGCCGCTGTCGTCCCAGAGTCCCGCGCTACGGAAGGTCTGGAAGATGTGGCGGAGGAGGAGGGTGAAGGCTCTACTGTGATTCGCCCCAGCGAGGGTGATTCGCTTGTCGAGGAGTTGCTGTCTGACGATGGGGAGGTGTGATGACTTATGAGTAGTTCGGGACTGTGTGATACCTATGGCCTCTGTTTTGATTTAGATAATGTGTGAATGTCATGTCTCTTTGAACTTCAACTTAGATGTCTGTGTTTAACAGTAATTGTGATGCCTTGTGATATCCGCCCATAGGTGAACACTGATGCTGCTATGATAGGTATCATGATTGACCCCCTTCTGACCAGCGACTGTACCAAGATACCTGCAATTTCTATATAGTCCCTAAGGAAGCTGCTACCAGGCTCCTGGACCAAACGTGGCATCGCTAGCATCAGTCGTTTCCGAGCTGACCCTACCGCATCCCAGAATAGAGCCCATGATTTTCGCCCCTAACTATCTCCACAACCGATTGCGTAAAGCACGACAGCAATCGACTCAGACCGCCACGATGTCTCCGGCGCCAACGCCCGCCGACCTCTATTTCGCGGCTCACCAACTGAGCAAGAGGGATGGCCAACCGAACGCCGGCCTGATCATCGGCATTATAATCTCCGTAGTCATCATTTTAGTCTTCTTGTACTGCTGCGTGCGTACACGGTGCTTTGCTGGATGTTGTGGCGAGGGGTACAATCATGGCGGTGACGAGGACGACGGATATGAAATGGATGACCGTCATCATCATCGTCCTCGTCGCCATCGGCGCCACCGGCGCCATCGTCATCGTCATCGTTCTCACCGGCGCCATGGTGGCGGCCATCACCATCACCGTCGCCCGGAGCCTGTGCATTTTAATCCGGGGAGGAAGCGTGATCGGTCTGATGACGGCAGTGGAGGAGGAGGCAACAAGAGGGCGAGGATATGATCTGCGTTCTGGGTAAGGGCTGATGGAGGTTCCAACACCTCCCTGGTGTATATAAATTGCTACCTCTCGTAACCAACCTTCCAACGCAGGAAGTTCCATTCAGAATAAATTAAACGTTGCACAGATACAGGTACGGAGACGAAGTCTTGATGAACGGGTCTTGTGGTGTCCGATTTACGGCCATGCCTGTGCTCATCCCAGGCAGAGGTGTAACCCTTGAAATGTGATACGTTAGAGGCTTGCCGGCTCAGTCGCATGCCGCGCCCGCGATTTATACACTCACATCTTCGGAATCAGAAATGTCCACTGGAGGGAGTGAATCCGGTGGTTCCCACTGAACGCTAATAGAACTCTCACTAGAGATCCGCGAGTGGCCGAAAGCCGAACGTTTTGCCAACGATTTGTGGAGGGTGAAGCGCGTCGGGCCCGCATCGCTTATATAGAGTGTCAGCATGTCAGCCTTGTCAGGTACCCCTCGCTTATGTCACGCTATGTCTGAATTAAATAAGAGGTATGTATAGGCAGTCACTTATTAATGACAGAGCAGGTACCAAATCTCCAGCCAACACCCAGCATGACAGCCACCGCTCCCCAGCCCCCCTTCCGCCTCACCCGCGCCACGCCGGCCGACCTCCCAGAGATCATAGCCCTACAGTACACCGCCTTCCCGCCCGTCGCGCGCGAGCTCTTCATGGGCTGCGCCTCCGAGGCGGACCTTCCGCGTTGCACAGCGTCGTACGCCCGCGTCATGCAGACGAACGAGCACGACGTCTGGATCAAGGTCGTCGACACAGCGTCAGGCGCCGTCGTCGCAGCTAGCAACTGGAAGATCTACCCCAATGGCAGTGCGCCACCGCCGAGCTCGGCCAACGACGAGCCACCGGACTGGCTGGAGGGCGAGGCGCGGAAGCGGGCGGCGAGGGTGCTGGGGGCGATGAATCAGGCGAGGAGGGAAGCTCATCCGGGGGGTTTTGTGCGTGAGTATTTCCTGTTCTGCTTTGTCTTGGGCCGTTTATTTCATAGACTGGCTATAGTGCTCATTCACACGGTGTAGATCTGCAAATCTGCTTCACGGCCGCCGCGTACCGCCGCCGGGGCGCCGGGGCCATGATGATTCAATGGGGCTGCGATCTGGCGGACCAGCTGTTCCTGCCGGCTTGGCTCGAGGCCTCGTCTGACGGCAACTACTTGTACCGGCGGTATGGGTTTGAGGAGCTGGGGGCAGTGAAGGGCGAGGTTGAGGAGGTGTATATGAGGCGGGTTGCGAAGGTGAGCATTATTGAGGGAGGTATCCGAGCCGTGGACGGATGAGTGGCCAGGCACGTTTATATAGAGAGGCAAGCTTGTAGGTCAAGGGGCAGTATGATAGTCGCATCGTGAAATGTCACTATCGTGTGTTGGGGCTCTACGTCGCGCACCTCTCCACATACAGTACCCAGCCCATCAACCCTCAAAACATCCCAAACAGTCCCACGAACAGCGATGCACCAACGACTCTCTTGGCCTTGGCATTATCCATGCCTGCATTCGCTGCGCCCGTAGCTGTGACGCCATGCACAAGTGACGAAGTTGGCGTACTGGACACTTGCCCTGTTGAAGTCTCCGTCTCGGCCGACGATGCCCCGTCGAAGATGATGTTGGTAGAGTTGAAGCAATTGCCCTCGTTGACCTCAGCGACATCAGCGGCGTCGGCGAACGTGATGTCGACGCACTGTGCAGCCTCTCATCAGCAACTATCTCCAGCGTATATCACTCACCCAGTCGTTCGCATCCCTCGTCATTGTTCGAGTACTGCACACAACGAGCATGATGTCCAGCACATTCCTGGTCATATCGTAGATGGCTACTGACGCTGTACATAGCAGCCCCATGCGTCGCGATCTCAACGACCTGGATAGTCGCCAGATCGCCGACCCGGACGTCGTACCCGGCCGGTACGGGCACCTGCGGCAGACACACGGTGCCGGGGTAAGGGTCGTCGCCCTGCGGCCCCGAGATGGCGAAGCCGGCTACTAGCGGGACCGAGTAGTTCATCGGCACGGCGCCGAAGCCCATGTTGACAAAGAGCTGGGCGTGCGAGTGGCCCCGGAACCAGCCGGGCTGGAAGGCCACGGCGCCGCCTGTTACTGGCCAGGTCGTGCGGTTGCTTGTCAGAGGCATACCGCCGCCTGGAGGTGAACGTCAGTCCATGTTTCTGTTTGTTGCTCACCCACTGACATCGCAGTACCTAGAGCTTGGGGTAAGAGACGAGGGCACGCACAGGGGTAGATCCATTGCATGCCATACGGATACACCATCCCAGAGTCCGATATTCCGACGCCGAGACCATTGGTATCCTCCACGGAGCCGTTGAGGACCAGATTGTCGCCCCGCCAGCCGGGGTAGCTGATCACTGTGTGGCCGCGGACAGCTGCGGCGAGACCGGCGAGCAGTGCAATGGCAGGGTGTCGTCCCCGGAAGAGATGCATCGTGACGGATCGAATACCGGCTTGCGTCGCGAATTCTCCGATACGGAAGATCTCAGGGGTCTTCACTGAAATGCGGGTGTGCCTAAGTAGGTAGGTAGATATTTGTTCTATGGTTTCCTGTGCCGCAGTCAGCTTACCCCTACCCCGACTCTCCAGGCAGCCGTTTGCCAAGGCCACACAAGGGTTCGACCGGTAGACAGTGGTCCTGGAGTGTTTGTAAAAGTTCGTGAGGCTTGTCTCTTTTGGTTTTCTGCTCGTCTACGCACATGCAAGAGACACCTCGTGGTCCAGAGATCCTACTCCATCGCCTCTTTCAACTCACTCTCGATGAGGGGCGATTTGTGCCATTTGGCTAGAAAGTGATGCCCGGTGTTCGTTCTGCGTCACACAGAAACAAGGTTCTTGCGGAGATGCGAAGAAGGGAAACTTCTACGCGCTCTTTTATGAGCTCTTGTTGCCGTTCCGCTCTGGTGTTCCGCCGGTACGATTGATCGTCAGTGCAAGGTACACTCAGCCCTCATAAGTCTCCGTACGTGCCATGTTGATGATATTACAGATCACCCGTTGCAATCTTTGAAATACGGGAATAGGCATACAGGAATAAGCAGCTCTAAGCTAAGAAGCAACTTTTCATGCTTATTCCAGTGTGCTTGTTCCGATTCGATGAATATACTGTGGGTTAATAGAAGGGTGGTGTACGGAGACTTATGAGGGTTCAGTGTACCGTCTGAAATGCGCAAACACCAACGACTTCACACTGGAAGGGGCGACTTCGCGGCCTTAGTACCAGCCTGGTGCGGTCAGTGGTAACAGTAACAGTCCATGGCTGGCTGGCTGTGAGGAATAGGGGCATGAATCATGATTACGAGAACGAGTTCCATAAAAAGCTCGCCGTCGATGCGACCAGCCACTACCAGGAACCATAATTCTCACCGTCATCCGCCTCAGGCCCTCAAACTCACGATCGTAGTTTCTGAAACCTAGCCTCCTCAAGGCCGACATCACGGCCTGCCTTATCTCGTTCGTCGTGCTCGTTGCCGCCGGCGCGATTGTCAGATTCCGCACAGCACCGCGCTCTGACCCGAACGAGGTCAAGGAGTTCTATCGTCACTCGGTTCATGACGTTCCCAGCCAATCAATCCCAGCCGCAACTAGAGGCCGAGTCGACGCCTTGGCCCGTCCCGAAGAGGGCAACGTTCTTGAGCCCCAAGTACTGGCAAGGGCGAGATCGCGACCTTCCTTACCAACAGCGCCCAGCTGACAGGGTAACCAAGCTGTGGGCGATGGGACATGTCCGGGCCGAACGTCTGCATAGTACTCTCTTATTGACCATGCTGCTTCCCAGTGGACCCGCGTTCCGCACACCACTCAATGCTGCCACCGAAGACGGCACACGTGGCATGTTCAGTCGAACAAGAGACGAGATGGGTACACTCGGACTCTCAGTTCGATTCTATTGTCTCCATTTATTGACGGTTTCCTTAGTTTGAGTACCTGCTCAGAAAGGACACTGTTGAACAAACCACTATCTTCGAGTTTTCACTGACTACAGCCAAGGAGGATAGAATGGCTGATAAAGGGTTACACAATCAACTCAATAGGGTGGTGGGTGGACGGGGAATAATGAGCGAAGCATTCATGATGATTCACACGAACAGCAATACTAACGTAAATGAGGTTCAACTTTCAAGGAATAAAGCCATTCAGAGACATGATGCCGTGGTTGAATCTATGCGCAGCACGCGTGTCAGGTTGCCCATTCACTGACACGCGATTCAAGTTCGTGTAGTCGCTACAAAGCACAATGATATAAATGACCCGTCGATAGGGGGCTCATTTCTTAGACTTCAATTTACTATAAAGCGGTGGAGGCGTCAAGCAAATCTTTCCACCATCTTGACCACTCTTGGTACGAACGAGTACATCTAACCTGCCAACACTCGACATCCCAAGCAACCGCAACTCGCAAACGACCGGCAAAGATGACGAGCAGACTGATGGAGGGGCAAGTGGACGACAGCGCTAGTACCTACCCAGCCCCCAACGTTACACTTGGTAGTGAGGGGGGTTACGCAGCTCTTATACTACACCATGGTGATCGGTGAGTACTCCCACTCCCCAACCGTCGAGGGAGGATATTATGTTCGCGCTTTCTTGTCGAGGAAGAATTTCCACTGACCGAAGAGCAGGATTCGCCTGATCGACTTCCCAGAAGATGTGCATGCTGTTGTCTGCGAAACGGTCAACAGCCACTGGCCTGGCGGCGTCCAGAGCAAGAAAACGATGGGGAACCTGAAAAATACCAGAGAAATGAAGCTCAAAGGATACCCGTGGGCAGGCGTGGTTCTTGGTTACGAGCCCAATCAACAGCCGGCAACACCTACGAAGCTGGTGAACCGTCTGCTCGAGAACCTCTTCAACGTCGGTTGGGAATTTAAAATCAGGACCTCCCTCTCGAAGATTAACCAAGACGAGGAAGTCCTAATGTTCCGATGCGGGGGTCCCTGGCAACGCTGCGAATGGGCGGCTATTGATACGCACTTCGAAGACGGGCTGCTCCTAATCAATACACCAGCCCACTTGGCTCAGGCCATAAGGGAGATCCTCCACGTGCAGAAGGAGGCGCATAACCCGCCCCCAGGGTATTACGGGTTCAAGATTCGTGGGTATCCCTGGACTCACGGCAACAGAACGGGCGAGAATGGAACGAGGCTTGCCCTGAGAATACTCGAAGTGGCTGAGGAGCAAGGCTGGTTCTTGTATGCCAGCGTCAAGCAGGGAGCCACGGATGCGTGGCACTTCTGTCGGGTGATACCAGAGGATCCTCAGCCTCTAGTAGACATCCCCGAACCGGAGAATCCGTTTGAGGCGACCGCGGAGAACATCATTCATGAAGAAGACGCAGTTAGTGACGCAATCACACCTCACTCCTTGCTAAATTGAGCGCGCGCGGGGTGGGAGGGTGCAAACGGAGCGGTTTCGTCTGTTGGTATGCAGACCGGCTGGGATACATATACACGGAAGCACCGGATTCCTGCCTCTGAGAATAGGGAACGCGGCGAACGATAATGCACGCTTCTGAGACATTGATAGTCTTGAGGGTAAACGTCAGTAGTAATGAGCATAATTGAGAGTGGGTTGCTGCGAAAGTAAACATAATGACTGGTACGCCATAATAGAAGGTCCAGCCAGGCCAGGATTGAGGCTGCAGTCAGCAAGCGATTTCGGCGGATTGTTAACCAGGGCTGACGCGTGCATCTGCTAACGCCCTGCATCTGCACCATTAGATATCAAGACGTCTGCAGAGCCCCGTGACCTCGAAAGCCCGTCCTCGTGCTCACCTTGCAGGAAGGCAGTACCACGTCAACCCCCACGTGCGGCGCGGTGAAACAACCGGAGCCGGTGAACGAGACGGGGAAGCGGTGAAGTCGGCGTCGACCCCACCGAATCTTGCATCATGTTTTGCCAGTCAGTGCCAGCCGCCAGAGCAAAGAGGTAGGTATGCAGAACTCGGCCGGTGTTGTGGCAAAGGCTGTGGGAAAGCTTCCATTGCTGCCAAGCTAGCGACCTGCTGGGCTGCTGTTGATGTCGGGTTCCGAGTTCCCAGTTCCCAGGATTTCTTTGTTTGCCCAGTGATGCTGAGTGATGCCGAGTCCCGCGGACGTACTTGGCCGGCTTGGAGACGCGTGATGAGGTGGGGTTTTGTGCCGACCAACGGCGACGTAAAGTTGATGACGGGGTCGTGTAAGAGCCGCCAAGAGGCTAAAATATCACGTCGTGCATGGATGATGGGAGCCTCGATTGAGTCGATTCGAGTGGCGGCGCCGGCACACTTCTTCCATCACCGCTGTCGTAAGGTTGTCCTCGCTTCTCGAAGCATTAGTAAATAAGAAGTGGCAAGAGATGACTGGATGAAGTGTCGTACAATGAAATTGCTGGCGTTGCCATGGCTCCAATTGAGTTGGGGATTCCAGGTGTGGGAAAGTTGTAAACGTCAGAAGCAAAAACATCGGAACAGAACCTGTCGCAATCGGGTGCAGCACATGCAATTGTTTGGTCCGGGGGCCCGGCTCCAAGGCACGTCAGCAGGAGGCCCGTGTGCCCGTGGTGCGCCGACACGTCGAGTGGAAGTAGAGCTCAAGTACATGGCCCGTGTCAGTGCCGAATATGGCTTAGACCTCAAATGTCGGGTTCGAGCTGGCAGGTGGCAGCACATGTGAAATCTCGACATGTTACCTGCCTAACTCTGGGCGCCCATCCGTCTTGGAAATTGAATACAAATCCAAGTCGCATCTTGGTCGTTTGTTTGCAACCCGTGGATTATCGTGCCGAATATCAAATCGGGTTCAACAAGACATCAATACCACTGTCAGGCCTCAGCCGTACGACCGGAGACTATCGCACCTTGGCACCTTGGATGTCGAAGGGATTTCACGGGATCGAGGTTGGCCGCCCTTGGTTCAGCACGACGGCAGATTCCAAAACCAGGTTGACCGCAGTCCTGATGGGGATTTAACGGAGGGCCCATTGGACGCGATGGGACCGAGTTATCGCGATGAACATCTGCAGTAGCATCGGCTCGGGACTGATATATGAGCCACGCACTGCCACCAATACTTACAACTGGAAGCATTGGCCTGATCCGTCCTGGACTCCACGGGAGTTGTCCAAGTCGCACAACTGCAACACAACCTTTGGAGGCACAATGTCCTTCCCAGATGAGATGGTCGGTATCCTATCAGTTCGAAGGAAGCAGCAAGCCAAGAAGCCAAATTGACGACCTGTGCGTGACGAGGCAACGAGGCCAAAGTTGCCATCAATCATCAGCCAAGGCACGCAATAACCTTGGAAGGGACCTGTGTCATGTGAAGTATGTTAGGTATCCGACGTTGAGTCCGGCAACCCCCACGGGAGAGGGGGTTTGAGCCTCCACAACACCTGCATTATAATGGCTGGATATGGGAGGCTTCTCCCCGCTCACAGGACGATCTGTCAATCGAGATGCTCATCTCAGTTGCATTGGCTCATCTGTCATGCATGTCTGAATCTGATATGGATGGTACCGGGACTGGCCATCCTGGCTGGACTGGCGTGACTGCAGGTGGCTTGCGACAAAGCTGCTCCAATGCGCCATCCATCCATGGATGAGCAGCTCCGGTTCTTCCACGGTACTTGCACGGTACTTGCAAAGGCTAGGCCCTGTCACCAGGACCACTTGTCCCCCGTCCAGCGCCATGGGGCCCCCTAGACTCCAAGCCGCTTAGTACACGAGCCCCCCCAGCACCTGCACCCGCGCAGCCATGGGCGGCCCACGGTGCTTCCCAGACACCTAAATCGGTCCCCATCAAAATCCCTGGTGAAATCTCATCCCCCCGGCCGCCCCCAAGCCTTGATAGATTGCGTAGTTTGTTCCTGTCAACAAGACCATCTCTGTTGGAAAAAAGGTTAAATCACACCAGTTCCTTCCGGTGGAAAACGTTGACCCGTCTTCGTCCTCTCGGCATCTGCATCTGTTGCATTCTCTCCATCACCATTTACTTTTCACTACCCAGGACCACAACACTGCCTCGCGGATCCTTCGTTCACTCGACTGTCTCACCGCGACGGCCGCTCATACCATCGAGAGCTCCCACCCGCTGCCTCGGTTCGTCAACAGGTTCGTCAACAGACGACCATGATGCGCCAAAGCAGACCGTGAGCTCACACCTTTGGATCCGTCGATAATTCCACATCTCCCAAACTCGACCACTTTCTAGCTAGTTTGCCAATCTACTTGGCATGCCATCACCATTCTGTATGCATCGAGATCATAACGACTTTGGGGCCGTATCTGCAAGCTGGCAAGCTTCAAGCTCTGCTTCTTTGCAACCATCCGCGCTCTACGAAGAAAAGTCGACGTTCACGCCCAGCTCCGACCAACGACCTCCCTAAATCGCCAACCACTGGCTCCCGAAATCTCCTCTCTTCGAACCCCGGACCAATTGGGCGTGCCTGCCTGCACTTGCCGTGGTATACAAAATGGCATGGGATCACCTGTCCATCACCAAGCCCCATTTGGTCTACATCATCTTGGGCGGCTTCACCTCGCTGTTCATGCTCTGCTCCACCGTCATCAAGGAGCGCATGTACATTGGTGAAGCTACTGTGGCTACGTTGTGCGGTGTCATTTTTGGCCCCCATGCTGCGAATCTGATCGACCCCAGCACATGGGGCAACGTCGACTCCATCACCCTCGAGTTTTCCCGAATCGTTTTGGTCGTCCAATGTTTCGCGGTTGGTGTAGAACTGCCCAAGTACTACATGGAGAGGCACTGGAAATCCGTCATCTTCCTCTTACTCCCTGTCATGACCTTCGGTTGGCTGATCACCAGCCTCATCATCTGGTGGTTGTTCCCGACCTTGTCATGGCTCGATGGCTTGGTAGTTGCCGCCTGTGTCACCGCCACCGATCCGGTCCTGGCTTCTTCGGTCGTGGGTAAAGGCAAGTTCGCCAAGCGCGTTCCGAAGCATCTGAGAGACTTGCTCTCTGCCGAGTCTGGCTGCAACGACGGCATGGCTTTCCCCTTCGTCTACCTTGCCCTCTATCTGGTTCAGTACAATCTGGAGGCCAGAGGGACAACCTTCCATTGGATCGTTTACACGGTCCTATACGAATGCGTTTTTGGTGCCATTTACGGATTTCTTATTGGGTACATCGCTAGACATGGTATCAAGTTTGCCGAGAAGCGGGACTTGATTGACCGCGAGAGCTTTCTCGTCTTCTACTTTACCTTGGCCCTCTTCTGTGCTGGCTCAGGTAGTATCCTTGGCGTCGACGACCTCCTAGTTGGATTCGCAGCTGGAGTCGGGTTTTCCAACGATGGTTGGTTCAGTGAGAAGACCGAAGAATCTCACGTGTCCAACGTCATCGACTTGCTAATCAATCTGACTTATTTTGTCTACCTGGGCACTATCATCCCGTGGGATATGTACAACAACGCTGATGTTGGCCTTTCCGCATGGCGACTTGCTGTGATGTCCATATTCGTCATTTTGTTTCGTCGCATCCCGGTCATGTTAGCACTCAAGCCGATAATACCAGACATCAAAACCTGGCGCGAGGCACTTTTCGCTGGCCACTTTGGCCCTATAGGTGTCGGCGCCATCTTTGTCGCGTTGCTTGCCCGTGCCGAGTTGGAAACCGAGCATACGATACCTCTTGCGGAACTTCCGTCGCCCAACGAACCGCATTACCAGACCATTCTTCTTGTGTGGCCCATCGTCACCTTCATGGTCATCTCTTCTATTCTAGTGCACGGGTCTTCGATTGCAGTCTTCACCCTCGGCAAGCGTATCAACACCTTGTCTCTAACCATGTCATACACCACTGCCCCTGAAGACGGACCCGCTTGGATGAGCCGCCTGCCGCGTATCTCATCACAGTCGCGATCACAAGCTCGAACCATGTCGGATACCGAGTTTGAAGAGCTAAAATCACCAGACTTTCCACCAGGCACGCTACCGCCGACTGGCGTACCGGGTCAATTCTTGCGACGCCAGCGTGAAGAAGAAGATCAGAGTCGAAACGGAAGCCGTGCCTCTTCGCGACGCCGCAATAGGATGAAATGGGATGACGGAATCGGACCCGGCGGACCGGTCAGCCAGTCAGCTATCTTCCCTCAGCGACGTAGCACGAGTGAGCAGAATGAGCCCATGTCCCCCTCTGAATCCGGTGGAGTCCGTTCCCCACGACAAGATAGCTCTCCAAGTCCGCCACAGGAAGAGATTCGCGAGAAGGACTTCGGAAGGTTGGAAGGCTCAACCCCAGGAGGAGAGTCGGAGTCCAAGGGCGAACACCAGCCCGAACTGGAGGTGTATGATGAAGGAGACCACATTGTGATCGAAGATGAAGATGGTCAAGTCCTTGCAGTTGAGGAAACGGAACATCAGCCTCACCACCACTTGCCCGATGCGCATGAATTGAAAGAAAAGGCCTTGGCAGAAACCCGGAAGCCGGGCTGGACATACGATGGTCTGAAGAAGAGCATTGGAAAGTGGCGCGACGAGGAAGCCCAGAAGCGCAAGGAAAAGACGACGTCCGACCGGAAACACGAGCCCGCTCGTGCTTATCAATTTGGCAATACGGTAAGCACGCTCATCATGGCTAACAACGTATCATGACTACTAACATTTCCGCAAAGATCATTGTTGAAGATGAAGCCGGCGAGGTGGTCAAAAAATACGACCTACCATCTGAACACAGCGATGCTAGGGCCCATGTTCCCAGCGGTCTGAAATTCGTTGGTATGCGTGGCTCGGCAAAACCTTCAGAGAAGGAGCCAAAGGCAGGGGAGCCTTCTCAATCTGGTGCTGAGGAGGCTGCCGCGCCTCGTCCTGGAATCAAGAAGACATTCAGTGGATGGGGCGGCTTCAACAAAGCTGGAGCTGCGGAGCCCAAGAAGAAGGCTGGCGCGGTTGATGCTATCCCCGAGCAAGATTCGGACCGTGCCATACGGTTCACCATTGCTGGTGCTGGTAAGCGTATGACGAAGGATGACTTCCTCAAGGAAGTGCAAAAACTCGACGTGAAAACCCGTCGCGAGGTCATCAACAACTCAACGGCCCCTGCAGACGTGAAGATGGAGGCCAAGTCACAACCGGCACCAAGAGCCACTCGTCCACAGGGTCCATCTCACCCCCAGATCAGCATCACGCAGGCCAGTGAGAGCAGTCGCGCCGAGAGTAAATCACCCGCTCGTCCTTCGGACCGCCCCGCCGAACGGGATGTTGAACGGCCCTCTGAGCCAAGTCGTGGACGAAGTATGACTGGCGTTAAGGAGGAGGGCCCGAGTACCCAAACGCCGGAGACAGATGCTGAAAAACGAAGGAGAATAGCCGCTTTCGCTACGGTTCGTGAAGATGACGAGCCCGCTGAAACGCCAGCCGAAAGGCGACGGAGACAGGCCGCGTTGGGAAATGGCAGTGGCGATGCGAGTGGCGCCGCGGAGGATAGCGACAGCGATGATGATGACACAGTCAGGGTCCCGCCTGCGAGGCGGGGAATAAGATTCGCCGATGGCCCATCTCACAGGGCGTGAGAGCACAAACTCGTATGATCTCGTGGCGTGCTTGTCGGATCTGGAACTGATAGATATCATAAGCGTCATGGTGGTTCCATCGTCAGCATAGACTACAACACTTCTTTCCCCTTGGGGCATCATAGCGGCAAAGCTGTTTAGTGTGTAATAAATCGTGATAAGCTTTAGTAGCAAGAGACATCACAACCCCAAGAAGTGTTGGGCCGTCCAACTTAAAAAATGGTGCAGATGGAAGGCCGCTCGGCTTAACTCCGATCGGGGACGCACGAGCCACCCGCAGCCAGCTAGAATGCTCCATCCCTGCAACCATGAGCCCAGTGATGAATTTTCCGAGAAGCTCACCTCTGACAGGCTTTGTGACTTCCAAGTTCGATCCTCAGAACCTCCAAACTCACCCGAGCCTTCGCATCACAACCACCCTCCCTGCGCAATTCGACGCCCACAGCAACCACATCCATCTACCGAACCACTACAAAGCCACAGCCACAATGGTCCAACTTGTCGAGGTCGAAGACGAGCACTTCCAGGAGCACCAGCCCGGTCCCGAGGAAGACGCTGATTTCACCGATACAGGTACGTCGCAGCGTCACTGCATCTACTTCCACAAGGTCGCGAGACCACATTGCGGTTTCGCACACCATGCGCCTCGCATCCCTTTTCAGTCTCTATACACATTATATTTGTCCCAAACTGACAGTAGCCTCTTCAGACTCCGAGATCTCTGACGACTCTGACTACGACCCGATCGACGAGTCCTTCACCGAGCGCCTGTACGCGCTCCGCGACATAGTCCCGCCCCAGACCCGCGGCTACATCGCGGGCAAGTTCAGCACGGCTGGCAACGCCGTCAAGACCGTCCTATCCTTCAGTGGCAAGACGCTGTGGGTCGTCAGCAGCTCCGCGCTGCTGCTCGGCGTGCCCTGGGCCCTGGCCTGGGCCGAGGAGCAGCAGGTCCTCGAGATGGAGAAGGAGATGAAGATGCGAGAGATGGGCGGCGAGGTGAGTTCTTTCGCCCTTGATGAAGATTCTCAGAGGGGATCGTGCATGATGACTCACTGACTGGCTGATTTAGCTCCTTACTGCTGGTGGCGCACCGGGCAGCCAGGGCTCCGCGACGGCTGAGCAGATCGGTGCTGCGCTCGGCAGGGAGGCCAAGCCTTCTCTATAAGGCAGGAAGCCCCTATTTATATTGCACCAACATCTCGACTCGAGCTACGGCGCGGCCAACCAACACCTACGAACACCATGTACATCACACCCACCTAATCCGCCCCTTTCGAGAGAGCCTTCGTCTTGGCCTTGTCAGAAATACATATCCGTCGATTACGGGGCGACGAACGCGCCTCGCCTCATAATGCGCAACCCATTCGTGTATTCATAATTTGTGAGGCTAGACGAGGAAGGGGAAGGAAAGCAAGCTCTCACCTCTCATGATCATCTCGAACGGTCCGATTTGAGGTTTTATGTATCATATTTTGGCATCCCCTTGCACGGTCCGGTAGCTGGAGGGCCGACTGCATGCAAGGGCTGGACTGGCATCGTCCACAGTTACGAATTCGACTATTGATCTGATGATGAACTTGGCCTTGATGCTGTGGGACTGAATACGTATGGGATGTGGATTTGAGATGTGATGAATGTTTGATGCCCTGAGTACCCCGGATGCCCCCTGATGTATCTTGCCGTGACGACTGCTTACTGTCTGCAGCTGTTTCCAACGTGTGTCGTCCCATATTGGGCCCTCGCGGATGGGAAGGAGTCGGCCGGTAGGAGTCAGCGCAGGGGAATTAACTAGTGAACCAGGGAACTCATCGCGATGAGGGTAGGGCAGCACCATCCGAGCCATGAGCGGGCAACAGGTCTGATCTAGGAGAGTGGCACTTTCCAAGTCCTACAGCCTCAAACGCCGGTGTGACTGTCGTGAGTGCACGCGCAAAGGCATGAATGTAGGAGGCTCCAGTAATGATGCCTTACCGGCAGCTCAGCCTTCTTCTGAGTGCCCATGGCAACCAGGTCACTCTCCAGCCCTGGACTCCCAAAGGTATATGGGGCTGAATAAACTGCCAGACTCCAACATTGGTTGTCATGGTCGATTTGGTACAGCACTCATTCAAATGCGCCCAGCTAACTGAAAACACAACAAACAAACCCCGAAGGTCGAACGATCGACTCTCACCCAAAACAACCAAATAATCAATCAACCAACTCTCAAGGGTCTGTGTAAGACGCAGCAGTCCTCAGTCTAAGTCGTCCTAGCGCCGAGAGGAGGCTAGGTGTTAAAGCCGTCCAAGCCGTCAACCAAAACAACAGTAAGTACCATTCCTCTAGACCGACCATGACAGCCAATTCTTTTTTTTATGGTTTTATTTATTTAAATTTGCTAACGTATATATTACGTACCTAGCTATATAAGGGCATAGCATAGGTGACGATAGGTGGTAGGTGACAAGCACCACGTATATGTGTACTGGTTAAAGCCTTTACTACTAGATTGGCAGTCGTTAGCGGCTGGCTGGCTGGCTGGATAGATGGTTTTCTTGGTCCCCTTAGAGCACGTTATAGCGCGTCACTTAATTACGAAGTGATAGCAACCCGGAAGGAGACATTATTAGCAGCACTTAGCAGCACACAAGACTACGAGGTCACCTTGACGTTAAGGGACGCGCTCGGAACGACTCTTCAAGCGACCATTCGACCTGACGAAGGAAGCAGAAGTCCTCCCGCCGCGACGGCGGAGGTACCCTTAGCAAGGAGACGATGAGACGATAGCTCTAACGTAACGCGTAATGAAGGCGTGTGATCCCAATAGAAACGACTGCTAGCATGACGCGGCGATAGCAGATCTGGTCTAATTACAACGTCGCAGTAAGATGACTCGTGGAGTACTATAGCCGGGCGCGGCAGGCAGTGGGCGAGATCTTGTTTACGCTCACGGCGCGCGTGTGCAAAGAAGGCGTACGCAAGTTTAACGTGTTGGTGTCGGCACGGAGTGTCAGCCCACTCGTACATACGCGGCATCACGGTACGGCTTTACCTGCAGCGCGCAGAGCGAGCGGTGGGCAGGCCTTTATAGCGAGAGCATCAACATCAATACCACAGTCCCTAACTTTTTACATGGTAGCGTCTTAACCACAAGCCTCTCTTACATACTCGCTACACCTGTACAGCAAGAGACGCCCTCTCACGTAGGAACTTAACCATCTTACATATTTATAGTTTAAAGACTTTGCCGATAACACGAGACTGGCTCAAGTTATAAAGCGCTGCCGGTCCCCGACACCAGTGCACCTTGGTAACATGTTCCCGTCTACATAAGTTACTGCTCTTACCAACCAAGTTACCAACATCTTAACAGCTTGCTCTTAGCAGTACGGAACAGGTCGGCTACTGGAGCAAGCCAGATAAAGTGACCAAAGCAAGATGCCTTTCCGGCAACTCAAGATGCCGGCATTCGCTAGCTCTGTATCGATGCACTTTGGTCCTAGAACCACTCTGTGTGTCTAGCCATGGTCTATACTGAACTCTTAACATACACGACGGTTCGATAGCAGGCCATGCTTCTCAGCATACTGTGGAACATATCTGGGGGCATCTTGGCTTCCTTTGGGGCATTCGTCACTGTGGAGAGGCCTTTTCTACTTCACCAACTTCATGCCATACATACCGGGCTGCAAAGCACAATGCGTTCCTTGCACCTAACTACAACGCACATGCGGATTCAACGATAATCAACGCAATGATCTTCCTTGGCCTGGTTCTCAGCAAGGCGAGCATGCGAATGGACATCGAACGCTGTCCACCCTCTCATCGAACGAAACGTACTAGCCTGCCGCGACAAAGGTGGACGAAATGGTCTCCAGCTCGTGGCCAGAGTCTCACCGACGAAAGCTCAAGTGGAATTGTTTTTCATCACCAACTTACCTTCATCACCAACCTACCAACCTACCAACCAGCCAGCTTGACTGCCTGCCTGTCTACCTATCTACCTGCCTGCCTGCACAACTCCACATCTAGCAGACTAACAACCTATCTTCCTTTGCGCCAAGGGCTGTGCGAAAGACGCTCAAGTTGACAGCTGGGATGATAACAAGAAGGTATCTCGTGACACCAGGCCTACGCCAGGCCTGACGACTTATAATAGGCGGGACTTAATGAGTAACGAGAGGCATGGCACCAAGTCCCAGCTACAACAGTCTGGCTGCCTCCATCGACGTTTTACATCTGTGTGTATGTAACCTAACTGCCTCTCTGTATCCCACAAAGATGCCGATCGCCTACCTGCCTACTTACCTACCTACATATCCGCCTTGTAGTGTCACTTCTGTCCGTGGAATTCTGCTCCGGGCTTTTCGAATGCCTCTTTGCGCTCTCTCCTTCCGGTTAGGACTACCTGGAATCGCTGCCGAGTACGACCCCGAAGAACCACTTGGGGATCTACGCCAGAAATCCTCAAGCCTGCTGACTCAACCGCCCAACCGCTCAGCATCATCCTCCAACACCATTATCCGTTCTCAACCTGTCACCTAGTAGCACTTGCTAGACCATACATTCCGTAACTTACCATCGCACATCAACTCGGCACGACTAGCTGATGTGTTTATCTGCCACCCGCAACGAGTTACGCCTATCCACAATCAACGAAACCCGTGAAATCTCGCTCCACAAACTGCACCTCCTCCTTCACTGGAGCCCCAGCGCAGATCCCTCACTTCGCCTGAACGAACTCTTCGTTTACATCTACACGAACCGGAGATCTAAGTCCAAATCTTATACTTTGAGATGGCACTCATTCGTAATTGAAAAAGCTTCAACCACCTTGTCACATACCATCCAGAGTACCAACGACCTAAACAGACCGAAGACCACGAGAACTAAACACTACGAAACCTCCCCCGCAGCCGGCATGAACTTCTCGGGTTTCGCGAGCGCCATTACAACTGGCCTACAAGGGCTGGTAGGGGCTGCTGCCTTTGTTTCGTCGGGCTTTATCTGGGCTACTCTATCTCAAGCCATTGCTCGTGTCACGCCAGCGGTTAAAACGGCATTGATGCAAGGATTGGCCTTCGTTCTCGGCCGGGTACCTCCGGTCATATTGGATCTCGCACAGGCCGGATTTGCGGTCGTGGTCTATACTTTCGGCGCGTACGGAATGCTCTCGGCCGAGTCGGCCTTGACCAACATCTGTCAACTTTTACAGCTCACTCAACTATGTCTTGCTCGTGCTGGCTCACTGGCTTGAAACAAAAGGTACTCTTATCCCCACCTGTAAAATATCGACTCCCCCCCGTTACAAACCCATTATAGTCACGCTGTCGCACTGTCACATACGTGTCACACTGCTCGTGACCGTCACCCTTCTACGCATTGTTAGGGAGTAAATTGGGGCGTATAGTGGGAAGGTTGCTAGTCGATCTTCAGGGCGAAATCGGCAACTGGACGAAACATGGACCAGTTATGGCGCAGAATAAGATCTGACGCAAGTCACTAACACGTTCAATCTCAAACCCATCGACTCTAGCTACCACAACACCATCGTCTGTAGCGCAGCAGGCAACCCGGCATCAGAAGCGCGGCGTATGATACAGTAAGTCTACGGCTCCCTCACCCATCGACTCGTGCCAATTCTCTCCTTCTCCATGTCGCAGCCATCCGTCAGGCCTTGGCAAGCACGAAGTAGCGCAAGTATTTTTCAACAAGGCAGACATGGTTTACCTCGTCGCGGCTTGGATCGCATGGATACGTGTGCCGGCAACCATCCGAAGAGCCCTGGAATGCCGCGGACAGTCATTTGACATACGCATCAGAACTTAGGCCATACTGACTCTCAATCCCGTACAGTTCCTACATTTCGGTCCAAGGACGGACTGTTTGCGACACTCAAGCAGAAGCACCAACTCCATGGCTCCGGCGATGCCTTGTTCCGATACCCAGTCTTCAGCTCTTCCAACACAATCCGAATATTCAACGAGATGGTCTGCGACTTGTATCGAGCCTGCCAAAATGCAAAACCGACTCTTTTCCACAACCTGCTGAATCACATTGCTCGTGATAGAAGGCTGCTACGCTTGTACACCCAGAACATTGACTGTCTGGATACAAGCTTGCCTTACCTTGCGACTACGGTACCACTCTCCAGCAAAGAACTCCCGCAGATGATACAGATACATAGAAGCGTACATTGGTCAGAGTGCAAGAAGTGTCGGGCAGTTCCACGTTTAGATCCCGAACGATATAAGGCTAATAAGCTGCCAAAACATAAGGCCACGCCGCCTCGCAACTTCTTGTCCGACAGGCTGCGCCTACAAGATGGGAGCTATAACGGAGAAATACGTCCACAGACACTTCTATACGACAACATTAAAGATTACGATTGCAGCGTAGTCCAGCACGCTAAGGCGCTTAATTCAAGCAAATCACCCGATACTATCGTTGTCATCAGCACAAGTCTACGCGTCAATAGCGCAAGTACCATGTTAAAAACCTTCGCCAGAGCAGCCATCAAAAATAAATCATCTGTTATTTGGATTGGCTTAAAAACACCACTTTCCAAGCTTGCATCCTACTTTACCTTAATTGTCCTAGCAGAGGCAGATCACGTTGCCGAGCTGGTTTATAAGACACTTGGGAAATTTTCCTAGACGATAAACGACCTTATTAGGTGGGATTTCGACGCTAATAATGCGACTCAAATCCAGATTACTGTCAAATGGGACAAAGACTACATGCCGAGTCCAATGGATAAGTCTTTCTTGCAACTTCAATGTCCGGATATTCTCTTTTCATTCTGGCATCATAAAGGAAGGCGAGGCATAGCAATACAAGAAAGAACGGGCATAGCACCCTTACGCTTCCATTACTTCAAGATCATAGCCCACGCCCCTGTCCGGGTCTCAAAGAGTGCTACAGTTAAAAAGTTCCTAGTGCAATAGGTTTTTCGGTCAGTCTCTCCTCCTTTCACAAACACACACATACGTATATACATATATACACTCACGCACATACTATCGCAAAGACATATAAGAGGAATTCTCCTAGGTGAAGGTCGGGACTTGTTTTCCTTCCTCATGCAACGCACCCCGGTTTATTTCCCCCAGATCCCTTTCAGAGATCTTCGTACCTGTTCCGGAGACATCGTACGTGGCCAACCCTCTTCTTGGTCGTTTCGTCCCCCTACCTTCCAAACCGTGCCTCGAACAATTCCGTACCATCATCACATAACTCCGCACTTGTCCCGTAGCCGCACCGCACCCGCTACGATGGCATCAGACGCCGTCGCGACCTCCTTGACACCGGCCCCCCCTGCTAGAGACGAGAAGACCGAGGTCTGGCCATCTGGCCCACCCATACCATATACTTCCTTATATATCAGGTGATTTCAACAGGTCATCTGGCCAGATCACACTTGGACAATACATCACTATTTCCAGTTTGGAGCTATAGTAGCATCCAGGTCAGGGTATGTGACACATACATACACACATATTGACGAGCTTCCATTTCTTATCTTCGCCAGCAGAGACTTGGAAGAGATGATCCTATACTTAAAAAAAAAGGACCCCTATAATTGTGTCAAGGTTCCAGCAATTGTCCGTTACCTATTCGACACAATCTACGACACTACCGAATCACTCAGGCGTACGTTCTATACGCTGGTCAGATGACTGGAGTATCCCCATATTCCTCCAAGTCGACCACCCATTTAAGTTGAGTCTGGTACCCAACTCATCGACTGCCCCTGCACTCTGGTACTATACCTACCAGGAGAGGCTTAGAAGAAGGCCAGAGTCGAGACACGAGCAGTCAGAGAGCTTCGTAAGACTGGCCATACAATCCCGTCCCGCAGAGGACAAGGCCGATAAGTACAGTTGCGCCCTGGTTAACATCGAGCGGGACACAGATGGTGAGGCCGAGAGTCGAATCTTAGGCGTCATGATGGTTGATGAAGATGGGGGTGACAGTGATGGTGATTCTCCCAAGACAATCTGTGCTATCTGCGGTGATCGCCTTCATAAACGAAGCCTTTAGAAACATGTAGCAGGTCACACGGGGTCAAGCCATGTACTGGTAAGAGCCCTTCCGTGGCACAGCTTCTCGTTGATACCAACCTAATCTCTCTCTAGAATATCGGCAGTAAGACGACCTGGTCGAAAAGCGAGCTACGGAAACATGCCCTTAGTAAGCTTGACAATAATGGGTTCGATTTCGAGTTCGATGTCGGCCGTGCGAAAGACCTGGCTGTTTTATATCCTGCCATTATCCATCATTCCGGAGGCAAAGTCAAGGAAGGTCCCCTGGCCGGTCACGTTATGCAGCCCTTAGATCTTCTACAAGGACAGCTGCATTAAGAAAAACTACGAGTGGCTTATAAGGCGGGCACCGTGCCGACACACAAGTATACCCTCAATGCGCCGAACGCCAGAGCACTCGCTGCCCGAGCACCACCCACGGACCTCAGCACCAGCCATACAACACGCATACTAAGATAATGTAACGTGCTTATGTGCCCGCTTCATGCTAATAGTCGGTGAAACCCGTTTTCTGTTACAGACAGATTTACCCCCATTCAGATTAATTTGTGGACACCTGCACAACACCTTAACTAGAGGCGGCCGAATGGCTGGTCGTCCAAGTGGCCCTGGCCCACAGATCCCACTTGGATTCCAGCAGACAAGAAGCAATACGATCTTTATAAAAATCGTATCTGCACATGTATCGATAGCAAAGTGCGCCAGGAAAGACCGCTGATAATGCTGTGTGGCAACAAAGGCAAAGGTGCCTAGGCCCGCATGAATTATTCTTAGAGCGATCTGCTTGGCGAGCTGGTTAGTGAGCTGGTCCCGCTACAGACGCTTAATGACGGCTGGGCTGCCGATATGGTCTGAGATGACCTCGGCGGTAAGACAGCACCTATATGCCAGGTACACTGTCGATTTGTGGGGAACTGGGTACGCAAGGTAAACCATTTATGTGAGCCCAGTACGGAATTCCTTGCCAAGAAGATCTCAGGCAGGTAGAGGATAATACTGACAATGGTCCGCGACATTATGAAAGGAGAGGAGATCACGGTATTATATGGAGATGAGTATTGGCAGGACGACAAGTGCCTCTGTGGGCATGAATTATGCATATCTGCCTCTCTGTCCAGATCTGTCACATAGCAGGTTTGCCAATTTGAAAGTAGATGTGTAACAAGTCTGTGTCCATCACGCTAGAAAAATGTGATGGCACCCTTATACGCCGCAGAATGGCGCGGGCGGTGAGACGTGATCGAGGGATAACGGTTTTGCATTGGCGCCGGGCGGTTGAGGATTCGGCCTTGTATGGTACCGAGGCCCGGTACGGCGGTACGAAAAAGACGAGAAACACCACACACGAGTATGAAGGCTGGAAGTCACTGTTAAAGTCGGCTGGCACCTAAAGGAGGTCCAAAGGGTCCTCACGATGTAGGTAGTGGCCTGACCAGCCCGCTATGTTTCTCGCGGTGCTAGACATCCTCAACACCCGGCTGCGACGAAGAGGTCTGGCTCAGCACATACCCGCCATCTTCCTGCACTGCCTAGCCCAAGCGCATTACTCAGATTCTATCCCAATCTTGCTCGGGCTGCAGCCGTAAGACTTGGCTGGAATTCCGACGCTATGCCAGGATTCGACTATGATGCGGATGTACTTCATGAGTTCAGGTCTCATGAGATGGATGTCACCGGATAACCTGACCCCTGGTGAGCTGTCCGAGACCAGGATTGCCCATTTCGACGCCAAAGACCTGAGTCGTTCAAGTAACCTGACGCAATCTCCAACTTGAGTCTCCCTTCAGAAGGATCCTCGGCACCATTGGAACCTATCAATGATTTTGCACTGGGATCTCTGATTATCATTCCGATTGGCGCGAAGGACGATCAGATAGAGTCGTTTGTAAGTTCGAGCCTCGAGGAGTGTTACATGTGCCACCGAAAGCCAGCCGACTAAATCTATGCAGCTTAAGCTAGCTATCAGCAAGGCTCTGATTTTCCTTCAAACGCCGCATGTTTAAGATGCATTCAAGGCCGCTACGTTAGAGCTGGGTACAAAACACGGTATCTTAATCTGGGGTGAAGATGACAGCAGCTCCGTGGATAAAGAAAGAAGGAAACTATGAAGTTAGTTAAATGACGTCCAGCCTGAACCGGAATCGCACGGCCCGCTTGGGCTGCATTGAGGAGTTGGAAGATCAGGACTTCCTTGCGCCGCTTCGGGCGCGAC